GCCTTGCAGCGCCCGAGTGTACATCGCCTCCGCTTCTGCCAGCTTGCCTTGGTTGGTGTAGAGGTTGCCTAAGTTATGCAAAGCCCATTCCATTTCTTCTATATCCACTTTATCTTCAAGTATGGCCTGCTCTTGCCTGACAGCATGCTGAAGCAGCCGCCGTTGTAATATCCACGAGTCTGTTTTATTCTTCATGGGAATCTTCGAAGCAACGCAACGTAACGCTAGCTGTGCAAAACTCTTGTCCCACTCTTTATTAAGCACGGATACCGTCCAGGAGTATACACAGCTATGCACGCTATACCCTCCAGACCCGAACTGCTGTTGAAGAGCCCCATCTGGATCAACTAGCCCGAAGCTACATAGCAGAGCAATGGCCTCATTAAAGTTCAGTTCGTCTTCTATAAGCTCCTGTATCCATCGATTGTCTAGGGAGTTTGTATATCGAAGGAGTTCGAACCATACATCCTGTCGATCAAAATATGCCCACAGCTTGAGCAAGCTTGCTGACGCCGGGTTCAGTTGTTGGATCCGATCGAAGGTGATCTGCCATGTCGTGTATAGTGAGCGATCTTCATACGAGCTTAGTTGTGGACTGGTTTTTTGAAGTTTTAACCACGATGCCTTATAGAGCCGAAGATAATCCGAGAAGCTCGTTGTTACGTGCTCGAGGTATGCACCTGCGGTGGATAGAGCAAGAGGCAGGCCGTCTAGTTCCTTAGCAAGCTCTACAGCGCCAAGGTCTGTCTTGTCAGTGTTATCTGGGAAATTAAATGGCAAATAATATACCTTTTGCAATATTTTTCCGTCTTGACGTATTCGACAGGATCTCAAGGCCCTCCTTAATATCTAGCAACTTCTGAACATGGATGCGACGACCTTGGCTAACTCGCGAAGATCGTGTTGTGATAATGATTGAGCCCTGGTCGGACCCGGGAAGGAATTGGCGTATATCAACTGCCGAGCAGTCGAGGTTGCCAGGTGTCTTGGGGTTGTCGTAATTGTCATAGATTATTAGCCAGCGTGTGTTCTTTTGCAGATCAAGCCAGGCCTTGACCGCGTACATTACTTGATCGAGGTCGTCCAGGTCTACGCCAGCAAGCAGACTAGTCGAAGGATGATACTTCAACACCTGTTGAGCGATGTCTCGAAAGCTAAGCTTGAGAGAATCCTGATCGTTCGCATTCAACCAGAATATCGCCGTGTATTTCTCTTTGTGTCGCCTAATGTATTCTATCGGCAACTGAGTCTTTCCGATTCCACCGAGACCATATAGGACGATACAAGCTCGATTACTATGACCATAAAGCAGCTCGTGCATCTTCGATAGCTCTTTCTCTCTAGCAACAAATTGTGCAGCTTCAGGAAATGACGTGAGGTTAAGCCTTACGGCAAACTGTTCGAAATCGACACCTGTGCCGTTCAGTTCCATTACTTCACGCAACAACATCTAGACAAGAAGCTTACCCTTATACAACTTGTGGATCTCTTCCTCCAACCGCCTGAATGCCTGGTCCTTTCTCTCCCCATAGTTCGGCACCATAGAGACATCGAAAATCCCGATCAAGCAGTATGCTGCATCCTCTTCAACCGTAGTCTTACGGTGCTCCGCCCAGGATCTCCGGTCTTTGATAGTGAAATTTGACAATGCATTGCCTTGAAGAGCATTCTTCTCAATGCCGGTAATCTCGTGTATGATAGCCGCAAGCGTTGATTTGTTCCCAAGTCGCTCACCCTCTAAGCTAAAGAAGTCAACCAGCCTCGGCGCGATAAGCTCTTGAAGTGTCCAGCCTCGAGTGAACCATCGACTCTTCCGTAATGCCTCTTCCCATACCCGTTCGTCAACCGCTTCGGTGGTGGATTTAGAGACATCCGAAAGATAGACATAGCAGCGCGCTGCGTTCTGATACCACCGAAACATAGAATTGATTGCCGCGCCGAGCTCAACCGCATTCTTCTTGTCGATGCAGCAGGTGTCTACCCAGAAGTATTGTAATCCATCGGCAGCAGCCTGCTTCGCGCAGAACTGTATCTTCTCCCATCCAGCCTTGCTCACGGTCTTGCTATCCGCGCCGGCTTCCATGTCCTGAAATATGACCTCTTCGTCTCCCCAGGTATGAGAGAGTATTGCGTAGGCAGGGACATCGCCGCTGGTAGTTTTGCGGAAGACGATCTCGCCGTCGGATTGGCGATGTAATAGGCGTATGAAAGCCATGGGTGGAAGTTCGCGAGCAATTTCATGGCAAGCGCGACTCGTTTGTCATATCGGCGCAAGAACTGCGATTTAGAGGGTGCGAAATAGACGTCAAAGGACTGATTGTGAGAAGGATATGCAGTCGTGATCGTAGGCGCTGCCCACGAGGCTGCATCGTGGCGCAGGCTGGCTGGCGACTTGCATGGCGAAAACAGACGCAATGCAACGCTGAATGCTTATCGTTGTTGAAATGCCGCAAGCCATTCGAGGTCTTCCGTTGTGGGCTCAAAGTTGACAGATAGCGAGGCAGGTAGTAATGGAAATGAGTTTATTGCATGGAGGGCTGATACTGAATAAAAGGAAACCTCCGTCACTCCGCAAAAGACTTTCTCCTATCGCGCTGGCCGGACGTCTTATTCCTGCCACACCAGGCTAATTATTTTGTGATGCCTAGTGCAGATTTCATCTGATATTACATTCTATATTAAGGCCCTCGAAATTCGAAAAATTTTCATTGTCCACGATGCAGCAAGGGGGTGAATCTAAGGTGTCAAATCTTGCAATAAGCAAATCGACGGCGACAGCCAAAAAAACCTTTTATGATTAACTCGCTATAGTGAAAATCCCATATAAGAATGGCCGGAGAATCACTTAACATAAATTATAAGGCTAAAATCCAACAATGCGAACATTGAAACACGAAATTAAATTTAATGTCTCGGAACGGGGTGCGTCTCGCTACGTAGGGACGGACGGTAATCAACGGCTTGTCTGATATCACAGAATAAGACTTCTGCTCCGATTATATAACTTAGATTCACGTCGAGCTTGAGGTAGCACGTGTCTTGGGCAGGAAGTTCACACGCAGGCAGCGGCGAACGCTAGCGTACTTCGGCTCACCCCGCCACTATTGTACATCAACCATCCAAGAAACACAGCAATTGCAAACCCTCGCATTTCCTTCTGTCATTTGTGCTGCTCAGTCGGTGACGTGTTATTCACGTGTACTCAAAGCGGGTTATTCCCGGGTATACTTTCCTCAACTATCTGCGCTAAAGACTTTTGTCTACAACTTTCCTGCGCCTCCTCTTCCTCGAAGTCATCAACAAGGAACAGCTCTCAGCATCACAACTTGCATGATAAGAACCCCGTCAAGATGTTGAAGATCTGGTCTATGGTAGTTCTTTGATGGCATTTCTACGGGTTTACATATGTGCAAGGCGCTGACCAGTCTATAGAAGCAGAAGCAGCAGCAGGATGCTAACGCAGATGCTGCTGCAGGCACAAGAAAGAAGAAGGTTACCGCTGCACAACTCCGAGTTCAGAAGGGTATGTCCTTATCCTCCATATCTTTGCGTACCACACATGGCTAACCACTGCCTGCAGATCTTTCCGAGCTTGCGTTACCAAGTACCATGAAGACCGAGTTCCCAGACCCAGACGATATCCTATACTTTAACCTCACAATCGAGCCGGATGAGGGCATGTATAAGGGTGGCAGATTCCACTTCACATTTGCTATCAGTCAAAATTTCCCACACGAGGCCCCCAAGGTCAAATGCACGCAGAAGATCTATCACCCCAACATTGATCTGGAAGGAAATGTCTGCCTTAACATCTTGCGAGAGGACTGGAAGCCGGTGCTGAACTTGAATGCTATCATCGTTGGTCTACAGGTATGCGCCTGAAAAGAATATCGAAGCCCGAATAGCCTGCTAACAATCTTATAGTTCCTCTTCCTCGAACCAAATGCATCCGACCCTCTGAACAAGGAAGCGGCTGAGGATCTGCGATCCAACAGAGAAGGGTTCAAGCGAAACGTTCGATCTTCTATGGGTGGAGGAACGGTCAAGAACCAGACCTTCGAGAGAGTCTTGAAGTGAGAGTCTGGCGGAGATTGGCATGATTATGACAGAGAATACCCACCAGGCACATGCCACATAGATTTGCGAAATACGAGGGTCATGGCATATTGAGGCGTTGATAATGGGTGGATTTGGGAATAGATACATGGTCTCGTGCCTATAAGCGGGTAGAAATGATTCTCTACAAACTTGACTGCGAACCCACGATCACTGCGAGAAGTACCCAAGTATACAAAAACAAAAATTGAAGCCATCTCAATTTTTCGTGCAGACTTCTTTCCATCTAGAACTTCCTTCTGTGACCCCTCATTGCTCACCGTTAATCGCCGTTATCAGCAACGGCCGATTCGGCTCTAATCCGGTCTCGGCGTCCAAGCTCGAGAATTTTATCAAGAGTCACAATCCACCCAAAACAAAAACACTCTTCCATTCCTTCATATCATCTCCACTCCATAACACAACATGGCCTCCCGCACACTCTCAAGAGCTCTTCGCTCACCATTGGCAAAGCAATTGAGTGCCCCAGCTCGTCGCACTTTCGTTTCTGCCCTCAATGCTTCTGCTAGACCCACTGCTGCCCGTGCTGCTGTTGCGTCAGCTCAACAGGTCAGAGGTGTGAAGACAATTGACTTTGCCGGCACTAAGGAGGATGTCTATGGTATGTTTCTTGAATCTAAGCTGCTTATTCTTTACTAACAATTCCTCTAGAGCGAGCTGACTGGCCTGCTGCCAAACTCCAAGTACTTTTCACCTCACCGCACATTCGATCAACATACTCACAATGGGTTAGGATTACTTCAAGAATGATACAATGGCAATCATTGGATACGGATCGCAAGGTCACGCCCAATCGTTGAACATGCGCGATCAAGGTCTCAATGTTGTGGTCGGTGTACGAAAGAACGGTCAATCATGGAAGGACGCCCAACAAGATGGATGGGTTCCAGGCAAGAACCTGTTCGATGTTGATGAGGCAATCTCCAAGGGTACCATAATCATGAACTTGCTCAGTGATGCTGCCCAGAGTGAGACCTGGCCAGCTATTAAGCCCCAAATCACCAAGGGAAAGGTATGCGTCATTTTTGAAATTTGCAGTTTGGGCAAAAGCTTATTTTTCAGACTCTCTACTTCTCCCACGGTTTCTCTCCCGTGTTCAAGAACCAAACTAAGGTCGATGTCCCAACTGATGTCGATGTTATCCTCGTTGCGCCCAAGGGTTCTGGACGAACCGTTCGAACTCTCTTCCGTGAGGGTCGTGGAATCAACTCCTCCATTGCCGTTTACCAAGATGTCACTGGACATGCCAAGGAGAAGGCAATTGCTCTCGGTGTCGGTGTCGGCAGTGGATACCTCTACGAGACCACCTTCGAGAAGGAAGTGTACTCCGACTTGTACGGTGAGCGTGGCTGCTTGATGGGAGGTATCCACGGCATGTTCCTCGCACAATACGAAGTTCTCCGTGAGCAAGGTCACAGCCCCAGCGAGGCCTTCAACGAAACTGTCGAGGAGGCCACCCAATCTTTGTACCCATTGATTGGCGCAAATGGCATGGACTGGATGTACGAGGCATGCTCTACCACCGCCCGTCGTGGTGCCATTGACTGGAGCGGACGTTTCAAGGATGCCTTGAAGCCCGTGTTCAATGATCTTTATGACTCTGTCAAGACCGGAAAGGAGACCGAGCGATCGCTTACCTTCAACTCGCAACCAGACTACCGTGAGAAATACGAGAAGGAGATGCAAGAGATCCGTGACTTGGAGATCTGGAGAGCAGGAAAGGCTGTTCGGTAAGTCGCTCCTCAAATAATTGCTGAAATAATTACTGACATTCTGCAGCTCTCTCCGACCTGAGAACCAAAAGTGAAGTGTAGACGAGAGTGAGTGGCGGGGGCTTTATTTCTGATACAGGAGTGAATCTGGCGAATGTACAATATTCCAGGCGATCCTTTTATTGGGTCCTCATGCATGGTATCTGGAATTCAAAAAGTTATACCTTTTTACCATTCACTCTCACTTTTTTGCATCACTTGTGCTAATTGACTCCGGCATCGGCAACAATTTCCCCGAAGCAGACTAACTTTTTGTACGCCTGTCATTACTCACTCAAAATCTCTAGGCACGAAAACAAAACCTCTCACGACTCAATTGGCTCCTTACTACGCTCAGCATCATGGCAGATCCCAAGAAATCACCACCTCTAACCAGAGATTCGGTCATCGCCGCTCACGCCCTCATCAAAGAGCATATTCACTACACCCCAGTCCTCACGAACACCACCCTCACAGACCTCGCATCAACACCCCAAGCTCCCGCCGCGCTGGTAGGCACACCATGGGTCGGCCAGGAACCCGCGAAACCGATCATAAGGCTGTGGTTCAAATGCGAGAATCTGCAGAAAGTGGGGGCGTTTAAAGTGCGGGGTGCTTTCCATGCTCTGAAGAGGCTCATGACGGAGCAGGGGTGGGAGGAAGGTGGTGGGAGGGAGAAGGGGGTTGTTACGCATAGTTCTGGTACTTTCCTTCTCTGATGGCTTCAGCTTCAAGCTCGCACTAACGCACCTTGCCTAGGAAACCACGCACAAGCACTCTCCCTCGCCGCCCGAACGATGGGCGTACCAGCTCACATCGTCATGCCTACAATCTCTACGCCTTCTAAAATAGCAGCTACAAAAGGCTACGGCGCCAATGTCATCTTCTCGGGCTCCACGTCGGTTAAACGAGAAGCTGTCGTTGAAGAAGTTATAAAGAAGACTGGTGCGAGACTAGTTCCTCCTTATGACCACCCGGATATTATGCTTGGCCAGGGAACGCTCGGTATTGAGCTGCAGGAACAGGTTGAGAGGATGATAGCCAGTGGCCAGAGCGAAGGACAAAGTCAACCGAAATGCAGCTTCAAGCTTGATGGGCAGGGAAAGGGGAAGAGGAAGGGGCTGAATGCTATTATTGCTCCTTGTGGCGGTGGTGGCATGCTTTCTGGCGTGGCACTTTCTTGTGAGAACACGGGGATTTCGGTGTTTGGAGCAGAGCCAGAGTTCGAGGGTGCGGATGACTGTAAACGCGGTTTCGAGTCCGGGAAACGGGTTGAGATAGTCAAGACTTTGACGATTGCAGACGGGTTGAGGACACCGGTGGGTGTTTATCCTTGGTCTGTTATTTATGAGAGGAGACTTGTGAGGCAGATGTTCAGCGTTTCGGAGGAGATGATTAAGAAGGCGTTGAAGTTGGTACTGGAGAGGATGAAGGTGGTTGTTGAGCCGAGTGCGGTGGTTCCGTTGGCAGTTGCACTTTTTAATGAGGATTTTAGGAAGATGGTGGAGAAGGAGGGAGGTGAGGATGGTTGGGACTTGGGTATTGTGTTTAGTGGTGGTAACGTGAGTCTAGAGGCTTTGGGAAAGCTATTTGAGGTCCCTGCGGAGAAAGCAGGGAGGCAGGAGGGGAAGCTGGGGAAGGATGGCGAGAAAGTTGCGGAGAATGTGGCTGGTTGAGGGTTATGGAGCGAGGAATGACTTTCTATGGAATATGACGAGGTGAAATGATACCATGGTCTAGAAAGAAAGCGATGTTTTCAACCAAAAGTTCAGAGGCTCAAACGTGCAGGGGAAGCAATAGGGCGCTACGAAGCTTAGAACTTGCTCGAATTATCTGTCTCTAGATGGTCAAAGAAATTCAGTACAGAACCAACATCTACTGCTTACTCTTCTTATCCAAAGCAATATACTCCCTAACCTGATCCACAACACAAGTCTCCAAGTCAATAAACTCAATTCCAAGCTTAGTCCTCGCCTTCGTATTATTCGCAAACACATCCGAGTATTTTTTACCCTAGCTTGGTTTAGGGACAAGTCTTTTCTTCTCCGAAAATTTCTTTAAAATTGCTTGACTTTCTTTGCGCTTTTTTAAAAGCGAATTGTGATTCGGAAATTTTAATCGCGGGATAGGAAGGTGCTTTAAGCTTCTACTACCACGAAACTAAAGTCTTTAGTGATGAAAATAGTTTTGCTATTTCTTAAAAAAAATGGACTTGAATGTTTAACGAATCTTGTTTTTGATAGAGTCCGCAAACATATCCGAGTATTTTTATTCTAGCTTGGATTAGGGATAAGTCTTTTTTTTTTTTCGGAAAGTTTTTCAAGATTGTTTGATTTTCTTTGCGCTTTCTTGGGAGCGAATTGTAATTCGGAAATTCTAATCGCGGGATAGGAAAGCGCTTTAAGCTTTTATTGCCACGAAACCAAAGTCTTCAATGATGAAAATAGTTTTACCATTTCCTAAAAAAGTGGACTTAAAGGTTTGACGAATCTTGTTCTTAATAGAGTCCGTCTTGTTATGGGTTTTGTAATTGAGGTAGCTGGATTCGTAGTAATATGACATGGAATGAGAAGGATGCGCACGTCTTCCACTTACCGAGGATTATTCTGCTTGATATACACAAATGTATCATTGCGAGTAGATTGTTATGGCCGATGAGCAGCAGAGTAAATGAGCAATTGCCTCAATTTCTTGGCTGATATCTTTCGGGATTCATCATCTCTGAAGAGTCACTGGAGGAGTTTAGAATACGCAGGAATCCGGACATCGTATATATCAAAAAGTGTTATGACGTCTCCAGCGCTGTGTGAGCAACCTTCACGATCACCGATATGCGTCGGCGTTAGTGTGAGGCGAGAAAATCACTTCTTTGTTCGACCTTGCGTAGCATTGACCAGAGTATCCTGGCCAACTTGACCAGTATTTGAAGAGAGACGTTGACAATCACTTCATTGACAGGACGTCGTTCAGCCCTACGTAGCATTGACTAGAAGATCCTGATCAACTTGAACAGGATTTGACCAAGGCGCTCTCACCCTTTACCGGCCAGTATTTGACCAGGATAGCATAGGATATTCCGGGATTCATAGGAAGCAATGAAGCGGCTCAATGATTGACCGAATGGGTGCAAGTAATGCTAAGTAAGCAGTTGACAGCTGCTGGCGGAAAATGCTAGATTATTCTGCTCCTGCTCTTCCTCCTGCTGTTGCTCTTGCCCTTGCGACGTGCAACAAAATCTAGTCCGGATGTCCGTCTTACTATAGGGACTATAGGGCAGTGCTCCTGCTCTTGTTCTTGCTCTTGCGATGTGCAACAAAACCTAGTTTGGATGTCCGTCTTACTATAGGGCATTGCTGCGGTATATAAAAAAGGAAAGCATCAATAACGTGACAGCAGGCGCAATGGGCCACATAGGTAGGAGAAACATTTCTTAGCTAGATGAAAACTTCAATAGCTGCGGCTATTGTGGCCATGGCAGTTATCCTTTCAGCTTGATTTAAGAGTGGCGGGTACTCCCACATAGAAAGGGAGATGATTGTTCCAATCAAAGGTGAATGGGAATAGAATTGAACCCGAAAAACGGAAATCAAGATATACTTACCTTGTTTATCACCCCGTAACGGTGAGCAAGAACCATGCAGTGTGACAAGAGTACATTTTCTCTGCTACTTTTTGTATCCGCAATTAAATCAATGTGGGAGCTTCAATCAAGAAATAAATTGAACTTCGAAGCATGATATGACACAGCTTGAAGATCCGATTTTTCCACTTTTGGATACCATTTGACATTGCTGGTAGAGGAAAAGTAATTAGCGTAAGGGGGCCGCTCAAGTGTTGCTCCTGTATTCCGGCTTGCTATCGTACTCGTGCGAATGGTTTATGCTTGACTTTTTTCTTTCCTCAAAACGGCAACTGTTCGTGCTTGAATCTCTTCTGTCCTTCGGCCTCTCCATACTCCGCTGATACTTGACCTCCACCACGAAGCTTGTACTTGTAGATCATCAACCCTTCGAGGCCAACCGGACCCCGCGCATGGATCTTATTGGTACTGATACCCACCTCGGTACCAAATCCGAACCGCATGCCATCCGCCATTCTGGTAGATGTATTCCAGAAGACGCCAGCTGAGTCTACGCTGGACATAAATTGCTCTGCGAGTCCTGAAGAAGAAGTGAGGATGACATCAGTATGGTGAGATCCATGAAAGTTGATGTGAGCGATAGCCTCGGAGACAGATTTCACAGTTTTGATGGGAAGAACCAAAGACAGATGCTCAGTGTCAAAGTCAATATCTTCTGCATCTTGCAAAATGGTCACAGAATGTGAATCGAGCTTGCTGGTCAGAGCCTTCTTGCTTGCTGCATCACAGCGTAAAGAAACGCCCTTTTCTAGCAGCGCCTGGGCTATTGGCGGCAGAAGAGTCTCCAAGGCAGCCTCTTCAACCAACAATGTTTCAGCACTATTGCAGGCTGCGGGATATGCGGTCTTGGAATCAACTACGACTTTGATAGCCATGGCAAGATCAGCAGTATGCTCGAGATACAGAGAGCAAAGGCCATCCGCGTGACCAAGGACGGGAATTTTTGTCGAGGATTGAATGTATCGGACGAGCTCATTAGAACCTCTGGGAATGACTAAGTCAATATACTTGTCCTGGTTTAACAGTTGAGGAATGACATCTCGAGTAGTGACGAGCTGGATAGCAGAATTTGGGACTTCCGTCGATTCAAGTGCAGCAGAAATTACTTTCGAGATGGCGATGAATGATTCTGTTGATTCTTTACCTCCTGCTCATTGGATTAGCATGACTCTGAACCAGTCTTCATCCAAAATTTCAAACACACCCTTGAGTATTGCTGCGTTGCCAGATTTGACTGCCAGGGATGCAATACTGGCAATGACTTCTGGTCGAGCTTCGAAGATAATCAAAAGAACACCAATTGGACATGAAACTCTTTCTAGAGTCAATCCATCATCAAGCTTCGTTCGTAAGGTAACTTTGCCAACTATTCCAGTTGTGTCAGTAGCAGAATCCATCGAAAAATGCTTCAAACTTACCTGGATCTTCTAACTCTCGAACATCTAGGATGCCCTTCAGCATATCCTCCCATTTCCCCTTCTTTCCAAGATCTAAACGTGATACAATGCTCAGGCTCAATTCTCCATTTTCAGCAGCTTTCCTCGCCAATTCGAGATCACGCGCGTTAGCGGCCAGAATTTCTTCTTTGGCTCCAGAAAGTCCTTTGTGGATTGCTGTCAAGGCATCATTCCTCGCAGATGTTGGAAGCGTAGCCAGAATATGAGAAGCAGACTTCGCTGCTTGTGCAGCATCTGCTGGAAGGGCGTTGGTCAGAGACATAGAGAATGATATTCAGTCTGTGCTTTGCATTGCATGTTGCATTCGCCCAAAGCGTGACTCAAATGCTCGTGAGATTGTTATGAAAGGGTCAATCTAGGGAGGCGAGGGTGACCTTATCAGCAAAACCCGGGCCGACGTGGCTCCGGTCTGGGGAACTGCAACTGCCTATCGTGAATTTGTGGTAGGCAGCCTTGCCCCATTTAAGCTCTTGTCAACAGCTCCCCGCGATTCTTGATCTTCGCCTCGCGACTAAAGCTGTGAATGTCAACCAGCTTTCAGATTCTTGGGCTATTTGCTGTTATTGAGGTCCTGCTGTGTCAATATCAAGCAAAGGAGGGGACCATAAGAATTCAAGCTTCCCCGCTACAATTCCTACAGCTCTCCAGGACCAACAGCGCAAAATCCCAACCCTCTTCAATCAACCATCAAGATGGACGACCTCCTTTCTAAACTCCTCATGTTCCCACCGCATCCTCCACCAGCCAAACCGCTGTCTGATCACGCATACGATGAGGGTATCAAAGAGCAGATCGAAGTTGTGGGCAAGATGTCGGAAACAAAGCTACTGCAACAGACATCTGGTGGTGAACATGCTTTAGATGTACGTCAAGTCAAAATTCAATCGGGTACAATAGCTCACATATCATCTAGGTTATCAATCCATCTCTCAATACTATACCATACGCTTGCATCCTCCTCGCGAACATTTCGGCTTTAAAGAAAGGAAATAATAAGGGTGTGGAAATCGACACGTTATGGGAGAAGATGATAGGGTTTCTAAGTGCCTTTGATTCAAGACAAATCAGATACATTGGCGACGAACTGTCAGCGATTATCGAAGCTGTGGCGGCAACCGCATTCTCTACCCGACAGGTTGGAATATCGCACCTTTTCAAGAGAACATAACTAACTGATCTTCTAGGCCCACCTTGCTGTCGGTCCTATTGCAAGCGCTCTGATGCGTCTCGATCCTACAGGCACTATGCTCACCACACACCATCTAGATTTGGCAAGATTGGCTTTAGATTCGAGGAATTTCGCTGATGCCGCCCCTGTCTTGAACAAGTCTATACTCTACGTACCGGGAGCTTCTACTATCACGAAGCCAAGGTACATCTGTGATATGACTCTGAGTCCCGTCTCATTCATCACACTCCAATCGAAGCTCACAAAAAAGCTCAAGTACCTGGAGATCCTAGAATACTTCTTGTATAGCGGAATGGTCTTTATCGGTATGCGAGATTGGGAAAGCGCACTACAATGCCTCGAGAACGCAGTCACATACCCCGCCAAAGAAACGAGCGTGAGTAAGGTCATGGTGGAAGCCTACAAGAAATGGATCCTTGTTGGTGTCCTGTTGGAAGGTAGATTGCTTCCACTCCCAAAGTCGACAAGTAGTGGAGCAGCCAAATGTTACCATGTCATGGCGAAGCCGTACGAGACGATGGCACAAATATTCGAGAACGGGACCGCTTCTCGCTTGAAGGCTGAGGCTGACACTGCCACTAACATCTGGAGAGCTGACTTCAATACTGGGCTTATACTTCATCTCCTTGCTGCTTTCCAGAAATTCCAAATTCGAAGTCTTGCCAAAGTCTACACCAAGATCACTATTCCGGAAATCGTCAGCCAAACGACCAGTGCAGAGACTGGCACCAAGCTTCCCAATCCCCAAGCAGCCGAATTACTCATTCAAAACATGATCGCTACTGGTGAGCTACACGCTACTATGAGTCCGCCTACTGGCGGTCCCTCGATCCTCACCTTCTCGCCAACAGGCCAGGCCCTCACTGAGCCTCAGATGCAGAGAGAGCTTGTACTAACATCGGAACGCATCGTGTCATTGACCAAGGAGATCAAGCAGACAGACCGAATTCTGACCCACGACAAGGGGTACATCAAGTACGTGCAGAAGCAAAGCAAGAATGCCAAGACATCTGGAGCTACCGGCGATCAAGGCATCTCAGGTCCGGATATGGATTGGAATGATGCATTGGAAGACGAGGATATCATGGGTCCTATGTATTGAACAGCTTCCCAAAGGACCGATTTACCTCAACCAACTGATATGCATGGCTGGCATATCAATGAACGAAATGATGGATGAAGAAACGCATTATAAATGAACGGCAGGAGGCCAACAGCGAGAAGTTGGAGGTCTTTGCTAGGCTTGCTATGAGCGTGGTACTATCTGTTTCTCAGTTGAGAAACGCGGCGTACTGCATGGCTTGGCTGCATCATGGAAAATGGCGCATCGTCTAGCGATTTGGTAGAAGAGAAGAAAGAATTTTGCTGGGCGACAGCACAACTTAATTCCAATAGAAATCAATGAGAACATCTATCTGCCAGACGAAATTATTTCATTTTCTCATCATAATTGTGCTACGGGATTTACCACCAACGCCAAATGCATATCTCCCCCCGAGACCTGGCACTCATCCGATCATACTCTACAGTGATGATGTTGCCTACTCCATCGATGCAGTATGTGGCCTGATTCATAGCTCATGACACATTCCAAATTACGTGCGGCCAACCCATATCCGATACTTACTCATACTCAGTCATTCATGTGGTACTGCTTGATCAAGTTCGCAAGCTTGAGAGCTTCAGTCTTGTAATCAATAGGAACAGCACCGATAACTTGGTAACGAACTCTGTAATTATTGTTAGTATGTGCGTAATCTAATTGCTTGGTGACACGAAACATACCTCTGCTGATCTTGGAAAGTATCCATCTTGGCTCTAACCTTGAAGGTATAGGTCTTGCAATTGGCATCTTCGAAAACCTTCTGAGCAGCAGCAGAATCATTTTCCTTGAGTTCCATGAGCGAATCTCCACTCATACCCATGATGAGACGTCCAACATCATCAAAACAGCTCAGATACATTTGACCAGTGTGATCATTGACATTCACAGACATGATGTATCTGTACTCTGGCTTCTGATGGGTCACATTGCACTTCTCACAGTGCCAGGTACCGTCTCCCATATCGGTGACCTTCTTGTTGCAGTCGGGGCTCGCGCAAGCAGGATACGCGAAGTTTTCTTGCTTGATGTACACGATCGTACCCTTGGTGGAGAAGTAATCGTTATTCTCAGACATACCAAGATTCTCTTCTCGGACTTGAGCAATAGTCTTCAGCTGTTCATTGCGGCCTCCAGCAGCTCCTGCGCCAGCCATGCCCGTGTGCGAGTTGAAGTGCTCAGTTCTACCTTGCGAATCGTACCATCCCTTCAGCTTGTGTGCTTCTGGGATATCGGGGTTGACGGCCATGGAGCCAGAAGAGAGCAAGCTCAAACTTCTACCGCCAAAGTCTCCGACCTTGGTACCCTTAAAAGCTACAATAGCTTCAGTTTCTGCATCGAAAGCTGTAGCTGTCTTGCCCCATATGGTCAGTCGGACAGAAAAGCCACTGTCGTCGACTAGAGTGAGTTCTCGCTTATCAAATGGCTTCTGAGTAGTCTTCGAAGTAATTTGGGTAACGTCTGCAACCTCTTTTAGGACGCCAATGACATCGATAGTCGAATCCTTTTCAACATCCTGTAAAGCGCCAATGGTGGTGAAGTTGTAACGAACTTGAGGAACATCAGTCACATCTTCAGCCTTCTCGACAAGTGTATCTCGCTCAAATGTAAGCTCGTAATCATTTGGCAGAGTCGAGAACTGCTTCTTGGCGAGTTGTACTCGACATGGACTTGAGATATAGTAGACAGCACCCTCCTGGAAGACATCGTACAGCTGATCACACTGCTCATTGAATCCAGTAGCCTTTATCTCACTACTCTCGTCGAGAAGATTAACACTGAACAACTTTCCCTCGCTGTTCTGCTTGTGCCATGTTCTGATGTCTGACTTATGGGTGACACGAGCTTTGATGGTCCATTTGTGGGCGTAAGGCGATAGACCTTCGATGGGGTATAGATTTGAGTGAGAAGCAGAACTCGAAGGTCCGGTTCTTGAGGGGAGGGTGCGTTGTTCTTGCTTGACAGGCTCGGCTGCTTGTGGTTTACTTCCGTAGAATCCACCGCCTGCAATCGTTGTACTGACCGGCTTCGAGTCGTCCGACTCTTCTTTTACGGTAAGCCCAACTGGGTTATCAATCTTTTCGAGTTCTCCGAGGCTTTCGATGACTTCGAGATCTAGAATGATCAGGATTCTGTTATGGTTAGGCAAGTACTCCGACCTCGAAATGTCCAACCTACCTCTTTCCCTTAACGGCGTTGGCCTGATAATTCTTCAGTCGAACGATAGAGCCCTTCTTTAATTTGCCATCATGGATGACGTGATTTGCTTCTATCTCATCATCAGCAAAGTGAACCTGCTTGGGAAACAACTGGTACTCACGGGTAGCAAGCATGCTCTGGACGAAGTTCTTGATATCGCTCAATACAATGCGGTAACGTTCAGCTCCGCCTTCAGTGCTGGAGCTGAGGGCTTTGATCTGCACACACTGGCATACTGGAACTGGGAAGTTTTGCTGCAGCGTCTCTGGGTCATTGAAGATTGCGCTGTGAACTGTTAGCAGAAATAACGATACGCTGCGGAGAGAACGAACTTCAACGCGCCCTGAGTGATCTGCGCTCTTGCTGCTGCCTCTGCCATATTGTAATCTTCTGTGAAGGTTTAGAATTACCACAGGGTGTGTTTTGTGTTGATGTGACGCGGTTGACAAGAAGAGAACGCGTCAAGAATATTGGGCGTGTAAAGTGGTTCTCGCTAAATGTGGCGTTCCTGCCTATTTTGGGTGCACCACGCCAAAGCTCGAGACACACCACTAGCTTACCTTGGAAACCAAGCTCAGAGTGCGCGTCCATCACAAAAGGAATTCAACAACAATCAACTATCATGGCTGAACCAGAAGTTGCTACGAAAGCTCCCGAGAGCGACGCTATGGAGGAGACCAAAGAGAGCTTGATTCCAGGCGATACACCAGTCGCCCAGGGAAGCTCGAGTCTCGGAGTGAGTTGCTTTCAAAATGACCTCGTAATGCTGGTGCTGATCATACAAAGGAGCATTGTGTGACTGACAGACCGACTCGTCAGTACTTCCAGACTCTCCTCTCGCAGAGCGAGACTCAGGAAGGAGCATGCGCTGACCTCTGGCAGCTTTTGGACAAGGACCGAGCGGAGAGATGACCCAGATGGGTGGAAGTAAGTGATTTGGCAACGTTCTCTCTTCTATCTTGTACCTAGAGCCTGGGACATGTAGTTACACAACTGGAAGTATCTGCCAAAGTTTGACAACTCCTGGGGCACCTTTATTCCCAGAATGTACGAAAGAAGTATGCTAATCCGAGATTCTCTTCTTAGTTGATGCCTATGTCTCAAAACCTGCCGACTATCCTCACGCACCATCGAAACTTCTACTATTCCTTACAGGAGCTACTGGCCTTCATTCGGACAACAATCAAATCCAAGCAGATAAATTTGCCAAGGAGGGATTTCTCGTTGTGATGCCCGATATGTTCAACGATGATCCTCTACCCGGTACAGCAACATATTCCGAAGAGAAGGACCCATCCTATATCGAGCAGATCAAGATGACCTTAGTCGATGCTACCAAATCCTTTGCCATTGATATGTGGCTCGCACGACAGACACCCGAGAAGGTTCTCCCTATTATACAAAAGGTCATCGAGGCTGCAAAAGACGAGTTTGCTGATGCTGTTGCTAATGGCGGTGGTATCTACTCAGTAGGATACTGCTTCGGAGGTAGAATGACACTTCTGCTAGCAGGTGAGAAACCGGATACCGTCATGTGGGGTCAGGCCGTGAAGGATGAGGAAGCGGGTACAGTCAAGAAAGGACCATATATCAAAGCTGGTGCCATCGCCCATGCGACAGCCGTTTCTAGAGACGACTTCACGGGAACCAAATCTCCATTGGCCTTCGTATGTGTGGAGAACGACCAATTGTTTGACGAGGAGGTTCGAGAGCATGGTGAAAAATACTTGAAGGAGAACAACGTTGAGTGTGAGTTCAAGACATATTCGGGTGTCCCGCACGGTTTCGGTGTGTATGGGGAGTATGAGGATACGAAGATCAAGGTCGCACAAGCGGAGGCATTCGACCAAATGCTGGCATGGTTGAAGCTGCATTAGTTGTTCATATTTTGGCGTTGGGCATGATATCACGGGTTGCTGTTTATGAGATGCTCAGACATGACGTTATCTTCAAATTGAGTTGTCTCTTAATTACCAGTCTTCAAGGAGTTTTCATTTTGTCTCGTCCAGGTTTTTATATACGAGGAACTATGAAATGATAGTAATTCATTTCTCGTCCACGAAAGGGTGCGACTTGGGCGTGCGATGCTGGACCAACAGTGGTTGCACTAGTGTTGGTGGCTCTGTTTTCCATGGGGATTCCTGCCAGTGCAGTGTATTCCGCATACGAAATAGAAATGTCCATGAGAGGGTAGTGGAAAAATTAAAGTCGGACTTAGTGTCTTAGTGGACGTTGGGTAGCCTTTATGACGTGCAGCAAAGTTGCTCATGATACCCAGGATATAGATTTCAATAAGACCTCTTGTTAGCTGGAGAATGTGCGATGGCCCGGTGGTGATCCGCCCCTTCCATCAAACCAACTCCAACATTTCGAAGCCTCGCTTGACAGCCTCGCTTCGAAGTGTTGTGGATGCAGTAAAAGCCAAAAAAATTCCGAAAAAAGAATTCAATTTCCTTGGGGCAAAAAATGATGAGGTACAGAGAACAGACTATCCAATGGTCGGCTCATATGTGGACATTGGCATTGTCCAGGCGGAGTAATCATCGCATCCCGAAGAGTAGCTCAGAATCAGCAGGCGCTTTTTTTTAAACTGCCTACGCCAAAGGACCCTCATCGCGTCGGCCAAATTTTTGCTTATTGAGCTTTATCTCCTTGGCGTTGGAAGGGGAGGAGAGTTCCTTCTCTTTTTTTTGTTCCCGAATTGTCGTGCGAGTGGTGGTGTTGCTCCTTCTGTTTTTGTTGTGATATGATGAGATATACTTTGAGCGGAGAACGCTAAGCGGGCAAGGCTCGGCGAGGCCCTGCCAATATTGAAGAGCGTGGAAAATTGCAAGTGGAATGTGATAAAGAGATTGTGGATATCAAAGGCGAGGTTTTGGAACCAGCAATCTTTGGTTCCATAGCAAGGCGTGGATAAATTTGGACGGTATGTCGAATTTTCTGATCTTGAGATACAGGACAAAGAGTGGAATCTCTGTGCGATTGGGCAATGGATTGTAAGCTTCGGCTCATAACAATGCTTCTACTTCATATTCGATTGTTTGGTTGCTCTGACTGAGTATCTCGTCAACATTTTTCGAGGCTTTGCAAGGTGTTGTGTGGCGTGGATGGAAAGTTTGATTGTGATTGTGACGTGGAAGAAGTTGTCAGATTCTTCAACTAGTCTCTACTAACTACAATATCAAGATTCACCATTGTTATCTTCCCTTCTTATACAAAACCTTCAAATTAGCGTCAGCTTGGAAGCGGAATATCAAGGCAGATATATCTGAATGTCCCGCCATTACTTATCTGAACCCTTTTGTGTGCAATGAAAAATCCTGTGATATTTGTAGCTATACTCTAAGGTGAAACTCAGCCCTTTTTCTCTCCAATCGCTTGAGTCTCATAAGATTTAATTCTTCTCGCAAGTAGTAGCTTGCATCTCGATGTCCATCGTCATGTCATTTTTCCCAACTCTAAAATCAAGGTTTTCTTTAGACTCGATCTCCAAGTTTAGCAGAACTTAATGCTCAATTTGAACTCTAATCCGACTCATGGACATCTAGATGATCCCAAAAACAATCGCATGCCGTCACATCTAACTTTCTCCACCCAAAGTCAAACATACAAGCGAAGCGAGCATTTCAGGGGTAAACCTCCCAAAAATAATTTGCCTTCTCGCAACCCAATATCAACACCAAGATATCAACCTCAGAATAAACCCGATCAACGCCTCCAAACAAGAGATCTCCAAGCATCACGCAACCCACTTACGCATACACCTTCACGCCACACCACGTGAGCTAGCCTACGAAACGTCTCCTCCGCCTTGGCAAAGAAGATCTCACAACATCCCCGTCCTCGTTTCGTTTCCCCTTCTTTCCCTCGTATTAAAAATGATTCCCCACTCCAAACACCCTCATCACACAGACACTCACTCCCAAAAGAGGGAAAAAAACATGTTCTAGCCTCAGAAAATGCCGATTCCCGGCTGGCTCACTGAGGTGGGGTAACCATAGAGAAGATAAGACGATCCAAAACACGCCCCTAGCCACACCTGACACACCAAGCGTTGAGAACCTGCTCGAGCGCGGGTGCGCAACCCCATATTTCTTGGGCTGTCAGACTCCTCAATCGTCGCGAGTGATGCTATCGTGATACGCCAATGCGGGTGGATTCTCCGTATTCGTCCTGCTGGTTGATGGATACTTGGCGGCTGATCTATCTGGCTTAAGTATGTGGGAGGCTGCTGTGCCATTTGCTCCAACGCCGTTGCTTTCTTTGGTGAGGGTTTGGAGGATTTGATATCTATCCTTTTTCTTTTCTTTGAGATTTTTTGATTGATTGTTGCTCCTGGTGAGATTTACAATCATGTTCTTTTCTAATCTCTTAATTTTGGGGGTTGCGGCCGTTGCGACTGTGTCGGCGAGAGCTATTGGGGAAGTGAAGCGTGAGTTTGACATTTTATATGCATTCTATTACCTGATCCAATGGGGAGAAATCAAGATAGAACTCCAGAGGTGGATTTCAATTGAAGTTACGAAGCTTGTCGAACCATCCACGATTTCATTCTCTGCTTTGACCTCGAGATCTTCATCAAGATTCCTGTCCGTCTCGGCGCATTCGAGACCATTGGAAGCAGCAACAACACCTTCATCTCTACTCTCCTCCAAACCACCCAACTAACAACCCTCACAGCCAAAGATCCTTCTACCTCATCACAACCTCAATGCGCCTTCCACCCCCACAACCACCTCACCCACGAAATCTCCCAACGCCCCATCACCCCTTCTTCCTACACCAACATCCCCTCCCACGCCTGGCCACACATCTCGTCCCTCCTGCTCTCGCACTCCAGCTCTCTCACCAGCGGCCCTCCCCTCGCCAAAAACAGCGTCCAGACGCTCCGTCTCTCGTCTCTGACCAACGACGTGACGCTCGAGAGCGTCGTACTGGGCTTAGTCTTCACAGCGCCGGAAAACGAGGTCGGGAATCTGGAGTTGAGAGATCTGTCTTCGAACAAGATGGCGGAGGAACTGGTAGGTGAGATGCAGGAGGAAGGCGAGGAGAGGAAGTGTGTGCAGGATGCTGTTAGGAGGGTGGAGGGGGAGAGGCAGGTTGAGGGGGTGTTGGAGATGAGTGGGAGGGGGAAGATGGGGTTTTTGGTTTATAGGGTTGATTGATATACCTTATCTTATGAGGAAAACAATAGCAGGATTTGGACACGTTTTTGAACAGAACTGCGTTTATTGCAAAGCTCTTTCTGTCTTTCGCTGCATGAAAAGGGTTGGAAGGTGTGCATGGGTTGGCAAAATACTAGCGCAAGGAGTCTGGTGTTGGTGGCTATCCTGTTTGTTTCTTGAGGAGCAAGCAAGTACTGAAGCATATCCAAGGACATTCAATCACAAACAGTATCCTTTTACTTTCTCGAGTTCAAGTCTCTCGCCTCTCATACTCTTGATTCTTGCACGACTCTCTCTCTCTCTCTCTCTCTCTCTCTCTCTCTTCCCACACTCACCTCCAGCCAAACTTCGAGTCTAGACTAAAGCTAGTCAGTCAATTCATCTCTCCCTCAGTCAAATCTACCTTAGCCCACATCTCCATCTACCTACCTTCCCTCAACCTCTCCCAGAAATCAAGAACCACCCTCCTTGAACCATCTCCGGATCTCCAACCACCCGACAATACCTTCCCCCCTTCTCTCATTCCACATCACATCACATCACATCAAATCACATGCCATTCTTCCCCTCGTAGAAAGTCTGACTCGCATCCCATCCCTCCCTTCTTCCCTCCCTTAGCTCCCCCGAGCCGTCCCGCTCCACCACCACCACCACCACCCACTAAAATATGCATTTCTCTACCTCCACTAAGAAAAAAACACAGCAAGATCGTGATGCCTAGCTAGCTAGCCCTATGCAGCAGCAGCTACATATCCATCCCCATCACCATCCCCCATCTCTGCCCACAAGGATAGACCTTGATACCAACTCTTTCTTGCTGCCTTAGTCTTGCAGCAATTACTTACTCGGAAGGGGAATGTAGGCTAGCCAGCTAGGTACTGTTGTATCCTTGCCATCGTTTACGTTTTCCGAAAGATGGGTAGGAGAGGGACATGTGAAATTCCAATTCCAATTCCATTCCACTCCAATCCACTCCAATCCGATTAAGAGGAATACGGTCAAGTCGAGAACACAAAACACAGTCAGCTTACCCCAGTCTCTCTCCCCCTCCCCACCCATACTGATATCCAAATTTACGCGGTTCTTACTCAGATGGATGGATGGATGGCGGACGGATGTCCGTGGTATTGCATGCATATATGCATACATGCAGTGTGGGGTGGGATTGTCAGACAGATAGATATAATATGCATGTATGTATGTAGCATGTCTTCTTCTTTCTTATCTCGACTTCAAAGTTTTGCGATTGGTATTCGTTAGTGGATTCTTGCTTGATTGGTATTGGGGAAGTAAGATGTTGAATTTGATTTTAATATCCCAATACGTCAAAATCAAGCTTGTATCACAACAGTCTCTCAAAAGTCCCAGCAACATCACATCACTTCACATCACATCATCATAAAAGAGACCAAAGTTTTTTTTTTTTAAAGTCCCTGTAGACAACACAATAGCTTTTATTTCTCTCGTAAAGTCGTTCAGGTACATAAGAGAGAAACAGTGGGTGTGGAACCCACCAGCTATCCATCCATAATATTCCATGTTTCCCTTTCCTTCCATCCAAAGCAATACCAATCAAAAGAGAAAACAACACTAGTAATAAAGGAAAATCGTCATAAGGGTCATCATAATTTCAACTGAATGAAAAATAAAAAGGGCGTTCGAAAGAAGTAAAAAGTTTGTTGTGCTTTGGCCCTCTAGAATGATTCATGAAAAAAACAAACGAATGAAGGCTCACAGAACTCGTGGTGCTGTGTACCCGCTTCTTGTTCTTTTCGAGGAATCTTCATTAGGGGCCGCTGCTAGACCTGGGGTTCATAACAGGCCGTTGGATTTTTGCATGATGACATTGCCACATTTTGCATTTTTGATTTTGCAATTCCGCCCCGTCTCCTGAATGTCCTCCACCACCGCTGCTTGCATAATGTATAAATGTGTTTGGGATAGGAATGACGTCTCATTGGAATCTTTTCAATCCCGTGGTTTTTCCTTTCCTTGCAAAGCGTAAATTTCGTCAAGGCATATGCATGCATAAGTCTGATCTCAGAGGACCAAATCTTAAAAAAATCAAGTCGTTTACTCGTCGTCGTGGTTGAAAGTAGAACAAGGTGCTGAATGGTATGTTCAGCCGATACAAGAACAAGTCGTGAAAATGTGTAAGGAAATTTTGTCTTCTCAAGGAATGTGATGATGGAGATTTTGTGTATGTTCGAAGGCCGAGGCCATGCGATAGATGGCAATGCATCGGGATCCTGGTATGGTCCGAGCCAGTGAGAATGTGCAGAAGTCTGACAAAGGAATAGTGTGAGATTATCGACGTCTTTGCGGGATGACGGTTCGAGGCCGGTTCAGAGGAGCGGCTTCGTAACTTGGAGGTCCAGAGATGGATCCTTCACGGATCGTCTTCCTTCTCTTTAAGTCAACATCTGGGCCTCTGCTCGAAGGTCTTCCGTCATCATCGTCATCCCGTCCCCGCTTGTTGCTTGTCGGCGCACCATTCATCACGGGTTGCTGACTTGCGTAGCCATTTGGGATGGAGTTTCCCATGTCTGACTGTGGTGCATACACGTCCCCATTGCTGCTGCCATTCGCGGTTCCACGCTCACTGCTCATTACATTATACAGATTACTCGACGGTGGTTGGACTCGCGGAGGCGTGTTGTAGCCTTGTTGCTGCGCATAGTATGGCTGTGGCGCAGAAGCGGTTCTGGGGGTGGCTCGACCGGACGCTGGGTGATTGGGAGAACCAGTCATTTCTGGAGACAGGTGGGGATGCTCTCCAGTTATCGAGCCAACTGCTGGTCCGTTGTTGTAGCTGTAGGACCCTCGATTCGCATCGTAGTTTGAAGGATTACCATGAGTGTACTCTGCCTCGTGCTCATGATCCCCCTCGTCCTCGTGGCCATGACTGACCTGACCTTGGCTTTGCTGGTTGTGATGGATCAACCCATTAGCATCTTTTGGCTCATGATGCTCGGCTTCAGATCCTGGTACTCGTGCTGATGGGGGGCCCATTTCGTTCTTGATGTATGAGCTAGGCTGAGAATACCGTGCCATGTTTTGCTGGTCAGGTGTCGATTGTTGATAGACGGGTTGTTGCGTGGGTGGAGCAGAGTACATTTGCCGCGAGGTGTCGTAAGGTTGCGGAGGCTGTTGGTACTGCTGCATGCTTTGGATCGAGGTCCCCGGAGGGGTCGTCGCTGGAGTTGTAGGCATTGAGCGTGCGTTACTTAAACCCGTGTCTATAGACAGGGGATTTGTACCTTGAACACTCCCCATACCACTCTGTGTTCCCCACTGAAAACTTCCGTCTGAGCTGCCCATATTCCCAATCACACTGGATGCGCTGGTTGGAGGAGTAGGGAAAGTGTGTGCTCTGTCAATGCCCGGGCGTGGGACACTTGGATGAGGTGCCAGAGAATGCTGTGGGCCTGGCAAATGTCCGCCTATCGAGCTGCTCATCGAGTGATGGTGGTGTTGATGCAGTGAAGGTAGACCAGGTGCTTGGGTGTTTCGCATCTGGTTCTGCTCCTGTTTTCTGCGTTCTGCAGCGGCCATCACTGCGTTCGTCCGTGTTTGGTTTGTAGGATGATATAAAAGAGCCCCAATGTTATGAACAAATAGGGGATAAAGCAATTCCGTGATCTTCTCCTTATTTGCAAAATCCAGAGCACGTTCGAATGGAATCCTGCCCCATAATTAGCAATGTTTCGAGGTCAACCCCTCTCCTGGCTCACCAAACGCCTTTCAAATGCATAGGCCCGATTTTAACCACATGTCTCATTTTTTCACTCTTCAAAATGCCATCTCGTCGGCCTCGAGTCATTCCAGCAACGTTCAAGAGCTTGGTACCATTGATCATGTGATTGTCTATATTTTGCATGTCAGTACGTTTCAAGTTGAATGAAACATCGGTACGTACCCTCACGTCGTGCAACACAAACCCCCTTCGCCTCGACTTGGAAGCACAAACTACCTTCATCCTCCCACAAGGTCGCAGTCACTCTTGGTTTCATCCCAGGTGGAGCAATTTGTCCAGTGGTGTCAAATCCTTGCTGTGCTCCAAATCCTTGCCCTGGCATACCAGGTTGGGTAGCAGACATTGCTGGCAAAGGTAAAACATTTTGTTGTTGGCCCATTGAACCAGGAACTTGGTGACCCGCTGATTGAGGAGAGGTCAGCCCATTCGCATAGCCATACTGCTGATACGGCGCTGGCGCTGGGTTATACTGCGCAGGGCCTGGCTGCAATAACGGGGGCTGCTGATGTTGCTGAGGATAGTGTCCCATGCCGCCTGATGTGACAGTCTGCGGTGGTGGAGGCTGCCCATTTGACATATGTGAAGCATAATACATATCTTGAGGACCGTGGTTCATGTTGGAGTACGATTCTTGTTGGTTATAAGAATACGCTGGTCCGGACGGAGGAGTGTTGCTGTACGATGTCTGTGATAAGGAGACGGGAAGCCCAGTGTTGGTGGGAAGAGTCGGAGAAGGGGTCTTAGGCCCGTTGGAAGACGACGCAGTCGTGTAAGAAGAATGCGAGCTACCGTTCAAGATGGACGAAGAGCCAAGTGATCCAAGTGAACCAACCCGGGGTGACGAAGTACCAGACGAGTATGCCGGTTGCGGCGGTGGCAAAGGCAGAGAGGGCAACCTATCATTCACATACAGCGGTCTTTGATTTGCGTGATGATTGTAAAATGGCACGTCTGAAGGTCCCCGGATTTGCACCTGTGATATCGACGGGAGATCCAGCTTTTCGGTTGGGATGGTCAAGTCCGAAGCGGACAATGGATGACAGACTCAATCAAGAGCCGCTAGGAATGGACAGAGATGTGAAGGATCTCTGATCGATTGCGCAAGGTGGGTAGGTAGGTAGCTGGCGGAATGGGAAGTGGATTGGGCTGCAGAACTTGGGTCGCTGAAAGTATTATTGCGGCGCGTTTGACGAAACAATATTTTGGCATAAAAGTCCGTGAAATCGTTTTGAGAATGATGATGATCAAGAACTTGCAAATGCTTTACAACGAGCACAAATGATGGGGTCGTTTATTGATCGTGAAGGGCAGAATGATGCATAAGCCGCAGAAAGATTTCGTTAAAACTTCAAGAACTCGAACAGCAGGACGTTTGGCTCGTAGATGTCGTTAACAAGAGACTTGAGAAGAAGCCTATCAATCCAATTGAGATGCGATTGAAGCTCCACGACAGAATCGTTGGAGGTTACGCGAAGCTGCAGGTATGCTTGTGCTTAGTTATCGCTTCGAAAATATCTGATCCGTGCTTCGACATTCGAGGATGCGAAACTTTCGTGGGTGACCGTTGAGCTCGTGAGGAGGGCGACGGCGAGGAGGAGGGGTACCGGAAGAGGTGGAAGAGCTGTACGAGGTATTGGATGAAGGACGAGTGAGGAATTGAAGACGATATGCCACCTCTAATGCAGGTACAATAGTCAGCGCTGCAGCAAATGTGAGGATTCAATGGGCGGAAGGGAGCGCAAGAGAAACAAGAGGAGTGAGACTTTCAGAGCACATACCTTTTCTTCGCAATGCTAGACCTCCTACCAAGGAAAATAGAGAGGTCGGGGGAGAGAGAAAGAAGGAGGAAGGTGGATCTTTCGTAGAGGTCGGCGCGGAAGGAGGAGGAGGAGGAGGGAGAGAGGAGGAGGTTGGTTGTGGTGGTGGTGGTCGGAGTTGAGTAGTCAGTCAGGTCTGGAAAATAGAGTAGGGTAGGGTAGATAGAGAGCGACCAGTGGATGGAGGGCGTGGGATTAGACGAAAGTGCTAGGGATAGGCCAGGATATGGTGGTGGTGGTGGAGGAGGAGGATAGGCGAGACGAGGGTGCGGTGTTGGTGGTTGCGGTTGCGGTTGTGGTTGAGAAATGGAATGGTGAGTGAGTGAGTGATCTGGCGGGCGAGTTTGCTGTTGTTGCACTGGCTCTGGCTCTGGCTGTGTGGACGGCAACGATACGTGCGGTCTGATCGATATGAGAGAGAACAATAGCACGGGACGGTATGTAGGAGGTCTGTCTGTATGTATGTCTGGTCTGGTATGGTCTGGTCTGGTATGGGGGTGGTAGGCGTGGTCTTTGTTCCCTCCCTCTCTTATCCACTTGTCCTCTCTTCTCTCTCTCTCTCTCTGTCCTGTCTCTTCCTTCCTCTCTCTTTCTCCGGCTCGTGTGTTTCTGGTACTGGGGACAGGGTTGTGTTGTTGTATTGTGGGCACAGGGCAGCGCAACAGCGGAGCGTGGGTGGATTTGCGTGAGGGGCCCGGTTAGCTAGCTGGGTTGCTGGACGGAGGAAGAGGCAAGAACGTGAGTGAGTGAGCACCAGGACCGCCAGGACCAGGAGGAGGACGAGGCAGGGCAGGGCAGGATGGAAAGAAGCTCTGGGCCAGCAGCCGTAGCGAGGGGGTCGTCGGAAACAAAGCTGTGTTGTGTGCTGAGGCCGCGGTGTGTCCAGTGCAATCAGAGGCTGTGATAGTGGACCATGGGCCGGCCGTCAATGTTGAATCAGAGAATGCGCAGCCGAGAGGGAGTCGTGTAGGTAGGTAGTGTAAGGCGGCACGCAGGAGTACAATCCAGTCCAGTACGGTCGGTGGTGGTGGTGCTGTACGGTAGGGGAGGGAAGAGTACGGTACGGGAGAAGATTGCGTGAGAAAGAGAAAGGTCACTGTAGATGCTACTGTATGTAAAGAATAGACGAGCACAACAGACCAGATTAGACAGACAGAGCAAACTGTATCTCCAGCTTAAACTCAAGCTCTCGCTGACTTTTTTTTCTCTCCCCCCCTCCGTGCTTGCTGGGATGTGTGATCTGATGTGATGTCTGTTCTGTTCGGTCTGTCTGGTCTGTGTCGAGGACCGACATGTCTCGATGTTTCTGGTCTAGGCTAGCCTAGCGTACTAGGTTGACGGGCAAGGAAAGAGCGAAGAAGGAGGAGGAGGAGGCAGGGACAAGGGCATGGGATGGGATGGGATGGACTGGGTTGGGGCAAGGCAGGGCAGGGGAGAACTGAGCGTGGACTTCTTAGTGGCGGTGGCAGAAAAGACTGTACGGAGGCAAGAGTGGATCGACATGGGTAAGGGCTAGCTCGATCAAGCTGTTCGATCCCAATACCAACCAAATCCAACCAATCTCGCTCCTCCAAATATCCCCGCCCAATCCTAGTCGCCGCTTATCCCAGCCAGAGTCCCACTTCCCACCTCGCCGCGCTAAGTCGCCGCCCCCCTGCCTTCACTAGCTGGAGCGATGTGGTCAACGAAGCGCCAGCACTGGACCCACCACGAAAGGGCACGTAGAAGAGGAGAAAAGAGTGAGAGGAAGAGGAGTGCATCCCAGAGGAGGAAGGTGTCTAAGAGGGAAGAGATTGAGATGGGAGTTGACCGTCGAGAGACGACAAGAATGGATCAATCAGGGTATGAGGATTGGATAGGGAAAGGGAAAGTAGGGAAAGGGAAAGTAGGGAAAGGGAAAGTAGGGAAAGGGAAAGTAGGGGAAGAGAAGATAGGGTCGAAGGGGCGTTTCGTTTCGCTTGCTGAGAAATCCTTGGCCCTACAAAAAAATTCTCGGTGGCTGCAACTGCTGGCAAAGTATAAAGTAGTAGATGATAATGCCTGCTCGTGAATCGTGGCCGCCGCTGGACAAGACGAGACGAGACGAAGAGCCTTGAATTATTGTTGAGGGGAGAGACTTGGACCGTGGACCGCGATCATACCGTACTGTCCGTGAGGCCACTCGGCTGGCTGGTGCTGCTGATGCTTAATCGCATCTGTGTGGTCAGGAGGCTGTCTGTCTTTTGGCACGGGTACCGTCAAAGTTCAGGTACAGTACAGTGCATGCCGCCGGAAGCATCTCTACGATTGCCTTCTCAGTACCGAACATGATCAATGTGTCAAGAATCACGAGAAAAGGCTAATTGATTGCTAGATGGGAGTGATACTCGGTGTCTGTGCCAATGTCCGTGTGCGTATGAGCGAGCGCGAGAGCGTTGGCAAAAGGATGATCTGATCTGGCCCCAGGGACAGAGCTGGACTATGATCTGGGGCTAGGAGTAGGCTCCATGGTCTCGCGTCGAAGTGAGGGAGATCCCGAACCATCATGATTAATGACCTGAATAATGAGTGGCTGAGGAACCCCCCTTCGCCGCCGTGTGTTGTTGTGCTCTGCTGCTGTTGAGGCCTGTGAGCACGAGAGAGCGAGAGTTCGACCTGCAAAAAGTGGAGACTGCGAACGTGGAGTGCGCCGGCCCTTCACTTGAGAGGAAGTGGGAACGGGCACAGCGCTTCCAAACCTTCACTTTAATCCAGACTAAACCTCAACCAGCCCAAACCCGCCGACGGCCGCAGCATCAGAAGCTGGAGCCGCGTTCCGTGTAACTGTACTGTGGCGGCCGTCTGATTAGACTTGTGAATGGCCTCTCTACTTCTGTCTACCTGCTACAAATGAGCGACCCTAATCCGATTCTGGCAGTCAAGTATCCCTGGGTCCTCTATCAAAAAAATAGTCGACTTTCGAGCTAAAGAGGGCTCAAAAGAGCTAATCCACGATAAACTATCTAGACGCTGTTGCGAAGTTGCGAAGCGCCCCTAGGAAGGCTGGAAATAAGACACCCCCCCGCCGCGAGTAAGCTATTACTGTCGTGTCTTGCACTGTTTGAGCCCTGAACCACAAGCACCGCGGTTAGAACGGACATCACGGCAAGTTCTTCACGACGCCTCTTCTCTCGTTCCTGTTTGGGACTGCTTCAGCGTCAACTGCTCTTCCTCCAAACTCCCGAATAATAATAGCAACTGCAGTAAGCACCAAGGTTCGGAGAGCTGGTAACGACTCGCCACGACTGGTCCGTGGGAGGAATGAAAGAGGCGCCGACAATGAGAGGGTTCAGCTAGCGCAGATCTGAGCCAGATTCAGCATGACGCCGATGCTGAGACCATCGTGGGCCCGTCGCTCGTGGTCGGAGTCTGAATCGATGAATAATCACTGTCGAATTCATAGTGTAGCGTGAGGAGTAAATACCGTACCGTGGGCTTCACGGAACACGCGAATTGCACGTCAACAACGGAATGGTAATGTCAGAAAGCGGGCGCTTGTTCCGAGACGCTGCCATGTACTGTACTGTACTGTACTGTACTGCGCTGCACTGCAATGCGGCGCTGTATGATGCGATTGCGAATGTGGCAGCAGCAACATGTGGCGGTTGAGATGGTGCTAATGCAATCCCGCCGCTGATAGCAGATTCTCTGACCCTCGTTCGATTGAAGATTCCTGATCCTGCTGGCAGCCTCCTGCCTTGTCTGGTATTGCTCCCGTATGGTACGGTCCTGTCCTGTACTGCACGGCGTCTTCGCACAAGATGGAAATTTGGGATGCAGTTTCTCTACTTGTTGAGTAGTCCTGCGCCGCCGTTTGGATTTGCGATTAGAACGAGATGCAAAAGCAGGAGATCCCGTCTGCACGCAGCGAGCGCAGGCATGAAGCCTGGAGGGAACGCACAGAGCACAAGCCGGACAATAGGTTGGGTCAGGAATTCTCCGACTGACTTCATCCTGCCGCACTGTGCAGACTTAGCTGAGTCGCCTATGCGGGCTGGACAAAGATTTCGTTGGCATAATTCCAGACTCTGGAGTGCAGCTGCTGCACAGATTAACTTTCTGGCCAGAAGGAGAACCCTTCCACAGGCAAAGGGAGGCAAAAGTGTAGATGATGCGCAGCAGATGATGCAGTCTGGGTTAGATCGGTAAGGCCGCCTGGCAACGGGTGGGCTGGAAGCAGTATGTACGTATGTATGTGTAATGTGAGTAAAGTTGGGGAACTGCTGTCTGTTGGATCGTACTGTATGTACAATCATATCTAGATCTTTAGGAGTGACTGGGGGTGAGAGCCATCTGAGGAGACTCGGGACGCTAAATTTGTGCAGTGCTGTATGTATTCTTAGCTGGCGCGGATGTTCATCTTATCCCACCTCCTTCGACTTTCGGGAGTACAACTTTACCTCTACTTGTTTTCTACAAGGATTCGATTTTGAATGCTAATTGCGGACTTCTCAAAAAAGATCCAGGAAGCTCGGGACTCTTGACATCTTCTCTGTACCGAGTTCAGATAGCGCTGGACAACTCAGCCGAATCGTAAAGCGCGCTTGCCCGCGAGTGTATCAATTTCGAAGGGTATGTTTTGCGAATTCCTATCCCTGGACGTTCGAAGGGGGTAAATTGTGGGAGGACAGGCTTATCCGCACCCCTACAGCAACCTTGCAGGCTTCCAGACTGCAACGACAGGCTTCATGCTTCAGGCTTTGCAGGCGTGCTCAACTCCACACGGCTAGTGGGGGCTGCTCCGCTCATGGACGCAGGGCTCCGTTCACAAAGCATGGCCAGAATATGCCCGCTGCTTGAACGTTGCTGACCTTCAATGTGGTTTGATTCAGACGGTGGGATCCATTGGCGGGTACACAGTATGTGGCGGGCAGAGAAGACGGGAAGAAGTCTTGAGAATTGTGCATAGAACGTACGTGCATGGACTGGAAAACTTTCTCCATCATCCATCCCGAATTGGCCTCAACCAGCCCGCGATCCTTCCCGGGCCGCAGTTGTTTGCTGCTTTGAGGTCAGTACCGATATGTTCAGGCCAGGGTAAGGCTCAGGGTTAGGATGCTCCGTGCAAGTCAGATCGGCATTTCATACACGAACCTTTTGCAACGTCGGGTCCAGCGAGCTTGACCAATCTGAGGAAGTTTTGACGAAATCAGCGCGTCGACTTGTTCTGCTGAGGTAAGATTTCGGATCTATCGAGAGTTGACGACCTTATTCAACCCTCCGAGAGACGTGGGCTTGATTGCTTCGATTTGCGCCTTGTCTTAGGTCCGAATAGCCGTGCTTTTGAGAGCTTGTGACATCCAAAGATTGGCTTCGTCACGCCCTCGATATCGTGGACGAAGAGGACTGGCTGGGGTTGTACAGACCGAAACAAGCCATCTTGCCAGCAATAGAACCAAACAATAAACGCCCCATCTTCATTCGCTTGAACCTAAACTTCTCTCAGATGACTTTTTCCTGATCGTCTTGTCGCACAGCTTTTTCTATCAGTGCTTTGGAGCTTTATGTCACACTATCATCCCTTGTCGGTCCTGCAAGAAATAACCCTCGACGCCATCCGCATGCCACAACGCAAGGAACATAGGAGATAACCTCACACAACATGCCGTTGAAGCCTTCAAGATGACCTTCGGGCGGAACCGCGGTGAGAGTGTCTTGAGCAAACCGACCGCTTGGTTTCCGCTTTTCATTGGCTTCCGCAAAGGTATTTCGAGCCTTGTGTCTCATCTCTCTGAGGTCAAAGACTGGGTCATTAAGTCCTGACAGCCTTTGCAAGAGGCTGCACTATTGAAAGTATACTTGTACTGTAACTCGGGCCATCATTGAGGTTATTTGTCTCCGATGGTGAAAATCGTAAGGTTCAACGTTGTTGATCTCTCCATCAGGATCCCGTGATCCACATGGGTGAAGATCCTGTTAGCATGTCACTGACGCTGCTGCGGCTCGCCGAGACAACATACCGTAGTCCATGGGCCCGGATGCAATATTAAAGGACGAGCTTTGATACTCGGAAGTTCTCGACTCTTCATCCGCTCTCGCAATGAGAATGGCAGCACTCCTATCTGCTCAATCGAGATATGTTAGCCACGATTCACATTGTCTTACTGATGTTCTTTCCATTGGCAATACGTGACCCACGTATTGCTGCAAGCTCACCGCTTCAAGAACCCCTGTCAGTTGCCCTTATCCCATCCTCTTCCCACTCCCGGCAGTGGTCCCTGCAGCTTTCTCAGAGACAGATGGCCCTTGCTGTGCGCCAGAGTCACTTGCATCATGCATTCCTGCACGACGGGAGCCTGCAGGAGAGACATCACCAATCAACGGAACATCCGGCCACAAGGAAAAAACAGGGCCTCTTAGCCTGTTTCAGGCGCTTGACATCGTGAGCGGGAGTTGCCTCAGGCGAGCGGCGTCCCAAAGGATGCTGTCACTCCGCGAGAGCAAAATTGGAAGCGCATCTTCAAATGTTCTGAGAGCCCTCAGACATCGAAACAAAATAAAAGCGAGTCTGGAACAATTACACTCCTTCCTATCATCTTATCAGCACCCCTCACTGCCCGTGCCGATCAGAGTAATCCTCGCGGGCTTTTCAAGGGTATCCCCAATCACCATCAACCACGTCGTCGAGCCACTTTCCTCGTTTTGGCGTCTAGGGTGAGCTTTAGCCTGCTAGCGCTAAGAGTTTATACGCTGCAGTGACCCCACCAGAAGCACAACTAAAGCAGCAATCGATCGCAGCCTCGCAGCTTAGACCAGAAGAGCGAACCATAGTAAGCGGAGTATAGCCATGATATCCGGCGAGGTTGAGTAGGTAAGCACCGCACGAGATCAACGAATAACGGTGGCAGGCAGCGCAGCATATGTTCCCCATAAGGCGATGGGATCGGACGTTGACTCCCAGGCTTTTGTGGCGCAATCACCGAAATCATGTGCCCCATTGGTGAACGCACGACATCTTCGACTCGTCCCGTAGTGAACCACAGACGGGTCGATGGGTTGGACAAATTTCAAGCGTCAGGTCATCTCATCCAGTGCCCTCAGAAAACCGAGTCCATGACCAAGTTGCTGATGACCAGAAAGTTACAGACCACGCGAACTCAATCTCCTCCGTCCAGTATCACGGGCGTTGTCCCAGTTCTCGGAGGTGGATTGTTTCGATGTTGTAGATGGCGTCGACTTCCAGTTAGCGTCGTCTACACCGCCTTTTCCATCTACTTTCCCACTCGAAAGGACGTCCCCCATGTGCTGATTTCCGATTTGCAACCTTTCCTTAACCCAGCTCTAAAGTAAGCTAATTGCATGGAATAAACTCTCTCTTGTCTGCTATGAGTGAATGTTACTCATTCATCGAGTGTCCAATTCGGATCATGGTCCTTCAAGTTCATCAGGATTGGAAACCTGGTCGACAAGGGATGTGGAGCTAGGAAGTGAATGCAGGGAAGGGAGTCTTCGAAATTCGGAGGATCTCTAAAGCGTCCGACACAGACATCTTGAAGTCTTCCTCAAAGCCAGTGTTACCACCCTCTTCAAGGTCAGTTCGGCGTATAGCCTCAAGCATCGCCCTTCCCCATACTGCAGGGCACAGAAGAGAAGGTGCTCGATTCCGATCCCCTTAAGTTTTCCGCTGAGAGTGGGGTTCCTGATGGGCAGCAGAACGGATACTCCCGTATTCGGAGGGCAACTTTGACCAGTCCTCATTCTCGTGATCGTCACATGGGCTCACTCAAACTCTAGACCCCTCGCCAAATAGTGTAACCCTCGTGTCCCAGAATCAACTGAGATTTATATTGCTCTGCATGAGTGGCGACAATTGTTCGCCATTGTCTGTACAACAAGCATAGAGGCTCAATTCGAGAGGCTGGATTTCAGATGTGATTGTTTCCTGCTCATGGATGGCTCGGGACGTTGAGTGGGTGAGACGAAGGCTGCGTGCGCCACGTTGCAGCAAATAGACCGGCCTGGCTGGTGAATTGCATCAGCTCTTCACGCACGACATACGTGCATTAAGACTGCCTCGACAGAAGATCTTACAACGTGCCGAAGCGAGGCGGCGAAGCGGCGAGGCGGTTTCGTGCATGTAATTACACTCATTGTTCTTTGCAATGATCGTCGTTCCAAGTAGATTTGTACCCAGCATCCGGAGCTTTTCTGCTGCTGTGAGCTGAAGGAAGCGGCGGCTATATGAATCGGATGATGTCGTGAGAAACGTAAAAGTCTGGGTGGCAGGACGAAAGAAAGCCTAGCCAGAGCGATCCTTTGTGTAGGAGGAGCAGCCCCCATCTCAAATTTAGGCTATTCATCATATTTGTGTGTGGGTGGATGGAGGATGACCAAGTCTGAGCGGATGTTGTGACACCATCCTCAAAGAAAGAGAAATGGTAGATTCGCGGAGCTGAGGAAGAGAACTCCCAAGTTTGAAATGAAGCCTTGTCACGTGAAAGCGTGTCCATTGCGTAATTGCATTGATTTAGCGTTGCCCTGTCACTAGGGAATATGTCGCACTCAACAAGTGTGGTCGATTCGACACTTGGATCTCCTCATTAAAGAATAAGATTGAGACAAGAAACAAACCGAATGTCTTGTGCTTTTATCAATCTCGACGGCTACCAAAGGGAACTGTTCAGTTAGGACGCTCTATCAAGGAGGCAAAATGCCCACGCAAGACCCCACCATTCCTCCAGCTGCAAAGCCTACTAAAACGCACTTTGATGCTTGGAATTCCTCTTCAACCGGTCATCAAAGAGCTGAGAACCGCCTTGGAGGTTCGACAGGATGGAGACTCTCTCGAACAACGAAACTAGGGTATCAATTCAAATCGCAAGGGACTGGTGGCAAAAGGATATTAGATAAAGTTGGCGCAGGCTCCGAAGACTGGGACGATAAAGCAAAAGCATTGATACCTAAACATGTCAGAGAAAGGGCAAAAGTGAGCGTCGAAGATATGGTAGCTGGAAAGAGCGCAATGTCCGGATCACAATCGACAATCTCAGAGTCGAGAAGGCTGCCTTTGACCGAAGAGGAAAAGGTGATGGCGCAGAGGAGACTGGAAGACGAGGAAAGAGAACGCGAGAAAGCCAGTACATCCAAAGGAATGTTCGACGGGCTTGCGGTATATATAAACGGCAGTACTTATCCGTTGATATCAGATCATCGTCTGAAGCAACTTCTTGCGGAAAACGGTGCCAGACTGTCTATCAGTTTGGGGAGACGTCAAGTTACTCATGTCATTCTGGGTAAACCATCAGCAGGCCAAGGAGTTGGAGCTGGAGGAGGTCTGGCTGGAGGAAAACTCGAGAAAGAGATTCGAAGGGTCGGTGGTTGCGGTGTAAGATACGTTGGGGCTGAATGGTAAGTTGTCTTCTCTCTGCTCGGACAATGATACTAATTCTTATCTTAGGGTGCTCGAAAGTATCAAGGCCGGCAAAAGGCTTCCTGAAACACAATTTTCGAACCTTAAGGTGGCTGCCAAAGGACAACAGAGTGTCTATGGCATGTTTAAAAAATCAAACAGTACAGCTTCTTCAGAAGCTGGATTCCCTTAAGCAGATCACGATACATGGTCGAGTTTTGTCATGAGCTTCGGTGTCTCATTGCCACGTTTTTCGTTCTGTCAAATACTGCATGAATTGGGGTTCAGCCTGACGGATGGCTGCTGGTTTGGGGGTCTGGTCTGGGACATTGGTGCATTGGGAGCGTGGAGCATGGCTAGGTGCATTGCATATGATTTAACGCAGCGTTGTCATTCTAGAAAGGTCTCAGAGACATCTTAATTGAAAAGGAACTCGTTTCCTGTCATGCACAGTCCAAATCCGAGAATTGTTTTGATATTGCCTATTTTGATAATCCTTGTCTTTTTAGCGCGAACAAATGTAAACATCCTCGACCTCAGAAGTCAATAGTACTTCCACCACCGACCACAGTCACCAACCTTTCAAAGAACACACAACTGTCGCATAAACTATGATAAGAGGGGTTTGGGATCAGGTATCTTCAACAATCGGAATGGGTTCCCCTCTATCAGAAACAGGACCAGCAATGCTCAATTCCGCGACTCCCACGAAAACCATCCACAACGAGTACGAAGTCACCATGCAGTCTTCGACGACGGACTCCGATAGCGATGGACCACCTAGCTCCCCTTTTGTCGCCAACGTCTCAGATGTCGTTGCAGATTGCGAAAACATCTCTCCAAGCAAGCTTTCACGTCTTGCATCGAAGAGTCCTATCGATCGCGAGCAAACGTCCCCATTGAAAATGCTGAAGAGCCGCGCTTCACCAAGTTCGAAGTCCCAATCGCCATCGTCCCGGAAAGATTCGAAACCTTTGCGAAGCCCACGCAAGATGTCATCCCCAGAAAAAAGATTTCCTGTGAAGCCCTCTTCACCTGTCAAGCAAGCCTCGCCAGAGAAGAAGCCAGCCGTTACGGAGCGGACTATGACAATCGAAGATGTTCTGCGCGATAATGAAGGCCTTACCAAAGCTATTGAGATTTTGGAAGACGAGGACAGCGAGATAGACCACACTTCGGACGATACTTTGACGAGTATGGGTGGTGTTCCCAGACACCAGGAACACTATAACGAGGAACAAAACATGGATGATACGATGGTTAGCACTTTCAGCACCTTCTCTGCTGTGCCGGACATGACCATGTTTGCCAAAATTGGACACAGCCCGACGAAACATGCTGTAATGGGATCCACTCCACGACGAACTCAGATCAATACTCCCGCAACTCTCAGACGACCCATGCAAGACCGATCCCCTTCACCGACTCCCCGAGGGCATAGGTATGGCAAGAGTAGAGATGAAGGGAACACCACGAACTTGATTCTAGATTTCACAGACCAGTTCAATGGATTCGCTGGACGAGCTCAATATTCTCCCAGGAGACAATCACCTCTGAAGAGCACAACCATGCCAGACATGTCGTTCGCAACGACACCCACAGTCAATAGGCACAACATCTCCAACTTACTTGACTTCGATATTCCTCCCGCCCCAACACCAAGAAGTATGCCATCCATCACACCAAGAGAGCTTGAAAGCTTGAAATCTGCTTTCCTGTCGGAAATTAGTAGCCTCAAAGCTTCACTAAGCGGCAAGGAAGCCGAAGTACAATCTCTCAAGACTGCCGTTGGAGATGCAGAAAAGCGCGTTGGCGAAAGTCTAGAGCAGGTCCGAGAAGAACGCAGCTTGAAGGAGCAATTGGCAGCTGATAAGGAGGACTGGGAGAAACGGAGTCGTGAGATGGAAGCTGTGCTTAGAAATGTGAAAGAAGAGATCGTTCATGGTGAAAGAGAAAGGAATGAACTTGAAGGAAGATTAGAAGAAAGTGAGAGAAGACGGGATGCAGCGGAGATGATGGCTCAAGAGGCTGAAAGCAAAATGGCTGCAATGAGAGCAGGAAAGTCGTCGCCGACTTCAGAGACCAGCGAGACGAAATCCGGAGACTGCGAGTGTGGCGGTAGAGCTGTTGAGCTTGCTGTCGAGAAAGTCTCCAGAGAGCTTCATACTCTCTACAAAGATAAACATGAGACGAAAGTCTCTGCTCTGAAGAAGAGTTATGAGAAGCGTTGGGAGAAGAAGGTCAAGGAACTGGAGAACAAAATTGAAGATCTGACGAAAGAGAATGAGGATATCAAGCTCGGACGAGATACAACAATGACAAAAGTCGAGCCAAAGAATCCTCTGGAAGTGACAGAGGACCTCGAGAAGCAAGCCGCCAGAGATGCCAAGACGAAAGAGATGGAGGCCGAACTGGAGGGTCTCTCACAAGTCGTCAGAAGCGTGAAGCACGACAATTCCGAGCTCCGGAAGATGTTGGACGAAGAAAGAGTTGAGAAGGGCAAATTGGTCGCTGCCTTGGACGAGATGATCCCTTTGGTTGCCGCTTGTGACGAGATGCTCTCCAATCAGATGGAAAACTCAGCACCGTTTCAATCAGCACAGAGCATCCCTCAAGCTCCAAGTCATTCGAACGTCGAGAATCTTCGTGGCAGCATCTCGCGAGCCTCTGGTCTTAGAGCGCCGGGCAGCGGGGCTCAGGGTGAAAGCCGCATTGGTAGAGGAGGGTTTGGTGTCCCGGCAGGAAATGGCCCTGAGAGGACTAGGAGTGGTAGTGCTCAAGGTATGAGACCGGGGAGTGGGCTGGGGTACAGAAGCGGGATAATGGCTTCTATTGAGAAGATGGGCAATCAGAAAGGAAGAGGGGGCGAGTGAATGTTCTGATGGCTCGGGCAGAAATTGTGCTTTGATGGTGGAGGTTTTGGTGTCTTGATTTTGTTCTGAAGGCGTCGTTTGGGTGACTCTGTTATGATCAACTTGTCAATAAAGTTTTTATGCCCTTGAGTTTACGGTGAAAGTCCGAAACTTTTTGAGAACCAGTGGGATCGAATTGTATGGATTGTGTCAATGTTCCTTGTGCCTTGCAACCATTTCCTTGAAACTGACCACTGAAATGTCTGGGGACATTAGGAGATTGGGCTACGAGTCGGACACTCAGACGTATACAATATTTATACTTCTTCCGAACTTTCAGTGTGTACATGTCCGAAGATCAGTTAGGGTCTTTGGCGTCTGCCTTGTGCTCTTTGTTCGAATCTTTGCTGACGACGCTCTGTGTCTTGTCTAGCCAGTCGACCCTCTTCCTCTTCCTCTTCTCGCAAATCCATTGTTTGGACTTGATTTGCTGAACGCTCTTTGACGTTGTGCGGTTTGGGAAAGGGAAAGTCGGTCTTAAATAGACTTGAGTGGTTTCAAGAAGCACTTCTTCGGTGGTTGGTTCGAGGATTCGGGTCCAAGCTGTCTCTTGTGTCGGAGGAGGGCTGGAAGGAAGAGCTTTGTGATGGCCCGGCTGCAGGATCTCAACATTTTTGGAGGCAGAATGTCCCAAAGTGGCATAATGATTTGCCTCCTCCTTTGAAAGGTGTCGACTGCGTTTTAAGGCAAAGTTCAAATAACTACAATGCCTCTTCTGGGTAGATGTACGGCTTTTGTGCGATCTGAGCTTCAGCGAACTTTGCTAGTAGTCGGGCAGGCAGTGTTACTGAGCGCATTAGTACTTAGGATGAAGGTTAGACAATCAACTGTAGTTGAAATATTCAACGGCAATAGGACATTTGTATACCAAGCATTGTATCATGTATGTGCTTTAGTCTACCAAGAGTCCACACAAATGTACTATGAAAGCTATTTTCATTCCAGATCAAACCACCTCATCTTCCCACCTCAATAAATAGTACAAATAATCTTCCCCTTAGTAGTATTCTTCTCCATCAACTTATGAGCCTCCACCACCTCCTCCCACGGCAACACCTTATCCACAAAAATCTTAAACGTCCCATCCTCAAACTGAGGCAAGTATTCCTCAAGCTTATCCCTCAACCGACCCTGATACTCGGCATCCCGACTCCTCAAACTACTTCCCTCAATCCTCAACCTCTTCCTCACGAAACTCCCAATATCCACATTCGACACCTTCGTCCCGCTCAAGGCCCCCAAATTCACAATCCTCCCATCCACGGCTGCCACATCCAGATTCCCTTGGAAATAACTCGCGCCCACGAAATCAATCACGACATCAACTCCGTTGCCTCCTGTGGCCTTCAAAATCTCCTTTGACCAATCTTGCGTTTTGTAGTTAAAGCCAGCTGTAGCACCGAGTTCCTGGACGCAGAAATCGATCTTGTCTTGTGAGCCGGCCGTAACGTATATCGCGCTCGCTCCCCCGACTTTAGAGAGCTGGATCCCGGCGATGGAGACGGAAGATGCGCCGGCGTGCCAGAGGATCGATTTTCCCTTGGCAAATTCGCCGACCAGGTACATGGCTTGGGTGGCTGTTATCCATGTCTAAATTTGCCACATCAGCGAGGACTTACACAAATGGAGAAGAGAGCATAGGACGTACTTCTGGCACTCCCGCGGCTTCTTTCCAAGATAAGTGAGAAGGTTTATGTAACAACATATGTGTATTAGCAGCAATGTACTCAGCGTACGCTCCGCCGTATGCTAAGCCAAATACTTCATCACCAGCTTTGAAGCCGTCTTTACAACCTTCTCCTAGGGTTTCAATGTGGCCGCTGAACTCAACGCCCAGGATGGGTCCTGCTTGCGGAGGGACGGGGTAGTGGCCTTCGCGTTGGAGGAGGTCCATGCGGTTTAGTCCGAAAGCTTTGATTTTGACAATTGCTTCGCCAGAGGAGGGGGTGGGTTTGGGGATTGTGTTTATGTAAAGGGAATCGGCTGGGCCGGTGCCGTTTTTAATGTCTAGTGGTGTTAGAGAGTGGGATTGAGGGGATTGTTGGTGTTTGTACCGACTGCACGCATTTTTTCAGCCATGATTGCTGGTTGAAGGAGGGAGATTGAGATTGCGGTAGAGAGGATTTGGTTGAAGAAGAAGGTCGGACAATGGAACTTAAATACTTGAGATACAGTAGCGGGGCAGCAAGTAGAGCTGCTACGGAAACTACGGAAAGAAGGCTCGAAGAAAGTAAACTCCTGCCGGATTTGGGAAGTCTCAGTAGTAAAAAAAAAAGTCAATTGGATTCAAGGAGTATGGAATGATTTGAAATTGGCTCTCGTGTCACGCTCAGTTTCAAAGAAGATTCTTCTGAAAATGTCGAGCTCGAGGAGGGGCATTTTAATGACATCAGCGGGGAAATCGGCCGCTCGCTTACAAAGGAATATTGATTTTCAGGGGCAAGCAGAACGGGAACGGGAGCTCGTCGCCGTTGAGGTGACAGATTTCTTGTATATCTCGTTTTATGGTGGAGAAGGATGTAGTCAGACTGTTTGGATACTAATCACATTGATACTCTTACTTTGCTGATGCGTTCCTAGGTAAGCAAGAAATGACACAGCAAGAAGTTACAGTCCACGTGGATCATCTCCATCGAGACAAGCAAAAACTCAGACCTAACCACCGAAGTGGGTAGGTCATAGAAAACTTGCTCGGTTGCAGTTTTTAAAGTGGCGATTCGTTCGTTCGTATGCGGGCCAGGCGATTTTATCCCTATTCCTTCTCTTAGCATCACAATTGTCCTGAAATGGCTACCTAACCACTATGCCATGTGAGCTTATAGCATGAAAGTGGTTGTTTAAGGTTATAAGATGGGTAGGCGTTGATAGGTACTTGGGTGAGGGACGAGGGCTAGGCGAAGAGAGAGCCGATGTGTGTTTAGCATAGTCCCACAAGCAATCGTACAAGAAAACTTTCTTGGTTGAAGACATGTTGCATTGATCTAGATCAGGGCTGATTTATTGCCAAAGCCACCAGCCTTTTCCGATAATCCGCAACGCCCGCAAATGCACCTGCAAAAAGACAACCCTCTACATTTGTCCTTGGGCTTTAGCCTGTCTCTCAACCTCGTATGTAAAATCAAAGTAAGCCTTGTCAAACTGGTGTACTCGAACATATCCATCCTCTCCTCCACTGGCATAGCCCTTTCCAGTTGGGTCTACAGCAACGGTGTCTAAAAGCAAATATTAGTTGGATCCTTTAGCATATTTCGTGGAAGCACTCACTCAGAGGACCAAAGTGACCTCTAACTCTACCAATCTCCTCCTCAAAGATCTTGTGGTAGAATCTGGCTTCGAACTTTCCTTGTCGAGTGCTGGTAGTTGTCACATCCATAGCCGCTTGCCCACCACCAAGAATCACAAAGTCCTTCTTTGGAGTGATGGAGGCGCTGTTCAAGGGGGTATCGGCAACGTATGTCTTCATGACTTCGAGGTCCCGAGCATTTACCAGCTGTAAATCGTTAGCCAACAGATCCTTACAGTATCCTATGCAGAACTTACCTTCGCAGTCTTGTCCTTTCCAGCCGTGATGAAGTATGTACGGTCAGAAGACCACTGCAAATCTGTGATGACAGTATCGACCTCATGTACCTGAGTATTATCAAGTTGTTCTCCAGTCTTCGCGTCGTACTGCGATATTGTACCGTCCTCATGGCCTGCAATGATGTATTTTGACATGTAGCTCCATCCAGCGACAGTAGCTTTGGCATCCTCACAAGTAATCGTCATGGCCTTCTCATCGGATTGCTCTGCCTCTACATCCAAGTTGATGTCCAGAACAACAATCGTGCCCAAGAAACCCATTCGCTTTTCGGTGACAGCCAACAGTTGTGTTCCATCCTCGTTGAACTCGACTCTCTTCACGGCGGTATTGAAATCCCAAACCTTCAAGCATTTTCCAGATCTGATATCCCATAACCGGACAGTGTTATCTGCAGCGCCGCTCGCGATTATCGTGCTGGTAGGATCGACGTCGACCGTCCAGAGCGCACCTTGGTGGCCATGGTATGTGCCGAGTCGTTCTCCGTTGTGTGCGAACCATGCGCAGATGTGTTGATCTTTCGCAGTCGAGAAGATAATATCGCCATCTCTATTGTATCTACATGGCAGTTAGTACAGAGTATTTGTGCTGCATCATGTCGAGCATGCGTACTTGATTTGGGTCAGAGCCCGCTCCTGTGGTGGGGTAGTCAGAAATCTGCTTGCTCTGAGTCTGGGGAGAGTTCCTCACATGTCCTTGGAGTAAAGTTGGTCTCATCGTGACGTCTCAAAATTCCTTGAAATTATGAGATCGTTTTAATGCAAGAGAGAGGGGTTGTGGTGGCTTTATATCAAAAGTTCGCCTTGCCTTGTCTCTGATCTCAAAATTCCGTGGTGCGCAGCGATGTCGCGGGCAGCCAATCAGAGTGCTTGCCTATTTTCCTGGGATGCCGTCACGCTAGAAAAATGACTGTAATAGAGCATATACTATGGGCCCCAGCACTGCGAATTTGACTCATAGGACAATTCCTCTCTTTAACGGCCATACAGCATCAGGACATCTAACCTTAGTCCTTCCTTTTGTTTAAGTTTGTAGTGGCACAGTCATTCGATTGGGAGTCATCCACTTGGTCCTTCTGTTTTGGGAGCGAAGCCAATTTTTTTTGTACCCATGTTCAGGCGGCTGCTGTCCTCCCTCCACATGCAATCACATTGGAGTCAAGCTTCGTTGTCCGCATCAAAGGGAAGAAGATATCTACCTCGGTCACTCTCCAACAGGACTACCACTACCCTAAGGTCAATTCATTATAACTGTCCAGTTGGAAGAGCTGCCAGGAACCGTCTAGCCCAACGATCGCGGGGTCCTCGAATTTTGTGCCGATCCTCCAATCTCACTCATCTGAATTTGAACCCCACCTGTGCGACTTCTTCACTCTTTCTTCTCGCGCCGCACACTTCTCAACAAAGGTCATTCTCCAGCACTCCTGCTGCCATGACTGCCACCAAGATTGATGGCACTGCCATTGCAAAGAAGATCCGCGAGAAGATCCACACCGACATTGAGAATGCTCACAAAGTCAATCCGAGATTCAAGCCCTCCCTCAAGATCATCCAAGGTATTCCGTTTGCCCACCTAGTGGTAGCACAGTGCTTACTCTTTCTTTACAGTGGGCGATCGGTCAGACTCAAGTATGTAATGGGATCCAAGGTGGAAGGGGGGCATATGCTGAAAATTTATAGCTACTTATGTTCGCATGAAGTTGAAAGCTGCAGAAGAGGTTTGTCGCAGCTTACAGCTCTGGTACTCTTCATGCTGACCATGTCAATATAGGCCGCCATTGACTGCGAACTCCTGCAATTCCCCGAGTCTGTCACCGAGACTGAGCTCCTCGAGGAGATCACTCGTCTCAATTATGATACAACTGTACACGGAATTTTAGTCCAACTCCCAGTACCGAAGCACATCTCAGAGTATGAAATTACATCGGCAGTCGCAGATGAGAAAGATGTTGATGGCTTTGGTGCTATGAACATTGGAGAGCTTGCGAAACGAGGAGGTCGCCCTCTCTTCACACCTTGCACACCGAAAGGTGTGATGGTCCTGCTGGAAGAGAGCGGTGTAGATCTCAAGGGCAAGAATGCCGTGGTACTTGGGCGCAGTGATATTGTTGGGAGCCCAGCTAGTTTTCTGCTGAAAAACGCAGATGCTACTGTCACCGTCTGCCATTCACGGACGAAGAATCTGGAAGAGCATATCAAGAATGCGGATGTCCTCGTTGCTGCTATAGGAAAAGCCAACTTTGTCAAGGGCGAGTGGCTGAAGCCTGGAGCTGTTATCATCGATGTCGGCACAAACTTCGTTCCCGATGACACCAAGAAATCTGGTCAGAGACTTGTTGGCGATGTTGATTTCGCGTCCGCATCCGAAGTCGCTTCCCAAATTACCCCTGTACCAGGTGGAGTTGGTCCAATGACTATTGCTATGCTCTTGCAGAACGTTGTCGACTCAGCTACTATGTACTTCGAGCGACAGAAGGCCAGGACCATCAAGCCCCTGCCTCTTAAGCTGAAGGAGCCCGTACCCTCAGATATTGCGATCTCTCGCGCTCAGCACCCTAAGCAAATCACCCGTATCGCTCAAGAGATCGGTATTGCTGGCCATGAACTTGAGCCATATGGTGCTTACAAGGCCAAGGTGGATCTAAGCATCCTCAAACGTCTGGAGCATCGCCGTAATGGTCGATACGTTGTTGTCACCGGTATTACTCCCACGCCACTTGGAGAGGGAAAGTCCACCACTACAATGGGTATATCTCAAGCCATTGGAGCTCATCTGAACAGAATTGCTTTCGCAAACGTTCGCCAGCCGAGTCAAGGACCGACCTTTGGTATCAAGGGAGGAGCGGCCGGAGGAGGATACTCACAGGTTATTCCTATGGATGAGTTCAATCTCCATCTCACTGGTGATATTCATGCCATTTCTGCAGCCAACAACCTCTTAGCTGCCGCCATTGAGACAAGAATGTTTCATGAAAACACGCAAAAGGACGGGGCCCTATATAAACGACTTGTTCCTGTGAAGAAGGGCAAGCGAGAATTCCAACCTATTATGTTCCACCGACTGAAGAAGCTTGGCATCACCAAGACCGATCCCAACGAGCTTACAGAGGATGAGATCCACCGTTTCGCACGATTGGATATTGATCCGGAGACCATCACATGGAGACGTGTTTTGGATGTCAATGATCGCCATCTTCGAGGTATCACAGTTGGCACAGCTGCTACAGAAAGAGGACAGACTCGAGAGACGGGTTTCGATATCTCAGTTGCCAGTGAGTGTATGGCTATCCTTGCTCTCAGCAGCGACCTCAATGATATGAGAGAGCGACTGGGTAGAATGGTCATCGGCTCTTCCAGAAATGGTGATCCGGTTACTTGCGACGATATTGGAGCAGGTGGTGCTCTCACTGCTTTGATGAAGGATGCAATTAAGCCCAATCTCATGCAAACATTGGAAGGCACGCCCGTTTTCGTCCACGCTGGACCTTTTGCTAATATCAGCATTGGAGCTAGCTCGGTGCTCGCTGACAAGCTTGCATTGAAGCTTGCTGGTACTGAAGCAGATGAAGATCACGAAGCAAAGGCTGGCTTTGTTATCACCGAAGCTGGTTTCGACTTTACCATGGGAGGAGAGCGTTTCTTCAACATCAAGTGCCGTTCATCTGGCCTTGTCCCTGATGTCGTTGTCATTGTAGCAACAGTCCGAGCTCTGAAGGTTCACGGCGGTGGACCGCCAATTGCTCCTGGTGCAGCTCTTGACAAAGTATATCGTGAAGAGAACGTCGAGATTCTTCGGAAGGGCTGCGTTAACCTGAGGAAGCATATCTCAAATGCCAAGACGTTCGGTGTTCCTGTGGTTGTAGCTATCAACAAGTTCGAGACGGATACTGCTGCAGAGATCGAAGTTATCCGCGAAGAGGCCATCGCCGCTGGTGCTGAAGACGCCATTCCAGCCAACCACTGGGCGGAAGGTGGAAAGGGCGCAGTTGACCTCGCTAAGGGTGTAATTGCTGCCAGCGAGAAGGAGAAAGACTTCAAGCTCCTTTACAGCCTTGATGGCGATGTGCAAACACGAATTGAAGCCATCGGCAAGCAGATGTATGGAGCAGAGAAAGTTGAGTTCAGCGAGATTGCTCAGAAGAAAGTGGATACATACACGAAGCAAGGCTTTGGTAACCTGCCGATCTGCGTCGCCAAGACACAATATTCGTTGTCCCACGATCCTGATCTCAAGGGAGCACCAACTGGGTTCACTGTTCCTATCAGAGATGTTCGATTAGCTGCTGGAGCAGGATACCTGTAGGTCATGTTTTTCACTTTATCAAAGCAAGTCACTAATGTTCTTCTAGCTATGCATTGGCCGCCGACATCCAAACAATCCCAGGTTTGCCAACAGCTCCAGGATATCTCAATGTCGATGTCGACACCGAAACCGGCGAAATTGATGGCCTCTTCTAGACTCTCAAACACTCACGACTTTGTCGATTTCGTGTCTTTACTAGAGCTTTATATACTGATTTCTTTCTTCTATTTTCAACAGCATGGCGGGGGTGGGGCGCACATTCAACGTGCAGCATGGCATCTTTCAACAACGGCGTTGCGAATGACTGGAAAGAGTCAAAAGTCTAGAGAGATATCCTCCCTGATCAACCCAGGGTATACGAAATAATGCAATGATATATAAGATAGATGCAGTACTATCATCAAGATAGTGATTTATGGTCAGTCGCTATGTCCGTGGCGGATTCAAGTGAAACAAATGTCTAAATGTCAGACCTGAAGTCAGCGAAACACAAGATGCAAATGTCCCACTCAAGATAAACGTCTGACCGGTACCTGAATGTCCAAGATTCACATCCGCACAAATATCTCAATCGGGGACGGACATCCAACCATCACCGTATCACCGGGCCCTCAATCTATCAATCACCTCGCCCCCTCACGAACACGAGGCACCTTCTAGATCAAGAACATGTCTCACAAGCGGGGGTCTCGGTGTGGGGTGCGTCAAAGGTCGTGTCTTACACTACGTGTTCTCGTCATGTGGTCCATCGAAGATTTTTCTTCCCGTTCACCCATCCTCGTGATAGTCAGCCCTCACTCTTTTTAAACGCTCATGTTTCGGTCGTGGGGGAGGAGGTGGATTTTTTCCTTTGTGAGCAGGTGGGTTGGTGTTTTGTGTTACAGTACTGTACGGTGAGTGAGGGGATATATTTGATGTTCGTTGCTGCGCTTCTTTTTTTGCCATTCATTCATTGATTTAGTATTCGACTCATCATCGTCATCATGTTCGCACATCCACCGCCCAGCGCCTCAGCAACGACGTTCGCCAATGTGCAAGTCATCAGCGTTGATGGGGCCGGTGAAGCTACGCTCGGGTTCCTGTACAAAGACATGACGGTCGATCGATTGAAGCGTGCTATCGTATCGGTTCTCAGACGGCCGGCGTATATATGGGAGGATATGAATCTGTATCATCTTGGCGTCGTGATGAAGAATGGTATTTTCCCCCAATATTGAAGCATGGGAATCGTGAATTGATGGGTTGTGCCCTAGATCAGACTTTGGGACGGTGTGGGTTGTTTGATGTAAGTCTATCTCATCATCATAAATGAGTTTGGGGCGGTGATTGATGATGGGATTTAGGGAGCGGTAATCCGGTATTCATTCGAGAGTCAAAGATTCGACAGAAGTCGACAGGCGTCAACGGCTTCTTTTTCCAACGAGCTGTGGAGTTTCGATTCTTGTGGCGATGTCCCGTTCTATGAGGAGGAGTTGAGGACCATCCTAGCGCTGGATACGGAGCAGAGTCGCACGTTGCTGGGGATGCCGAATGCGAAGATGTTTGTGGAGAATGTGTTGCTTGAGCGAGGGCTAATTTCGAGTCGATGATGAGATTTTCTTGTTGTACGAGATTGATTGATTGATTGATGGGTGACGATGTTCTGAGGAGTTTTCGGTTGTTTGTTAGTACGGGGTATATGGGATATGCTATGGTTGGGGGTGTTCAAGCTGGGAAAAGTTGGCAGCAGCATAAGTGTGCGAAATTAGGTGATATCATTTCCCTCGAGCTTGAAATATGTAGCTCGAGTTCCTGAGATACAAAAGCATCGAGAAAGATCTCTATCCAGACAAAATGTTGTTCTATGAATAGATAGATCCTGTCACATGTGAAACCAATCCCCGCCACACGAAGACCGAGTACGCCAATCCCACTCACATTCCTGCCTCCACCACTCGATAACAGACAAGCAAGCCACACCTCATCAATCAGAATCCAGCAAACAGACCGACGACAGCTCCAACGAGGCCTATCCAGGTATCGCTAAATTCGTGGTTCCTCACATCTGAAGAAAAGTGTTCGCCTCGCTGAAAGGAAGGATATGAAACAGCCAAGTATCCGATGACGTGGGGTGGAACAACAAGGAACACAAACACAACCCACAAAGACGGCCTTTCACTTTTCTTGCTTTTTTCCGTCCTGTTCCTCGGAATAAAGGGTTCTGAGACATGAGCACACCGCCTAGACGGACGACGACGACCAGCAGCTGATGGACGGCAATCGTTTCTTCAGCAAGCAACGTGATATATCGGATTCTTACGAACGTCTAATAAGTGAGGAGCCAAGCATTGAATCGCGATTGGTCACTACGAGTTTCAGGATCTTTTGGTCACGATTTTATCAGGAGCTTTCTCGCGATCGTGAGAAGGACAGGTCGTGAGCACTTCTGAACAGATGGGCATGGAACGTCCGTTTGCGGCGAATCTTAGCTCTGTGAATGAGTTCCTGATGAGACACGATATTAATCTCGATTCGTTGTGGGAGATGGTTCTAGAGCTTAATTCTAGGACCGCGGTCCTGTTGAAGAGGATTGAGGCGACGAGGAATGTACAGCTGCAGAATGGGGTTATGTGGATGAGTATCGGAATGCTCTTGAGCTTCTGTACTTTGATTGGGGTCGGGAGGGGCTTGGTGTATCTGTTCAATCGACAGGCAAGTGGGACGACACAGTATGGGAAGATGTTGGACGGTGAAGTCATGATGAATGGGAATGGAGCTGGAAAGGAACCGGATGTTGAACATAATGTCACGGTCAATGGGAATGGGACCGCAAAGAAGGAGATTTACAGCAAGGACGACCATGAGATTCTGGCCATGAAACAAGAGCTGAATGCAGCAAGAGAAGAGATCGGAAGGTTGATGCTTTTCAGAGACGAAGCAGATGGACTGAGGTCTAGACTTGACCTGTTGAGTGACGGAGCCAAAGATCATGAGATGGAGCAAGAACGCTTCACAGCTTTGGAGCAAGACCTTGCAGCTGCGAGATCTGAGTGTGAGACGCTGAAAGAAGCTCTCAGGACGAAGGAAACTGAGAACAGCAAGTTTCAACTATTTGGAACTGAGGCAGACGAGCTTCGCTCACACCTGGAATTGTACAAAGACCAAGCTGCTTCCAAAGACACAGAGCTCGAAACCCTAAGGACCGAAAAGGCCGCAGTCGAGAAAGATCTCGAGACAGCATACAAAGAGTTCGAAACCGTCACCCAACGCGCCGCCGAGTCTTGCGAGATCGAGGAGAAGCTTCGAGTCGAGAACGCGGAGCTCACCAAGAAACTAGAAGCACTGAAAGAAGAGCATGAACGCGATTCAAAAGCGCTGAAGGATACTCATGAGAACGACTTGGCTAAGCAACAGTTGGTTCATGAACAGGAGAAGCAGCATCTGAAGGATGAGTACGAAGGGAAGGTGAAGGAGGCAAAGGCAGGAACGAGGCAGAGGCCAGTTAGTGTTGCTTCATCGAGTCCGACGGAAACGGAAGGTAGCCCAGGACGTCGAACGCCAACCAGATTCTTGGCCAGTCTGAAGAGACATTCTAGAAGCTCTCTGTCTGGGAGTTTTACAGAGAGCTCATTGAAGGGCTCTAGTAGCAAGGATCAGAAAGCGAGCAAGTGAGGAAAGAGAAGGCTAGGGAGATGCTGGATGAGGAGATTCATATCGGCTGGGTCGTTATTGGATACCCCGTTTGCTTCGTGTTTCGTTGATGAGATCGATGTTTGATTGGGATAGCATGTGAGCAATGATGCATGGTTCGGGATGATAAGATGAAGAGGATGATGGACTTCAAATTGAAGCTATGCTGAGGCAAGATCAGCCAATGGCTAGGTTCTCTTGGAATAATATGTTTTAATGCCAATCGATCCTTCTCCATTGAGCTTTGTTCAAGCTATCTTTCGTTCCTTTACTTCTAGCTCAGACGTTGGGCCCTCATCATTCATGGAAAGGTGCGTTTCGATCCTCGGCAGCGTGACTTTCGGTTCATGGTATTCTCGTGAGTTGTTATTGTAGTTTGATTTTGTTTGCATATCTGAGGGTCTTTGTCAACCTCTGGAATACTTCTCCGATGCACTTGAATGAATAAAAGGGACTTGAGATCTGTTAATTCAATGAATTCAAAATCATCGTCTTAGAATTCTTATCACGATGGCGGGGTACCATTCTGAGAAGTCTTCTTTCTCTTCTCCTCGTCCAATTTTCGCTTCTGCTCATTCCGCTCTTCCACCGCAGTATTGATGTTATAATGAGCTGCGTGAATCTTCTTGAAAAGATCTCCAGCAGTGATATCTCTCATTGGATTCGAAAATTCGCCCGTAATAGGGGTAGTAAGGGCATCCGTATTGATCGGGATCGGATAATGAGCTCTAAGAACGAAGACAATTGAATACCGATACTGCCGCGAGTCTGGATGGTTTGGTACATCAGTTTTCCCGGGTTCAGGATTCGGATACGATCGAACAAGATGACCTCCCGCTCTGTACCGGCTGTTGGTCATTCGTTCAAGCTGACGGCCGACCAAGACTGTCTGTGAAGGGGTCTCATATGTCCTCTCAATGGGAAAAGACCAGTTCCGGTGGCGATCGTGTACTTCTAGGCCAGGTGTATCTCCAACGACGAGACTAAGGAGGCCCAAGTCTCGATGTGCTAGATTCCACATGTAAGCAGAAAGTCTTTGTCCAGAATCAAAGAACAGGTACCAGGGCTTACCTTCAGCAACCACTTTGCTTTGCTTACCCTCAAACCCTTCATACCTAAAGAGACGCAGCATAGTCGCTGTCTTTTCAACAAGCCTCGAACAAGGTTCCGAATAGACAGTAAAGGATTCTTCTGGAAGCCCCAAGCTCTCAGCAATTCTCACCAGAATCTCATTTAAAAGCCCTCCAGCTTCTGACCAGTACTTAATAGTAGCTTCCTTCAGCACTTCTGGTGTACTCTCTAGACTGCGTAATGTGATGAATTCCTTCTCCCCTTCGACACGAGACCAGCCGTCCTCACTTCCCAGAGCGGTTTTAAAAGTCTCTTTTTCTTCCATGGGGAGATCGAAGAATGCTTTACTCGATTTGAGAAGTTCTTGGTAGCTAGTGTAGAGAGCGTCGGACGAATTGGTGTTCATGTCGATCGTCGTCCAGCCCTGATCCGACAGTGCGAAATGTCTCTTGGGATGAACTCGAGGCAACATCACAGGTACCAACGGCGGTCTAGTATCGACAAGCTCCTGGTAATTTGGTCCATTTTGAGATGGAGGATAGTCGTGGTTCTGTGGGTCATGAGCAGAGGACCGCTTCTTTTTGGGACCAAATCCGGATGCAAGGGATTTTAGGCCGGTGAGGAAAGGCATCTTGCTAATGTAAAAGTATCAAAAGATGTTCAGCAAGATGGCAGAGGGTCATGAAATATTCAATGTCGCCATCGGAAAGTGTTAGTGACTGCCTGGTGGGAGGCGCGTGAGATCAGCTTGTATTGAGGTTGACGTAGCGCAGACGCGGAGTTGGCAAAAATAGTAACTCGCTTAAAGGGGCTGCGCCGAGGCAGATCACGCTTTCTGTTGATTTTGAGAATTGAATTTTTGGTGATATTTTGGTCTCTTGACTCCGGCATAGAATCAAAATGAGGTGAATAGTGAGACTTTGCCGTTGTATCATTCTGACTAGGGACCCAAAGAGTCAAGCACCATGCTGTCACGTGGTTAGTTCACATGAATAGGCATTTGATCGGCTTTCAATGCGCTAGAGCCCTCTCTGGTCTATTGTATATGATCTGCTAGTTCTAATCTATATCTCTAGTCTATTGTAAGTCTAGTAATGTAAAAAACATAGAAAATTCGTCGATCGATGTCCCACGATCTTAGCACATGCGATTGTGCTGAAAGCAAACTAAACTTCCATAGTTTCCGAATGCAAGTCGTGTGAATGGTGAGTCTCGGGTATGAGCTTCACGAGAACCTTAAAGCGTGGACTTCATTCCATAATCGCTGTATGGAAAGTTTTCCAGACTCGGAAGCCTCACCGCCCAACCATCGTCCAGTTCTCCCAGCTGCCACTCATCCCCGATCGGAACCAAACCAATCCTACCAGCAAGAACTTCCTTTTCCTGGGCAGCATAGATCTTGGCAAGTTCGGGATGAGGCACCCAAACAGCTCTCATCTTTGCTCTCCTCCCAGCTTCCAGACCAGGAACACTGTCCTCGAAAACAAGACATTCCTCAGGCGTGATAGGCTTCTCGCCCTCAGCCAGAGTATCATTGATTGTCTGCAGGGCCATCAGGAAGATATCAGGTGCTGGCTTTCCTCGACCTTCTTTCAGTCTTGGATCATCGCCCAGAACTCGTTGCTCCTGTGGAAAGACGGAGAATATGACCTTGGTGTCGGGACTCGTGCTCTTGCATGCAAAATTGGTCTTGTCAGAGCTGGATGCTAGAGCAACATGGACTTTGTCTCCGTTGATGTTGTGCATTGCTTGGAGGTCTAGCAGCAGCTTTTCGACGCCTGGAAGTGGTCTGCATTTTGGGAACTTTTCGTATTGAAGTGCCTTCAGGTCCTTGTTGAATTGCTCGCGAGGGATTGGAACCTGAGCCCATTCGTGAAAGGTATTGCCCGTTGACGATCTATCCAAGGATTCAGTACTATTCTCACCTATTTTCCCACAAGAGAAGATCAAAGTAAGCCTTACCCTGGGACACCCATGAGTTTGGCTTTGAAGGACCAAAGCATCGGAGGCCTGCCGACCTTTTCGAGCAGAATGTTTGTGCAGTCGGTGTAAATATCTTCCTATTCACCTTTAGCATCTGAGTCTGCTATCGTAAATTGGGACTCACCGTGTTGATCAAAAGACCATCCATATCAAAGATGCATGCCCTGATAGGAGGGAATCTGGAAAATTGTCACCTCATGCATCACCATTAGTCCGCGGAAACTTACTCTGTCTTTGAGACTGAACCCATCTTGATGTTGGAGATGGTCTTGGTTTTTCTGAAATAGGTGAAAATGAGTCTATTATCGTTGAGACTCTCTGGTTACGGAAATGTTGTTGTGCAACCTGAAGGAAGAAAATATGGAGAACGAAGTGCCGGAATCGGCACGTGGGGTTCGCTTGCAATCAGATTCGCACTTGCTGTTTTGGATTTGTTTATCGTAGATGACTGTATACTGCAGAATTCTTCAAAAAGCATATACTGAACCTATTTTCATTCATTGATATCGGATTGTTCTTGAGTCATACTGTTCTTAAGTGTCTCCTGAGAACTTCTTCACTCGTTTTGTATGATGGGTTGCTCATTCACGCTTCAAGATTCGGCCACAACACATCCTAGTGGTGTATAAACCCCAAGAATGATCTTAGATAACAACTCAGTCCTCACCACAACTATACGAGGAGACATTACCAGGTATCTCGGTGACAAGAGCGGGTCGGCTTCGGGTCTCTTACAGTAGTGTCTCCACTCGGAGAGTCGGCCGACTTTACGAGCATCCAATAAGCACTACAACCTCGCAAGACGAAGTATCAATGAAGGATTAATAATAAAGCTCCTGCGCCTTTTTTAAGACATTCAGTCGCAAGTATATCTATACCTCACATGTTCGTCTCACGATCAGACTGCTCAGAAGTATTCGTCCCTTCCTTCATAAACACTCTTCATTTCTTCAATGTCCATCTCGGCCCCCACTCTTCCACACCCCTATCTCATCAATGGACTAAACCACATCCCACCACCCCCAGTGTCTTCCTTCGATTCCCAATTCTCCTTTGCGGGTCTCCTCCCCGCAGGAACTTCCCTTCCGTCGTCGTGGGGAACAACCCGCTACTATGATTTCTCCCCCGCTGCTCCGCCCACCTCCCGCCGCGTCCTGATCGTCCACGGCGGTGGAACCTGTGCCATTGGTGTTGCGCCGTTCGCTCGCCTCCTCACCGACGCGGGGAATCACGTCGTGATCTATGATCTGTGGGGTCATGGATTGTCTTCAACTCCGTTGGAAACACATTCTCCTGCTTTGATGCATGCTCAGATCATGGAGTTGTTGTTGCACCTGGGATGGACCAAGGTGAATCTCATTGGATTCAGTCTTGGGGGAGCGATTGTTGTGTCTTTTTCGGCTATTCATCAGAAGACTGTGGAGAGCGTGGTGGGTGTTGCTCCTGCGGGGCTTTGGAGGAAGAGTGAGAGGAGTTGGTGGGATACTATTAGTATGGATGGCTATGGGATGTGGGGATTGGAATGGTGGAGGAGGAGTAGAGTTATGGCTTACATTAACGGATCAAAGCCTGTTGTGAAGGACGGATGGAAAGAGAAGATGATCAAGGGAGAGGTGGACACTGTCCCGATTCAACAATGGGAGATTGCCGAGCATAAGGGGTACGAAGCGAGTCTTACGAGCACTTGGAATTATGTTTCTCCGTTTGATCAGCATGAGTCTTATGCGAAGTTGAATGAGAGTGGAATTAAAGTTCTGATTTTGTTGGGCGAGAAGGATGGGGTCATTGAGCCGGAGCAATCGAAAAAAGAGCTGGACAAGATGGGGTGGAAAGGAGATGTGGTACTGGTGAAGGACGCTACACATGAGCTCATCCGGGTACAGAGAAAGGAAGTCGCTACCCTTTGCTCTGAGTTCTGGGGAAAGCTATGAAAGCAAAAAGAGAGGAAAGACGCACCTTTAGACCGTGGCCTAGTATCCGTCACAATATCAACTATTTCGACGGTTCGTATATGCTTGAGATGGACGAGCTACTTTGAGAGCAATTGCGATTATCCCTGCCTTACATCCTGAGATTATTCTGTTATTCGAAAGATATCCCTCAATATATTACAACACACCTTCGTACCCTGGGGTTGACCTTCAACAAATGATTTTCAGGCATCACCCTATCCAGAATCAATTGACTTTTATGTATACATGAGTCGACTCAGCCGCCTCCATACCCTCGTGATCCACCCTGGTGAGATTTGAGGCTGAACAAAGATATATTCTGGAGCGCAACTTTGCATGAGACTTAACGAGTTCCCTCTGAAAACGAACAAGAAGGTGGTTCACTACCCACTTAGGTAGGTATAGGAAGCCAGGAGCTCAAGCAAGTGCTTCACAATCAATGTTGAAACTAATCCCCGGAGGTACGCTTCTCATTAAATTAATTCATTAAGTAATCTGCGCTACCTGGAAACATGTCGATTTAGAGCCCATTAAGGGTATTCTGAGCCGTAAACACATCACCTACACCAAAGTCAGCAAGTAACCTTTCTCGCATAAGTTTTCAATCACTTACCCAACTCAAAATAGTCAACAAGAACCACATTCGGCAGTCTTCCCCAAGTAGTGTAGCACAAGCTAGCTTGCGCTCCGATACTACCAGTTCCGGTCACAGCATTCGTGGTACCAGCAGCAAGTTCATCAGGAATCAATATACCAAGGATATCCAAGTCCAAGAAATGGTTGACGATCATCATCAATCCTGATCCGCTTGATCCAGGAGGTCGGTCGAGGGCGCAAGAAGGGAACGAGCTGTCTGTGACATCGTATGCGGTCTCGAAATAGTATGCGAACTCATTGGAGATATACGGAACTGTGGCGGTATCTGCTCCATAATCTGCAGCTGTTAGTATTTTTTTGACGGGAAGGGGATATTCGTACCCAAGAACATGATAAGACGGGTTCCAGCGGTGATAAGCTCTTGAAGTGTAGGCCAATCGGACATGCTGAGCCCGCTGGGTGGAGTGTATGCGTAGGCGGAAAGCCCAGATGTTGACATAGCATTGCCGAACAGACTAACATCCACATTGTCTCCGTTGGTCAAGAGGATTGTAAGGACTTCGTTCGGGTTTGCGGCGATCCAGGTATTGACAGTAGTCAAATAAGAGACCAATGTTCCTGACTATACTATGATTAGAATGACTTCAGAGAGCTCCGGCCAATGAAGCGCAAACTCACATCTTCCTCGATACAAGAGGTATGGCACAATTCGAGAGCTCCATTCAGCAGATGGGTTTGGGCTTGCAGAAAGCGAATACCGGCATTGAGTTGATCGGTGACAGACAAGAGCTGGTTGTCCGTAGGCAAGACACCAACAAAAGCCGAGTCATGGGTTCCAATAAATGAAACATTGGAATACTGTCTGCCGCAAAGCGCAGTATTACCATTGCATTGAGCAGCAGCCAAGCCAGCAAAGACCAACGAGAGCAAAAAGTTGAGAAGCATCTTGAATTTCTTGACGTTGCGCAAAGAAGGTGGAGAGCAAGTAGAAGAGGAAATGGATCTACCTTTATGGTCAGGACCCTGAGACCCTTACCTATTCACCTGGATCCATCATCGACGAGCTTCCCAAAGTGGTCACTAGGCCGTTTACAGTTGGGCATCGGTCCGAGGGCAGTTGCACGCGGTGAATCCTTTCTGAAAGCGTGCGCGGGCAATGTGATGGAAGAGATGAAATCCTCAGTTGAGCCCTTTCACGGTTCATGAAACGCTTTAGGTTCGCCTCCGCCTTGCTGGTGGCGTGGCTTCATGTTCGACCTTGATTGGAAGATCGTCACCGCCACAAAGGACAAGCGCCGGCATGGAATCTCGAATAGAAGGCCAGAAGACCCTCAAGCTCAGATGATGTGCAGTTACACCTGCATGGATTGCGTCGCCGATAAGCCTGTCGAGTTCGGTAGATGTCTCGTTCGAGGCTCGTCCCGTAGTGATTCGGCAGGAGTTCTCACCACGGAAAGTGTTCCTGGACGGATGGGGCTGTACCTGATCCCATATTGGCAGGGATTATTGCAAGGATACTATCTTCATGTGAATGAGGGACTGACAGTGGACATCATAAGATTGCTTGGCGTCTGGAGATTGACTGATATTATACCACGAGCGATGAAGATGTCGTTGCGAACTTGCAATGAAGCTTCACTCTAATGCAACCACCCGCGCCTCCCACGTGATGAATTTAATATCAACTTCAGGCGAGGATTTCTGACGAAGCTAACATGTTAGCAGCAACAAGTCCTAACAGCGTTGGAGGATTGTGATCCTTTGTGGCGCTTCAGATATCCGATTGTCCAACACAGTCTTCACGTGCTTGAAGGATGTCACCAAGCGTTGACCTCAAAGCGGGGAAGACCGAAGGATCCAAGAACAAGGTCAAGGTCCAAAGATACCATTTACCCATCATAAGCTTACCAGACAAAGATGCGACCTGCTCCATTCGCCATCCTCGAGGGGACTGCGTCGGTCAGTATCACATCGATGAAATCCGCGTCAGAGTACAACTACTATGGCGTCCTCGACCAAGACAAGATTCTAGAGGAAGCTTCCAACTTCGTCTCTTCGAACTCGGATGCCACAAAATCCGAAGTTGAAGAGATTCTGAGGCATTTCATCACACTTACTTCAAACGACTATCTTGAAGAAAAAAGACGTGTGGTTCCAGATGCCAGTCACCATTCAGCTCAAGCAACATAGTTCACTATCCGCATGACCAAACCTACAGATGAATACACCGAAACTCCGAGATGGCACAGAGATGGACGAATGTATACCACGGACAGACCAGGAGAAGTGAACAGCAAATATGCTACGACCTTGCTCGGAAATCCTACCAGGATCATGACTGAAAGTCCTCTCGTGAAGAAAGTCTTAGACGAAGAAGAGTCTATCAGAATGCCAAGTTATGAACAAGATGGGGCCGCTTATTGGGCTGCTGCGAAAGAACAAGAAGTTCGTGTTGCAAAGCGTTTGGCTGGGCAGCCTTTGGTAGGACTACCTGGTGGTAGCATCATAAAGTTTTCTTGGGACCAGGTTGATTCGCCAGTCCATTCCGAGCCTGATATGAGTACTGATCGCGTATTCGTGTCTGTCTTATATGGCAGTGAGAAGGAGATGAGGAACATGCGCGAGATCAGACAAAAAGAATACAGACTTTGATGTTGCCTATGTTGCCTTTTCCCACGTAAGGAATGAAAGTGTGATATATACACATATACAAAGAGATCGTAGATCATCATGAAATATCCAACACCTAGAAGATTGCCAACGCGTTGCCGTGACTCGAGACACCACCCTCGCAGTTAGCTGGAGAGCTCGTCACGAAGAAAGTCCATCTTCCCTTCTCTTTGCAGGTCTGAGACAATTTCTCTAAATCGAACATCTCACCCAATGGCATACCCCAAAGGGCCAAGATGTACTCGTGGAGCATGTACTCTTCCTGGCTAGGCCAAGCCTCAAAAGATGGAGCATCTCCAGCAACGCAGGAGAAATAGCTATCATGCAACCAGTCGATCATCTGTTCATCTTGCTTGACACCAGCCCAGCGTTGGCCATCTGTCTTGCCAATTGAATGAGGTCTCAAGGCAGCGGCAGCCCGGATATCAGAAGGTGTAGTGTGGTAAGTCTGAACGAAACCAGATCTAATGAAGAGCAGGTCTCCAATCTGAATGTCACCACCTTGGGCAGCGGGTCTGATGTCAATACCCTGTGCTTTACCAGCCTTGTACAACTCATCAAACGAGATCTGATAATAGTCAAATGGATCTAACATTGGTGAGTCATTATGCAGTCTAAGATATGTGGAAGACTTACCATAGATGATGTTATTGGCTTTAGCATAGCTCCAATAATCGATGAGCACACCTCTGCCGGCAATCCCATGGTTCGCCCAGTGGTGTATGCCACATCGGTTGGGATCATTCTCTGAGCCTCCGATGTGCTTTCCTTTGGTTCCATTGTAGAAAGTCTCGGTTGGCATATGGGCGATGTGCCTGAACCCATCCCATTGAGTACCGCTCTGCGTATTGAGTTCGTATTTGTCATCGTAGGCGACACCTTCCGCCAGTGGCTTGATCTCGTGCTTAAATGGTTCTCGAGCGAAAGCTGGGACTTCTGGGACATTCAACGGAAGGTTTAACGGGACGATATCGCCGGTCTTGATTTCTTTAGATGCAGCAGAGACTCGAGTAGGTGTAAGTAGGTTAATTCTACCTAGCTAAACAGCGTAAGTTAATGGTTCAGTCGAATATAATTGAAATCTTACATAGTCATCTTGACCCCAGACCCAAGCTGCTCCAGCAGGAGCATCTTCTCGTCTCGGGACCTCACTCCTGGTAGGAAACTTTGTGCAATTAGGATCCCAAGGAATGGCAGTAGCAGTCCTACTTCCAGTGAGGAAGTCACTAATCTTAGTCAAACGACTGTTTGCTTTGGAGCTTGAATCTGCCATTTTGTCAATTGTTTTGAATCTGTGAAGTACTTTTGTTGTCTACAATCAGTTGCATCATCGTTCTGTATAGCAAAGTAGTCCGGGGAGCTTTCCCCGCATTGCATGGTGGAAGTGAGGGGAAGCCGAAGCCGTTTCCGAGGGAGGCGTTCCCAATGGCATGATCATGACATAGTATATGGAAAGGAACATTTTCAGTATTTTTTGGTGTACTTCCGACTCTGGACACTGGTCCGAGACCTTTCAATGGAAAATGTTGACCGCGAGCAGGGACATTGTTTGGGGAGAAGGGAAGGTTCGACTGATGTCAGCATTCGCTACGGCGGACTGCAGAGACATCTTGTACATCCCTCTCCACACACACGAACCAACCCTCTTGAACGATAACGACCTTTGGGACAATAACAAGCAATGTCCGCCAGTGGGAGCTCCAGCCCGGAGCCAGCTCCCCGCAAACGCGGACGACCACAAGTAACACCTCTCGAACCCTACCGAGAAACGATTGTGAAGCTCTTCTCCGAGGACAATGTCCCCATCATCGACATTGCCCGGCGTCTGAATATTGACTTCGGTCTGGACATCTCTGAACGGACCATCTCACGAAGACTAACAGCATGGGGCGTGCCACGAAAGAAGACTCGCGTAGCAGCGACGGAAGAACTTCGCGATCGAATTGTCTTCCACTACAACAAGAATCTGAATGACGAGCAGATTGCTGCTGCCTTGCGGACCGAAGGATTCGAGATAAAGCCAAGGAACCTTGCAAGATTAAGGCAGAAATTGGGCATGAGAAGGAGGTCGAAATATCCCGAATTCAGAGAATATTCAGACGAAGAAGGAGACGCACCATCTGCACAACTTGCTGCTGAAGCTCCTACTGCCCAATCAATACCTCCACTGCCCAAGGTATCACCAAAGAAACCCAAGAAGAAGATGAAGACCAAGCACAATGCGGCATTGATCCCGAAGGTTACAGCTTTCGTGGAGAAGTACATGAGTAACTACGATGGCTCTCATGACTTCAATCACATTCGCAGAGTGGTGGGACTTGCGCATCTGATATACACGGAGATCAACAAGGAGAAACAAGCTTCCCCGCCAATGTTCGACGAGGAGCCAGAGCTGGATCTACATGTCATTACGCTTTCCGCGCTTCTGCACGACGTGGGAGACAAGAAATATTTGAATCCGGGCGAGGATGGGAACACGCAAGTTCTCGCCACACTGCTGAGTATGGGTGCGCCTGAAGAGCTGGCTATCAAGGTGCAAAGGATCGTTCTGGGTGTATCTTACTCTTCGGAAATCAAAGATCCGGATGCAGTAAAGGCCATGATTCAAAAGTATCCCGAATTGGCAGTCGTGCAAGATGCGGATCGATTGGATGCTATAGGAGCTGTTGGGATTGGAAGGACGTTCACATTCGGCGGAGCCAAGGGCGCCAGAGAGATGGGAGAAACGATCCAACATTTCGACGACAAACTGGAGAGACTAGAAAGCATGATGAAGACTGGACCAGGCAAGAAGCTGGCACGGGAACGCACGGAGAGGCTGACTACCTTCAAGAGTTGGTGGGAAGAAGAACAGCGAGGAGCAGAAGGCTTATTGCGTAGGAAGTGAGTGGAGGATGCGTTCGTTCATGATACCCACAGATTAGCGGTCTGTATTTGTTTCGTTGCATTGCGTTGCTGCATGGTTTGCCCGTCAAGGTATACCTTGATGGTATTGATTTTTGCTTACTTTTTCACGGCTTCGCTGCGGCTTCTACAGTCATCCCAGGCGTCGGGCTCACATAAGCTCTAATGGAGCCACGACATAATAAAAGCAATTCCCGAGTGCAAATATTTCTTTTCAAATGTCCGCTCCTGTGGTGAACATCCTGGTGTCTAGAAGCCGCAACTCGGGTTCCCGACAATTCGACGGCAAGATCTCTAAGTCGCGTGCCGAATATTGAAACCACACCATGAATTACCTCCCAGTGGAAATCATCCAACAGATCCTTGAAAACGTACATCAAATCGATAAACCCTCTCTCCCTGCCTGTCGTCTCGTTTGTCGGACATTCGACGCCATCACTTTTCCTTTGTTGTTCTATCATATTCCTCAATGGCTGAATTACGAGGCCTCCCACCGAGCTGTCTTGTCCCTGGCACACGACATCTGCAATCGACCTGCTGTAATGTGGTCGCCATGGGCCACAGCGCCGGATGGACCAGTAGATCCTGTTTGGATGGCGATTGTGTGGAAGTTGTTAGTGAAGAGAGATGTGCCTGGATCATTAGCTGTGGTGGGCAGAAAAGGAGAAGGGGTTTTGACAGCAGAGAATTTCGCCGAGTTGAGCGGGATGGAAGAGATGACGGAGAATAGGTTGAGGACGGGGCAGAATAGGTTCTTGATGCATAGGAGCTATTCGGCGGAGTTGTGTGGGGAGACGTGTTGGGGTGGTGGGAAGTTTTGACTAGGAGATTTGAGGTCGGTTGAGTTGTTGGATTGGTAATTGGACATTACTTATGTTCTGTACTGGAAGCTGGATGGTCGATGAGCTCGAAGAGCTGGTGATAGAGACCATCAACAGTCCTGAGTCCTCCTGTTCTTGCTAACGACAATTGAAGGTTGAGATGGCTTTCTGGGATGATGAGAGATAGCAGCATCGAGTAACTACTCAGATGATAGCCATGATGGTTGATTTGTAGTGCCAGGATCCCTTCATGTCAATTCTTCGAGACGATGCAGATATATTGCTTTCACATGATTCTGAATCCATGAGGTGTATAATGTTCGGCTCTCATCCCCAAGTGAAGGTCGATCAGAACGACGTCTTCGCTTCGGCCTTTTTGCTTTCATGTGATCTTGCTCTGCCGTGTACCTGCATCCGCCGGAACCTAAAACCAACAAGCTTCTCCTCTTCTCAGCAACGACGATCGTTTCCTCTCCTTTTTCCCTCCTGCCAACTTTGGTCCGGAACGATCGGCTGAGTTCTGTCAAACTGCACAATCGAACGGTTTTCATCCGTTCTTCTGCTAAACTGCTAGCCATTCAAATTTTCGTGTTCAGATGATCTACTCGTACCTAGACGATGTCATTTGTGCTCTCGACTTACGTCTTCCGAAAGAGTCTTCACCAGAACAAATCTAACTCAAAGCGATCCAGACCGCAATACGAAGGGCTCGACCGCTGGAATATGAAATCCTACAACACAATCCTCGGAAGATGCCATTCTCCTTGCCATTCGCCGGACTCGACTCCCATTCTGAAATTCCTTGCTACTTCGTCTCTTCGTCCCCGCATTCCCCGCACATCTTCCTGGATAAGCTGCAGACTAAGTACGGCCAACTCGAGATGGTGCTTCAATCTCAAGTCGACCGTCAACACCATCATCCCTTACCTTCAGCAGCCATCACAAAGTGCCTCGGTACGGCCATGCAGATCAACAAGGTTCGGGCGCCATGTGGCGCTCATAGCTTCATGCTAAATCAACAACTGGATGAGACGAAACAGAGCTCCCCAACCTTAATTCTCTTTGTGGTTGTCCCCCAGGATCTTGGACCGGGTTCAGTCACTGCGGCCGCCAAGGTTCTTCAGCTTGAGCATCGACAATAAATATTTGAGGCAATTGCCGTACCCCTTTTCGCCTTGTGCTACCTATATCTCAAATCCAATACTCTGCATTGGGACTGCCAGCGGTTCATCTATTTGTGAACACAAAAGTGTTGATTGGGCTTCTTCTTTCTCAGCAGTTCCAGGTTTCGAAACCAAAGCTGCAATTCAGCGGACACGACCGAGGAACTTATGTGCTTAGTGTTCACCCCGCGCTGGATCGTCCGATCTTCATTCGTGGAAAGTGGCTGACTAGTCTCTAGCCTTGCACGTTGTTAAACCTAAACTCTAGCTCAACGTACAGGCCGAGTTCTCCAGAAGACCACCCCAGATTTCAAGGAGAATAAGTGTCTCTCGGTGTGATCTGCCGAGGTACTGGGTTTCGGTGGAGATACGAGCTTTCTAGGCTAAAGAGCTAAAGAAGGAATCAAATCGGTTTATTTTCCAAGAAGCTATCCACCCAGTTTTTCCTTTTACGCCGCTGACCAGTGTCGAGCACAGATGTAGCATCTCGTGGCGTCGTCCGCATTGACTTTCTATAAAGATCCCAGTCCTACCCCCCACCAATCTTTCAGCCCCTATCAGAAGATCTTCAGTATACAAAAGTCCTCTCTGCCTGCTCTCGCGCACATTCGTTCTTCAACAATTTTCTCACCCAAAAAACCGCAAATATGAAGTTCACAGTCGCAACCCTCGTCTTGGCCTCAGTTGCCTACTCCCAGACCATTGCAAGCGAGATGGCAATGCTGCCCTCCTGCTCTCTGGCTTGCTTGCAAAACGCCATCACCGGCGCTGGTTGCGCTATCACCGATTACTCGTGCCAATGCGGTGCTCAGAAGAATGCCATCACAACAGCTGCCACTCCCTGCGTTGTCGGCGCTTGTTCCACAAGTGATGCTCTGAGTAAGTTCGCATCACATCACGTTACACTACCATGGAGACACAACTAACGAGTTCAAAAGAGGTCCAAAGCATCACAGGCGAGATCTGCACACTCGTAGCAGCCGAGTCGTCCTCCGGATCATCAAGTGCAACATCCTCTATCGCCTCATCAGCATCGTCAGCCTCATCTGCATCGACCTCAGCTGCATCTTCCGCTTCCTCAGCCTCCTCGATGATGTCTTCCAGTATGGCGTCCAGCATGACTAGTGCTGCTAGCTCTGCGTCTACTTCATCTGCTAGTGCCGCCAACTCTGCCGCTAGCTCGGCTTCTCAATCCTCGAGCAGCGCGGCTGCTACTCAGACTACCAATGCGGGGTCGAGAAAGCAGGCTGTTGGTGCTGTCGGTGCTGCTGCTATGCTCGCTGCCTTTGCTTTGTAAGGGAGGGGTACATGTATATTAATGGGTCTCATACGAGTAATGTATGGAAGATTGGGTGGCTCTTTTACAACTCTCGGGTGGGATGGGTAACGAAAATAAAACAAGTCATCAACCACGATCTTTTTCGTGACCGTGGTGTGAATTGTGATTTTCGTTGAGATTTGAGTTGTATTGCATTGTAGTAAACACAGAGATATTCTATGAGTGACGCGGACAAACTTCTTTGCTGGTTTCTTCATGGGCTTGGCTTAGAGAAACTGTGTCCAAGGTTGCTGGGTGAGCACTTGCTGTGACTGCCCCATCGAATGTGCTGTACATTTAATATCTAATTTTTTTGGGAAAGGTTCCTTGAGCATGGCTCTGAAGTAGAGTACAGAGGCGCGGTTTTGTGCTCTTGGGTAGGGTATGCAAAGCTAATAGTGGTAAATCGAAAATGGGAGTGAAGATTGCTCATTGGCAAAGGAAAATGGAGTCGAGGCCATGAATTTGATGAGGTATAGAACTACTAGGTACAGTGAACATGTCTCTCGCATAAGATATGAAGCAGCCTTGCGGTTGACAAAGGGTGTTGGTACTGTACATAAGGCTATACTTAAGCCCTCTTGACCGAAAACTCAAACATTTATCTCATTAGAACAAAGCCCTCGAGGTCGGTGTACCACCTAATTTTGCCTGAGAAAATCGAACGCTAAATTGCAGCAGAAAAATAAATTGACTTGAATGTCCCCAATACAGTTCACCAACGCCTTTTCAAATGGGTGTACGTATATACAGCACATCCAACACTAAGCAGCGAGTTCAACATTACTCGCATGTGTCCGCGGTCCGTTCGGAAGTTCGGCTCGATGTACATTTTCAGGAACCTCGACCGGATATGGTTTTGGCTCTGCTTCCTGGTATGGTGTAAATGCCGGCCCTGTACCATTCTGTGTGTAGTCTGTGGCGGCACGACGTTTTCTGAGGACGAAGAATGCGCCTGCGACAGCAATGATTGCGATCACGCCGCCTGCTATCCCAACTCCGATGCCTATTTTCATTCCGCTGTCGAGGCCGCTGGAAGAACCGGAGGAAGCGATTGATGTTGGCGTGTTCGTGGATGTACTCGAGGTTGATGGTGGAGTTGTTGTCGCGGATGAAGAGGTTTGAGTAGACATGGATGTGGAGGATGATGATGATGATGATGATGAAGAGGAAGTCGAAGAAGCTCCCACCGTGGCGGCGATCACGACACCGAGTTTGTCCTGGCAACATGTCGCATTTACCCCTCCACAACACCAACTTCCATCGCTGCACTGGCCTACGGGCACATTGTCTGACGCATCACCGCCCTCCTGACAACAATGGTGAGTATTGAGATTCCTATCGTCTTCAAAAATATCTTACTGCTGATGTAGTGCACAATTTCAAACAGTACGGGCTTTTCCACGTCTTGTCTGTGCAGCCTTGCCGCCAATATACAGAATCTCCAGAGTTCTGGCACAGTCCGTCTCCTTGACAGACATCTACAGCGACCTTTCCACTTGTCAGTCTCACATCTCGCTCTTCGGACGGTCGAGTACTCACGGCTCCTGTGTGATTCGTGCCACAGCACATGGAGAATACTCCTGAAAATTGATTACATGGCTGATACGCAGGATCAGTGATCGCGGAGCCATCGGGATTGTAGCATGTTCCCTCGACTTGAAGGACGTTCAACGCGCCAAAAAGCAATGACAAGAGTAACGACTTCATGACGTCCAACCCGAGAGAAAAAACCAACATTCAAGGGAAAGAGGAAAGTGAACAACTTGTAAGAAACGCGTTTAGCAGTCCTAGTGCATCCTGAATACAACTGTGCCGCAACATAGCATAATTCATAAGGTTGATAGGCGTGTTCCATCCTGAAGGTCTCAGGAGACCCAGGCCATGTTACAAGGCCAAGGCACATTTTGGGGGCTGAAGATCCAGGAAGTCAGCAGCTGCGGCTGGAAGACCAATCAAACCTTCTGGCGCCCGCGTTGATAGTCGCATCTGCTTACCCTAATAAAGGATTCTGCCAATGATTCTTCCCTTCATCTGTGATCCATGTATATTGTATGAACGAAAAGGCGGGAAGGCTTTAAACGAATCCGAGCCTGCATTTCGAGCCTCGCTTTTGAGGCGCAAGTTCAGGATCGGAGTTTAAAAACGCCGATATTTTGAGCCTCGGTTCGCCGAGAACCTATTGTCATATGAAATAATTATACTGCAGCTTACATCAGAGAAATTCCGCTCCAGTAATCAAGACTTCACTCTCCTTTCTTTGTTTTCACTTCTTGTATTCTTCATTCACTCCTTTCGCGATGGCGTCCGCAAGTAGTCTCCCTATAAAATTGATAGCCTTCACCACCGCCTTGGTGCTGGGGGCTTCCGCAAGTCGCATCAACTTACGAACACTTATCATCAACACTTTCACTGGGCCCGGCATGTATTCGAGAATAGCCGCAGCTCTACTTGTACTTGCAAACCTCAAGAATGTCCCTTGGGCGTGGCATGTATGTATACCCTATTCTCTCTAAGTATTGTCTGACTCGAGATTAGTACCGCGTCTTCCAGGGTATCCTCTACCACTGTCTATTCAACAAACCGAACATACCCCTTGATATTGCACCTTCGACACTCTTCCTCCCTGTCATAACGAGCTCATACTCCCCATTGCTGGAATGCGACTATAATTTCCACAAATCGAACTCCACATACTTCTCCGATTTAGACGTCACACGATCACATCTAATATGCGCCCTCATCCAGCCAGGCATTGAAAAGCTACAGCACAACGCGCGAGAGAAGCTTGTCCTGGACAAGGAAGGCAAACCAGTGCTGGGAAAGTGGTCCATCATGCTAGGAGGCGTAATGACAACTTTCAAACGGGAAATCGGAATGTACCAAGGTTATGAAATGTGGTCTCGACTACTCGCTTGGGATCGCAAATGGGTCTACATCGTTACTCACTTTGTGAAGAAAGGAGCTGTCAAGCCGAAAGAATATATCCTGACGGATGGGAGCTGGTTTGGGAAGGGCAAGAAGTACCAGAAAGTTAACCAGAACGGTCACGCCAGCGAAGCTACAGGCGAGGATTTGGACGAGAAGGCAATTTTCGCGAGTGCTATTAGCAAGTATGTCATCAAGCTGGGAAGATTAACGATTCACCCGGAAGTTTCGCTGGAAGCTGCTGGAATGCTCCCACCGAAACCGGGCGGATGGGCAACGATGACCAACTCGGGGGAATCGACACCAGAGACGTTAGAAGTGGTAGAAACAGACGATGCAGCTCAAGAGAGCAGTACTGGTGATGAATGGAACTGGAAGAGAATAGAGGAGAAGAACAATCAAGGTCTAAAGCTTGTCGAGCATTTTGCGGCATTAGATGGATTACATGGGGAGTTTTCGGGGAGCAAGGAACCGGCGTTGGGAAGGTATAGAGATTTCCTCTGGTAGGGAAAGAGAATTGTGAAGATTGAGCGCTGGTTTAGATTATCGGGGTGAGGTAGACCAATTAGATCTAATGAATGTTTCACTCAGCCTTGTCCCAGGGTAAGGAGCAACAAGCGCTTAGAGACTTCCGAGTGGATCTGGGAATGAGTTTTTGACTAGAACCTCTGTTGTCTATTTAAGGTTCGTTCTTCTGTGATCCACTTGGATAAACACACAGCAGTGATCGACAGCTTATGACAAGGTAAGCACCAAGTAATGACGCAGTCGTCAGCAACTGTCAGCGCTTTATAAACTAGTCAAGAATCACCACTTCTCCAATGTTCTTAATTTCCCCACGTCAAGCAAACAAATCTCCCCACAATGCCAGAAATAATCCACGCCCCCTCCCACCCCTTCAAGGCCCTCGGCTTCAAACACCGCGTCGGCGAACCCCAATTCAAGCACCTCTTCCAAGGCCTTCCCTACCTCCCCAACACCAACACCCCAAACCCAAACAACTACCTCTTCTCCCTCGCCCTCCAAAAGTCCTTCTACTCCCCCATCCACAAACACAACTTCGAGCAATTCCGCTACGCCCACTCCGGTTCCTTCTCCATTTCCCCCTCGCTAACCATCGAGGAAGGAGAACTATGCTACCACCCCGAAGGCGTAGAATATGGCCCGCAAAACGACGTGGAAGATGGCGTTGAGCATATCTTACTGATTCTGCAGTTCGGGGGCACGAGTGGACAGGGGTATTTGGCTTATGAGGAACTATTGGGTGTGCAAAAAGAACTAGCGGAGAAGGGCAGGTTTGAAGGAGGGAGGTATTTTGCTGATGGGAAAGAAAAGGAGGGAGTTGATGGGTTTCAAGCGTGTTGGGAGACTGTTAATGGGAGAGACCTTGTGTATCCTGCGCCGAGGTATGCGGGTCCTGTGTTGGTGAAGCCGCAGAATTTTGGGTGGGTGAGGAAGGGTGAAGGGGTGAGTAAGAAGGTACTTGGGGTATTTACGGAGAGGGAAACTAGGGCAGAGATGTGGAAGGTTGAGGATGGGGGGAGGTTCGAGGCAAAGGCGGCGGAGGATGCGTTGCAGTTGTTGTTTGTTACGAAGGGTAGTGGGCAGGTTGATGGGGAGGAATTGGACAGGGAGAGTGCTGTTAGGTTGGTGCCTGGGGAGGAAGCTGTGATCTCTTCGAATCGGGGTATGGAAATTTTGAAATTGGTTATTCCTGAAGTACCGCATTAAGAGGACTCTAAGTAATAATCTTATAATCGATTTTTTCCTAGCAGCCTGGAAAATGGTATGTAATCCCTATTCCTTATTAGAAAATCATATTATGGAAAACCATTAATGCGGTAGAGATAGCTAAATAGATACCTGGGTAAGATCCGGAAAACACAGGAAATTCTCGGTTGCTAAGGGGCAAATGGCTCGTACGTGAATGTTCCTCAAACTTCCAATCCCTGAACTATGGATACAATACTCAGATTGTGCCCCAATTTCGTTGTCGAGAGCTGAATGTGATAGGTCGATGTTGTTGTCCACATCAGAGTCAGGTGATCCAAAGCCCGCATCTTGCTTGACCGCGTTTGCTTCTGCGCTGAGACTTCACAAAACACGACAACAAGTCCATCTGCCAGAAGATATGTTCTCAGCCTTGGAAATTTACCAGAGATGGCATGCTAGAGCCATTGCAACTTTGCCCGACCAGATTGTCCAAATTCCTCAGATCTCAGATGGTTATGGCGATTTCAGCTTCTTCTGCGTCTCCAAGGGTTGCTCTCAGTGCGTGGGGCGTCGCATAGTGAGTTCACCAGATCTAGCTAGTGAAGAGTCACCAACACATACAAGGTAAGTACTCCTCGAACTTGATCTGTCAGTAGATCCCACAGCGACTTTGCATGGCTTGTTGATGCTCCAGCTGGAATTGAAGGTCAATGAAATACTTGAGAAGTATGTTTCATGTACTTTATTGACCTTCAAATCCTGGGATCTTAATCACACCATTCCAAGGCGATTTGCGTTGACTGTACGCACTGCCGGCCGACAAGATTTCTGACTGGTTCATAGACGTGCCTTCCGTTTTCTTGATCTTCCTCGAGATGTCCGGGATATGATCTACGACTACATCGTCGATCCCTTTCGCCTCAAATGCCGGAATGATAGGATAGAGGTTTCGATTCGACCAACATGGGGAGGCCGATGCCATCCTCTCAGAGACGGCTATACTTTGCGTATTATCGACTCGAAGTACCCCGACATGATCTATGACCATGGCAAACATCCTCTCATCTTTCGCGCTGTAATATCCTTGGCCCAGGTCAACCACCAAATCCGAACTGAAATTGGACACTTCTTTTGGAAAAATACTGTACTAAGCGCAAGTGGTGAAGAGGGCCAATGCCTGTTGATGATCGACCTTTTAAGAGACCGACCTGCTATTCACAGGGGTATCAAGAGCTTGATATTGTCTTGGACTTGTGGAGAAGGTCCGATGTCCCTGAACGATCATGTTCCGGAATTCTGCGAATATCTTGCCAAACATCTGGCTCTTGACGAGATACAACTTGAAATCTGGACCACTCCTTCGACCGCGAGAGAAATTATAGAGCTCCAGGAATCCATAGCTTGGGTTCAAGCGTTCAGGAAAATCACTCGGAAGGAGCTGACGTTCGCCTTATACCTTTCCAATGCGGAGGATCTGCAACTGGAACTCGAGATGGACTTTAACTCAGGTTGGCATTCCGAATACGAGTCGGTCGATCTCACAAACGGTTCAAATAGCAATGACAGCGGCAGCGCAGACGGCGCAGAAGATGGCATTGACAGTGCCCATTATAGTACCGATATTCCCAGCGAGGTTGACTTCGAGGAAGGTACAACTCAATTGACGAGCGGTGATCAGACTAACAGCCACGAAAGTGAGAGGGAAGATGACGGCAATGAAGATAGTGTGAGTATCCAAGAAAGTGAAAGCGAAGACAGTGAGCGCGAAGACAATGACATCGATGAAGACATTTTGAGCATTCAAGGAAGTGAATCCAACGACGACCTTCGTTCAGATCTTCAAGAAGGAATGCGCGTCGCTCTTTCTGCTCCACCAGAGACTTCGACAGAGGCTGTGTATTTGCGCTCTCGCCTCTCCTCTCTTGCACCGCGACCACAAGGATAGGAGTTGAACGCAGCCATGAAATGTCATTGACATTCGCAGATCAAGCGGAACGCTGTACATGTATTCAGTGTGCCGGTCGATGTTTGTCGCACCACAATTGCATCCTAGAAGGACCTGCTCTCGAGACAAATTCTTACCGTACTGTTGTGTTCTATGAGAATCTCGTGGCGAGAGGTTCGAAGCTTGGTAGTCTTGACTTGTTGGATTTGTGGCTATTCTCAGAGGGAAAGAAAGGTCGTCTGGTCGCCAGAGAGAGCAAGACTCGGATATGATATCTACTCGTTTCTCTTCATGGGAGATTTCATAGAATGTCTTGGACTGTTTACTCAAAATCGTTGTGTTTGGAAAGTGGGCATCATGAGTAGTCTGGGACGGAATAATTATATGTTACAAAGGAACAAGAACGGCCACTGAAAGAAAAACTACGTGCTACTTGCTCGCTTATTTCAATCGAGAACGTCCAGGTGACCCAATTCTTCAAGAGCTTTATTTTAATATACCTACTTGTAGGCCCATTACTGCATGCTTCTTGGAAGTTAATTGAATCCTTATTGAGGCATTGCTTACATCGTTTAGAGGTTCAATGACATTTTGTTTGACTTTCACCGTCCGAAGTATTGAATTTTGTTGGGGAGCTTTTGCTCAGGCACGCAATTAGCGAAGCCGAAGTTTTACCATGCATAAAAAATTCAAAAAAAAATAGATATTTTGTCCTCTGTGAGGCTCGAACTCACGACTGAGATAATGTTAGTATTATATTTTTGGAATTATATTTGAAGAGGTACAAACCCTTTGGATCACCAAATTGTTTAACAATTCAGTCATACTTAACATATGAGACCAACGCTCTACCGGCTGAGCCAAGAAGACATCCGATTTGTTTCGAATTTCGTTAAGCAAACTCATCAAGCCAGTTCGCAGAAAGGTCTTGCTAGAGATTAGTGGAAATTATCACGTAATAGAACACCTAAAATAAATACCCAGGGGGAAAATTTGTTTCGATTCTGCAACTCAATCACACTTTCTCTATTGTATCTCAGTGTCCCGAGAGTTTCTTATATCTTAAACTTCTTTGTACGCGTCTTCTTTTTCAAGGTCGTGACATTCCTAGGTTGCATCACGTGAATACTGCGTGATCATCACAAGTGCGCCGGAAGGATTGGGTAGGTATACAAAGCCCTTACCGCTCTTTACCACGTCCTTCCTTAGTTTAGTTTGGTCAATAATATAGCCTTTGCTATGATACCAATTCATCGTGTTCTTATGCTATTGAATTCGTGACATCCTTGCTATATACGCCCTGCAATCCGTCCACCGTCATGACGGGAAACATTTCTCTGCATACTCAACTTTCTCCTTTTACTGCCCTTACACAATGTGAAAAGAGATGGGTGAAGCTCGTCCTCAAATGGAGACTTAAAACGCTAACCTACGGGAGCAATATGTTCAAGTAGCTCCAGGAATTTCCAGGGTTTAGCCAGGATTCCTGGATTTTCACTAGATTCTATTGAAATTTAGTTTTTTTCAACTCCATAATATTCTTAAATCTACTAAATTGTCCAGGATCCTCCAGAAATACTGGAATTCGAATATTTGATCAAATAAATCCAGGAAATCCGATAAATAGTTTGAAAAGTTAATGTAATGCGCATGCCTCCTAGCATTCCTAAGTTTTCAGCCCTTAGTACGTCCTCTCCCTCTGAGTAACTCCTCTCCCTCTGGGTAAGTCTCGGTGCACGCAGATTAGGTTTTTTTTAGTAGGCAATTTTCCCGGCAGATTCCTAGAAAAAAAAACTAGAACTTAATCTTCTAAAATAGTCCTGGATTTAATTATTTTCCCCCTGGATTTTAAATCCAGGAACAAACCAGGATTCGCCCCCGTAGGGCTAGCTCATAAAAAAATATTTCTTAAAGTTTTTGATCAACAAAAAATTTTCACGTGACTACTCGGTGAAACTCCAAAATGAAAATCTCGGACCCAACTTGACTCAACCCTCTTTCATTTTACACATATATTTCTTTAAAGGCTCCCGTTTATTCAAAGCAAAGCGGCTGCTCATATGCGTTGACTGCAACGGAATCAGCTCATTGGTAGAATAATAGAGTAAGATTGGGGTCCATTTTGGTTGTCATGCTTGATTGTGCATTTGAATCGCTGATCATTCAGCCCTAACAAGGGAGCAATCTTGCTCCTCATATAAATACAACATGGGTAAGATGCAGTGTATTCCGCGAAGGAGCAGGAGGAGCTCAAGAAGGATCAGGAGAGGGAAATCATGACGTAAGAGCTGTAAATTGTAGATTTGTTCTACATGTAGATCCATGTCCTTCATTCTCGACTGGTGAGCTTTACCGACAAGTGTCGCTCGCAGCTGAAAGAAGAATGCTGTATATAATGGTCAAAGCTCTGCTCTCAGGTGTATATCTTTATCGCAGCATCCGCAGATTCATTTTACATCATGGTTGACAGCGCGACAGTCATCGCGTTGGTGGTTTCTCTCGTTGCGCTTTTCGTGTCATTTCTACAACTGATCGGTCAGTTGTTCGGCACAGCAGAGGGCTATCGACGCTGCAGAAGACCGTTCAGTAAGTCTCAAGTTCTCGGAGAAGAACTTCCCTTTCATTGCCGTCTCTGGAGTCATGCTTCAGGGTAATAGGTCTGAATACCAGAATGTCTTAAAGTAGTATACTGATTCCAAGGTTTTGATCACAGTTGGGCCCTGGTATGCTCTCACTAAAAGTCATTGGCTGTGGTCCGAATTTCGATACGAGATATTCTACACAACACCAGATATTCTCCTGGTAGATAATTCGGCATCGAGCGGGATTACAAAAGCTGAACATCTTTGGAGACTGAACTCGCCGCATTTCAATGGGCGCTCGAAACGCGTGCAAGCTCGAAAAGATCCAACTTTTCTGACGGTCCACGGCGAAGAAGCCCTGAAGCTTAACAATCTTCGATGGAAGGAAAGAATTCCACGAATATGCAAGAATCTACTGAAGGGAATCAAGCGTCACGTCTGTCTGCCATTCCACTCCAGCGACATCGAAGAAGATGAAGAAGACCGAGGAGAGACTGCTGAGCTTGTCGTTTCTTGGATCCAACTATTGAGAGAACTTCACGATTTATATCGTCAGTACGAAGTGACAAAAGAGTGCGAGTGTCGTGCCCAGCTGACCGCAAGGAGCGTTGGATAGCCCAGCGCCCATCCGACCCTTCTGCTCACGAGACGGCTGTAGTTGTTCGGCATCGCAGGTACTCCTGGGACCTCATTCCTCAGGGCGTCACCCGACCACTGGCGACTGCACGAGTCAGTGATGTAGTGATACTTGGGCTACGTCTTGGAATGGAGTGGCGCGAAATCAAGCCTCGAGACTCGAAAATGTATGCCGATGGCAATGGCTACAGTATTCGTTCGTTGGATGTCCCGGCGGCTGGATGCATTCTGGCTTTCGAAAAATCCAAGTTACATTCAACAGGCGAGCATTCCCCAGACCCAGAGGCCACAGGGTACCCGCTGTATATACCTTCCTCCACGGTGGATGCCATGGCGTGTAACGTCCTGTCTACTTGTCCAAGGTTGATGGGAAGACAAAAAGAGACGACAGATCCTGGAAATGAGAAATCAACCATGAAGCCTGACAAGACCGCTAAACCAATCCGATTCTTCATGGTAGACAAAGAACGGATAGTTCAGGTCTGGGTTCTATTGAGCTTCCTTGATGTTCCGGATGAGATATGGAACAAAGGCAGTGCACTCGATTTGCCCGCAATTGCACCTGAGCGCCAGCTCATAGATTGGTTGAGACCATGGCGACGAACAGCATTCAACGATTTGATCTTCTTGATCACGCCATTTCTACCCATCGAGGGTGTACCTACGATCAAGGTGTTGTTCAACGGATTCTGCGGTATGCAAGCTCTGAGTGTTTTCAACCATTTCGAAGCTCGCATAGCGCTACTTACACGCATTGAGAAGCGCTGTCGGCCTATTGTCGACTCAAAATATTTGTCACAACTGGATTCCAACGAGAAAGAGAAGATTTTGTCGCAACTAAGCCCCGATGAGAGAGATCTTATAAATGTCTACGAGGATTTCCGGAGTCTCGAGCGAGATTGGGCAGGAGATTTATACATGAAAGTATATGGAAGCCCGGCCGCTGTCGGCTATGGCCGAGCTGGAGAGGGCCTTAATCAGAAGCGGCGACTTGAATTGATCGAATTTTGCAAAGAGAAGCACGAGAACACCACAAAGTACTTCGAAGGGTTGGCGGCATCGTATGGACTTAGCTTCAAACAACTGTTGAATGCGCATTTTGTAATAACCGCGAAGGCTTCGATGGAGATGCAACGAGATTGGGATACAGGCCAACAATTCAGGAACGATAAGGAGTGGAGGAAACTGTATCCAGGCGAAACACCATACACGGAACGATCTCATCGTGCTCTCTGGGACCTTTGCTTTCGAGAACTGTTCGCCATCGGCTGGAAGTATGTTGACTGTGTTGAGAGATGGGACCTGTGTACACATTTGAAGGACACGTTTGGTTGTGAGCTGTCGCCTACGAAGGTCGAAGCTATTTGGTGGCATTTGATGCTCCGAGGTATCGTGCAAGGGATGGTTGTAATATTTGAAAATGGCAGAGTTGTTCCGTCATATGTTTATGGGGACAACACAACAGTGTACTTTACATGATAGCAAATGACATTCATAAATCCTCTATCATCGCTAGGCGAGGTGAAATCGATGGGGGCAAAAAGGGGCTCGCTCGCTTAAGCTGCATCCACTCCGTGAAAATTCTGCAAAGCAAATTCTTCTGCAACACAAGAACAAAACAAAATCAAAACAAAAAACATACAACAGCAGGGATTCGCTGGTGGTCTCCCACCCAACTACTGATCTGCCGGTCTGATGTTTATGGATGGCAGAGCGGACGGGATGCCCAGGTTTCATCAGCCTATGGTCGTATGTGACAGCCATTGTACTTGTTTGGCACCATGAACCACAATCCTGTTGCTTGGGAACTGCCAGTTTGGTGCTGTGGACTGAGCATAACTGGCGAGAACAACTATAATTAACCATAAAGGTACCTGTCTCAACAATATCACAAGTAACGTTACGAAAAAGGATCAAGAACCAAGCTTGAGCATTGTTGACGCTGGTACAGACTTCCTTGATATATGCCCGCACTCTAGCACTGTTGTGCCATGATTTCGGGTCAGCGCACAGGGCCTTCTAGGGGCGGTACATCCCGACGCAATACCGTGATCAGCCTGAGTGGGTCTGGATCAGTCTCTAAGCGAGTGCATGCACTCCCCGAATCCGGCTTACACTAGTTCTGGCTATTGCGCGTACTTCCTGTTCGAGCTATTTGTGCCCTGATTAATGGCCATTCTGACGTAGGGATATTCTGACGTCGAAAGTCGATGGGATGTTTCGTGAAGGTGCGGGGTATATAACGAGTCTGAGCAGCTGCTTAATTCTATTCCCTTTCTAGCAACTTTTACATTTCTCTCTCAAGAATCATTCTATATCTTAAGAAATACCTCGTTTATTAAAGTCAGCAATCAGATCAGTCAATCAACATGAGCAATCTACTCAAGAAAGTTGAAGGCAAGGCCGAACAGTACCTTGAGAAGAAGCAGGGGAACCAGAACAGCAACACTGGAAATTCGTATGGTCAACAACAAGGTCAAGGATTAGTATGTTCCCCGTCTTCGACTATTGTCTTGCTGTTCAACACTCCATATTGAAATTCATTATGAATCTTGCCAAGTCAGGGGTAAAATTAGACTAACAACGTTCAGGGCGGCCAACAGCAAGGCGGCTCTAACTTTGGAGGCCAGTCACAGGGCGGGTTTGGAGGACAATCCCAAGGTGGTGAATTCGGAGGTCAATCTCAAGGAGGTCTTGGCGGACAGTCACAGAGTGGTGAATTTGGAGGACAGTCCCAAGGTGGATTTGGAGGACAGCAGGGTGGTGATTTCGGAGGACAACAAGGCGGTGATTTTGGCGGACAACAGGGAGGAGGATTTTCGGACCAGAGCGGAATGGGTCCAGGTGGTGGACAGGGAGGAGGATTTGATGATCAACAACAAGGCGGAGGATTTGGAGGTCAAGGTGGGCAGGGCGGCGGAAATTTTTAAATCTCAAGGATTCTCACTTCTAGTGCTTCGACGAGTTGTAATATATTTGAAGTAGCATAAACCAATCCCTTTGTGTTATGCTAATACTTATGATACTCGGAATATGCGACTCGAAAGTAATGCATGCTAGACATTGCGCAAGGTCAGTTCAAAGATTGCAAGCGGCATGATATCTTCTCCATGTAGTCGAAGTTAATAGGGATGTGATCCTGAGGCGGGGTAGAACATCAATTTCGTCTGTGCTCTTGCAAGATTTACCCCTCCAACGTCTCACATTTCGACCATTCATTCCTTATGGAGGAAAGTGAAACGAACTCGGTACCTTCATCCTCGGCCAAGACCAAAGTCATCACGTTCTCTTCGTTGAGACTCCATTTCAAGTTCAAGCTACTAATCGTTGACTTCACATTGGTACTGTTCAATTGTTTTGATCTGAAGCTTCTAGTTTATGTGCCATTTGGTGTTGTATTGCTGACCAAAAAAACACTGTGCATCCTCTATATCTTTACTGCAAACGTGAAGCCGATGTGATAAGAGATGTAGAGCAAGCACGTGTAATTACATAAGCTTGCAACAACACAGCTTCTATCGTAATGTTTGAATGTAACCATCCTTCTCTTCCTATTCAGGTACATTCTCACCGGTTGTGGTGGATTTTGGTGTCAAGTGTTTACATAATTGAAGAGTGGGGTGCTCGTGATGGGTTTTCGCAACCTTCAATCAGTCGTCTGGAAGACACATCAAAACAAGAATCCATTGCTTCTTTCAACATTCATTTCTCTCATAGCCCGCTCCAAGACTCGTCACTCAGGTATCCATTGCAAGATGGGAAACGCATACGCTCCACAGATTGGAGACGAGGTCTCCACCCTCGATACCCCATCCATGATCGTCGACCTGGACTTGATGGAAGCCAACATCAAGAAGCTTATGTCCAAGCTGCTGCCCCTGGGTGTCAACATCAGACCACATCTTAAGACCACCAAATCTGGCATCCTGGCCCAGAAACTTGTCGCTGCAGGTGCGAAAGGTGGGTGCGTCGCCAAACTCAGCGAAGCGGAGGCCATTATTGCCGCATCAGGCTTCGACGACCTCCTAATCACGTGTGAGATCATCGGCCCTGTGAAGGTCAGAAGACTAGTCGAACTATTCCGCAAACATAAAAGCATTCGAACTGTGGTGGACAGTAAGTCAAACTGTGGAATATCTTAGAAGCTGAATCCTCGGAATACTACTTCTAGAAGCTCGCTTCTGTACTTTACTCATCATATACTGATCTGTGAATAGGTGAGGTGGGAGCCAGCGCCATCAATGATGCTCTTGCGGATTCTGGCATTGAGGAGCCTATCAATGTTTTGATAGACTTGGACGTGGGACTTCATCGCACTGGCGTGAAACCCGGGGAGCCAGCATTGGCATTAGCACAACACGTTGCAGGGCTGAAGCACCTGAAGTTGATCGGTGTTCAGGGCTACGAGGGACATTTACAGCATCTACATGACCGCGCGGAGCGAGAAAAGGAGTGCCGAGCCTCGATGAAGACCCTAACGGAAACGGCTGAGGCGTTTCGGAAAGCCGACCATGATATCCAGGTCGTGACCACGGGAGGGACTGGCACTGCCGAGTTCTGCGCGACGGTACCAGGCGTGACGGAGGTACAACCTGGTTCCTTCATCTTCATGGATACGGACTACCGAAATGCTGTCGGTACTTTCTACTCAAACAGTCTCACCATTCTAGCGACTGTGCTCAGCAGGCAAGGCCCCCGGGCAGTCACAATCGACACTGGCTTGAAATCCCTGACGACTGACAGTGGGCTTGCGGAGTGTAAGGACGCGAGGTACCAGTATGGTGTTCTCGGTGATGAGCATGGCTCGTTGACTTGGGAGCATGACGGGCCCGGGCTGGAGGTTGGTGATCGTGTTGAGATGATACCGAGTCATATCGACCCGACCATCAACTTATTTGATGTCTACTACGCCTATCGAAAAGGTGTGATAGAAGAAATCTGGTCTGTTGATTCGAGAGGAAAGGTACAATAAGCAACAGTACTGCCGAATATCACTTCCAGGGCTTTCGGTACCTGCAACTAAAAGTCAAAATGTTCTTTCCGTTTCTGACTTCTTCATGAACTTCCAGACTGATGTTTTTGAGTCATGCCAGGATGTCAGAATGGCTGTTCTCATAAGACTCCTCGAGCATTTCACCAAGTATCTATGTTTGTGTCACGATGGACTAGCAAAACGCTCATCTTCTAAAGCGATATGTTCATTCAGATCACGTCCCCTTAGAGCCTCTGTATATTTGCTGCTTCTCATTCTTCTAGAGGTACAAGGGATCCGAATTTCTAGTTATCAACGTTCGTCTCTCATTCCAATTAAGAATCAATTATTCGCTCTACTACACTTCTGTCGTGTTCTCTTTCGTTGCTCGCGCAGTCCTAGCTGCGTCGGTCAGAATCATGGACCTGGGAATGCCTAGCCATGTTTCGTCAACAGTTGTCAACGGTATGGTTTTCTTGGCCAAGAGGTCCCTGCACTGAAATATGATACACATGTCCGTTACAATTTCTTTTTATCTTTTTGAAGTTCTTCTCATCAAGAAGACCAAAGATGAGAGTGGAGCCACTTACGGCCTCAATATTACGCTCTCAACCTACCTCGCCGACTTGAACTGCACCTACAATGGAACCTAGATTGAGCGATTTTTTGAGAAGTATTCTGCAAACGTTTCCATCACCGCTTCCGGCGCCGAGAACTCGCAATTCACAGATCGCTCTAAGGTGGGAACCTGGTTATGGTCGGAGCTCTGGAAGAAAGCCTCTACAAAGCCTATCTTTAACTATTTCTGGGACCACGTGCCTTCAGGACAGGATCGAGGCGCATATCACGAGTCGGAGATCAACTACGTTCTGAACAATTTGCACGATACCGATTCTCGGTGGAAGGCTACTGATTATGAAATTGTTCATGTCATGAATGGTTACTGGGCTAATTTCATCAAGAAGGGAAATCCTAATGGTCCTGGTATGAATACTAGGACAGCTGCTACTGCGACCACAAATCAAAGTGTACAACGAGTTGGGAATGGGTTTGGTCCTATTCCCGTTGCTGATCCGGCTAAGGTGTCTCTTTTCAAGGAGTGGTTTGCTGGTTTAGTAGCAGATTAAGTTTTTGCAATTAACAGACAACGGAGTTAAACATTATTGGGAATTGCCATCTAACTGTCCCATCACAATAGAATCATCAGCTAGAGTTGATCTCACTTAATTTTCATCTGAATTAAGCCTGGATGCTTCGAGATATTGTGTTCAAAGTACAAGTCGTTTGTATGGCATGAGTGTTCCATGGTTCATACACTCTTGTGCCAGCATTCGGCGCGATTTGCGCTAGGCGCGCGATCCGCGCTCTGTGCGCATTAATTGAGCATATTTCCAGAATCTTGTCCTCGTTCCGCCATGCTTTCTCTATCCCAGCACAAATATGCCTTGCAATGAAAGAAGCTAGTGATCGTACGTGTTGTATCACTGGACGTCTTGACCTGATAACTGCATATATATTTGTGCGTGTGTGAGAGAAAGCGAGGATAGGGCCAAGAATCCAGGCCTTCCCCCACATCTGGACGTCTCTTTCTCCGATGTTCATTTTGGTCATGATGTATTCTGGTTGATCATCGCTCAAGATTGCTTTGTCTGTCTGATGTGATGCTTATGTGGAAAGACAGGTCTACCTCTTGGCTGCGGCTTTTCACTTGTGAGGGTCTTGAGAGGACAGGCAAAGCTGCTCACAATTGCGACTTGCTGGACTTCGGGATGATATTGCACATTCAGTGCCAAAAATATACATTTTGTTTCCAGATTATAATTCTGACATTATGTTCCTCCCTTCGTATTAGAACAATATACGTATCATCTCAAGACAATCATCGTGCCCGCAACTCCGTGTTATATTCCCACTTATTCATCATACTCATCAACCCTCTCACCAAGTTCATCCAAACAATTTACTAATCCGAAACCGACTTCCAGACTCTCTCTTAGGCTCATTAAACGAGTTCCAAGACTCAGTACGAGAGTGCATCCCCCCAGGAGTCGGTGGCTGCTGCGCAGTTTGCTGCGTCGACGGCCTCTCACTCTCCATACTCAATCTCGAAAACGCCATATCTGGCTCTCCTCTCATCGCTCTCTCAACACTCTGGTACTGTCGACGATAGTCATCGTGTTTCGTCTTGGCAGCCATGTACCGCTTCTCAGCCTCTCGCCGCCTCTCTTGCAGTGCGGCCATCTCAGCGTCCAGTCGAGCCATTTCAGCGTGTGCGTCGTTCATCTGGCTGCCGTATTCGTTGATCTTGCCATCTAAGGGTTGAAGAACGCTGGACATGATGGTGGGGCTGTTGAGGCGGGGGATAGAGTTACCCGCCGCGGTTTGAGCACTTTCTCCCTTGCGCGGCGATCCTCGCTGGGGCTCTGGACCGGATTGGGGAGGGGCAGGGTTGACTCTAGTTCTGGTATTGGGAGGTGATTGATTCGAATGTGGTGCAGATTGAGATGGTGGAGGAGCGTCTCTGCTATCAAACGGTAGATTGGTAGCAGCTACATCGGCATCGTCACCTGACTCGTCGGTTCGTCTGTACCCACGACGTCTGGGTTGTTGTTGTTGCTCTAGTTGGCGCTGCTTAATTGCCTCATTCGTCTTACTCAGAAGCTCCTCGTGCGGACCTGGGCCTGGGTAGGGTGGAGATGGTCCTGCTGGCATGCCATTGGGAGCCCCTCGCCGGAGCGAGGCATTATTTGCGACTGGCTGTCTCGCCGGCTCTATTTGCATCATGCGTTGCTACAGAAGGGTTAGACAACCTGTATGAGAACTCTCATTGAAAGACTTACTTGACGTTGTGTTGGTTGAGAAATGGGAACCTCTCGTGTCGGTGAGCGTTGAGCTGTAGGTTGGTCGATTTGTTCGTACTCCGAATAATAGTGTGCGCTTCCTCGCCTGCGGTCGTCGACTGCACGGGGTAGTGGCTTATTCTGGGATGATTGCATCTTGGCAAATATATTCAATAACGCAAATAGTAATGGAAAGGATGAATCTAGGAATGCAGATTCCCGCGGGAGATTGATAAAGTGGTGAAAATATTCGTGGGCTGGGTGGCTATCTGTTGGCGTAATCCCAACCACCCAATTTGCTTTTGCGGGCAGACCCGACCCGCATTATTGGCCTGAGCTTCGGCATTGGTAAAATCTCCGTTGAGTCCACGACTTCAGGATGAGAAGCAGTTCTTTGGTCAATTTAACAGGTGGATTCGACAATGAAATCCATTTGAAAGTTGATCTCCTAAGATCACTTCGCCTTTCGTACTTCAGTCACGTGCTCTCGCTTCGGTGCAAGGAGGTTAGTGTGGGGCAAGGTTTTTCGACCCAGTATAATCGTACAACAGATCTTGGTGACGATCATAGTGTAACACCAGTGTGCCGAGCCGGGTGTCTGTTATTCTAATCCAAATATGGTATCATAAACCTCAAATTGCCGGGGCTATGAAGTCCTCTTCCACAGCCACCACAATAATCCCGAGACTAACTTTTTATCTTCCCCAAAAATACCCCTTGGTTCCAGCCATGCCCAGCAAACAAGTTTGATATACCGGTATTGAAAGGAAACCTTTACCACTTCCTTGTCATCAAGAAGGTAAAATATTTGGATTCAGTAATTTTCCATGTTGCTGCCCCAGCGACTATGAAGCTTGACTCCGCAGTAGTAGAGAGACAAGCGAACAACCCAGTGCAGTACATAGTCTCCATCGTCGGGGGCTAGTCTCATTCAGACTTCACTGAAGTTTGCGTCTCAGGACTATCTCTGCCTCGGCATCCAGTAATTGTCCCTGGATCTTAAACGTTTGAAGAGTTGCTCGCTATTTCTGCATTGTGGAAGGTAATGATCTTCTTCTGTTCCGTAAGGGAAAACAGCTATAAAGCACACTGAAGTCACAAGTCAGTCTTCAGTTCAAGATCTGATGCTGTCGACATTTTCTAAAGGAATCGGTCTTGCGGAAAATCACTTCTCGTGATTTTCGGTGCGGTCCGACAAGGGGACGAAAACGAAGCTTCAATGAGACGTACCTTCATCAACAGCACAGACCCCACATGTTGTCCAATCAGGCCAGTCAAGCCATGAGTTCAACTCCCGTATCAGTTGCACTTCAAGACTTGCATCATCGACATCTACAGCGTTCTCATCTTCTCGCTTCTGAAGCACTATCTTCCTGACTTCATTAAGTGTGTCACAGATTTTGTGTGTGACCGTCTTGAACGCAGCTTGTATCAAATGGTCTTGCTCCGTGTGTGGCGAAACCGGCTGTAAATAATGCAAAGCACAAACCTCAACCGGATCTTGCTCATCGTGAGTGCCGTAGTCGATGAAAGTATTCACAAGCATGTTTACTTCCGACAGCAGTTTTTCTTGATCCATATCAGTAGCCAGAAATTGCAATCGGGAAGCAAAGCGCTTCACGATCATATCAGCAACTCCTTGCCAGTCGATACCGACGTTGGAGTTCGAATCTATTACCGCGTCTCGCACATCAGACCTCATTTGTTTTAGCACGTTATCGTCACTTTTCACCAGTCTCGGAAGCTTCGATTGTCCTGGATCTGGGTGCGGGTTCGACAAATTTGCAGGATAGAAAAACGCTGACACCATAGACGAGTAGTCCAGCAAAACTCGTCCAGCGCCAATACCAAAATACCGACTTCCAATCTCCCGAACAAATTCAAACAAGAACATGGTATTGAACCCTTCGGACTTCTGGATGTTAGGCCTCTGCTTGTGGGAGATAAACGTCAATCCCTCGGAAAAGTCGCATTTGATCAATTCGAAGCCACATTCCATCCTAACGAAGCCTTCCACGCCAATGTCTTTGGCTAGGTTGCAAAGCTCCGCGGCGCGCCCTCGTTCGTCCCAGACACCACCGGTGAAGTTCAAAAGCAGAATATCTTGCGAGTCCATAGTCCCTCGATCCGAATTTCCAGCAGCCATTCCGTCCAGGTAGAGAACTTTCAAAGGGCGATTCGCTTTATAGATATGCAAGTAGCCTGGTATATATTCGTATTCCGGCTCATCCAAGGTCCAAAGCTGGTTGGGAGAAATTTTCCTCAGATCCACGTAACCTTCGTCGCTCACTTCAACTTTGTCGTCATCACCATCTCCTGGGGGTTGGGGTCGTTTCACCCTCCATCCTACAGCAAACATTTCTGCATGTGGAATCTCAAAGGCAATCCATTCTGGACCTATGGGAATTTCGGGTATGCGATTTCCGTGATACAGTAGGGTGCCTTCTGGTATATAGGCAGGGAAAAATGACATCCCGTTATGTTGGATCGAAGAGCCCCATTGTCTCATCGACGAGTGTACTGCGTTGAAGATAAGGTTTGCATTCTCCGTGGCACTTGCTATGCTGTGCCCGTATTCATTTTGAGAACCCAGTAAAGGTTTCTGGGACGTACTTGCAAGTGCAAGATTAAGCAGGCTTGCGAGAAGTATGATAAACCTCATCTTGAGTTCTAGGTGAGGTCAAATTGAGGGGAGTGTGTGGAAACAAGATCAAAAAGGCAAAGAGACTAGGCTACAGAGTTGAGAAGAGGATCGCCAAAATTTTGATGCTGTTGCATTGTGTCAGCTTGCTTACGCCGCTAGGGGTAATGCTTGTCCGATGGAATATACCCAATTGGCCCGATAAGTGAATGCTCATGCTGTCCGATATTTCCGAGAGCCCTCTATCCTGTTCCAGGAGGTTGTGAACTCGCATGCCACGATCTCTTTACACAGTTGGGATTGGATGCTCGGATACAATTATCTGGACTCTTTGCTTGATTTCCGATGCCTTAGTCGGACATTTGTTTCGGCACCTAATGGCCATTCAGGAGGCGAAGCGATAACAAATATGGCTAGCTCCATTTGTGGGTCCCTTGTCCCGCCACATATCTTTTCAACGACATCTCTTCTGCTCAACAGTTGTCAAATTGAAGTACGTTGTACTGTTATTGTTACAAGTTTCATTTCTATCGCAAGTGCGAGTATATGTCATTTGTGCAGGTTCTAGCGACAACCTACTCGTTGTTTCCTATTCAGAATCAAGTCTGCAGTTGACGTAACGCGTGTTTGTCGCGAAGAGACGCGGCTCTGCTGCCCAGTATTTAAGACGAGTTTTTGGACCGTTAAGATGTATGTTCTCATTCTTTTCTCTTGTTCTTGATGTCTTGAAGCCATTTGGATATTGTTCTTGGACTGGAAGCAGTACACAGCGCGTTGACGGCTCAGTTCCGTTATCTGCACATCGAGACTTCGATGCCCACGATTCATGGAGTCAGAGCCTTTGCTATCTCGAATTGCGGTCTCAAGTCGAAATGCGCCTCTCTTCAGAGATCGTGCCATGCAGCAAGCAATGTGCAGCATTCTACGGACTTCGTCCTAAGCCCCTCGCGATGCCTCTTCGATCAGCCTGCTACAGAGCTTTGAACGACGGCCACACATAGAATAGCGGCATTGATTGGCTACATGGAGACTCTGCGATAGCAAGTATATACAGTCGATGGCCGTAGGAGGTTGGTTTGGGGTAGCTTTTTGATATTGTTTAGTTCAACGCTCTATCACAAGAACCATACCAGATATAGTTTCTTGTGTCACAAATCGAAGCATTGAGATCGGGTCTCACTTAGTATAGTCTCCTATCTATCTCGAATTGACCTTGGGCGCTCTATTCCACTGAGTCGAGAAATTTTTCAGAGAGGGTAGCAATGACCCAGACACGATTCAGCGTCTGAGGCTCGGCAACCACCAACTTAGTGGCAGCACTTTCAATACCACCAAGCGATAGCTCTTGCAATGCCGTTTACCCAAACTCCTTGGCTGGAGCGAGCGAGTGATTGCAGTCAATTAGAGCCATGCGCGAGAAGTATACAACGTCCCCTCTAAACCAACTCTCCCTCCTATCATTCTCCATCAGACCACCACACACCACCACTTCTACACCCCGGTCGTCTTTCTCTATTATCGCTCTTCCTCATACTCGACGCTCTCTTCTTACATTTTGCGCACAAGGACGGTCGGTAAGAGACCCTCGATACCAGGCTATTCGCATGCTCTCTGACATCGTCCCTGACCACTTCAGTCTCTATCAGCAGAGGCTCATCCTCACACCCCTTCGACGACCTCACACATCCTTCTCGGCCCTATACTCCATCGTCCCCGATCTCCATCCTTATACATATTGCTGATCTCGAGTCTAGATGTGCATCATCGCCACACACATCTCTTCTCACTCCTCCTCTCCTCCTCTCTTGATTGGTCCGTCACATATCATTCATCTTCATCCGTCTCCTGCATCTCCTCCTTTGTTTGGTCCGTCCCATCCACCCTATCTTCAATCCGATAGACACGCGACAGCGACCCCTTGCGAGTAACGACTTAGCACTACGTGGGTACTGGTGGCCTGTCACACTACCGGTAGCTCTCTGAAGAGTTCGACCTTCGCGATGGTAGAGAGCGGGCAACGTCTAGTGGCGGCAAGCCGAACTTCGTACGCGTGCTTTTTTTCCTTTTTGATATTCTTTCTTGATTGTCCTTGTTGGTTTTGTTCTTTGATTTTCCAACTTTCGTACTGTTGTCGTTCGCACATTGTCTTCAGTTTGCTCATCGTCTTTGATTTCGCAGACCGTCTTGAATTCCGCACATTATCTTCTGAATTCGTACTCATACTCAACCAATTGCCCTGGCGCAATACTGGTGAGTTTCTCCACGCCTTTCCAGACTAAAACCACCTGAATATCTTTGCATATGCTGTCGCGCCGTACAAGCTTGCCGAATTCGATTGACAGATATTGTAGATTCTCAGGAACTCATCTCAAACGTGTTTCCCTGGAAGCAGTGTGAGGGCAGCTTCTGAGCAACAGATAGAATAGATACACTGAATCATTATTTCGAGACTTGTACGATAATGATCGAGTCGTTGAGATATATATTGAACACCGGGATGCAGTCAAGGCCGGCAATAAAACGGCAACACAACACGTTCTACTTGGAGACCAATCGATGAGAATCCGTGAGGGTCGCAGAAGGTCTAAAGTATTGTACAAAGCGGGATACCGTTTACAGAGTACGGAAATTCTGCTGATGTTGCAGCTATTGTGCAATGCAGAGCAGAGCTGAACGCTTCCTCTTCGATGGCCAGCATTGGGCTTGGTCTCAGAGATATTGGTCTCAGGCGCTGCCATTCTGCTCCATTTGCACGAGACGCTCGAAAGGCTCTTAATTGCAACGGAAATTTGTGAAAACCGAAAAGAAAGTCGGGAACTTGCGAGCAATGAACGAGACGGATTTCGAGAATGAAAACAAGGAGAAAGAAGCGAAAGGGGTCAAAAGGCAGGCCTTGTCAGAAGAAACATCCTGATCGCAAGCTATCGAGATCGTTCCAACCGGTTCTTTGAAAGAATACACTCGCCACTACTTTACAATAGAAAACACAAAGAAACAGCAATTGAATCAAAGGGAAAGGGGAAAAGAGGACAGGCTTGTGGCGGTGTGATCATGGAGTGAGTAACGTTTCCGAGGTTAGGTGAAGGGCTATTTCCATTAGATTTCGGTGTTTGACATGGATGGAGGCCTGGGAGTATGTCAAGGTTACTCTTGCTTTCAAGGACAATTTGGGAGCTGAGTTGCTGGGACACTCTTTGATTTCGGCGCTCTAATCGTTGTCATACCATAAACTGATTTGCTAATACAAGGGACCAGGACTAGTTGGGTTTGGTCATTCTTTGAGTACATTTGTACCATCCAGACCCTCGGGTCGAGGAATAAGTTATGGATCCGAGACTAACTTCTTGTACCACGTGTACTCGTGGCAAAACATGGATTTCTACCGCAATCCAATATAAACTTCCATGCATTACCTATGGCTTCGCTGCAGATCCTTACACCGCAACAGCACTTAGAGTCGTTAGGGCTTCTTTCCCGAGCCCACCAATGGCTTGACAGGTAATACAAAGCTAGGGATGGGTGTACAAGTACGTGAAATGAAGTGAACATGCGATCAAAAAGTTGAGACGAAGGACGACTCGTGGGACCCTGCGTGTGTGTGGCGTGGGTTTCCCAAGTACCACCAGTGTACCCCTAAGTACCTATACCTTCGGTTTGGTCTCGCCGCTCTTTCGGTTCAAGGTTCCGCAGTTCTTCCCTCGAGTCTTCCAACGAGTAACGTAGCATTACCCCGCAATTCGCTAAAAGCGCCAAACGAGCCCCCTGATGCGGAGGCGAGTATCTGATAAGAATCCGTGACAGGAAATACGTATTCGTAAGTGGGGTGACCTGCCTCGCCTCGCTGAACAATAATCCGTATGTGATATCCAACTCTGCTTGTATAGTGCGAGCAGCGGACGCTGGGTGTCACCTTCCATTACCGTAACTTCTTCCGAGCACAGCGACGATCAATTAATCAAGGATTGAGATAAGCACCAACAAGTGCAGGGTCTTCTGCACTATCGACAAGTGAGGTAGATCATATGTCTGTTGATATAAGTATGCACGTTCTTGGCAGAATCAATAAAAAAACACTTTACTCTGTTTATCCGCTCGTGATTCCGAAATATTGTACTGCCATGGCCTTTTGCTAGTATCTGTTTTCACCATTCTTCCCTTCGTCGGGCTTCATCATGAACGAAAAGGACTCGGGCGACGATGTCAAGGTCGCTGCTGTCGGTGAGACTTCACTTGATCAGTCGTTATCGCAGTCACCGAGCGGCGCCTGGATCCCTCCTCTCGAGTGGCTCGAACGTCTCGTGGAAGAGTACAGCGGAGCGCACAGTGGACAGAGTGAGACTTTGCCCGCTGGAACTGATCCCCACCGCGTCGCCACCGCCATCTTCACTTTGAACGAGGAGGAATCGATCAAAATCTTGAAAGCCCTTATCGATGGCCATGAAAATGACTACACGATCGACCACAACCTGATACGCCGTTGTGAGGAATTGGTGGAGGGCAATACTGCGTGTGGAATGGAATATAGTGAATGGGCTTATGTTACCTGCAAGACAGCAGGTCTCGTACACAACTGGTCTCCTTATGCTGAAGTTCGAGCCGTGACTCTCCCATACGATGATCCAGATGAGCCATGTGAGAGTGTTCGGGCCTATGTGGTCGGTTTCTTTTGGGTCTGTTGCGCGTCAGCCGTCAACACTTGTAAGTTTTATTTACTTTAGTCTTCATTGAAATTGCGTTCCAATATAGTTTCAATATTGACTCTCGGCAGTCTTCAGTCCTCGTCAGCCTGGTATCTCCATCCCCGGTCAGGTCATCCAGCTCCTTCTTGTTCCCATGGGCCGTTTCTTGGCTCTTGTCCTCCCTGACTGGGGCTTCACCTTGCGCGGCAAGCGCTACACGCTCAACCCGGGTCCATGGTCGGCAAAAGAGCAGCTCTTTGCCACTATCATCTCTCAAGCAGACTCGATTGGCAACTTCACCGGTCTGTTGGTCATGCGTCTCCCCATCTTCTTCAACCAACGTTGGGCTGGCTTTGGATTTGCGATCATCCTCGCTCTCGCAAATCAGATCTTCGGTCTCGGCATGGCTGGAATTCTGCGTCGTCTCACTGTCTATCCTCAAGAGGCAGTCTGGCCTTCCGTGCTTCCTACATTGGCATTGAACCGAGCACTCATCAACGACGACAACAAGCGCGAAGTCATCAATGGTTGGAGGATCACCCGTTTTATGTGCTTTGTGATTGCCAGTGTCTTTTTCCTCGTCTACTATTGGATTCCAGACGAGTTCTTCCAAGCTCTTCGTCTGTTTAATTGGATGACTTGGATCTCTCCTCAGAACAAGAATTTGGCTATTGTTACCGGCTCGTATGGAGGCATGGGCTTCAATCCTTGGTCCAGTTTCGATCCCAATACTTCGGGCTCTGGTGCCATGAACGCACCTTTCTTTGCTCAGCTCCAACAATATATTATGCGAGCTATCGCGGGTATAATCATCCTAATCATGTACTACAAGAACGCATTCTGGGCCGCATTTATGCCGATCAACTCTAACTCGGCATTCAACAACCAGATGAAATCGTACAACGTGAGCACGGTGCTCAATTCAGACAACCAAGTCGATCTCGATAGGTATAAGGCTTACGGACCGCCATACTACGCCGTTGCCAATCTTTTTGTAACGGGTGGCAATTTCGTATATTACACCTTCTCGATCGTCTATGTTTTCATCAAGTACTGGGGTCCTTTGAAGAAAGCCTTTGTCGGGATGATTGTCAATACCATCAAGGGTCAGTCGATTTACACGGGTTTCTCGGACGGTCATGCTCGAATGATGCGACGATATAAAGAGGTCCCGGAGTGGTGGGTAAGGAAGTACCTGATTCTTTGTCTCTCCCTTGCGATGCATTCCGCATCCCTTTTTTCTCTTTTCCTTTCTCATCCTCATGAATCATGTTTCCCGCATGCTGACTTTGATCGGAACAGTACTCAATCGTCTTTCTATTCGGTTTCGCAATCTCAGTCATCGGCGTGACCGCATGGCCCACACAAACACCATGGTGGTCAATCCTCGTCGTTGCTGGCGTCGGAGCCCTCCTCACGATCCCCTGGGTCATCATCGAGTCTATTGCATCCACAGGCATCTCGTTGAACGTGATCTGGCAAGTACTCCCCGGTGTCATCTGGCCCGGCCGTCCCCTTCCCCAGCTGGTTATCCTTATGCTCGGCGGTGCTTTCGAGCAATTAGCTGGTGGCTTTACTCAGGATCTCAAGTATGCGCACTACAGTAAGCTGCCGCCCCGCGCAGTATTCCGAGGACACATCGCGTCGTGTGTCGTCAACTGCTTCATGTACTGCGCTATCTTGGAGGTCATGCTCGTGTACTTTAACCAGGACTCGACGCTCTGCCAATGGGACAATAAGGAACACATGGTGTGCAATTATGCCAACCAGGTCTTCGCCAACGTCATCTTCTTCGGTGCCTTTGGCACGAACAACATGTTTAAACTCTATCCCGTGCTGCCCTATTGCTTCTTGATCGGAGCCTTGCTCGGCCTGGCATGGGTGCTCGCTGAAAAGGCTGTCCCGCACACGCGTCGCTACCTGCAGTCCGGCATGAACGAGAAGCAATTCTCTTCCTTCGAGCAGTACTTCTGGAAGCCAGCAGCGAGCGTCTTCTCTTGCTTGAATCCGGCAGTTGCGTTGTCTGGTGCGCTGAACTGGACTGGAAACACCAATCTCAGTTACGCGACGCTAGGTATCTATCTTGCCTGGCTTTTCCAGTTCTACCTGAAGCGTCGTTATACGGCATGGTGGAGTAAATATGCCTACCTCATTTTCGCGGGTCTAAACGGTATGTCAACTTTCCTTTCTGTTGCATTTATTTCGGGAGGCGAGCTGTCGCCTCTTGTGACATCCTATCTTCCGTCGAACAATAGACTAATCTCTCAACAGTGGGCGTCGCCATCTCCGGCCTAATCGTCACCCTCGTCTTCAGCTTCGGCGCAGGAAAAAAAACCTCCTTCAAATGGTGGGGCAACGACGTCGCGCTCGCTGGCGTCGACTACCAACTCTACAACAACAACGCAAGTCTTCTGCCTTTACCGGCCAGTGGGTATTTTGGTCTCCCGCCAGATCAGTATCCTACTGACTGGTGAGATATGGATTATGTGGGGTTGTTTTGATGGAGTTGGGGGCTAGGAGGAGGGAGCGTTGTTATAAGCGTTGAATGTTTGAATGATTTATGAGATTTATTTATGAGTAATGCAGAGTAATTCGTGTTTGAAAGCCGTAAGCGGAGTATGATTAGGTTATAGATGTGAGGTGTGAAGCCTGGAACTTGTGTCGGTCTCGAGCACGTGACTAATTCCAGTATAAATATGCGTGAGAAACTGGGACGGAAATCCTTTGTTCAACGCACCCCGGGATTTTATATGAAGATGAAAAAGTAAAGTATGCAAGTGCTTCGATGTGGATAATCGTAAACAGGTGTCAAGCGTGGTAAGAAACAGTAGAAAAAGATTGTACGGAAGCTACTAGAACTAGAAGCATCCCACTACTCTCCGCTGTGGACTTTACAGCCATTTACAATCATCATCCAATAGAAACAAATTCTGGAGGTTGTGATTCTTTCGAACAGAAGTATATACACTCATCAGAAGACCCAATCGCTATTGCAATGCAAAATATTCCGAAAAAGAAAGACGTTGCTGAAGTGGGTCTTGCTTACCACGTTTTCATTCTCCACATGGCAAATTTGTAATGGATGATCGGTGTGCTTCGTTTTCTAGTCCTCTACTCTAGAGCTTGACCTTTCGTTTTAGTCTCCGGTGGGTCCTCTCCAGCTGCAACCTCATCAATTGCCTCTGTTATGATCTGAATGCCTCTCGCCATGTCCTCCTTGGTTATGTTCAATGGCGGGATGAATCTCAAGGTGTCATAAATCGACGTCGTCAAAAGCAGCATATCCTTCTCCATACACTTAGCCTGAATCTTAGAGGCATAACCTTTCCCTGGCGTACACTCCAATGCGAGCATCAAACCTAATCCCCTCACATCAAAGATCATCTTCGAGGTCTTAGGATCGTCCCTCGCTGCTTCCAGAGCACTTCTCAACTCCTCTCCCCGAGCATTCACATTCTCCAAAATTTTCTCCTCCTCAAAAGCCTTTGCCACAGCGATCGCAGCTGCGCATGCTACGGCATTACCACCATAAGTCCCTCCCATAGATCCAGGTTTCTGCAAATCCATCAACTCCTTCCTTGACACGATACCAGACAAGGGGAATCCGTTGGCGATTCCTTTAGCCATGATCAAGATATCAGGTCGCACACCATAATGCTCGATCGCGAACATCTTGCCGGTCCGACCATATCCGCATTGAACTTCATCGGCGACCAGGAGAATGTTGTTTTTGTCGCAAATCTCCCGTACTTTGTCAAGATACCCAGGCGGAGGAGGAACATATCCTCCTTCTCCTAGAACGGTCTCAATAACGATGGCGGCTGTATCGGATGGAGCAGTTTCTCGCTTCAGGAGCAATTCGAGCTGCAAGACAGGATCCATGCAGCAATTTTCGAATCCATATTTTCCGTCCGAATGAGTTGAGATTGAGCATTGCTTGCAGTAGGGGAATGGAACAGCAAACACCCCAGGCATCAATGGAGCATAGTTCTCTCCATACACCGTCTTTGACCTCGTCATCGCCATTGTTCCAAAAGTTCTTCCGTGATAGGAACCTTGCATGACGATAACATTCTGTTTCTTTGTAGCGTGTCGAGCGAGTTTAACGGCAGCTTCAACGGCTTCTGAACCCGAATTCCAAAAGAAGAAAGTATCAAGTGACTTATGAGGCATGAGGGGTAAAAGTGTCTGGATCAGCTCGAGGTACGGCTGATGGAAAGCAATGTTGACCTGTCCATGGACTAGCTTCCCGACTTGAGCCTGAGCAGCTTTCGTGACTGCAGGATGGCAATGTCCAAGATTCGTGACGCCAATTCCTGAAGTGAAGTCGAGCATCTTTCGGCCTCCAACTGCGGTGACATAGCTTCCGGAACCGCTCTCGAGGACTTCTGTTGAGAGACGGCCGATTCCTTTTGCGACGTGCTTCACACCGAATTGAGCGAGCTTTGATAGACTCATGGTGACTTCGTTACCACAGCGGATTCTTGCTTAGGAGATGGAGACGTCGAGTTCCAGACAGGAATGCCAAGATTGCGGGATCCAAGCTGTTAGTGGATCTTTAGCGGGATGACGGAGTCTCACTCGAAGCGAGCCAATAAGAGCCGATACATATGTCATGAATCGTGAATACAAAAAACAAATTAAGAAATGCATGGGATTCGGTTTTTGTTGTGACTCTTGTCAATCGACTCACACGATACATTGAAAAGAATCCCAACAACAGAATGCTGTCGATAACAGCATCCGGAGGGGCATCACGGGCTTGAAGATCATGTGACCGTGAATAGTTCAAAGAGCGGAAGCTGAGGACTACATTTGTACTGCTCGACGGTTCTCGCCTTCAGTGTTCTAATCTTCTATCACGATCTTTCTCATGCCTTGTAAGGAGTCTCTGTAGGACGCTCAGCTTGCGCCGCAATTCTTGCCAGATGTCGTCGCTGTCCGCTCTTCCAATCAACCAAAGCTGAGTGGGAAGTCACTCTGTTATCCCACACAACCACAGTCCCTTCTGCCCATTTGACTCGAGCTTGGAAGTCAGCTCCGTAGGCGATGTGGTCGTACAAGAATTTCTGTGCTCTCATGTTAGCTAGTTGCATATGTGGAATTGATGCACAGATGCTTGAGAACTTACCAACAGGACATCACTTTCTTCCTGCTTGTATCCGACAATACCTCTTGTGACTAGGGGCTATGTCAGTCGTTGCTCAATTGAGTGGCTATTAGGATGGGGCCGATGAACTGACATTGCGGGTTGACATAGAGAGCCTTCTCTCCAGTCACAGGATGTGTCCGAACAATGGGGTGCTCAGAAATGACTGGCTCTCTCCTCACAGCTCCATTCTTCCCTTTGCTGGCATTGACCTGCTCAATACCTGAGTGCGTAGCCTTCAAGCCGTGTAATCGCTCCTTGAATCCCTCGCTCAGACGCTCGTAGGCTTCGACTTGGTTGGCGAAGAGTGTGTCGCCTCCTACTTCTGGGACATCTAGGATGTAGAGGAATGTCGTTCCGGGTGGTTGAGCTTCGTAAGAGACATCACTGTGCCATGCTACGGAGCTGGTCCGGGTTTGGAAGAAGGACTCTGCGGTCTTGTCGCCTGCTCCTCGGTGGACGAGGTGAACTTCGGGATAGCCCTGTCAGAAAGTTAGTATGGTAATCTTTCAACATGCTCTGAGAAGTCTAGGTGTGAAGACACCATTTCAAGAGCTGAAGGGTAGACAAAATACCTTAGGAGCACCTGACGTAGGGTGGATATGAAGACGACCAAAGTATCGTCCATAATCCAATGCCTCACTGATGGGCAAGTCTTTGAAGTCTTGGTCCCGGAATGCGACTACCTTTCTCTCTGCAACATATCTTGCAAGTTGGTCTTTTCCTGCCTGACTGAGCTTACTGAGTTGAACTCCCGTGACCTCCGTGCCAATAGTGGGGGTAAGCTCAGTGGTGGTGACCCCGCTGTGAAGGAGATCAGGATAGCTTTTGTCGGCATCGAGACCATGATCACGATGCTCGAATGGCTCAAGAGGTGGGTAACGTTCATTAATTTCCCAGTGCGGGAGATAGTTCTGGTACTTGGCAGCGCTGAAGCCGTCCTTACCCTGCTCTTCGGTGTCCTTTTCGTACCCGATGGGAGCAAGCTCTTTGTATGTACCAGTGTTGCTGGTGAGCTTGACAGTGGTGCGAATTGGGAGGGTTTCCGTGACGGTTTCGGTTGCTGATGGAGCCATTTTGAAAGATTGAATTGATTTTGTATTGTGATTGTCTAGGAAGATGGAACTGATACTTATATCCAAAAGTCCCTAACCCCATCGCGCAATCGTTCTGGAATACACCATCATGTATGGAGCAATGACCCCGCTGCGCGACCCCTCCATGCGAGTGTCGACGTACTTGCAGAAGCATTGAGTGAAATGCAGGATTATTGGTGAATTGTTGCAGTAGATTATGTCGCAATGAGGTTAAAATATTGCGTTTTCAGGGGCTGGCCACCAGCAAGCGAGGGCGCTGGTGGGGCTTGAAGATCTTCGTCCCTATCATCATGCAATTCTAATCTAGAAGCTGTCAATGAGATCGGATGTGCGGCAAGTTGATCTTGAATGTAAGATTTATTCGACGGATGGAACGATGTTGGCACAATTCATTTGCTGTGCTCGGAGATGATAGGATGACGCTGTGTCGGCTGTGGCCGCCAGAGCGAATAAGGGGTAACTCGCTAATCTCGCCACCATGATCATATTCTTACAGAAATCGCTTCGCAGAAGAACCTTCGATGAGATCAAACATCCTTCCTCAATATGTACGCAACCCAGGGATACCGAATTTTCCAAGACATTGAGAACAATGATATATATAGAGGAAGTGAAGAGCCTTCCAAAGGTATTTGTGCATTCTCAATGATCCTCGGCCAGGTTATGGAGACTGACGTCCGAACGCTCAGAGACCATTGGACGTGTTGTCACACTATCCCCAACAGTCACGAACATCCCATTATGACTACCATCAATGGCTTTTGGTTTCCCTTGAGTCTTCTCCAATTTCTCCAGGTATCCTTGAGACACGGGCGTCACGTATCTACCGCAAAAGACACCAATCTCGAAACTTTGTTTGGATCGAGGACTAAGTTCCGCACATGCAGCTTCAAGGCCTTCTAAGGGCAAGAAAATGAGTTCGTCCGCATTTATTGATGCCGCAATGGATTTGCGATCACGATTGTATGCGACCAATTCTGTCGAAGTGGCCAGGTCAATTCCATAGATATGTGGATGGCTATGTCAAAGACCAGTAAACAAGACTACGAGGAAGGACCATGAGATGATATACGTGACGGGAGGAGAAGAACTAGCAAAATAAACCTTCTTGGCTCCCGCTTCTCGAGCCATGTTGCAAACCTGCAAACTGGTTGTACCGCGCAAAATACTGGCAAACGTTCAGCTTGTTTGATCTAGGCTCAGATTCACTAGAAAGACTACGCACCTATCATCAACAAGAAGTACGTTCTTGTCCTTGAACTCACTCCGCAAAGGATTGAGTTTCGATTGTACGCCCTTACAACGCTTTCTTGGTTAGGCATTATGAAAGTCCGAAAGATGTAGCGATTTCTCGAAAAAGCATGACGGTATGGTCGTTTGAGGGCTTCAGCAACCGACAAAGCAGGAACGATTCCTGAGTCAGGTATGGCAACGACTGCGATCAACCGGTTAGCTACAGAGGACCTAGACAGAATGCTGCACAAGAAAGTGACTAACCAATATCAATGTCGTCGACGACATCCTGACCCAAGGTCTTCAAAATTGTATTGGCAAGTTTGAGGCCCATGTTTTGTCGACTCTCATACACGGAAATGCCATCGATGATTGAGTTCGGAGAGCTGAAGTAGCAGATTCGAATATATCAGGGGTGTAACTCAATTGTAGGTAGACTTAGCGAAATACAGGCGATCCGCCCTTAGGGATGATCACAGATTGTCCAGGCTTGATATCCTCAATGCCAGTGAATCCGAGCTGATCCAAGGCCACTGACTCGGAGGCTAGCATGTAGTCCAGCCCTTTTCCATCTGGATTGAGGCGAGAACCAATGACAAGGGGGCGAATGCCGTTGGGATCTCTGGCTCCAAAGATGGCAAATCCAGCAACCATTCCGCAGAAGGCAAAGCCACTTACAGTCATCTTATACCTAATGTTTGCGAGTTAGCTTTGCTCAATCGAAGAGATCTAGAAGTTGAGACTCTTGGAAGTATACTCCTGTTAGAGACTTTTACTTACATATTCTCCAGACCAGTGAAAATATCATCCTCGTCTACACGTCTCTTGTCAGTCTGGAGCAGCTGAGAGGCAAATACTTGGAGCATGATCTCAGAGTCGCTGTCAGTATTTATGTGGCGATGCGCTTCAAAATCCAAGTACTCCTTGAGCTTTTCGGTATCCAAAAGGTTCCTGAATTTTAGATAAATTAGCAATGGACGATCTACTACGCTCTTTTCAAAGAACTCACCCATTGTGCGAGAACAAAAGTCCATAAGGACTACATCTCAGTCAGCATGAACCTCATCAGTGAGCTTTGGAAACTCACGAGCTGACGTAGAAAGGCTGACTTTCTGCGTTCGACGAAGTTCCTGCAGTGGGATATCGAAGATGACCAAGGCCCATAAATCCAGGGAGTTCGGGGACGAGTTCGCCGTCGCGGAAGACCTTCGAAGCTAGGCCTTTGCCTTTGCAAGAGTATATTCTTCCTGACTTGTGGGATGTCGCAATACCGCAGCCATCCTAGAACACAACAGTGAGTATGTGATCGTATCATGATATGAGCACGAGGAGATTCGTGATGATTCAGAAAGCACTCCTAGCAAACAGGACGGATCTAGAACAAACAAATAGAAGTCACCTTACCTGGCCACGATGTTGCAGTGCGTATAGTGCCTCATGTAAATCTACGGCAGCATCGTTGCATTCAATGTTTCCAGAAATTAAAGCAAGAATTCCGCACATGATGTTGAGAATAACGGGACTGTTGAAACTGGTGTCGCTGCAGAATAAAAATATGTTTTGAGAAAAAATAAGTGTCTGGGCAATAGAAGAATGTGTGGTGCGGAGATGAAAGGGACTTTAATTCTTGGTACCGAAGGACGGGACGGACACTAATCCAGTACCAGACCACTTGTCAGGTAGTGAACATCAAGTGTCAGAATTGACTCGCATACTCTACGTAGACCTGAATAAGCGTCTTAGCATTACCAGACTTGTCTCCCATGCGATTGATCTCTGGAAAATCATGTGATTTTACAATCCTCATCTCGACTTCGCCCCGCATTACCAGCTCTTTTCGGCTTGTTCAATTCGAGTTTTACATTCATTAGAGTCCTGTATCGGAAGCGAAAGCGTCAGTCTAATACTCTTGACAGATATGGTGACCGTTTACCAAGAATCCATTTCAAAATGACAGCATCGCAGAGCCTAACAACTTCTCTCACCAATCCAGTCCGTTATTTTGAAGAACAGTACCACAACTTTGCTCCTTCTCGGCTGTACTCCCCAATTCATAGATACCACCTCTGTTGTGAAACTCTTCCTGATCCCACCGAACTTGCTTGATAGCCTTCTGTACACCAACTTTCAGAATGGGGTCAGACACCTTCTCATCGCCATCCCCCTTGTCGAGGAAACGCATGTACTCGTCAACAAGCTAGTAACATTAGTATCGCCTCAGAAGCTTGGATTGTGTCGGCAACTCACCAGGTAGGAGCTCTTCATGACCGAGTTTGGCTCTGGAACCATGCATTTCAGATGTCGATGTCGGCGACAAAAAGCTTCGTACTGTTCATCTGTGACGATGAACTGTGTTGCATTCCTCTTTCGTTCGTCGGTGTCGTTTTCGCCGGCCACGATGAGGACTTGAAAGACTTTCCACCGGAAAGGATCGAGCTTCTGCACCATGTCTGCCATACTCTCCTGCCAGTTGAGTGAACACACAACCTGAGAGGTTGCAAAGTTAGCATTACTCGATCTGACATGGAATGAGGAATGCATGAAGAAATTCTCAGCTATTGGCCAAGGACAGTGTTCGTTTTGGCACTACCGAGGACTTGCACAAAAGGTCCGCGTTCGAGAAGACTCACGGTGTTCAGCTTGAACTTGATTCCGAGTGGCTTACACCAGTCCCTGATCTGGAATAACTGTCCCACGTTATCAAATGGCACTCCGGAGCCACGATCCGCACGTCCAATCTTAGCATTGTTTTCGGGATAAACCGAATTGCAAGAGATCCCCAAGATATCAACGAACGACCCAAACTCTTTCAACCACTTTTCCGTCACTTTGGTCCCATTGCTGATGATACTAACACTTTCCAATTGGAGATCCTCTTTGCAATATCGGCACAATGCACCTAGATACTTGGGATAGAGGAAGGGTTCTCCGCCTGAAAAATTCATCTTTTTCATGCCTGCCTCGGCCAGTAACTTGAGGCCTCTCTCAGCATCGGGGAGTGGGAGCTTGTAGCTCGACGTTTCGGTGTGGAAACAAAACCCGCATTCGACATTGCAGCGAGTGAAGTGGTAGTTGACGCTAACAGGAACGATCTCGTCCTCTTGATTGAGAAGAGATGTAGATTTGGAGCGAGTGAACCGGTATGCGGAGATTGCCAGCAGGAGGGTTGCTGCCAAAAGCAGCACGTCAAGATGGTTCATGTTGAAGGATGGACTTTTAGTTTGATCAGAAGGAGCGAGAACTAGGATGAGTAGGGAAGAGGGACATAAATACCAGAACATTTGCAGAAATCCCCTTATCACTACTCCTTGAGTCACTTTTCTCAGTCCTGAACCTTCTTTTCATGGCTGTGTGAAGGTGCTGATGATTGCTTGCGGCTGAGTACAGGCACCAAGGTGAAGCTCCACGGATCGCCACAGTTCTAAAACGCTTACAAAGAGACCCACATCATATAAACATTCTTCCTAAAGAAGTTTCTTGCTCCTGCCCAAGATAAAGGTGTTGGTGTGACAATGGCTGAAAAGCCATTCATTGTATTCGTTCTGGGTTAATGATAACTTCCTGTTATAACACTTCTTTCGCTAACTTCGCGTGTAGGACCACCAGCATCGGGAAAAGGAACGCTATGCAAACGCCTCGCAGACGCCCACAAACAGTACCTTTATCACCTATCTGTTGGGGACTATCTTCGCTACCTGATCAATGGCCCCTTGAGCGATCAAGCCGACATCATTGATTCAGTAAGGTCTGGTGGTACACGAGGCTTAGTGCGCGGGGATGTCATCGTTTCCCTTTTGTTGGATAAGATCAATGAGGAGATGGGTAAAGGCAAATCGGTCTTTCTCCTCGATGGGTTCCCTCGAAATCTGGAGCAGGACGAGGCGTTCAAAGCGTTGATGAATACCGAATTCAATGTAGGCTCTCCTAGCTCCAAGCAGTATCCCGTATTGATTTCGGGACAGCGCGGCACACCTGACCTGACGATTTCAATATCGTGTCCAAGGGAGACCGCCAGAGCAAGGTATCTCAATCGAAAAAGAGGTGATGATAGTGAAGAACTGTTTGATAAGAGGTATTCCGATTACGAAGGGCGGGATAGGAAGGTTGTAGAGCTGTATCAGAAGAACTTAGTCGAGGTGACTCGTTCTATTATTGTTCTGATTGCTTGATGCTGACTTCTGGCTTTTAGGTTAGGGCTGTTGAAGGCCGGAGCATTGACCAATCATTTCAGGAGATGACTGAGGCTTTGTATAGGACCCCAGCATGGAAGGCCATGATGTCAAAGGCGTAAGAGTAGGCGACGAAAGAACGTACTCAAGTAGGTGATGGGTATTACGTGGTTGAAGGACACAAAAAAAAAACTCTTCTTTTCGAAAGAATTGAATGGCAAAACCTTTCCTAGATACCAGCCAGAGAGTATCTAGGGGGATAACAGATTCAAGCGAGGTGTAGTGAGTAAGCATCTTCGCAGGCCGCCAATCATGCCATGACCTTGCGGGTATGGAACGGCAGACATATGATCAATACTCTGTTTGGAATATGAGACGCAAAATGTGCCCTGAAACAATGTCAATGAACAGTGAGTCTGGCACAATTTGACTGCCAATTTTCATCACTTGAAAGCCCTACTAGAGTCGATTTGCCAAGCCATCTGCGAGCCCAGAAGCGAAACCCCACCAAGGCTTTGGCGGGAACTTCAACCTCTCGGAGTCCGATCTCTTTCCAAAGTTCCGTTGACATTCCCACTAATTCAATTTTGACGACATCATCACCAATATTCCTACACATATATGAGAGCATGTCACTCATCAAAAGGAAGACGCTTACAGCTTCAGCTAACAACGCTCTACCACCAATCCGCGAACAATGTCACCAACAATAATCCTCGCTCAAACCCTCAGTACGAGCATAGTTCTCATTGCTTCTGGTGGTATTGCGTCTCTATCTCTTTTTGACCTTCCAATACTTCAATCCCAACCCGCATCCCGCTCCCTTCCGTCTACGCGCTGGCTCTTTAGTCGCGGCTCACATATTTTCCCTCCTGCATCCTTGACATCTGCACTGGGATTTCTCTACCTCTCATTTCTATCACTCGGACCTTCTCGGAGCCTTGGACAAGCACTTCGAATCATGAAGAATGGTGGAAGTCCGAAAGTCTACGGGTATCTGGCAGCAGCGATTCTGAGTTTTAGTATCGGGCCATTTACTCAGTTGGCTATGATTCCGACAAACTTCCAGTTGATTGAGATGAATGAGAAGAAAGGTGGTAAAAGGAGCGCTAGGAGTGCATTGGAAAGTGATCAGGGCGGAAAGATGCGCGAGCGCAAAGCAATAGATTCTGTGAATGGCGAGGGAGAAGGAGCGGAGTCCACAGATTTGAGTGGACCACAGGAGAGGACTGAGGTAAAGACGACGAAGGAAGATGATGCGAGAGCAAGGACGCTATTGAAAAGATTTGAGACTTTAAATGCTGTGAGGGCGGGGTTGATTGGTGCTGGAGGGATTGTGGGTTTGGTGACAGCCCTTTTGTAAAATGCCAGATGCAAACATAAAGACTGTCGATGGGGTGCAGCATTGTTATATTTAACGTACGGAATGTTCTGAAGGGAGATGAAGATGTACTGCCCAAAGTTTTGAGACAAGCAGGAACAATGAGCATTTCATCCTTGAGTCGAGGAGCAAGTTCCATGCAAACGAAAACAGGGCTTTCAGCGGCAAATATAAGCTACCACTGTTCTTGAAAATGGGATTTTCAGATCCACAGAATGTTCGCTCCTTATATTCACTTGCTTCCTGCACCTGTCGTTGGGATCTTTGAGTCAGTAGACTTCTTTGAACAACGAGGGAGTAACTTGGGTAAAGTTTGCCAGCATAAGAGTTCTACAGAAATTAGAACCCACGAAGCAATTTGAAAATGAGAACTTCAAAGAGACTACACACCTGAACACATGAGTGTCTCTGGAGGATACTCGTCTGCATCTTGTCCACGTTTCTTCAAAATGGATATACAATTTCCCGGATTAACATAGCAGCACTGCATTACCAGACACCATTAGCTCCTACATGGTTGTTTGGCGTGGAAGCCACTTGAGGTAACATTTACTCTTTTGAAGTTCCCTTGCGTGGAGTAATCCCAGTTCGAAGCCTATAATCAATTAGTAGTGAACAATAGATGTCTCTAAGCGAGAACTAACATTGCACGTTCTGGGCAGACAGAAATGACATGCGGCATCGCAGCATAGTTGAACCTCCGACATATTCTCTCCTGAGAGCTCTCGGGGACTGCGTTCGAGACACGGGCGGAGGCGAGATTACTGTGCGCAAGAAGCATAGTTGCCAGAAATGCAAGATGGAACTTCATTTTCGTTGTTCTCAATATTCTTGATAGGCCGAGGCTTGAAGCGTACGCACAGAATTAGGGGAATTCGCAGAAAACAGCACTCTTATGAAGGCAGGCATCAAATCTTGCTAATAGCCAAATACAACTCCAACATCCTTCCAACATACATTCGAAAATACTCGAACAATATCTTGACGCAAACTTAACATCATGTCCTTTAACCCAAATTTGTTCGGCAATCAGCCTGAACTCATAGGGACGAGTAATTGTTCGTAATAATATGGCAATTCGAGATGCAAAATAGGCGGCAACATATCGAGTACTGCTATACAGCACAGCCTCTGAAAGATGTCGACTTCGAGCATATTGCACAGCTTTTTCAACGTTGACATCGTAGCTGAGAAACAGACGCTTCAAAAACTTCTTTCCCGCGCTTTTCATGAATAAAGTCAACCCAGGCAATCGACCGGAGTACTTCGGACGCTTGGGACCATGATTCGATGCTAGCACGCCCAATAACTGTGTGAAGCCTGTCGGTCGAAGGAATTTCCTTGCCAGCAACCATGTCTGACAGTATTGTCAACCACAGGATGACAGGCACAGGTAATGCGTCGGTCGAAGACCCATGCGCAAATAGTCCCAACAAAGCGTCACCGTAGAGATTCAATAGATTCTCATACGGCTGTTCGATGATATGCCGCTGTAAAAAGATTGTGGAAGAAAAGACGAGCAAGCCGAGTCGGATCGCTTCCTGCAGTAAATCGCTTTCAAAAAATAGGTGGGTGAGCCTGTAAAGGATAGAGATGGTCATCTCGTTGTAGGTTTCTGGCGAAAGCTTGCGTGTTGTTTGGTAGGCCACATTACTAATGCAAGAGAAAGCATGAACATCTCTCAAAACATTGTGTAATCTTTCGTCGAGAGTAGTCTGGGCGAAGGCGAGGATGATAGCATCATGAGGCTCATGACTGCACTTTATCAGGCCACAATCTGCAATGAAACAGTCCCATGAAGGTCCCTCTCTGAAGAGAAGTGGTTGACGTCCAAACAGCAACGCATAACCCAAATCAGCCCTAGTCACAACGTCAGAAACAGGTCGTGTCTGGGCAATAGAAAGGTGTTACTCACCTACATACTTTGACCTGCATGTTATTGTTCGTGTCTAACGCTCGTACTCCACCTCGGAGCTTGACAATCTTCTCCAAACCTTTGATATGGGTCTCCACTCCTGCAAGGTCTTTCGAGATCTCTGCAATGGTTGCTAGCGTTATGACCACCATGATCGTAGAGTCAGATATCGCAGATGTCTTGTCAAAGTCGTGAAGTCGCGATTGGAGAATTTGTAGGGTTTTGGCGTAATGGAAGGTGGTAAAGTGACTTGGTTGGTCACATGAATCTTTTTCCATGAAAGCTCGAAGCGAGAACATCATAGAGTGGAGGCAACAGATGTCGCTAATCATGTATGGAAACCAGCCTCTCTCTACCGGGTGAACATCTAGACAAATCTCATACGGATATGCTACATTCTTGTTGAGGACAATCACTAGGAAGTAGTCTAGTCAGTTTCTGAGCTGGGATGTCGATGCTGATCCGAGCAAGACGCAAATTGCGATAAAACAGGCATGTGCTTACATTTTACCAAGTCTTGAATCATACATGGCTCGACGCCTGGAGGTAATTGCAGCCCAGAAAAATACGAGCCAACTAGCCTAGGAACGGGCACTGACATAGACTTCGGGGTTGGGTTGTCATCGGTGAGAACCGCATTTCGAGATCCAAGCTCACGGGCAGGATTTATCCAAGACCATAGTCGCACGACCTTCTTACGAGGGTGTACTACACGTGCTTTTGTCGCATGCTTCCTGATGGCTTTGCGATCACGTTTGGCCAAGGTCTGAACTGGTGTGCTGACGACGAAATGAAGTCCGGCACTATCTGGCGTACGTCACTCAGCTTTGTAACACTTGGGAGGAAATCTATCTTGAGATACTCACAATTAGAGCTTGCCATGGCATTATTAGGCAATTGTTAGGTGATGTGCCAAATAGGAAGCGCTGAGAAAGCTTGGCGTGATCTCACGTCTCTGGTGGCGATGGCAAGATTAGGAGCATGGATTTTGCGCGTCTGTGGAAAGAAACATGAGATCCGAAGTCAAGTTGTTCTGCATTAGATGAGATGCGTGCTGATGTTTGGAATCTGTGTGGTGAAAGAAGGATGATAGAAGCTATTCCCGAAAAGGAAATCGTGAAAAGTCTTGGCATTCTCGCTTCAACCCTGCTATCCTTGTCTCTTACCTCACCTCGCCCGAAATACAAAGCCTCAGTGAACAAATTGGAGAATTTACCAATCTGTGGCAGCCTCCAAGATGGCAACCTCGATCAGATGTAGGTCTCGGAAAGGCAATTCTGAAAAGTCTTGGCAACACTTTCTGATGGCCCCCTTTCCAGACGTGACTCCAGCTTGTCGAAAACGTCCGCATTCGAGCCCCGTACCTGCCAAATCTAATGAAATTGCTGGGCTCGTATCACCGACAGCTGCGCATCGAAATCGAAGATGAAAAGAGTCTTACAATCGGAGGATCGGAGACTCACTGCATAAAAGGAAATAAGCGGACTTGAAATATCTTTGGGTTCTCCAGGAATATAATATGCTAGAGTCCCCTTCGTTCTAGACACTCACCAATCACTGTTTTCAAAAACGCATCATCTCCGAGTTCTTTACCGCCATCTCTTGATTATTCCATAGCCAGTCTTGTCTCTTCAATCTAGCCCATCATGGTCGCTTCCAAGAATATGCCCCGCTTCCCGGACAACTTCTTCAAGGTCTTCTGTATGTGCAGCCATTTCTAGTCTAGAAGATGTTTGAGATATATCTCGACATATAATCTTTGCAGTCATCGCTAACAGTCTTTCTAATTTAAGGGAACAATCAATTTCGAGTCAAAATCGAACTCCCGACTCGAAGCAAGTATCCAAGCTTGGCAGGCAAAGTCGCAATTATCACAGGTGCCAACAGTGGTCTTGGATTTGAATCGGCAAGGCAGCTCCTTACTCTTGGCTTGTCCCATCTTGTAGTAGCTGTACGGTCTATCGAGAAGGGGAATGCCGCGGCTTCGAAACTAAAACTTGCAAGCCCAAAAGCAACCATTGATGTCTGGCAGCTGGACATGGAATCCTACGACTCTATCCAGTCATTCGTCAAGAAATGCGACACCACACTCTCACGCATCGACTACGTAATCTTGAATGCTGGAGTCGGCCCTCTCAGATTTGGCATATCAAGCTCCACTGGACATGAGACTGCCATCCAAGTTAACTTTCTCAGCACAGTTTTACTGGCAATTCTCTTGCTTCCAGTCCTGAAAGCAAAGTCGACCCGCGATATGCCAGCACATATGACGATCGTCAATTCGGTTCTGGCTCATACATGTAAATTCCCGAATCGTGATCAGCGACCTCTTCTACCTTCCTTCGATGATACCAAGATTACTCCATGGTAGGTGTTCTGGCTCCAATTACTTTTACCTTGCGAATCATCCCCAAATTTTCTCTCGAATCGTCAACTAGAAAATTTACTGACTTCTGCTCAATTCGCAGGGATCCAAGTGAGCGATACGGAGTGTCGAAACTTCTGACCCAGCTCTTTCTGGTTGAGTTGACGGAGCATGTCAAGTCCGACGACGTTATCATCAATATGGTCGATCCAGGCGCAACAAAGGGAACAGGCCTTGGTCGAGATGTGGGAGGCATGCTGTTGATTGGGTATAAACTGTTTCAAGTAATCGCAGCTAGACCTGTTGACAGAGGCGCCGCGACATATGTCGATGCTTTGTTAGGTCACGGTAAGGAGTCGCATGGATGCTTTTTGATGAATACCGAGATCGCACCGTAAGTAAATATTCTTCACGGCATCTTCTCATGGTTCCGTTGCGGGTTGAGTGAATCTTGGAACGTGACTGACAATTGCAACGAAATCAGACTCGCAACTTTCTACCATACCGCCGATGGGAAGAAGGCGACTCAACAAATTTGGGAAGAAACAATGAAGGAGCTGAGCTTTGCTCATGTGAAGGAGATTATTGCTTCTATGGAATAGAAATGTCAAGGTCGCACCATCTACTTCTTGTTTTGTTTGTCGGTATACCAAATTGCAATACATCTTTCGTCAAATGATAAGTTTCAGTCTAATTTGATTCGAAATTGCATAGTGATCTGCCCGAAAAGTTTTACCACCCCGCACTTTCGCTTATCCCCAGAGTGAGAAAAAGGGGGCTCGCTTAAACACCGCCCACCCCGCATTCCTTTCAGCTTCTATCTTCTAAACCTGACCTCGCGGAATTGTTGACAAATCGGTACCATACTATTTGAAACAGCTACGTGATGTCAAAACTTTTATATGTTAGGATGATAATCTGCGAAACTCTTTACTACGACAAGGGGCAAGAGACGCACGAGAAGTCATCGTATGGTACTGAATGGTCTGGTTTCTATTCCGTAGACTGAGCATTTCTTTTTTAGGTGAAGACACTTCTTGCCAATCAATATATCTCCATATGAATTTCATTTTTCATCTTCAGAGCCACAACAATGCCAGACTTGATGTCAGAATTCTTCCCATACTTTCAGTCGCCATCTTCTCACTCCACCAAGCATCCAACAATACCCAAGAGTAGTAGTCATACTATGGAAGCTATGATATGTACTAGATGTATTCTTCTTGAGATCTCGCAATCCTTGATACTCCTTGAAGCTTGTATACCACGCCAGTCTAGTTGAGGAGACCTTATCAAACGCGCGGTGCAACAACGAACGCCATTGTTTATCAATAAATCGGCTCCATTAGAGTAACATCAACAGATTAGATTCGACAATCAAGTAAGCTCTATCAAAGTATGACTCTATCAAGTGAGACGTGCAACAGAAGACACACTGTCCGTCCTCAAAAGCGGACTTTGAAGCTGCTTAAGCACTGTTCACCTCTGCCGTCACCGTGGCCAAGCCACCATGGTGTGAATGTCGACGTCATCTTACTTTTCGTCTTGCAATATGAAATCAGAGATAGTACAGCAAATGCTAGACAGCTTCGACTGAACCTCGGACGGAAAGTGACACGTGATTGAGTGGGAGGTTTCAGCGCAAATCGCGCAATCAGCGCAGGTAGTGCAAATCACAGCCAGGATGATTTTGACTACATGCATAGGAATCGAGGTCGGGAGAAAGAGCAGAACGGTTGTTTGCTTCCTCACCAAGCCCAAGGCACCACCGTCAATGATCAAGAGAAGAAGAGGCCACTGTGGTTCATGGCATTCCTGTATTTAGAATGAACTGTGCTCAGCTACGCTTCTTAAATTGGCTATTTGAGTATAACCTTGAGTCACATAGAAACAGATGTGAATCCAAGTGAGAAATTTTTTCCCGAGAGAGGTCTATCATCATAGCTGTCGACTTACTTCTTTTCAAAAGACAACCGGGTTCAACGTATTCTTCTCCATTGAAGTACAACAATAATAGAAACTCCTCTTGAGTCCGACAGAAACACGTCTTCAATCATCAGAGGAAGAACAGCAAACTCCTTGCTACAGAACTTGCTGACAAAAACAATAGCTTTCCCCTCTTCGACGTCACCGAGGGAATGTCTGTCATAAAATACTGTCATGCAGCTTACTATCAATGGCTGACCCTCTTTGTCACTTTGTCATCTCGACGTGGCTTCCATGGATATACCCTAGACGGTGTACAAGACATCCAAATTTTCCCCAGTGAAGCATTTAAGCACATTCGAGAACCGACAAGTTCGAAAACGAAACAGAGCATGTAGAAAGTCCAGGAACAAGGGATGAGACAACAATCACACTGATCAGTCCCTCTCCCAGATATGGTGGTCATCAAACTCGAAACAACACACCACATTAATCACCGTCCCCTGATCCACAACCATCACACAAACACCCCTCAATCTGACAGAAAATTTCCCTCCCTTCCTCCATCCCTCCGTCCGTCCACCCTCACCGGCTCCCCGCAGAACCAGAAAAGAAACAGAAAGAAACGACACAATATCCACCTGTACAACCCCAACACGTCAGACCCCACTCACGTCAGCGGCGAACAGGCAATTGAAAATAACACCGTCAGTTGACCTCAAAACTCAACAATCCCGCCTCTAGGATTGGCCGGCCTGCGAAATGCAACAAACAGTCTTCCCGGCCAACGAGAAGGAGGGGTGGGATGCTCCCGTCGCACCTGACCCGCCTGCATTGCCTGCATGCATCTATCTATCGGAAAGCCGCACCTCGGAATGTGATACAACATGATCACAAATATGACAACCATGAAAATTCTTTGCTTTTTTTTTCCTCATCACCAATCTAAATTTGTATCTGTCTGTCTGATCTGTTCTGTGGTCTCTCGAGACAGACAGAAAGAAGCGTGCGGGATCTATATACAGAGAGAGGGTCCAGAAGCAAGCAAGCAAGCAAGGATAGGATTGCTCCTCCATTTATCAGAACCGACCGCCGCCAACGTATGTGATGGTATTACCGCCGCCTATGTCCAGTCCCGTCCGTCGTGCACAGAAAAACGCCGCGCAGGAAAGGAAATCCAAAGCAAAAGGAACTGTGCAAGATGGAGTATCGAAAAATCAGATAGCCGCCCGTGCCAGAAAAAGGAAAAATTTGTAGTTGACCCGCCACAGTGATGTGAATACTCTGCTGTGTATATATGTGGAAAAAATGCTAGATGATGTCGCTGTCCAAAGGAAGTACAAAGATGAGAATGCGCCTTCGCTAGAAAATGCTGATGAGAAAAGCCGCCCTGCCGCCTGCCCATGCAATATATACAAATGTTGCTATTACACATAAATGATGGAGCTGCCATCCTTGCCAGCTAGCTACGCTGACGTTTACTGTTGATAGTGTCCACCCATTGGGACATCTCCAGTGTTAGAACTAGAGAAACTGGATGAAGTAGGGGGTCCCTCAGGTGTCATGAGATTCGCTCTCTGTCCAACATGTTGCAAGAGCTTGATATCGATAGCGAGAGCTGATGTTGCCGTCGCGGTAAGTCTAAGGAACGCCAATGTCTTGTCGAGTAAGTCTCGCAGCTCCTCCCTGCTGACGAATTCGAGCACAAGGTTGGTGAGAAATGGATTCATGTATGCCGCTGATAAAGTCAACATATTACCCCATTGCCTGAGATATGTTAGTGCGTGTCCTCACAATAAATTCATTTTACTCACGCATGTGCCGTTCCCCAAACGTTAGTCACAATCAACCTCACTCTCCCGGGATCTCCAAGACCGTGGAATGCCTTTGTGCTGAAGATCAAAGCTTTGATTCCGTTGCGTGCAAACTCGAGGACTTTGGGGTCAAGATCTTCGATTCTGGTACCACTTGGTACGACAGGTGCTGAGATATTGGCTTTGAACTCGTCGGTGACCTGCTCTTCTGTTTTGGAAGATATCTCCAATATCTTGAGAATGAAATGTCGATACGTGATAACTTGAGCGCCATAGTACTTTGCACGAAGTCTTGCGCCAAGGATATCCCTTGCAGGTTCGCCTCTATCAGCATCCCACATGAATTGTGGGGCCCATTTCTCAATTGTGTCGAGGTTCGTTTGACAGGCTTCGATCGTTGGAAAGTGATCAGGAAGTCTGACGACCACCTTGGGAAATTGGCTGTCTGGAAGTCTATTAGATATCTTATATGCTTGTAATTAGCAAGTTACTTACCTTCACCCTCCGGTTTGTAGAACATATTATGCAGTTGATTCAGGTGTCGTCGTAGAAACAGTTGAGCCGAGTAGCTTTCGATGATTCTGTGGTCGAAACCGTCCTGAACAGCGGCTTCATAGTTGGGATTGGGAATGTCTTCTTCGTAAGTAAGGATACCAGAATGCGGACATGGTAATTCAGCGACAATATCACTAATTGCATAAGCATGTTGTCTCGTTGCTAGAGGTACGGTACTTACCTTTCCAGTTGCAGACAAGTCCAGAATGCAAAAAGAAGAGGATTATCCTTTCCAGGAGCGGGTTGGAAGTTTGCTTTGAGCCGCTTGAACCTGTCGATTTTCCTGCGATGGAGGTTAGCATACGTTCCTAAAGTAACACAAGATGGCTCACGGTCGAAGGATGATCTGAAGACTACGACATGCCGCAGCAATGTAACCATGACTTTCCATGACTCGGCCCAACTGGCCATGGTATAACCCAGCCAGGATGTTAGCATGAACGTGCTGAAGACTGTTCCCAGCAAGTTGATTTCCGAGGACATCTGTCGCAAGAGCGAAATATGAAAGACCTGGGATAATATCCAAGTTTTTCTTTTTCAGCCCAGAAGAGGTCTTCGCTGCGAGCCCACCCTCAAGTGATGTTCTGCGACTCCGGGGATAGAATTTGTTATCGATATCTTGAGGCGATGGCATTCCTACTGGCGTAGATAGTGAAGGCGAGCTCTGAAGTGGTGATGGCGGGAGTCCGTTTCGTATCACGGGAGAACTGCCAAACGATGTATCATGCTCCTTGTCGCTGACGGGGTCAGGTATCCTCTCTCTGTATTGGCATATCTTCCCTAGAGCCATGACAAGCAGGACCAGCGCAGAACTGATAGACCGGAACGGATGGCCAGGCTTATGTTCAACCATGACTGGAATCTCTGAGTAGTCGCTTGAGACGGGTGACCTTTTTCGCTTGTTACCCGGGCTTTCGGGATTTCTGTGGCCACCAGGAGTTTTCGCAAACCCAGGCCCTGGATGACCAGCATGTCCTGCCACCAATGTCGACACTTGCAAAGGTTTCGCATGACTTTCTGGAATTGATTTAAGGAATTGCTCAACCAGCGCATTGAGTTGCGATGGTATCAAGATCGGGTGCATGATGTTCATGTGGTTGTTGTAACTTTGTACCAAGTCGTAGACGATTTCTCTGCTGAAATCCGGCATGCCTTCAGCGCTAATTCCTGCTCTCGCAAACTCAGGCTGTGGGTTACCAGGATTTGCTGGGGGAGTGAGACCACCGAGTTGTCCCCATTCTTCTCCAGCGGCGGGAGAGGAGACATTGGAAGGTGTATCGCCCGGAGTACTGTCGCCATGATCTGTCAATGGATCTCGATCATATCCTGGAGGAGCATCATAACCCTCCCCTCTCCCAAAGAGTCTGAGAAGACCTCTTCGCTCTTCCTGGACAATGGGATACTTCTCTCCCTTTATCTTTCCATGCTTCAGAATATGCTTCAGCATCTCATGGATTGGACCAACGAGAAGTAGTCGCGCAGCTCCTGTGGTGTGATTGACTGGAATTGAAGGCGCTTTCGGGGGACCAGGATCGCCCGACTCTTCCTCTTCCTCGGACGCTTCTTCCCCAGGCCTAGGTGGCTCGGGCATATCCGGAATCTTTTGCAAGCCAGGAGTTGTTGCTGAGTAGGGTGATTCATTTGAAGCTAAACGTTGCGATTCAGAACCGACTGATGCTCGTCCATACACCCCAAGCGGTATCCGGACATTTTCGTCCTCTACCTTCATTGCTGCTTCTGAGTTTGGCTTCCTGCGGATGAGCGTTTCCTGTATGTCGGTCACTCTATTATCCAGCCGTTGAAATCTATCATTAATAGCAGCCTCCAGGCGCGCTAGAGTATCCATGATATCTGCTGACGCCTTATCTTGCCTGTTCTTGTTAGTAACAAGGTTGCTCCAGTTTTGAAATATACATACTGTTTTGGAGGGGGGTCCCGATACCGGCACTCGATACCTTTCTCCTTGCAACTGGTACACGACGGCCTCCCCTCGTCGCATTTTGCTTTAAGAGTCCGACAGCTGTCGCATGCTTGAGCAGCTCTTTGTGCCTTCTTCCTGATATCAGGCTGCTGTCTTGGTGGTGCCGCTGGGTAAGACAATGAGGGGTATGCATTGCCTTCTCTTGGAGGGGGAAGTCCTGTGGTTCCATAAGGAACATTGTACGGTTCTGTAGCCGACATTGGACTTTGCGTTGGTGGGTATGGCGCAGGTGGATATTGTGGTCTCGTAGGGTCGAAAGGAGGAAGGTATGGTCGTCCACCGCTGTCGTGATGAGGTGGGATGTTTGGATTTACATTGTGCTCGACACCGTTGCCGGTGGAAGGTGGTCGATACTGTGGCGGCGGCGGTTCATCTGACGGGTCTCTCTTTACCATCGGCTCTGGTGCTCGAGGATAACCTTGGGGTGGTGGAGGAGGAGGAGGCCCATATGTATGCGACGGGCCCGAGTTTGGTCTGCGGTCTTGGTGCTCGTATGGAGGATGCTCGGAGGGACGACGGTCTATCAGATGAGGAGGTTCTGGTGGGCGTGAGAACGGGGAGTGGTGCGGCGGATAGGGATTGTTAGGTTGAGAGGGTTGAGGAGGAGGTAGACTTGGGAGTTGACGAGTTGTCTCTGAAGACCATGATTGAAGCCTGGGACGTTTATGTTCGGGTCCTACGTCCATCATAACTATTCACACAGACTCTCAAGCGACCACAGCAGCAGAGGCCATGGACGGTAGTCAAGCGCAGCGGCGTCTTACAGGTTCTGAGCGAACACAAGAGTGCTTAGAAGCTTGGAGGTGCCCGTGGTAGGACGGCGCTGACAAGGTGGATCATGTGTCATAAACGGTCGCAACGGGATTGGGTTTCGTAAATCTAATCTGGAGAATGGCGAAATCGATCAGCATTTCTGTCTGAGGGTGACGAGGCAGAGAGGGTTGGGTTGTGGTAGGTAGGTAGGAGGGACATTCGAAGGGGTCCCAGATAGGGCCGTGAGAAGCTTTGGACAAGGAATTACCTTTTAGGTCAGGATTGCCTGGGCGCTGTTTTGGGCCTGGGGGGGTAGGTCGAGCAGTGGGATGTGATGTGGATGGACGGGGAGTGAGTGGGGAGTGGGAAGCGATATTCCAGAATATGCAGACGGATTGCGATACGATTATGCAAGCTCGAGGGTCGAGGAAGGGAGCTTCGAAATACTGTACTGCAACAGGTTACGAATAAAAATAATAATAATAGCTGTTTGTGGTTGTCTTCTGCGGGATCTGTGGTGGTAGTGTGGTATGGTAGTGTGGTAGTTCCGTATGCCTGTGCCCGGCGGTGGAGTGAGGTCAGGTTCGTAGCTACTCCAGTCCAGCTAGCGAGTCGCGAACTAGTGCCACCAGAGAGGAGTCTCGCGTCGGCTCGCTTTGTGCCTCACTGGGAACTACGCCGCAAAAGACAGATGATCGGCCGTAAGGGCCGTAACACCATGGACAGCAGCAGCAGCTCCAGCAGGAAAGCCCAGAAGAGAGGAGTGGAGCAGCCAAGGGGGAAAGAGGGAGAGCGAGAGGGGGCTAGTCAGAAGAGGAGAAGGGAGGGTGAAGGGAAGCGCAGGCGGTCGGTACATAGGAATAGGGAAGTATTTTAGCTGCCACTGTGGTGACTGGTGGTACATGACGGAAGTGGGCAAGTCGCGACGTCGTGGTGCTGTACGGCGCGGCTGGATTGGACGTTGAGACCTGCACGAGTAATACTGTCCCAACCCGGTGGAGGACAAGGTGGAGGACAAGGTGGAGGACAAGGTGGAGGACAAGGTGGAGGACAAGGTGAAGGACAAGGTGAAGCGCAAAATGCGGTCAAGAGCGCAAGCTCCGCCGAAGACGCCAGGGGCCGCGATAAGCAGCTAAGGAGGTTCAGGGCCAGCCAGCCAGGCCAGGGTAGGGTAGGGAAGGGTAGGGTATGTAGAGTAGGGGAGGCACGACGAGGGGGATTCACGAGCAGTGACTTGAGTCTTGAGTCTTGACTGACTAGGCCCTGACTATCTCGGACGTTGACCGAGTAAGTAAAGGTCCGGCGTTGGGTATCATCAGGTACGCGGTTGTTGGTCAAAGTCAAAGGAGGGCCGGCGACTTACTCCTGGAACTGAACGAACGTGGTAATACTTCTAATAATGAAAGGGACCGGATTGAGAACTGAGGACTGAGCAACGATGATGCAAAGGCATATCGCGATGAGATGGAACTACTATAGCTAGATGCAGTCCCGTCTCCGCTTACAGGAGTGTGCTTGAGCTCTGTGCACACCACGCTCGTCGTGCACCTCGCACACGCTTTCCTCTTTTTTGTTGGCTCTCTCCTGGCCTCTGTGGGTCTGTGGCGTACAGCAAACTGAGTGCACCTCCTGGCATTGCATATCGAAAGCCCCGTTACAGACCCGCCTCGCGCTGGTACTGTATGACACTCTCACTTACTCAGTCACTCTTTCACTTGCTTCACCGTCACTCTGACCATCACGACTCGCCACCACTACAACAACAGTCGTGACTCGTAAGAAGTCTGGCGAGCTGGCGAGCTGGCAAGCTGGCATGTGCTGGTGGAAACCCGTTTCCCCTCTCCGCTTTAGCCCTGGCTGGGCGGGATCACATCGTACGACAGTGGCTTATCGTGGAGTCTAGCCTCTCCGTTATCCAGATGATCCAGAAGCTTTGGAATAGAACAACGACAGCCTTGCACGGCACGGCTGAGGGAGAAACTCAGTTCGAGCGACTGCCACATGGATCTTCGCGCACCAATCCCTGGCTCCGTGGCAGCATTAACTCTTCTCGTCGATAATTAGCAATAGATATCGAGGCTAACGGCACTTCAAGCGTGCTCTGGGGGGGCTTGAGCCTTCATCCCTGAGCGCCATGGAGCATGTGGCTTCATTGGCTTCTTCCAGACGTTAACGCCCTGGTTCTTTTCAGCACTCTCCAGCAGCAAGCCGGGGCTCCTGGTCAGTAGTGGAAAGCCCCAAATCCGTTACCAAGGGCATGGGAGCTCGCTTTTGTTTTTCACGACGCGAGCCGACCATAGCTGGAGCCCCAAGTCCCAAAGAGGCTTGCGTTGCCGCTCAAGCCTTCTTGGTTCTGACTCTCTGAGGTCTTGAGGGGAAGTTGATTTCATCATGGTGGAGAGTCGGCTTGGGATTCGACTGACTGGGCATGATAGGGCATGAAGTTCATGTTTGTCTTCGGTTTCTCACATCAAGATAAGGTTTTCATGACAAAGTATACTCAGCAGCCATACTGCCGAACACAAACGACCCTAAGCCGAGACAGAACGAAACGAGGATTATCTCAAGAGCCAAATTGTCACCGAATCGACATCGGTCGGCCCAAAACGCCCTGGATCAGGATATGACGAGAGCAGACCTGTTGGATCCGCTCTGTGTCGTAGGGTTTGCCTGATGTCAAATGCGATACGATTATGACATAGAAAAGATTTACAGAATCCGCTCTGAACTGTAGCACGTGTCAATTGATCACATGATACATCTTTTATGATTGGATTTTGGCATAGGTATCTGCATACTTCTGAACCAGTGATGCGAGTTGCCTAGCATGAGCCAAAGCTGGCGTCGGGCTGGTGGGAACTCGCTCAAGAGTCAAGACAACAAACGTCGGCCGTCCTCAGACCTGCATGTTTTGTTTGGAGTGGTCAGGTGCCTTGTGACGAGGAGCGAAGATGGGAGATTGAAGAGCGCGTTAGTTTTAGCTTTTGCCACTGTCTCTTCTGTCCAATCACCAAGCTATCGTTCCTGACGCTATCCTGAGGAGCCAGGGATGCTGGTCTTGCACGAGTCAGAGTAGCCGACACGACTACACTACTGAAGTCGTTAGTGTCGGGGCTTTTCAATCTTCCGTAGCCTTTTCATATCGCAGAGTTGCCCAATGAGAAAATGTCGAGTAGAACAGGTCAAGGTGTGTAAGGCCGCCCAGAACCAGAAATCCGTAAGTAAAGTGGTCAATCCTTTCGATTCAGCCCCGTTGGCAGTACGAAGATACAGTGCCATTAGGTTTTTGGTGTTGATCCTGTCGTTCGGCGATCGTTTTCCCATCTTGATGCCCAATCTATTGTAATCTCCTTTGAACCATATTTCTCCGCATTCCCAAAAGTCGTCGGAAAACCTCCCTCGGCTTCTTACGATCGCTTCAGAGTCTAAGCCTAAAACGCGTGCTAAGAGAGGCCCTAAGAATCCTCAATCTCACCCGAAACCCAATTCGCCCTCATCCGACTTGACTATTGTGGTTCACCGCACACTCAAGCTCGCTCGTTGTGACCGCTCTTCCGCAAGCTGTCGATCGCATCATGCGCTGCTGGACCCGGGAGTGGGTACCGTCGGATTACTTGTATTTACCTCCTGGTTTTACCGGCTGTTCCCAGACGGGAAACTAACGGTGGTAAATTTATCTCCACTATGTCACCATTCAGGGAGGATGCTTGTGTGTCCACGCATCAATAATAACCTTACCATGCATGATGATTAGTGAATGGTGTAAAACATCCACAAAGTCACAAACATTTCGAGAGCCCTGGATGAAACTGGAGAGTGTTCGAAGGCCTGTAATATCGGCGCCTTGAGCCGGATTGCGACGCAATAATGCTCACCGTGCAGTGACAAGACGCAGATCCAAGAAAAAGTGAGGCGGCGGCCATCATAGCAGCAGTTGGGGTGTTTAGGGCAAGCTTCGGATGGAGAAGCGGCTGGGCTGAACTGCCTGCTCAGCACCCCTGCGAGCGAGGCAATTAGTCCACTTCCCACAATTATTACGTCTCCCCAGGTTGTCCCAACTTCCAAGACGCAGGAGCTCGCTCGATCTCTGATCAAGTCCCATACCCAAGTTTCAATGCTGGGCTATTCGACTCGTCACTTTGTCACCGTTGCATCCACCCGTGAACAACCAGCTCCGACCGTTGAACGTCGATTGTCGAGACTCCAGCAGCACCAACACGATCTGTTGACCCTGCCAGGCGGTTCGGATGCTCGCTTGAGTTTGCAAGTCTGCTTCACAATTTGCCTTGCATGAGTGGAAACAAATTCTCCGCTTTGGAAGGCTGCAGTTCGTGCGGTGCGCAATAATTTCAGCCGTGGCCTCCTGACACGGCAAACTTCGTAGATCATTGAACTGCCTGAAGCAGCTCCATACGAGTGGCCGGCCGTCGCACTCGTATCCTTGTGAGAAACGGCTCTGCTGTGGACGAACCATCCCACGACAGTGCTGTCTGCTTGGACCTTCCCACGTGGCGAGATAGCTCCGTAATTATTTCAGCACTAACCTTGTCCTGGACACCCTAGTCGGCTTAAGCAGGTAAGGATGTTTGAGAGGTTTGACATAGAAGATGCAATCGAGATCTCGTTCAGAAGAAGTGGATATTGTGAGAGCAGGCCAGGATCTCCTTCAAGGGGATATCGTGAGAGTCAGCCATTTGAACGTAAATTACTGCAGTCCACTTGTGACTTCGGCTCGTTACCGACGACGAGGTGGACAGACCGTGATTCTGGAAGGATTTGTATCAGACCCCTGAGCTTTAATCAAGTCAGCAAATTGGGAACACAACATGCTTATTAGAGGATTTGAAAGCACACGAACCGAAGCCACAACCGCGCCGCGTTGGCGGTCAACTGTGACGTTCGCATTCGTGTTGTCTCTCGAACCAAGATGTACCATTAGTCGAGGAGATGCTTGTTTCGTCCCGGCAGAATCCAACATCCCATCACCAGCGTACCATTACTGGCCGACGCGGATTGCTTACTCGGGCATGAGTAACGGTCAGAAGACCAACGTATAATTAAGAAAATCAGCATTTGAGATGACAACCCTGCCGTGTAACATCAGAAATACTGGGGGAGATTGCCCATCACCAGCATCGAGATCATACTTCGAAGTACATGTATCTCTGTCAGATGAGAAGGTAAGCCGGGTCTAATGGCCAAATGCCGTCAGAATTTCGGCAGCTGTCAAAACAAGGTGAAGGATGCGAAGCCAGCTATGCCCTTGAAAAGTCAATAATGGATTATTGTAGACTTTCTAATTGTTGGTCCCATATATCCCAGGCAATGCATTCTGCAGATGTAGCCTTGCATGGCGTGCCGTAGCTATTTCGGGGCCCCATTTAGGCCAAACAATGGCCCGACTGCTTCTTATACAATGCTTGATGAGCCTCATGATGTATAGACGACAGCGGCATGGGAGTGTATTACGGTAAGGGGAAGGCAGTTAGACTTTCCAACTCATTTAGTCGAGACGTTCGACACGCCTTCTCTTAGATTGTTTTCGCATCGAGTTCATCCGACGCAAAGGGCCGGGAGATGTATGAGTTGCGATTGGCGGCGATTCAATCATCTTCTCTCCCTCTGTGAAAACGAGGTCTCCTGTTTCTCCTAGTATCTTCAGCGCAGCCTCTTCGATCAAGATTCCAAGCGCCGTCAAGGCTGTTTCGTCCAAGCTCTTCCAATCATCAATCCCAGCCTCTGAGGTCGCGCGCGAATAGAAGTCGGATGTATAGCAATGTAGCGCCTTGAGGAGATCCGATTCTGGCAGGTCTGCAGTAGATGTACTTTCGTTGGAAAAATAGATATCAGACTCCGCATATCGAGTCGGCGCATTCTTGGTTCGAAAAAGAATAGATTCTGGCGGGAGAGCAGCGGTGGATGATGACGCGGTGTCACGAGCAGAGGAAACCACGCGTTGGTCTGGTATGAATCCTGCAGCAGAGATTCGTCCTGCATGATAGTTAGCATTGTGAAGGGTGTGCAGAAAGAGGGGCAGGTTATACCAGCGACAGCGTCGTAGACTGAGGGACGCCTACGAGCTATTTTTCCTTGATCATCGCTCACATCTTCCACTAAAGATTTCGGAGCAATAAAGGCGCCCTGCGAAATAGCTTTCGAAGTCATGTTGTCGAAGTCATGTCGTCGAATTTGTGTTTCCAATGAGCACAACACAAAGCAGAAACAACGATGCAGTGGAAGTGTACCTTTTTAGTGGGGCTGTCACTGCTAACCAAGGCTGCAGCCTTCTTGCGCACAAAACACACCAGCATCAAGTTCAACCTCACGATTCATTTTCGACAAATGCGTATCCTCCAACCTGCCGATGTATGAATCAACTTCTGTTTGATCGATCAACGGGTAGCTTAGGCCCTAAGGCCTTCGCCCGAATCCAGACCTCGTATCTGATTCACGCGATCCAGCCTGTTCCTGGGCTGCGATTCAATGGTGGCGAGAAAGAAATCTTACCAGTAGATGAGCAAGGAAACTCTCTCCCGTTGCCAGCTGGTGAGACGAAGATATGGGCACATCAGGCTGGTGCGAATGCTTTAACAATCGACATTGAGAACCGATTGTCAGTATCCTAGTCTTCAGCTCCTTGCGAGTCGCCGCTGACCCTTTAGCCTCGTCTCCGGCGGAGCAGATTCCTCGATACGGCTCTGGGATTTGGATGAGAGTGATATCCGATTCAAACACACCTTCAAGCCACGATGCGCCGTCTCAAGGTTTCATTATTCCTATACCCACATTGAAATACTATGCTGATAGAGATAGGACTTCTTCGGCTCATAAATTTGGAATCACCCACCTGTCTTTCTACCCTTTCGACTCCGAAGCATTTCTTTCGTCCTCATACGATCATCATTTGAAGTTATATGGGACCGAAACACTCCAAGTATCTGCGGACTTCGACCTCAATAGCATTGTTTACACTCATGCGCTATCGCCAATCGCAGATCATCTGTTGGTGGCTTGCGCAACTCAACATCCGGCTGTCAGACTAGTTGATCTTCGGTCGGGTTCGAGCACACATTCATTGGCAGGTCATCATGGTGCTCTTCTGTCGATGGCATGGAGCCCGACCTTGGAACATGTCTTAGCAAGTGGGGGCATTGATGGGACTGTTCGTCTTTGGGACATTCGCAAAAGCTCTGGCTCATTGGGCGTTCTGGATATGGAAGATTCAACGGGAATTACCGGAACAGATGGAATGGGAAGAAGTGCTCGTGCTCATACCTCTGCTGTAAATGGTATAACGTGGACTGACGATGGGCGATATATTATTACAGCTGGACACGACGAGCGAATTAGAGTTTGGGATGCTGCCACTGGAGCGAATACCCTTGCTAGTTTTGGGCCCACACTGAAGAACGGTCACTTGTCAAACCTGCCTTTAGTTGTAAGCCCTACAGCATCAACTTCAGTGGGAAAGGAGCTCCTCTTCTTCCCGAACGAGAAAGAAATTCTCATGTTTGAGCTGCACGAAGGGAGGCTTCTTAAACGTCTCAAAGTACCAGGCCCCAACATGGCTGCAGTTCGATCGAGGACAGGAGAACGAAACATCAGAAATCGAGTTACAGGTCTTGTTTGGAGAGGGCAAGCAGGTGGAATTTACACTGCCCATACAGATGGTCAAATTCGAGCCTGGCTTCCCAGGACGACCGATGATGAGATTCTTGATCGAGAGGAGGAAGAGAACTCCGACGCATTTGGCAACAATGAAAATGAAGGTACCAAGCGTAAACGACAAGTGCTTGATGATGTTTTCCAGAATTTGACAAGACAGAAAGTAACATTTGGATGACTCCAATGGGATATCAGACCTCGGCATGCACCTATAGGTATTGTCCAATGCATTCACAAGATTTGAGAATACTCTTTCGATTTCCTTATTAAGATCACACTATGTGCTTGTCCTTTTCGTCAATCTTCGGCATTATGCCTGGCTTTTCGCTCTTTTCCCCACTGTCTTCAGCATCATGCTGCAAGTCCCTCTTTGCCCTTCTCTTCTTGTCAATAGAATCCCTCCAATTTTTGCCCCAAATTACTGCTGTCAGTGTAGCCAAGCTGCTTGCAACCAAGAAACCAGCACTTATAGTTGAAAACCAACCCACACCAATCTTCTCGATGGCAGGTAATACAGTTGCACTGCCTAGTGCTGCGAACAGATAACGAATCATATAATTTCCCGCAATGACCTCCGCGGCGTGTGCTTGGTTCACATCCAGACAGTATGTGTTCAAGCTAGGAAAACAGAACAACTGTGCTACTCCCTGACAGAACATCATGATGACCGGTAGGGCAATACCTCCGAATCTCTTCTCGACTGACCATCCGTATATCAACATACAGGCTGGTATGGCAATGCCCATGAATGGCAGACATGAGCGTAGCCTGTCTTCTGGTATACGTACCCCGCCACGCTCTGCGGTCCATTTTATAGTGATATAATCAGCATATCTACCTCCAAAGAATGTACCAAGGATATATCCGCAGCCAGGCGCCAGGTAGAATAGGCCACTTTGTATCGGTGTTGTAAGATCGAAACGTGGATTCAATACATATCGAATAGGTGTGAGCAGTGAGTACATGTTCCATACCAAACTGCTGGAAGCAAGTGCCACCATTATTAGATTCGGATACTTGTACAGTCTGATGACTCGCAATGGATTCAACATTCCCCAGAGCACTTTGGCTTTGGCTTTGAGCGGAAGGCCTCGGATATCGTCGATCTTCAGACTATGGGCTGTCTCTGGAAGAAGGAAGAACGCCCCAATCAGAGCAACCCCTGCAAGAGCCGTCTGAAGGTAGAAGATCACTCGCCAAGATTTGAAAGTGACTATGATGCCTCCTATGAACGGACCAAATGCTGGGCCGATAAGTGTTCCGGAAAGGAACCAACCCATAGCAGTCGCTCTCTCGGTGGGGCGGTAGATATCTCCGATGCAAGAGGCCCCGACGTTCAAGAAAGAGGTACCTTCGAATGCGGTAAGGATTCGGAAGACGTAGTAAGAGGCGAGATTAGGCGAGAGGGCGGTGCCGAGAGAGCAGCAGCAGAAGAGGAAGGCTGTTACCAGACAGATCTATATGTTGCGTGAGTGCTGCAGAGTTGGGGGTACATTGAAAAGGAGATTGTGCTCGTACCCATCTTCTGCCATATCCTTGACTTAATGGTCCCCAGAAACAGGGAGAAACACCCATGAAAAGCATATACAATGCATTACTCAAGTTGATGATGGTGCCAGTGCTGTGATAGGTGGCGGCTACTTCTGGCACCGCGGCCAGAATAGTGGTTGATGATATTGGGGCTAGGAAAGAACAGAAGGATAGGAGAGCCACAATGATAACCTTTCTTGATGGTTTTATGCGGTCATATACCTCATCCGGCACCTCAACGAAGGAAGAGTAGTGTTGCATAGGTGCATCGTGTGTCGAGATATGAGAGCCAACTTGCCTCAGATCTGGACGGTCGTCGGACGTGCTCACAGAGTGAATAGATGCATCATCTTGTGTGTTCATTTGCGAGGCTCTATCAGAGTCATGGTGGTTTTGAGACATGATGGATGTGTAGAATCAATTGAGATCTCTGAAGTACAAATTCATAGTATGATGAAGGGCTTTATCTCTAGAAACATGAAAGACCACAACCGTATAGTTCCTCGTCGTTCAGACAATTGCGACAGCTGCGGTTGCGCACGAGAGAAAGATTAGGGTAATAACCAGGAAACAGAATGAGTCAAATGCCTCAATTCACCTTTGGCGCTGTCCGACTATCGGCCACTTGCCACCATTAGCATCGACTGTCAAGGAAAATTCCTACAGTTTTTTGTGGTGCGGTGATAGAAAAGGAAACGCTTAATCTTCGGAGCGCCGCAACAACCAAGCTTATTTGATGCCGACCCGATTCGGCCCACTCTGATTTGCTGCGTTGAGGACTCTTTGCGTTGGCGGTGCCGTATATCCGGATAATTTCCTTGCCCGCGTCGTAACTCTGGCCGATATGGAGGTTTTAGACGATCTCCGCGATTAATTCTTTCAAGCGCGCTTCAAAGGTGTTGAGAAGCGCGATGAGAGCCTAATTCCCTTCCTCGTGCTGCGCATGCTTGTATTGGTGCGTATATCGTGTTCATGGCTGATATTGACTTTATTACTGGTGACGAGACGAGCATTAAAAATAGCTAGATCAGGAACGGTAGTGTTTGAGTTTGCGACCTTTTGGGACGGAGACGTGAAGCACCTGCATAATATGCAAAGCAAGAGCTTCGCCATGCACATGCATGAAATGCATATTTGCACCAGTCATAGAAAAGTCAATCCTACCTCCAATGTTGGAATTTCTTCAGCGTGTGCATCGGAGTTCTTGCCTAAGTTGTCATTATCTGCCTCAAAGCATATTCAATTAAGGTTTCCTTGCAATTTGCTTGTTTGCTTGCTCCTTCCTCAGGTTTATGCCTTCCGTTGTCGTGGTATTCCTTTTGTCCGATTCCAGTCGAACTTGCGAGACCTTAAACAGTTGGTGATTTTGTGTTAATGTGTCTGTTTGGTTGGTTGGTTACCAGATTCTATCAATGTTCGGATTCTGTGAGAAACTTTGAGGTGGCCTGCATGCGAACCAGGTAAAGCAGAAGAAAGCAAGTCAATGTTGGAGTTATGTCTGTGTCTAGACACAATCCAATGACTCGCTATTGATTCCCACTCCCGGCTATGACTAGCTTCAATCGAGTATGAGTTGCAAACACGGTAATATCTCTCTACAATATCAAGGTGATACTTGTTCATGGATTATGTTGGAATCCTCGCAGCACTTCTTACTGGCTCAAGAATTGAAAATGAGAAGGGCATTTTGTGATGTCACGTGTAGTATTTGGATGGAGTTCAAGACTTGTTATATGAGGAGAATGTTTGCATTATCTCGCTCGAATACTATGGAAATGCAAAGGTACAAACATGTCAATATGTTCTAAAGAAGCAATTTAGATTCTAGGCATAGTTCCTTTGACCTGATGACAGAAACGGTCCATGTCGAGATGTTGTGAACCGCAATACTTCGAGTAGCAAGTGTTACTCAATTCACGAGCAGACTGCAACTATGAGTCTGGATTCATGCAAATCGAGGAGGAATAAAGGAAATGAAGCGAGCCAATCGACAGAACCGAGAGTCTCGAGAGAGCTTCTGTTCGTTACCAGCTTTCATTGCCTCATGACATAAGTCCGTGTCTGCATACCTTAGTCCTACATTCAGTGCTAGTGTTTCTGCACGAACGTTACAGATAGGGAGTGACAGGTAAGCCATCAACTAGAAATATACGCAGTGATTGAAGCCGTGCATAGCCATTACAAGCTTCGTCTAGGCTCTTTGAAAGGCTACACCAACGGATAATGCACCCTGTCTCGAATCTCCTCACCTCCCCGAATATATTTCGAGCCTTCAACAATTACCGTAAATTTTCCAGTATAGTGAGATGCCATGAAGGGCCGTCAAAAGCCGGCAAGCTATAGCAGTATAAGAGAGCTAACAAACAAACTTTCTTGGCTACCTGAATCCCAAATCAAGTTGGTTCCAAATCTTAAGCCCAGACCAGCGTCTCTTCATCGTAGATTTTTCCTCCTGACTCAATAGCGGCTGGAGCGGGGCATCAATCCCACAATGAATCCTCCCAAGGCTCATTTTAAGAGAAAGCCCACATCTCAGCCTCGTCATCCAAAAAAAAAGGAAAGAAAAGGCTGATCAGTTAGGAAGCCCGACACTAGATGCGGGCACCTGGATGGGACTGGACACCCTCCCGCGAGCAACCACAGTAGCGGGCGATCACTAGATAGACGTTGAACTCATCCTGCGCTGAAGCTAAAACACCGGCCTGTAGCATTCTACGAGTACCAAAAGACGAATTAACTTTAAAGAGAGAACGATGGCAAGGTTCTCGAGGTCTGGAACCTACGCTACGACATGATACGCACCAAATCGTACCATGGGAGAGATCAGATTCAGATTGATTAAATCAACATTCAAATCAAGCATTGATCAATACCTCGTAGTTGGACAGGGAGACTTTCAAATCAACCAGGAACGTGGAAGCCCCAACTCAACGCTCAACGCCAAGCGCCACCATACGGCCAGGAAGCTGGACTCCCTGCTCCCCGGAAACCTTATTTCCTGTGGTGGAAGGGCTCTCATCCAATGACCTCCGAGTTTGATCAATCTGATTTAATTGCCATCCAATGAAGTCCAGAAGGGTCGTCGCGAGGATTCACCTCCTTGTTTCGCAGCCAGCAACTAATAGAAAAAGAAAAGAAAATAATCGCCTCGGGAAACCGCACCTGCATCCAGCTTCGGAAATTTGAAGTTTGGCGTGCGGCTGAATGAACCATCGTGCTTAACTCGGTTATCAGACAATCAAGCTCTGATTTGCCCGGGTACGAAAACGATGTGAGGTTCCTGATTGTCGGTAAGCGCTTGCATGAAGTGGCTTGACAGTGCGTTCTCTCGGGAAAGCCTCAAAGCCACCGACGAAGTAGTATTTGTATTTGCTTCTTTCGTACTCGTGTGCACGTGCGAGAAGCTACGGAGAATTCCCAGCAACGGCGTTACAACCAGTTTTCTCCCAATACAATGGCAAACTTTAAACCCCCTTGAACGCGCTTCCTCCTACCTGCCCTCTCCCTCATTTCCAGATAGCCGGAAACGTCTCCGGCCCTCCACGCGACCCGATATCCCCAGAGCGTACCATTCTTAAAGACCCAGCTTCCTCCACATCGGGTCGGAACCACTGTCTTGAGTTGTTTAGGTCCCATACTTTCATCCTACTCCGTATCTTCTTATTTGATACAGTACTCCCTTCACATATTGGGAGGAAACCGAGAGACTGCTCGCTCTCTCAGGGGCGGCAAATTGTGGCCGATTTCGTAGGCGAAAACCACCAAAAAATCCAGCCACTTATTTCCGCCCTTGAGAGTCGCTATCAGTGATGCAAATCCGAATTGCTTCACAGCGAAATAGTCTCGCAGATCCGTCGGACCAGACCATATCCGATAGGATTCGCAACGATGTGACCGGTCCAATTGATAACTCCCGTCTACCAAGTACCGGGCCGACTAACCGCCTCGACCGCGTCGTTGTCGATCCAAGGCGCTTTGTCCATCTGAGCGATGAAAGGGATCGTCAGATTGACATGTGTTCGAGTCAGGTAAGATCGTGAGTCTTATCATGAAGTCATTTTTTTTCTTCTTCTTCATCTTTGATCACCACAATGACGCGGATTGAAGATAATCTCGTCGCCTAGATAGGAAGAGACTCGACCAAGTGCTTCGTCTTTCGTCATGACTGCTTTTCCCAATCAACCTTCGTTGCCACGTCGTCGTCGTTCATTCATGTCAACTGTTGCTTTTTGAGTCTTGCGCATCTCGTTCAGTCGTTTGCTCTTGGCCAGATTGTATCCCGCCTATCGTCCTTCGAGAAAGATTCCAACTCAATATCTTCAATCGAGCTTTGGGAACTGCTCCATCTTCGCGCACGATTAGCCATGCTTATTCACTAGAATCCGACTCAATGAAGTCGTTGTGTTTGTGCTGGGTTTGTGGCAAATGCTCCATGACGAACCTCCTTGGCTCTCCTGTTCCTGAAATTTGTCTTGCGTGTCCTTGCTGTTGTTGGCTTTCTGATCTTCCGTATTGTATAACTTGATCTTCTGGTTCAAAAGAGGGAGCAACATTGACCGAGTGCGATATATTCTCGCCGGCTCGACCGGGTACTGGAGATATGAGATCTGCAGCGTTGTATTTCGAATGGCTGGCAGGGTGGAATTGCACAATCCGCTCAGTGTCAACTCTTATCCCCGAGGAACCTGATCCCTCTCCTTCATTTGAAGAATCATCACGACCAACTTCTTTGACAAACATCTTGATCCTATCTACAGCCTCCTTGCCTTTTTTCCTCTCTTCTTCCGAGGGACTTTTTTGTAGGCTGGGTAGTCGTTCAAATTCCAAGCCTTGTGGCCGGGCGGCTTCTTCTGCTCTTCGAACTCTCTTGATAATCAGTTTTTTCCTAATCCCGCAGCCACCAGTGATCAGATCTCGGTATTGGCGCCAATTTTTCGTCGTGCCGAACACAAGAAACGCCATGAGCGAGGCTGTAACACCTGGGATGAATAGAACAATATCGCTTATCGTGCCCGAGATACTGTGATCTGGTTGTCCCGAAGCAGCTATTGCGGCGTTATTGTTCGCTTGAAAGAGCGTGAAGACTATGATTGCAACTTCAAAGAGTCTGGTAAAGTCAGTACGAGCTCTGATTCTTCTGACTGCGCGAAACTTACGCGAGGATGACGAAGCCAATGGTAAATCGAGTGATAAGTGCCCGGTCATATATCGATCGTCTGGTATTTGTCACTGCTGTTTCCGCTGTGTATCTTGTGCCAACGTCGTTCTCGCTTCTGTTCCCACTCCTGTTGTCACTCCTATCCTTCGAGCTTCCGGACGCCCACCATTTTCCTCTTCTCGAGTAGCCAGACACCAACCGACGTGTCTTCATATATTTGTACAAGATTAATACGAGCAGAACGCTTCCCATGGACAGACTAGAGAACACTTCATTTGTCAGCAAGCGCGACTAATGTTCCAGGTATGGCACATACTTGTAACATATGAAATGAATATGAACAGTCCTGCGTTGACTTGAATAGCGCTGACATTCAAAAGACCAACGATCAGTGCAGGAAAAAGAACCGAAAACACTTTTGATATAGGAGCAACCCGCTCATGCCAGTCTCCAAGCCACTTCGCGCGAATTCCCCAAGATCCAGTGAAGAGTGCAATGGTCCTATGCGAAGTCAGCGCGTGTTAAGTAGAGGTGATGTTTGACTTTACCAAAACAAGATATTCAGCGACATCACATTATAGCAGTAAAATTCTGCAGATATGGTTAGTGTTCGCCTTCTTAGAGAGCTGTTGATAACTAACGTATGAAAAACAGAATTTGATCGACAATCTGTGCTGCACCTCCAAAGGCCAACCCTTTTTGTGTCAAGGCTAGAACCGCCTTGTTAAATTGCGCCTGTTTGATGATTACCCACGATGTCGCATAATGCAGTTGCTGGGCAATCGATGCCGCGGTACTGAATGCTGTGAATCCGGCGAATATTGTTACATCTGTTAGACGTTAAGCAGATACATGAATTCGGGGTAAGTGGTGTTTACATGACCAACTTTCGCCGAAGCTGACCAGCAGGCAAGTCAACATCGTTGACAACGACAGGCAGATTGACGAGTACAGTAGCACAGCAATCGACACCCCCACAGCCTGACTTGGAATACCAGGTGCCATTGGAGTGTGTGAAGGGACCCAGTCTCGAACCCCGAGGGGTCGTTCAGTTCAACATTCGGAGCTCTTCTGTCACACTCAATTCCACCAATGTCGATTTATTATCTCCAACGGCCAAGCAGAAGCAACAACGGAGCAGTGGAGGGATGAGTTGAAAAGAGGAAAAAAGCAACAGATCTTCTACAAGGGATGGGACCATTCAAAGGCTCTAGCGTCCAAGTGGTCGGAAAGTTGATCAACATCAGATCAGACCAACGATGTCCATTGACGGTCCAGTTTATGCAGCTTACTCTTCAACCATGTTAGAGTTCTCCCGCAGAATCCAAACAAGGATCAAACTGATACAAGACCCCCACATGTGAAATTCTCAAGGCTTTCTAGCTACTTCACCCAGGTCCGTCGTGATGCCATTGGGAGATATTCTCCTTGGTACACGTGTGAGCCCTACAATGGGGATGGCCCGCGTCGATTAGCTTATTGAGAGGCATGTCCATTGACAAGAAGCGAACGGCAGGAAGTTCCTCGTTCATAGAATGTTTCACATAGTGCTAGGGTGCGGAAGAGAGGAACAAATGCGATTGGCGGATATTGGGACGAAGCACTCGCCAGCATATCCCGGCCGCTGTCATTTGCATCGGTGTCTCGGCCAGGGATATGTTAGACGGTTTGATAGAGACGCCTACCGACTAAATACTTCGAAGTAACGACTGTGCGCATAAGAGCCTCTATCAGATCGTGGTTTCGCGCATGACTAGACGCGCACTTGCACACGTGGAAATTGGAAAACCGCGGTTAGTGTTGAGGCGAAGAAATGTAACGAGTTAGTCGCACGGAGGAACGCACCTTTCAACGTTAGAGCCAGAATTAAATAGTAGAGTTCATTCCGTGTCCTACGAGTGTACTGTGTACGAAAACGAAAACACGGTCGCCTGTTTTCTCCCTACATCTAGAGGTTGTGACGGGATAGACGGAGAGCTTCATAGTGAACAATGGGCCCTAAATCTCGGGTTGTGATTATTTGTAAGAAGTGGACGGCATAGGATATTGGGCAGGAACAGAGCGGACGAGAACCCTTGTCGCGAGCAGCTCATTGGCACTTGGCCAACCCGCTTTGAAAGTTAGATTCAGCTCTTGACATCGATAGTTGATCCTATTGAAACTTTCTTAGAGTATCAATCTTCCCACAGTATTGACTTTTAGCTGAAGTCTTTCATGCATAATCGCAACCCGCAGCTATGCGTGAGCCACAACGGTAGGAACCTCGAGGGATTCTTCCAAGATATGACCTCAGAAGCAGACTTTCTTTTGAAAAAAAAAAGGTAACGGACTCAAAATCAATGTTGTATAAACAGGCCCCTCAAACTGCATCCACGTGGACCCTGACTTCAAGGAACAAACATGAATCAACGAACGATTCTCCAATTTTCGACACCGCATGCAGGAGACTTTCGGTAGCGGATCTTAACCAAGAAAAGCTCCACTTTAAGATCGGAGTACGTCAAGATCCAACACAAACTATCGGACCCGCTGTGGAAGGAAATATGGAGATTCTTCGGGTGGAAAAGGTGCAAAGGACTCATTCCACATCACGTCCACCCCGGCCTCGCTGAAACATTTGGCCGAAATAGGACAAGCGACTAGTCATCAGCCTCACGACAAGGCTGCTGCTTCACGATACCAGCCACAATAATCCACAGTTTCTTCTCCTCGCAAACCAGCAATGCAGTCCCAGATCTGGGATGCCACCATTCCGCTGCACATCACACATCCTTCGTCTCCAGTCCCATACCTTATACAGGTTCCGCGGCTCTCATATCTACCGCTGCTGCTCCCACGATTGACCTCGTTCTTCGGCCCCGCAAGCAGCTTCTCCTACGAGGGAATCTTGCTCAAGAACCTTCCTGTCGGATTACTATATGATCTCTACCAACCCGAGCTACCATGGCGGCTCACGCTTGGGGACGGGCCGTTGTTCGATATCCATGACACATTCATGAACAGCGTGAAAGAGGTTTGTAGTCGCAGCCTTGCGCAAACTTTGGTCCTGACTCGTCACAAGGCAGATTTCATACGCAATGGGACGGCCAAAGGTATCATGTCCATGTCAAAGGAACACTCTACCCAACTATGGAATACGGTTCAAGATAGTAAGTCTTTCGGCCCTTTGATGTTCCAGATATTTTGGCAGTCTAAAATCCCCGTTTGTCAATTCTCACATTCCCGACATTGAGCCTTTCAAACGCTGTAGCATACTAAGAAATACTTGTAGATGACTACGCTTCATTCTCCCGCATAAACTCGATCCTTCTCAATCCGCCCACACCACTAAAGCACATCCCGCTCCGAATCTACATTCCCTCCTCTCCTTCATCCTCGAACCCCTCTTCCTCCCAACCAAACGCGAATTTTCTCGGCTCCATTAAAATCATCCAAACCTTGATCCCACCCGTCACCGAACGACGAGAAACCCAAACTCTAGGCTCGGCACTGAATGCCGTCTTGCCCTCTTTGTTTCCGAGTAGAAGAGATGCTATCTTAGCAGAGCCAATTCTACATGGTGCACCTGTGCCATTTAGGGCTCCGTTGGAGGAGGTCATGAGGGAAGCCGCTTATGCGGATGGGTGGATACATCTGGGAGTCTTGATGATTGACGCTTAATGATAGTTGGTGTATATACGGTTTAGGAAGGGCGTTATAAGGCATACTTGGTATGGAGGCGGAATACGTTACGGGTTCACAGATTACTTTACGAGACTACGAAAGCATGATGATGCAGTGACATCTGAACTCTATCTTTAGACAGACTTCAGACGCCAAAGACACACCTCCAAGAAAAGGAATAAACAGGGCTATTTCAGATGGCATATAAACTCTATCTCAAATAGACTTTCGAGCAACATTGCATGAACTTTCCATGCGAAGACTCCACAATACTATGTATGGTCTGTGTGTACTCATATCAAAACAAATATGTCGTTTCTGGGATGAAGGGAAAGCCGTCTTGACTTGCATGAGTCGATTGACAAATGACACAGACTCAAAAAACTTTGTTTTTTCTGATCCCAGGAGAGGTCTGAACGTTGACAAGTTGACAAATACTCTACCGGCGTTGGCATCTTAACAATTATACCTAATCTCAAACATGCCTCAAATCTCACGAAATTCAGCAGCACCAGACACCACACCACGAGAATGTTTGTGATCCGATTTAAGCAGAAACATATACCTCAATGTCAGCTCTCACACCAAACATTCACTCCAAAATCCGAAACCAAACGAACAAATCTCCCAGCCAAGTTCCAGACTTCTCCGCAACTCAAAACTTGATACCATTCCAGAGATTGGAAAGTATAAATCTCCCAACCAATTTCCAGACTTCTCGGCAACCCAGGACTGGACAATATCCCAGAATCATAGAACCTATAACCTCCCCTACTCCTAACAACCAAAATGCCCCCCATACAAAAACCCTGCAACCACCTAGCAGCATCGTTACTACCCCTTCCACACAATCGGCATTCCACTCGAGACTCTCTCTCCCTTTCGCTTCGTATAGCTAGATATAACATTCGTATTCATACCATGAACAATCTTTATAGTTTCGCAAATCGAGTCTCTAACCCAACCTAGGGCCTTCATAAAGGATTTCACAAAATCCGCAACTTCAATTCCAAAATTCCCAAACCTAAGTAAGTACGAAAACACCAACACCTGAAAGAACATAATTCAAAGTCCGCAATATGGAAAAGTCGTGCTAAATTTCTCACCTGACAATATATCTAAACTCCCGCAGAAGCTATCAAAAGCGCACACTTTATCTCCTCAAACAAAAGCGACAAGTGATCTCAAGGGAAACACTCACCAGAATTGTGATTAAAGCTAATCAATCTCCCCCATGAAGTAGTTGACCTTTGCCAGACTTGATCATTCCACAATACATAGGTAATTATTGACCGTCGCCTCACTTAAGCTTTGACTGTCAAATTCGAAAAAAGTCTTCTCTTTCTGTCCGTGACTTGATGTGAAGCTCGATTTTCCAATGATGATAATAATAGAAAATCCTAGCTATACGATAAACTCTCTCCTCACAGTACAATACAATTATCATAATCCCGACGTTTCGAAATTGAATTCCAGTTTGAAATTCAATTTTCCAAGTCAAACTGAGTGCCACGTTTGACCGAATGTCGGACTCGATTCCGGACTTTGAATCAGGAGAAAAGTCTGGGATTTCTCTTATACAATGGCGAGCGAGTATTCTTTGGTTATGGGGTTTGGAGATAGGACATTTAGATAAAAGAAAAAGTAAGTGTCATGCTAAATAAAATGTCGGATCCGATTGCGGAGTTTGGGTGAGGAGAATGTCTGGGATTGCTTAATACAACGACTAGCTTTCCTTGGAACTTGATGATTGGACATATAAGGGACATTTAGGCAAGAAAATGTCCGAGAGAAATTCAACGAAATGACCGATCTCTTAATCAAACCGCACATCGGTTCGACACCCAATGTTGGGTTGAAAAAGTACAAAATCAGGACGTACAACAAATCAACTCTACAGCCGTGGTCAATAGTATTTTAATGATCGTTATATTACTACTCAAAACCATGATCAAATCGTGTCTAAGCAAGACACAGACTCGCTTAATCCAAACTCAACACCCCGGCCCCCACCACCCTGAAATGAAACCTAGGTATCTAATCTAAGACTCATGCTCAGCGCTATACCCCGCACCCTCAGTCTTCTCCTCATAAGGAGCCTTGGCACCATGAACACCGCCCTGTCCAGCGACCGAAGCTCTGATCTCCCTGAACGTCGTGGTAGGTCTCCATCCCACACTCTGTCTCGCGACCTTAACTTCGTCGTACAACTCGTCAACTTGTTCCAGGGTCAAACCCTTGGTTTCGTAGATCATGAAGTAGACGAAGGTGATGCAGAGGAAGCAGCATCCGAACCAGATGAAGAAGATCTTGGATTGGAGATTGGCGTTTCCTGGACCCCAATTGACGAGGTATGGGGTGGAGTAGGCGATGGCCCAGTTGAGAAGCCAGTTGGTTGCAGTGGTCATGGAAAGAGCCTTGGCTCGGACCTTAAGAGGGAAGATTTCACCGGTGACGACCCTAATTCCAGGTTAGTAATCGATATCTGTCAACTACACAGGATGCAAGCTCACCAGGCAATTGGGCCCCAAGTAGAGGCAAAGAAGAAGATATAGATACAGACGAACGCAATAGAAGCCTTCTGAGCAGCATCGTTCTTCGAGTAAAGGGACCCATCCGCGTTTTGACCAGTGGTAGTCGTACCGAGAACGGCGACAAGAAGTTGGCTGACAGTCATACCAATAGCACCCCAAAAGAGTAGCGGACGTCGACCCCATTTATCGATTGCGTAGAGACCAGGAAGAGTAGAAGCCGTGTTGATGGCGCTGGTAATCATCTGAATAACGAAAGCGTTCTTGATGCCCGAGTTCTTGAAGTACTGTGTTCCGTAGTAGAAAATGAAGTTGATACCAGCTTTGAACGAATATCAGCACAATGCCTGTGAGGGATTTGAGGTAGGGACTTACTCAGCTGTTGAAGTCCTTGGAGAAGACACCCAGTGAGCAGTCTCTTACGAACGCCACCCTTGAAGCAGTCAATGTAGGAGGATTGTCCAAGTGTAAGTTCGTACTCGTGATTGGCTTGGATTTCGCCCAACTCGTCAATGATAGCAGCATGATCCTCAGGAAGTCGTCGAAGCTTGGAGAGAGACTTGGCAGCTTTCTCTGGCTTCCCTGAACGGATCAGATATCGAGGTGTCTCTGGGAGGATGAGCATTCCGGTGATCAGGATGATGGCCCATGCGAATTGGACAGCAATTGGGATTCTGTAGGATCCAGTGTCGTTGCGATTCTTAGTAGAGTTGTCGACAATGGCAGCCAAGAGGAGACCGATGGTAATGGCCAACTGATAAGAGCCGACAATGACACCTCGGATCCATTTTGGAGCAGTCTCGGATTGGTACAATGGGACTAGTCCTCGTCAGAGATGTCTATGGAAATGGAGAGCATGCATCTTACTCAAAGCCGACACCAAACCAACACCGAAACCAGCGAAGAATCGACCAGCGACGAACATTGGCAACGCAGTTGCCGCAGTCTGCAAGATGACACCGAGTATAAATACAAAGGAGGAAAAGATCAGAGCAAAGCGTCTTCCGATAAAGTCAGCGACTGGCGCCGCAGTCAGAGCTCCGAAGAATGTTCCCGCAGAAAGAATAGAGACGACCTCGGATGTTTGTGAAGCGTCGATGTTGAGGTGACCTGTCGAATCTCGGAAACCCGTCGAGAATTGATTTTGCCAGTAGCTATCACATGTTAGAATGTCCAGCGAACTCAAGGCTATGGTACGTACGACATAGCAATGATACCAGAGATAGTTCCCGTGTCATATCCAAAGAGAACACCACCAAACGCCACGAACATACCAATGACAATCTAGAGGACGATGAGCTTTAATCTGTCAGGAATCGCAGATTGAGACTCACAGCTGGCCATGATTTGCCTGGCACGCCAGCAGGCTTCTTCAAAGCGAGACCCATGATGATTATTCTCTCTCAAGTAAAGTCTGAAGGTAGCGTACTATACAAGGGAAGCACAATCCTAGGTACAGAATTCTGGGAAGGCAACAGCTCTTATACCATCACCGAACTTGGGAGGATCAATCTGGCCGAATATGGCAGGACCCCAAGAAAAGTGAGCTTCCCCTCTATGCATCCTCGACCATGCCAGCCTTGACTTCAAAGGAGGAAAGATCGCTCAAACTAGGCTCCACGATTGGCAGAGCCAAGGTTTGGCATCCTCGAAACCCCCGGTTGTAGTAAGCTCATGGGGTCTGGATCCCAGCAAAGAGCTTTGATGATCCCCATGTCAAGTGACGGGCAAGCCGTAGACGTAACTTTGTTTTGCAGCTGCATGCATATGGGAAATGTAACCACTCGTTGCATGCGCCACTGAGATGCCGGATCAAATCCATGACATCTTCAATGCGGGAGGAGAGAAAGTGTCCAATAGCGGACGGGGCTTCAAATTGGCGTTTAGCTTGTTTCCCCGCAAACTCGACAGGAGGTATGAGAAGGATCTGGGGACTCCAATAGCGGGTGGCTGTCGAGTCCGGCATGCTGCTAGGACGCACCAGAGTCGCCTCGCTGTCAGAGCTTTCGGGCCTACTCGATGGCATTGCAGGTGACCGACAGCGCTCAGGAGCTTTTAACGCGACAGTTAAAGCGAGATAGGCGCTTTGTCGGTATTCTGCTAGCATTTGTTGGGAGTTGCTGGGAGTTGACTGCAGCTGCACGGGAGGAATCGAGAAGAGTGCACGGCCAGTTGACGGGGTTTGACGGCAGTGGGAAATTCCCGCATGGGAAGCTCTCCCACTTCCCACATGCCTAAACTTCATCCTTCTTGACTCCAATAGCCCCCACCACCTGACAATACCATCTTACCATCTATCGCAAAGTATGGGGAACATCTCCATAATCGAGCGCGTGACAGCTCTCAATAAACCTAATCTCAAGCTTGTTTGAAGCTTGATTGTTGTAGTGGCTGTCCGTCTCGCTGACACTGCGAGCCGCAGACACTATCTTGAACGGCGTCTGGAGGCTTTTATTTCATTCGTCACTTTCTTTAACATTTGTACCGAGCCGCTTCATAGCCCTACGATCGAGACCCAGATTGTGATTGTGGATGAGGCTGGAATCTGCAGGACCTGGATGATGCATGTGCAACGGACCGATGATTCCCGGGGCATGCGATATTTGGTCCAACTTGGCTCGGATATCAGATTGTCGGCTTGGTACTTTTGTGGAGATGGTAAACGCCTCCTGTAGAAGTCTGGCACCCGAGGACGAGCGAACACTCGAATGCTGCTGAGTCTGAGATATCGGCCGCTCTGTTGAGACGCATTCAATGTGGCGTGGCCATAGTCAAGCCTAGAGCAAAGGCTAACACTTCCGTTCTTCTAAAGTCGAAAAAGCATTACTAGTAAAAGTCGGAGCTTCTTGTCAGCAGCATGTCACGCTCTTGTGTACTCCCCCTCTAGATGGTCAATACTCTTCCTATCAACTCTTTGAAGGTAGTCTGTGGTCAATCTCGTCTCCTTGCGCCAAATTGGACATCAGCATCCTCCAGTGTTGCCGATCAACGATTAACAAGATGTCCATCGAGATCCAAGACTCGAGATGATCAACAACTAACTTCCCCGCATGAAGATCATAAGAGAACGGAAGTTCGTCCCGCCAATTGGAAACAGAACGAAGAAAATGAAGACATGCACGGCGAACCGTGAAGCTCTCTTCAAGAAAGAACCATGTATCACCGTACATCGTTGATACTCAGACATACTTTCCAAGGTTGTTTCGAGCTCGGATTTCGAGGACGACAATTAACAACATTCAGAAACCGAAGACGAACACAACAAGCTGTCAACAAGCTTCCATCCACCATGCAACATCGCCCATTTCGTCCAACTCAATCTTCTTAGACTCGCTCGAGCGAAGCGCCGTATCAACACAATACACTGGCCTTGAATGTCCTCAAAGTTGTAATGCATCCTTGAGGTGAGGGGACAATGATGCTTGAATTTGTTGGAGTCATTTCCGGAACTGCATTTTGTCGGTGTTCATTCATAAGGTGTTTAGGAACAAATCTCTGATGAAATCCTTCGCTTGTATCCAAACTTTCGGCCACAAACGTTCCTTACAATTCTTAAGTATGCCTGTCGATGAATAGTATTGCTCTCGCTGTTGTGGAGTGAACAGCTGCTGGTGCAAGGAGGCTGGAAGAAAGGTACCTTCCTTACAAGTGTTCCTGGATCTTGTAACGTGAGTAAAGCTTCCGAGGCCACGAATTGCGATGTTTGGCAAAGTGAAAATCGAGCTTTCCTGCAGATTCCAGCGAAGGATATTCAATTTATCGTACGGATGCGTTCGGCTCAAGTGTATTACGAGCACTCTGTAAATTTCGATTATCGAGGTGTATCTGAAGCATTCTGTACCCGTTCAAGATATCACGGCGGACTTCATTAATAAAGTGCATCTCGTGTCCAGGTGTCTGAAACATAAGCTGGCTCCATCGACCTGACTTGAAGAAATCATAATTGATCTTCGCGCCCAACCTGACGAGGTGGCAAGCCATATGCATATTTCGAGACTGAACTGCTTCATCAAGAACTGTGAACATATCGTCAGTAGACCTGGCTTCTATATCTGCTCCATGCTCTAGCATGAGGTCCACCATGTCGCTGTCATACTGTGCATGACGCAGCAAGGGTCGTCCTGCTAGAGGCTGAAACTTTACATCTGCACCCCTTTCAACAAGTGATCTAACCATCTTATTGTCTTTCTTGTGAAGAGCAACTTGAAGTGCGCATATATCCCAATTTTCACCCCTGTCTGCAAAGACAGGGGCAGGGGCTTTATCGTTTGGGTTGGCGCCATGATCAAGTAGATATGCTGCTATGTGGACGTTGCCAGACTGAACCGCATAATACAAGGCTGTTCTTCGTTCAGAGTTCCGATACTTGATGTCGGCACCATGCTCAATGATGAGTTCCACAATATCTTGCATGCCAGGTTGGTTCTGCTTGAGAATCGCAAGTTGGAGTAATGATGACCCCAGGTGGTGAATGGTACTTCTCGCATTGACATCTGCACCCGCGCGAATGAGCAACGCAACTATGTCCTTGCCTCGATCCAATGCCAAATAGATTAATGGCTCGTGAGTATTCGTTCGAGCATTCGGATTCACGACATGGGTCAGCAAGTATGGAATAATATCGCGTGGCATGCCTTTAATAATCGCAGTACTCAGCACTGGTTTCGACATACTGTTCATTGTATTTACGTCAGCGCCCTTTTCAATCAGGAGCGACACCATGTCAACATGACCGCACCACACTGCATGAACGAGAGGTGGATCTTGATGACCGATTCTGAGGTCTGCTCCGTACTGAAGGAGTCGAAGTACTGCTCCTTGGTGATTCAATGCCCCTGCTATGCAGAGCGGAGTTAGGCCCTTACAGCCTTTAGCGTCTAGATTAGCTCCGCGGCGGATAAGCAGATCTAGAATATCGTACATGTACGGTTCCATTTGGAAGCGCCTTGCAGCTATATGAAGTAGAGTATCATGATCGTGGTTCGTTGTACGGATATCAACCCCTTGGTCCAGGAGCCACGAAACTGTACTGGCGGTACTCTCACGAACAGCCACGCATATTGCAGGAAAGTCTTGCCGGCTATCGTGCTTTCCGGTGTATGCGCCATTGATATTGGCACCTTTGGTTACTAGTTCCTTGGCTTTCTCCAAGTCATTCCGTACCAATGCCCCGATGAATGCATTGTTGTAGCCTCGCAACCGTATAAAGAGGGCCGATAGCCGTGATTGACGTTGTGCTGGAGAGATTTTGACCGTCTGAAGTTCTTGCTGGTTGCCGTACTTTGATGACTCTGCTCGTGGGGTAGGATCAGGCGATGCTTGAAGATCTGAATGCACTTCAGATTCAGGCGAAATCAAGCTTGGACCTGTCGAAGCTTGCCCGATCATAGTTGCACCGTTACTACCATTTTCTGTTGTAGGAAGTTGTTGGATTGTATGAGAGGATATAGTTGAATCGACGTCGCTTATCCCGTCCTCATGCTCCCTAAACATACTTTGCTCCTCGAAAGCTCCAGTCTGAATGGCTTGCTGGAACCAGTCTATGATGAAATCTTTGTTTGCTTCGAAAGCTGCAACAGATATCCCAATGTCTTCGAGCTCCTTTCGTATCGATCGCCATCTGTCCTGTTCCTCGTGGGTTAAGGATTCGATTGTGGCAACAGTCAAAACAGAACCCTCGTGTTTACCATCCCGGAATTCTTGGACGAGTAGATTCAACTTTTGCTCGACGACTATTTGGCATGTGCTAGGATAATGTCAGTATGGGTAACATTGACTCGCACGTGACAATTCCTTACCTCATGAAGGCTGTGAGTAGGACAGTGTTAGAAGTCAGTCTTGCTCTCAGCTCTGAGATCTCTCCAGCATCCCAATTCAATCGATCCCATGTCCGCTTGCTTTGGGAACCAAGGCTCTCGTATTTCTTCACAAGGGCCTGCAAATCCTCGAGGAGGCTTTGACAACCGCCTGTAATTATCTCCAATCGTGCCTGCGTTGAAATGGAGAGCTTTTGATTCTCAAGGGTCTCCTCGACCTCCTTCAACAAAGCGTGAAGCGATAACACCTCAGCTGAAATGTTATTGAAGCTTCCAGGCGCCGCTTTGCAAGACTTCCAGACCGTCCAAGCATGCTTCGCCGCGGATACGACAGGACCTACGGCACTGAGTGGATCGATACTCATCTTGTGCTCGGGGGCGTTGAACGAAACGTCGACGTCAGCTCGTAACAGGTCAGGATACCTTGACTTGAACCACGAGATTATATGAAAGCAGATTCGTGTGAAGTTGACCTCAGCCTCGCCAGCAAAACAACGAGTTACACAACCGTGGCGCCGTGAGGCATTTATACTTTTTCGGAAGACATGCATGCATTCGATGTAACTGTGGCTGTGCAAAATTACACATACCCCCTCCCTCAAGAACCTAACCCATTGCAGTGGACGATTCTGCGAATGGGTAATATGCTTGAAGTGGAGTGCATTTCATGGTTGGTATATGAATTCGCCTTGTAGCAGGAATCTGTTTCCGTCGTGGTAGAGTCCTTCGTGTTTAGACCGAGACCATTACCCCCTATTCTCCAAGATTGACTTCAATACTTCTTTAATCAAATTCGTATCTCTGTTGACGTCGATCCTCCAAGTACTTATAGCTATTCTGCAAGCTGGCCTGCCCTCCCATCTAGTCCCTGAAACATACATTTTCCTTGTCGCATTGATTCGCTTGACCAGTTCAGTATTCACATCCTCGTCCTTGGCCCTGAAGAGAACAATGATGTGGGTATCACCAAACTCGATATTCGGCACAGAAATGTTTTCTTTGTGGGTCGCTGACTTGGGTACCGTAGGGAGCAGCTCGTACTCCTCACTATCTCTCAAAAATTTCGAAACAGCTCGAGCTAGACGAACTTGCCTAGCAAATATCTCTGCCAGCTCGTATTTTCCGTAAGCTAAGAGTACAGCATAGACAGGTAGGGCTCTGAAGCGGCGAGAATTCTCGAGACCGACATTCAGCGGCGAATGAATGGAAGCTGGTCCAGATGCAAGGTAAGCTGCATTCGGGTTTTGAAAAATAGAAGATAGGGTGTCTGCAGAACGAGTGAAAAAGATACCACAATCGTATGGCTGCGGATTGTCAGTGATCATAGTCCGCTAGAGAAGTGATGTCCAGCACATACCACATTCAACATTTTGTGGCAATCACTCGTGATGGAGTCTGCCAATTCAATCCCTGACAGTTTCGAACGCAAGATTTCGAACTCGTCTGTTTCAGGGAGTGAACGGGCGAAGAGCCCAAATGCTAACGGGAGGTTAGTGTGGGACATAACATGAGGTGATTCGGAACACTGAAATACCTGCATCAACATGAACCCAAGCACCAAATTCATCGCAAAGTTCTCTAATTCGTCTCATATCATCCAATCCGTTGGTTGCGAACATCCCAGTGTTCACTTCGCCAGCACTGATCGCAACAATACTCAATACTCCTTCCTTTGAGCGTCGTAACTCGTGTTCGAGAGTCCTCAGATCCAGTCTCCATGGCTCATCCGCACTGACAGGTATGTCTTTGACCGAAGCTCGACCCAACCCGACCACACTTGCAGCTTTGTACAGTGAGCTATGGCCCATTGTGGTCAAGACTTGAACTTCCTTGACTCCAGCTTTCAGACAAGCAGCCAGCAATCCGAGCTCACCAACGCCTTCCTCTATCCCAGCAGCTTTCAATCGAGTTGTAATGACCGCTTCACGACCACATGCCAAGCCCAAGATGTTGGCTCCAGTCGCACCAGCTGTGAAAGTTCTTCCGTTCCAACCAGATCCCAGGTTCAACAGCTCGACAAGCATACTTGAAGCTCTATCTTCGACGACGGTGGAGACAGATTGATCAGGCAAATGCACTTGTACATTTTGATCAAAAGCAGTAACAATGTTGTCCGCTACTTCCGCGATTGGAAGTACGCCCCCAGTCACGAAACCGTAGTAGTTCGAAGATGTTTTGGGACCATTGAATCCGGGTATGATATCAGAGAGAAGATGGGCTTCTGTAGCAGCTTCACCGAGACCTTTGGCAGGTAGCGAAGCTGGCAAGCTGTTGGTTGCTTTCAGGAGAGCTGCTGGAGATGGTAGAGCATCGTTGGATGTAGCATCCACAATGGTACGCAGCTTCTCGTACGAGGATGAGACGGAGAATGACATGGCTGCTTCGAAGAGAAAGAGACTCAAAAGAAGAATTGAGATTTTGAACGATCTCGACGAGGAAGGAGGCTCTGCTCTAACAGGGGATGTTGAGTCACTGGACTAGACCGCATGGGCCTTCCTCATTGGAAGTACAGGTCAAATCCCGGGAAAGCTAAGCGAGAGAAGATCCCGAAGCTGATTGACAATGAATTATGTCAGACTTCTTCACTCACAAAAAGAGCCTGTTCACTCATGGAATTTTGTATTCAAAAAGGAACTAGTCGTCGATGATGAAGTCAGGGCTTCTCTGGGTGGAAGAAAAACGCAGATAAAATTCTAGATATTCTCGTCGACTCGTCAAACAGCATTTCTTAAACATTTGCACCCTTGACTTAGACGGATAGGACGGTCTGTCAGAGAACTTACTGAGACCTATTAAACAAGATACGCTCACCTTCTGATGCTCGTCTATTTCATACATCCACAGGTGAACGTCGTCCCTCTCCAGTATTGGTAAGATACGGAGGAATTAACCCCGCGAGAAGTCTATATGCCGATGCTGACGGATCCATGAAAGGCATACTTCCAGTGATGACCCGGAATGCCAGATATGGTGAACATTGGTAATGTAGTATCTGAATTGAGTGTTCATTGGGAACACTGCAGTTGTAGGAGTGATAGTACTGGCGGTAATCCCGAGTCTCCACCTTGAAGCCACCAAGACCAACATTCGTTTTCTGGGAAAATGTCGCGCATGTCTGTGGTCCCAACCATGCCAATACCATGTTCGCTGATGCCGGACTACTGCATTCAATTATTCTCTTCCTGCAGCCATCTCTCTTTTAGGAACGGTTGGATGCAAATCGGTTTTCGTCTGGGTTGATGCCTCGCAGTCTTCGCTAGAGTTAGCCATTGGGAAAGCTGTAAGATAGATATCCTTGGTTGCACAAGCAACATCGCCTCGTGTGGGAATTCTTCTTCCACGACCCATTGAGCTGGAAAAACATTGTTTGCCTCGACTCTGAATAGATGATCATGACAAGAAGAGGCTCGGACCCCACGGGCAGCGGGCAACCAAGCCAAGGATGTCGGGCTGTTTGCATCTCACTCACTCCTATCGCCCCCTCGGATTAGCGTTCCCGTGCAGCGTTCCGCTGGGCTGCAGAGCACACCCAGCACCCAGCAGCCAGAACAGCACACTGATTCGATCCTCGGTACATGCTGATTCTCCGCCTGATCGGGGCGAACGATTCGTCGAAAAGCCACTCGACAGGGTCGCAACCAGACTGCTGGAATTTTATATGTCCCGCGCTTTCCCAGCCCAAAGGCTCGGTCCTAGGCTTCCCGCGCGCCCCCAAAACCATGAGCCGTTCGTTTCTTTTTTTTTTCTTGCCAGCAAGTCACCTCCTGCCAGAGCATCTGTGCCTACCCGCTGTGAATCAGGCACCTTTGGGACCTTGCGGTACAGTACATGACCAGGTGTCGAAGCTCAAGCGGTGTGCGAAATGAAGAACGACGAGGAGGATGATCTCGACTCCATCGTCCGACCCTCGACGTCGAATGTCGCGGGAGTGCGATCAACCATGAACACCTCTGAAAGTTCTCCCTTGGCTGGAGCATCCACGCCGATAGAGGCCGATATGGTAGGCGAGATGCATCTCATTCAAGACATATGCTAACAAGATTGCGCAATCAGACGAATTCCGATGTCTCAAGCCCAAATGATGAAGAGTCTGTACCCAGGAATCCGGAGACGATCGTTGCACAGATTCTGCTGTGCCGCGACGAGATCTTGTTCAACCACATGCTGACACAAATTATAGCGAATCTGTATCGCTTTCCACTGATGTGTTTAATTTTGAGAAAGAGAACGGAAGAACATATCATGGCTATCGACGTGGTAGTAAGTGATGCTTATCTCTGTAAGGTTACACAACTTATCAAAATCTTCAGCATACCACTTTCCAAATGATGTAACCGAAACAGAGCGACTGGACTTCCAGTACGAGATTCTTAAGTTCTGTTTCTCGAACAAAAATTACTTTGCTCCACTATCCAATCCTGAGCGCATTCTAGATATCGGTACCGGGACCGGTACTTGGGCGATAGAAATGGGAGACGAGTTCCCCTCCGCCGAGGTCCAAGCCACGGACCTTTCACCCATTCAACCATCTTCTGTGCCCAAAAATGTACAATTCTTCATTGACGATGCTTCTGAGGAAGACTGGGCCGTACCGCCCGCGTATTTCGACTATATCCACACTCGCATCATTCTTGGCTGCTTCACGGACTTTCGGATCATCATTCAACGAGCTCTCCACTACCTCAAACCAGGCGGATATATGGAATCTCAAGAATTCATGTCAACGCCATATTGTGACGATGGAACGATGCCACCCGACTGGCCATTCCTAACTTGGACGCGTTATCTGGATGAGGCATCGATAGATGCAGATCGTCCCGTTCGCATAGCAAATAAAATTAAGAGATGGTATGAAGCTGCCGGCTTCGTTGACGTCGAAGAAAAAGTATTCAAGCTCCCCGTGAATACATGGCCGCAAGACAGACACTTGAAAACTCTAGGCCGGATGCACGAGGACAATTTGCTCGTAGGGCTTGGAGGCTTCAGCATGGGCTATTTCTCGCGGGTACTGGGATGGAGTAAGAATGAGATCGAGGTTTACTTGGTCAACACCAGGAAGTCAATCAGCGACAGGAGCGTACATGCTTATCATAAAGTTTTTGTGGTTTGGGGACGAAAGCCATTTGATCATGAGGTGAAGGGAAAAGGGAAAGAGGCCGGGCCTGAGCTTGAGCCTTCTTCATCTAAAACCCCTTCCGACGACGCATCAAAATCTGGGAAAGGACCAGAAACAACTACCTAGGTAACGGAAATTGGGAATTAAGGGAAACACTAGAGGGAACATTCATGACTTATGAGGAGTATGGGATTTTGCATTGTATGGCGAAAGATAGGGGAAAATGGCAGTTGCAGGACATGATAGCGTCGATTAATGTCCAAGCTCGATTCGCGGCATGTCCGTATCAAATATATCTGGAATTCTGCCAGACATTGAGATCAAAGACGCGTCCCCGTTACTTCATTGTCGGGCTCATGTTCATTGTCACCGAACTTTCGATGAGGTGCCACTTGCATCTTGAGTAGTGGAGTTCATGCCATTGCATCAACTTCAATCAGTAAGACGGTTCATGGTATTCTGCAAGAAGCTTCCATCCATGAATCCACAGCATGAATACTTCCATTCTTTCTTACCAGACTAACCTTCTCGGAAGCATTCTCCCACGAGCAAATCTTCCATATTCGGGGCAACAAAAAACTTAAATGAGATTCTCAAGTGGGACTCGCGGTCTCTAGAATCCTTTTTATTTCCATTGGTACCTTCCTTTCGAGAGTTGCACATTTTACAAGTTTTGTTTCAGCCGTGTATTTAATAGCGATCTTTTCCCTCGAATGCATGCTTTCCCTCTCATCGAATACCTTGACAGATTCTCGGACATGGATACACATACATCAAGCACAGCCAAGGACCACAATAGGGGAGCGACTGAGACAGACGATGAAGCCACCAAGTCCATCCGCAGAGGGATCACTGCAGTCACCAAAATCAATCTCGACGCCCCAGGTGATCTCAAGCCTCACATCGAAGGCAAGCCCAAGGAATACGACAGCGTTACATCCAAGATGTCGATCGACTCATCCCGGAATGAAGATGTTCCCGAACATCCCAAACCCACTAGATACCATTACACAATATCACAAAGACGACAACTCCGGGAACTGTACAAGACACATGGACGAAAAGGCTCGAAGGGTGCTAAGGCGATAGCGCAAGAGCTTGGTGTGTCGCCTCATCAAGTTATGGATTGGTTCAGGAGTGAGAGACGGCAACCTCATTCGGAGGCGTGGTTTTGGGGTGCTTCGATCAAGACGGGTGTAGCGAAGCGGCGTACGAAGCGCTCTCGAAAGAGGACTAAGGAAGTAGGAGCTAGCTATGGTAGTTTAGATGCCAAGAGTGCTTGAGTTCGAAGAAGAGTCATTGGGTAAGGAATGAAGCAGTTGAGGATGAGGAGCGAGAATTGCGGAATGAGGAGTCTTTGGCTCGTTCTCGGAAGTTAGAACCCAAGCCTGAGGAGAAGACAGAAGAGCTCAATGTTGAGATGAAGAAGCTGAAACATTAGTCACCAGATGATAGTTCGTTGTGAGGACTAGTGCATAACAAGCCTCGAGTCATGTCCGTGGGAAATGTGTCTAAGAACGACCGTCTTTGTCTCTCAAAACCATTGCATTGAAAACTTGGCATACGAAACTGCCTTTCATTCTCAATCTCAATGGAGAAATCTAAACTTCCCTCATCAGCACCTTCTTCATAGGTCCAAATGTCGCCGTCCACGCCCTGATCCTCTTTCCCCAGAAATACAGAACCACACTCAAACTCAGAATGGCATACTGAATCACTACCATCTCCCCAAACGCTTTCTTGATCCCTTCTTTCTTGATCCAATCTGCGATATACAATGATAAGATGCAAGCCATCACATTCCGGACCACAAAGACGATAACCAGGACTTCACCAGAAATCTGCTCGAATTAGTTCATGGCGTCTGATAACAGTGGGAAAAGGAGGAAGAAAGAGGAACTAACAGCTCTATAAGCATCCACTGCATACGTAACCACGACATTACTCGCAGCTGTCAACCCAAAACCCAGCCCACCAAATCCAACAGCAGCTCCCCAATAACTCTTCCCACTCCCCACCACCAATCCAAACGTCAGAACTCCCATCGGTCCGATGATGGCGGGGAAGATCATAGCTGGAAGACGAAATTCTGGTTCTGGATGTCCGCCAGCTCGAGCAGTCATGTGGTTCGCTATGAAATCGATGAGACGACCGCCAATAAAGAAGGAGATGATGGCACCGACAAAAGCTGAGGTGGATAGAAGGCCTAAGTCGTGGATTTGCCAGTGGTAGGGTGCTGCGGTAAAGACGCGGGAGGAGGTTAATTGGATTGAAATGTTCCTGGTATTGTTAGCCATTGAGCATTACAGATAGGAAATGGAAGTTTGGAAAATGGAGAGGGGTCTTACCATCCAACAAATACTCCAATCGTCAACCCAACAAACAATACAGGTGGGTAGGCAAGCAACACCAACGTATTCCCCAACCATTTCCAAAAGCTAGCAGTTCTATCATAACCTCCCACCAAACTCAACGCCTTCCACCAGCTTCTTTTCGGGGCATAATCCTGCTCAGGCAAATCCAAAGCCGCCTCATCCCTCTTGTAGGCCGTCTCATGAATACTAAACAGTCCAACCGAGAACGTAACTCCCGCAGCTATAGACATGAACCCCAACATCCACCTCCATCCTGCATACTGCACAATATACGCATTGATCAACGGACCAAGAAACACGCCCGCTGAGATCGCCGTATGGAAGACCATCATGCAATGTCCTCTCTCATGGAAGTAGAACAGATCCGCAACCACTGCAGGAACAGTCGCATCGGCCGCGGCACTCATGAACCCGCCTACTATTCTGCTAGCTAAGAGACTGCCATATGAATGTGCGAAATAGCCCCAGATATTCGTGATGACGAGAAGGAGCAGAGAAGATAGGTATACGGGCCGCTTTCCTGTTATTCGCATAAGTGGCATCCAGAACAGATTCCCTAGTCCCATGAAGAGGAGTTGAATCGAGGTGAGGTAGCCAGCTCGTGTAGTCGTTGTATGGAATTCTTTTGCGACGGGTACAATGGCGACTGTGAAGTTGCTGCTGTTTACGAGTCCGAGAAAGGCGAAGAAACAGACCGTAAGATAGGTAGAGTATTTTTCGAGGGCGGGCCAATTCTGAGTTACTTGCTTAGTGAAAATGTCCGGGAAATGGATGAAGATTGCTTACCAGTGGATCATTGGGATCATTTGATGGCTGTGGACGTAAGAGTAGACCCTTCTTCGAGCGCTTCCCTTCCACGATCTCAAAGTCTGTGGGCTCTCGGGGAGGCTTCTCAATGGTACTGATAACTTCATTCTGCTGCTCAACATCCACCTTTTCGCTGGACATTTTGGGCGACGTATGAATCTCAACAATAGACAAGAAAAGAAGCAGAGAAGGAGTTGAAATAAGACAAGAACATAGTATCGATATCGGGCAAAAATATAGCACCGACAGGGAAATAGATTATGCACCTTTACTAAGATGACCTGCGTCTAGGAGAGATGCTTCCATCTGCCGTGTAATATTGATAGTCTCCAACGGGTAATTTCATACCGAGTGCGGACCTCATACAGAATGTGGGTGGCCAGCGACTGGTTCTTAAGATTTCTCGAGGAAGTGGAAGCTACTTGGATCGAGGTCTCCATGATTCGCGTTCCTGTTACTTCTTTGAGATTGGACCGTTGAAGAAGTTGGCGGGGAACCTTGCAAAAGTGGACGGCTTGAAGCGAGGGGTGGGAACGAGTCACGGTACTTTGACTTGACTTCAATACTTAGATTTCTGCGCAGACAATATCCTTCTTGTTTGTACGTATACATCGCAGCTGAATCTACTGTAAGATTATTGACGTGCAGCTTTTGAGAGATTGCTCATCTCTGAGCTTCTTGAGATGACCACTTCCAAAAGTCAAGTGACACTCTTCACATGGCCGTTTTCAGCAAAATCAAATAAGTATATCGTGGCCCAATTTCCTTTGAAATAGTACACACATGTCATCTGAATTAGTGAGGAACTTAATTTCAGTTTGTCCAGCGTAGTGATTACCAGTCTGGAATTCCAGACAAGCTTGGACAACCTTCTCCGCAATGTTGGACTGACAAAGTATTGTTAGATTGTTTGACAATTTTTCAACACTTTTGCATACGATAAGTACTGCGGCGGGGATCAAGTATATATTTGACTCCAGCTTGGACTTGGGCTTGGAGAATAAAAATATATTGTGGTATATTTGAGGGCTCACAGGACTACTGTTGTCATCCTCCTGATCATTGTCAACAATGGAATAAGTTCTGACGAAAGCAGATCTGAACATTGACAACAAGAGATCTTTCGGATGTACAATCTAGACAATTATTCCCTTCTCAAAGAATGACTATCCCTCACCAACAACCCCGGAACCATCCAACGTGAGGCGCGCACCCGCCCGGGCCAGCTCTGTGGTGGTGGATCTGACTTGGAAGTTTGCTGGAGAACGAAAACCGTCCGCGAAACCCCTTCTTATATACCTCGCGGCCTCAGCAACAGATTCACCTAACTATCTCGAAATACAACTCTGAAAACGTATGTTAGCCGATAACGGCCCATGTCTATTCAATACTTTGTCTATCCAAAACCATTCAGGACCGTAACACAATCAATTCACCTAACCCCATTGAAACACGACTGAAATTCACCAAGACAGAGAAGACTGTGGAGAACTTAGGTGAGCTAGGAGAACTAGAAGAAATCGCTATACCCATTGATGAAGAAAAAACCCCAAACTAAGAAAATGTCTTACACCAGAGGGACTCCTCTTATTCTGTCGAATGACGGTTGACAACAATCACCCCATTGAGGTTGAAAACATGACATAGAGCAGTGGAGCATAAAACACAAATTCATTTGCTGAAACTCCCTCAAGGTGACTCTTACCAAGCATACATCCTCGAATTAATGTGCCATAGAAGCAGGTCGCAAAGCCAAAAATGGAACTCCGACGGCTTGGCACATCCCATCCCACTCTTACACCTCTCATTATGCTCTTCAAACCAGACGAAAACTCCGCCTCGCCAATTATGTAACAATGAAGATGGCCAAAGACGCCTTTCATTGGCATGTCTTCTCACAGACGGGAAGGAGTCCCCTTGCTAGAGTTTATCCGGAGGAGTTATCGACGTCAATCCACTAGGATATAAAATCGCGGGGTCCTGCACTTTCCACAACCCCGCCAAACTAAACCTCACTTCCCTAACTTCAAAATGACAATCGGCGTAGCAATAATCGGCAGTGGCATCTTCGTCCGCGAAGAGCATCTGGTATGTCCGCACCGCGATCCGAGACACATTTACTAACTTACCCAGCCAGCAGTGCACGCTTGCTCCCTCCTCACGCTTAAAGCCGTCTATTCGCGCTCTCTCAAGTCTGCCAAAGCTCTCGAAACCAATGTAGGCCTCTACTCCGACGATGCAGGCTCTGGAAAGACGTACCATGACCTCCTGCTTCGCGATGACATCCATGCCGTCATCCTCGCGCTACCAATCATGACCCAGCCAGAATTTATCGAGGCCGCACTTGCAGCTGGAAAACATGTCTTGGCTGAGAAGCCCATTGCAGCCGATATACACAGAGCGGAGAAACTGATTGCATATTATCAGAGTGACAAAGTGAAAGGAGGTGCGACGTGGGCTGTTGCGGAGAATTTCCGCTTCCTAGAGAGCTTTGAATATGGGAGGGAAGAGATCGAGAAGCTGGGCAAGATATTGGGTTTCAGAGTGAAGATGTTTGCCAATGTGAAGCCTGGCGGGAAATGGATTGGCGAGTACAACTTACAAAGTTGGGATCTGCGTTAGCTGACGTTCGTAGAAACTCCATGGAGGAAGAAGCCGGAGTATCAAGGAGGATTCTTACTTGATGGCGGGGTACATTTCGTGGCTGGCACAAGGAAATTACTGGGTTCTGATTATTGCACTGCACTAACAGCCTATTCGACTCTGCTTCAAGAACATCTTCCTCCGGTCGATACGGTTAACTCGGTTTGGCAGACAAAGTCTGGTATCTCCGGGACATTCTCCGTTTCTTTTGGCACGACGTTATCAGGCGGCGAGTACACTGTGGCTTGCGAGAAAGGGAGTGTCACGATCATCCGAGATAGGGTCATTGTTAGACAAGGAGAAGAATCAGAGGGCAAGAGCTCAGAGATCAACTTTGCAGACAATTTGCATAATGCTGGAAGTGGTGTGAAGCCAGAAGTTCAAGCTTGGGCTGAGGGTATCGAGGCCGGGAAACCAAACCCGAACCAGTCACCTGAGCAAGCTTTAGGAGATCTAGAGATCTTGGAAAAGATGTTAAAGAGTGGAGAAGCAAATGGACAACCACAGACTCTGAAATATCAGAATTAAATACATATCTTTGTTTGAAATTCACTTGGTGCCGAAATAAGGGGCAGACAGACACTAGGTATCGTAGACCCGATTTTGCGAGCCGAGAGCAGTGTGACTCACACTTTCTACCACCCCACGAACCGAACGTTATCGAAGTCAATTAGCAAATATCTGGCATCCAACAGCAGGAACAAGCATGATGGCGCAGTGGAAGCGCGCTGGGCTCATAACCCAGAGGTCCTTGGATCGACACCAAGTCGTGCTATAACAACTTGCTGATGGAGCATCATTTTCTTGGCTTTTTTTTTAATTTTTACTGTTATCTTTTAGAACACATACTCCAATAACTTTTTTTCGTCTTAAAGAAGTTTCTTTCGCTTGCGGTTAAACTCCGGCTTTTGTAATGTTCTATCTTAGTTTCATTTCATCACAGTGAGCTTTTGTTGCACATCGCAAGAGACCGTCGCTCCTTCCATCTTGAGCCTCCGAGTATACAGCACGTGATTGCTCGTTTTTGCCAACTAACAGCGAGGTGTTGGGAAATTCATCTGGAAGTACGCATGTCCCGGTCACAATGCCGTCGGATTATAAGCTTATGCGTTATTATTTTCTTAACAACAGGCAAGGGAAGGGGAGTTCAACAAATAAAATTTGGATAGACAAACATCTTGGGTTACTCGGGAGGAGAAGCCATAGATACGCCGGCTTACATAACCTTTCAAAAAACGGTTGTTCGTTTGTGTGTGGAAATTCTACATTGGAGGAGAGAGGAATCTTTTTTTACCTGGGTGGTGGTACGTTGGTGTCAGATTCACAGGTTTGACCTTGTGAGATTTCCCTAAACAAAGAAAAGAAAGGCTTTCTAGGTAGATGAATCTACGTCTGAACCTGATGTATGTGTATTAAGATATTTACCAGAAAAGAGGGATAGTTCAAAGCAATGCCGTTGTCTTTGTAGTGCGCTTTATGCTATGGCCTATCGAGAATATCCTAAAAGCCTCCAGAACACCTCGAGCGTACCAGAAAACCAAAGCCTGTCTCCATAACCCAAGATCATCGTCAAGATCGCCAATGAAAGTCCAACAACCATGATATCGCTCACGCACAACCAAATTGTGGAAATAATGAGCCAGGAATGCTCCAGTATCTCCAATAGCCTCTTGGCCAATCCCTTCAGCTGTCCTCATCCACACGTACCTAGCCATCAGCCTCTCTATCCCCATAACTCTGCTCTTCCTTCTCAACAAAGACCCAGCCAGCTCCCTCCTGATTCTTCTTCTCGTCCTCCTTACAAGCAGGACAGCGTGTCTCGCCCTCAATCTCGGTTCCAATCCTGTACTTGAATTCATCATGACCCGACTTGCCACACTTCTCAACCCGGATGAAGGGACATCGCAGATCACCCTGCTCCCAACTCATACAAGCGCAGCACCCGCAGAACGGCAACCCATTCGGTGCGATATATCTCGGGTGCTGATGTTTGGGCAGACTTGGAGGACGGGTACCAAGGAATTGGTCTTTATCGTAGGGAACTATGACTCCCATTAGCCTGGATCACAAAAGCGCAAATGATAATGGCGACTAACAGAGCTCCTCCCAGGCTAAAAGCTCAGCGAGCCATTGCTTGCCATCGTAATCTAGTTCCGGGTCATGGACGGATACATGGCGGCAAATCTCCTCGTAGATATGCCAGATTTTCTCTTCGATTTCGTCTTCGGTGAAGCCGAGCTCGTTGACTTGAGCAGCATGCATGATGTCGTTTAGGACGGAGGTGTATTTGCGTTGAGGAGCCATGGTATGTATCTTGAAATCAGTGGTTGTAGTCTTGCGATTTATTGCGACTTGAGAAGAGGTTGATTAGTGTTCAAGAAGAAGGCGTAATATGCTAGTGTGCAATCGCTTATGAGAATTTATGACGATTTCCCCTGACCTGCTAAGGTGATGGCGCTCTTCGCCTTCTATGATGGTACTTTTCCATCTTTGAACAACTGGCACTAGCCGGTCATGAGAAACCCAAACATTCATCATCCAAAGTGAAATCAAGTATTCTAGAAGGCTCCATCTGAATTTGTGGAATTAAAGATAAGCAACACCAAATAGGATTTAGGTTTGTAGGGTCTGTAGTCTGTGTACACATGGTAGGCACTTGGAAGTAAGTGTAGGAATTTGCGACCCCTATGCCGAGTTGCTATAATTTTGTAGAACGCCTGCTCAAAATAAACTCAGAAATCTTGCAACGGGTGCTGGGCAGTCTGTAAGATACAGTGCAAACCACTAAAGCTTTGGTGGTTCGATGTTACAATGGCGCTGAATGGATGAAAGGTGACAAGGAAAATATGAGTAGATGCACAACTAAATATGGCAGGTCATAAGCAATACTAAAGCAAAAGCTAATTGTTGATGACTGCACAATGATATGTGTTCTACAATAGCAATGAAAGTTAAGATATCGATGCTTAGCCAAGAGAGTTGTAGAGACAGACTCTTGGTGCGATAATTGTGCAAAGGTAGGTACCCTGGGTAAATAGATAGCTGAAGATGTCTCAACGTTCTTCGGAGGCCTCGGGGTCCTTGGCACTATCATCAGACCATAGCTCGCAAGTCAATCAAATGATGTTGTACAAAGAAACACGTAACTTGGTAGTCATTTCATGCCTTGGGACAGCAGTTCCAAGGAGAACTTCTCTGTCGAGCATTCAAACCGCACTTGAGGCAGCATTTAACATCATAACATTAAGGCCACATCTGTCTCGAATGACGTTGCCTCTCTGCACTCAGCTATTTCTATACTCAATTCCGTGGTCCAGCTCACGATCATGGCTTGCTTCAGCCTCTGAACGTGCAGCATTCTCAGCCCTCACCAATCACACAAGACACGTTACCAATCCTATCCTGGACATCGGCCAGCCGCATACCACCAGTTACACTTTCTTGGGTGAGATTGAGGCGCTTGCTCAGCACAATCGGCAGGCTGAAGATGCAGCAGTCCACAGCGGGCGCTTCGATGACATGCTGAGACCGCCAGGTCGAGCCAATAAGCCCCTGCCGCGCAAGGCACGGCAAAATAAACACATCAAGTTCCGATAATAGATTCTCATTAAAGGGAAGTGCATTCGAGAGGCTGGCTTGAGCGATTCGATATCGTTTTTATCTTCATTTCCAAAATATTATCGCGACAAAATTCCTCGCGCAGTGAAGTTGTTTATTATTCAGTGAGAAAACATGGTTAGATTAAGCTCATCCGCGCTGACGGCAGTGGGTAAGTTCACTGGAGATGCCCCAGTTTAATCGGTTCTCGGCCTCTTCCAGCCAGGAACGTGCCTTCAAGGGTATGCTGACAATCTCTAGGAGCTGTTTTGTTCAGCTTCTTGACAACTACGACAGCTGTCTCGACATCAGTATCGTCTGGATTCGCCGCAAACGACGGCAGTGTCTCTTTTGCTCTGAATATTCCTCAAGATGATGATAGCAATGATTTATACTTTTCTATGCAGGGCGGTAAGTCTCCACACTGTCCCTGAATTGCCCATCGAAGACCGGGACTAATGTATTATCACCAGATGCCTCGCAGAGCTGGATTGTACGTTTTCGAAGCTTCGACTTGGTCGCATTACTGATTAGTGGCAGGCTATTGGCATGGGGAACGACAAGATGGACGATTCATTGATCTGGATGGTGTACAAAGATAGCACTGGCAAAAACCTCACTCTCAGCCCTCGATTATCATATGGCCATGTCGAGCCTGCATATTCGTCGAATTTATCGGTCCAAGTCCTCCCAGGCACCGAAATAACCAGCGATGGGAATTATACCTTGTTCGCAATGTGTACGAACTGTCGATCATGGAAGGGAGGCTCGATCGATCCCACCAACAAACAAGCAAACTTCATATTTGCAAGTGGTCCTTCGGGAGATTTAGATTCGAACAGCAAATCAGCTGGCATAAAGCGTCACGCTTCATATGGAGTCTTTCAGATGGATTTGACTCTGGCCGTTGGAAGTGCAGGTGCTCCAATTATTGCTACTGCCGATACTTCTGGGACAAAACAGGTCAGCGAGAATACTGATCATGACTTCTCTGCGGCTTTGCATGCTTGCCTTATGATCCTAGCTTTCGTGGGACTTATGCCCCTAGGACTATTGATTTTGAGAATCTTGAATAGTGTTAAATGGCACGGCTATAATCAAGGTCTTTCTGCTGCTGTTGCCCTCATTGGAACAGCTGCTGGTATCTACGCAGGCTCCATGTACCAGAGAGTAAGTATCTAGATTCAGCAGTATGACGAATTCTAACATAACTTAGTCAATGCACTGGAACTCGGCACATCAGATCTTCGGCCTAGTTATCATTGCTGCAATGATCGGGCAATTCGTCCTTGGATTCATGCACCACCGCATTTACAAGCGAACACAGGCTACAACGAAACTTGCACCCATCCACGTCTGGCTTGGACGAATCGTGATCCCAGCAGGAATTGCGAACGGTTTTTTGGGCTTCCCATTGGCATTGAACTCAAAGTACGATTGGGCTTTGCTGGTATTAGTGCTGTTGGTAGTCATTGTCATGGGACCATTCGCTTTCTGGAGATATAAGAGAAATGCGAACAAAGCGGCAACAGCCGCTGCTGTTGGTTATGAAGGAGGTTACAACGCGCAGCCGTGGACTACTGACTCGAACGCCGCATCGGATGTTAACTTGGGCGCCTATCCGGGTGGATATGGACAACAGAATCATCCACCGCTCTATCAAAATCAAGGAAGATTCCAACCGACGGCTGGAAGACAATTCGTTTGAGTACGTCGTGATTTTGGATAGCATGGTGTTGGATTAGCGCTTTATTTGAAAAGGAAGTTGGCGTTAGAGATGGGATCATGATTGCCGGGCTGGGTCGGGGTTCTCACTTCAGATTTTAATGAATCTTGTCGTTCTTTGCTTCATTTCATTTCAGATGCGATCTTGCTTTCAAGAAACCGAAATACTCAAGTGAGATACATCGATTCCCTGCACCTTTAGCTGTATGTATCCGCTTGTTCAACTGCTCTTGTTCTTGTTTCCTGCTGCTTCTACTTGATAGGCGAAGATTCTCCCTACAAATCAGGCGGATGATGTCTCCCGTTTGTCCAGATTCCATCCTTCCTCATATCTCCAAAACAATTCTTTCTCCACCATTGACAGCAGGCTGGAAGGCCTGCTGCATGGATTGAGTGGCCTTAAGAAGAAATATCTATATTGGGACATAAATCATACATCTCGACCCCTCGAGCATCTCGACGGTTCTCTCGTATGCAGCCAAATCAAGTTATGATAGCCTCAAGACGCACAGGCATATCTCGAGGCTCTGCTGTCCCTTACCGAATGATAACGCTTGGTTCACTTGTATTCTTCATTTATCGAAACCTTCAATAAGGTTGCATGCGTTTGAGATAAGCGCCGACGCACCTTTGAGGCTCAGCCCTATCAAGTCCCACCTGCCCTAGAATATGGCCGCTTTCGGTGACATGCCCGCAGGTCGGCTAGATGGTGTCAACCTCGTCCTCTACGTCAGAAAAAAAAATGGCCGTTATGAGCAAGTGAAAAATCTCCAATTGATCTATAAAACTATCAATGAATACTCATGAAATATTGAATTGTTTCTGAATAGAAATATTCTTTGGATATTTTTGTACAGTTCCTAAAGACAGAATTTCTTTTAAAAAGCTGGGCGTTGAGAAATAAATAATTCGGTACATTGGATTTTGATGTTCTCGCGAGCCAAAAGAGGCCGCTTTTTACTCCGACGGAGAGTCGTCCTCGTCTCATGTTTTCATACGCGCCGTCAAGCCTTCTTCTTCGGACGAATTGCGGGGGCATCGCGCTTGTCACCCGTTTTCTGAACTATCTCCGATGGTTCCTCTTATCACGTTGCGCAGCCTGGTGTTTGATGCGGGTTGAGTTTTATGTTCGTCATCTCCAGACCCGAACGTTGAGTTGGCAAGGCCCGACCCGCAGCATGTGCTATCGTTTGGCTGTTGACAGGTGAAAGTTGACGCATGTTCTTGTGGGAGGAATCATTACCCTGCAAGAACTACCTTCGATTCTCTGACGCCTTGGCGTTGGATTTCTGCAGTGATCGATGCAGCCTTACGAACGGTCCGTAGTTCCCGTTATAAGTATATTTCATAATCCATTTTTGAGATGATTTGAAAAGACGAATATACACTCAAGCAAGTCGAGCTAGACTCCTTCATTCTTCGCTTCTTTACGTTCTCTTTCGATATTCAGTCTACCTGTGCTTTTTCCAAACAGGAAAGACGGCCAACAAGATGCGTCTTTTGCTCACTTACATCATTTTCCTTGGTGCCGTGCACCTTGGATCGTCGTATGCCATCGGCATAACAACAACTGTCTTCGTAGACATCTTCGCCAGCTCAACCGTCACAGTACAAGGCACTACCTTCTCAGTAACTACCTTCTCTCTCATCGCATCCGCCAAAGCAGTTGCAACACCAATCACCAACTCAAGCAATGCAAATATCAATGTCACTCTGCCATCTCTCCCTCTGGACTCCGACTCTCTGTCGGCTCTCGATTCGCTGATGAACCTTATCCTGTCTGTACCAGACGAAGTCTTCCAAGCTGGAGATGCAGACGTTGTCGAATTCTACACCAACATCTCATCCTGTCTTGCTAACGTCACACTATCACTTGAAGCCGCAGCGTCGAATCTCGTTCCCGAAGTTGCTAGTATTGCACACGAGGTTGGCTCAGATGTTGTCAGCGATGTCGGTAAAGCGACGTCTTTCATAGGCTCTCTCACATCCGATATCCCTGGCGCTATATCAACAGTCAAGAGCATTGCTCAGGGGGTTGGCTCAGATATTGTTAGCGATGCAGGCAAAGCAACGTCTCTCATCGCATCCTTAATGTCCGACGTCCCTGGTGCTATATCAACAGCGAAAAGCATTGCACAATCGATCGAGTCTCAAGTCGTCTCAGCAGCACCAGCGGTCATCACAAAGGCTACCTCTATCTTCAACGACGTTACATCTGACGCTGCAGCCGCCGCCCAGGGTGTAGCTTCCGCGTTACATCTACCATTCAAACCTCGAGCCAGGAACGTTCCCAAAGTAAAGGCTCGACAAGACCTCACAGCCGTCATCCCCGAGTTTACCAACACTTCAGACATTTCCCCATATCTCAGACTCAGATCCAAGCGTCGCTCACTCCCTATTTCCAGCACCCTCAACCCACGCAACTTAACCTCAGCCATATCCGAGATCTCCACAATCTCGGCTTGCATCTCCGCAGCAGCCACCACGAACCCACTTTTCCCAGTCGCAGACTGCGCATTCCGCCTCGCTGAGCTAGTTGGACCCGCAGCAAAGCTGCTAAAGATCAAGGACGCGGCGGAAGGAGCAGGCGGAGCGGTGAAGATCATTCAGACGTTGGGGAATGCTGCTGATGCTGCTTCTGTGGTGAAGTTGGGTGGTCAAGGTGTGTTGAATGCTTTTAAGGAGTTGTTGGGTATCAATAGTGCGGTGGATGCTTGTAAGTTCTTGGTTTGAGGGGAGGTATTCTGTTGTTGGGGAATCTGGTTTTCTTTTTACATTAGGCTGGCTTTTTTGCTTGTTAGATTTCGTGAAAAATGAAGGCTTGGATGAAGGTAGAATTGCAATACCCACACACATTTCGTGGGCACTACTCGCCAATCATTGAAAGCCATCGATTCAAACCTCAAAAAGCTTCCCAAAAATTCCTCCTGATTTGCAGTCTTGACACTTGGATACTTCTCATGATCCAAATTCCCCAGATTTCAGGTCCACTTCAAGCACGTTGAAATTGCAAACGATGCCACTCCCACATCCCGCAATCCGCGCATCTTGCGCATTTCGCGCGGACAGCGCTCACCGCGCGCAAAGCGCAAATGTATCACAGCCAAACTATAATTAAATGAAAGATATAATTTCCTGAGGAAGTTTGGTGAATATTAATGACAAAGGATCTAGAGTAGCTAATAGTCACATTCCGCAAAGACAACTATCGGAGATGCTCCCAATCAGCGAGAAGCGCCGTTACGAGGGCCGCACATTCCTTGCGACGTGCAACAAAAAGCATCTCCTCGGCAACTTGTCCAATCAATTGCCCTTCATCATCTTCGTCATAATTAACCCCCTAAAGCAAGTGAGCATGATATGATCAGCAAGGGCAAAGAAGCGAGCTGTTAAAGGTACGACTTGATAGTGCTTTTTGTACTTTAATTATTCTGCAAGCTATTTATGCAACACGCTTCTTTCTACACTCTATGGATGTGAATCCAAGTCTCTCTTCCGCAACGTCTAACTCCAAACCCTTGCAAAATGCCAGACGAAGACCACCCATAAAGTATACATACAAAATATACAAACACAAAAGAGAAATGCAAGTGCGGATCATGCAATACTCCAAAACATCAACTTCTTCCAAGCAAGGCTCTATTTTCTGCTTCCGCTTCCGCTTCGGCCTCATCGTCTCCTTCAAGTCGGATTTCATGCCCATCTCCTTCGGTCACCCACCCACTTGCGATGATGCTCAAGACGGCGACACCAGATAATCCCCAGAATACAGCTCCGACAATCCCATACTTCAAACCCAATCCATACAAGAAGCCTCCCAACGCCGGTCCAACTGTTCGGGCAGCTGAAGAAGCACTCTGCCCAATTCCGTGAATCGTACCCAAAACAGATGGGTGGGGCGAGCAATTATTAATTAAGATCGTCGTAGCGGGAGAAGCGAACGTTCTTCCAACGACTTGGATGAATGTCAAAGTCATCAGAGCGGCCCAGAGAGGGAATCCAGTCTTTGGACTCGGTGGCGGGGTGGTCGAGGGAATTAGAGACAGGAACGGGATGAGGAGATAAACTACAGGGAAGCAGTACAAGACAATTCTCCAAGAGCGGATCGTGCCTAAGCGAGCGTTGACCATAGGATACAAGAAAAGTTGCAGAGTGATGCCAATCGTTCCTAAGATAGCCATTGCCCATCCTACCTGCGCAGGATGAAGGCCAATTCCACCAGTGAAGAAGATTGGCAGATGGGGCGTATAGCCTGGCGGCGCCTTGGCAGGATCATAAACAGGTGTCGATAAGAAGGTGTACCAGATATTGTTGAACGTTCCCATGGAACCAGCCATCAAGCCATGGCAGATTAATGTACAGATCACGTTGTACGTGAAGATGCGGCGGAAAGGAAGCTTGTTAGGATACCGAGGAGCGACTCGTTTCTTCGGTTTCCATACTGGTGGAAGATATTCGGTGACGTGGTCCTGAGGTTGGTTGGGGAGGGAAGAGTAGTTTTGCTTGTCGGATCTGGTAAAGAGACGACTGAAGAATCCGGAAACTTTGCGGCGGCAGCTGACTCCAATATCTCGTTGCTGAGCGAATTCTTCGTGAGTCTCATCCAGGCCAAAGAAAATAGCAAGAAGGGCGCATGTTAGGAAAATTGCGCTGATGATGTTCGGTGGAGAGTATGGAAATCTCTCGAGCCATTTGATACCGCCAAATAATTCTGGATAGGTCGATGCGGGATCGCTCGTCAAGCCACCAAGCATTGGTCCAATAATTACTCCGACATTCGCGCACATTGGTAGCAGTAAAAACGCCCTCGACTGGTATCTAATTTTCGTTAATTGATGTTCTCAAGCCCCTGGGTACAATCTTACTTCTTCTCCCTGACAATTTCAGAGATCATGGTCCTCATGACTCCTACGTTGCCATTCAGAGCACCACCTAGCATACGGAAACAAAGTGCTTGATAGAAATTACTTGAGAATCCAAACCCGAGACACGAAAGAGCAGTCCCAGAGAGTCCAAGAAGTAGAACACGTTTTCGGCCAGCTTTGTCACTGAAGCGTCCCCATAACATAGCAGTGCATAACTGTGCTGCGGCAAATGCACCTTGCATAATACCAGCCTGAGAAGCAATGGTTGAATCTGGAAGACTTCTGTCGAAAGACTTCAATTGATAGAATAGATATGACTGTCCATTGTTTAGTTATGCATTTTTTTGAACGACGGAAGCGGAGGTACATACACGCAAAGATGTTTGGACCAGGGGTTCGGAGAGCCGAGACATTGTCAAAATAATGAGTTGACTTCTGTGAGGCAAGCTTGACCATGTTACTGGTTTCTCCTTCTTCTTCATCGTTGGCGGCTCAATCTGGAAAGGGTCTTCATCCTCCGCAATGAAGGATTTCCTCCTTTCCCGATCAAAGGCCGACCCACGACGCTTGAGACCATCGCGCGGCTTGTAATCGGTTCCATGCGGCGACGATGACCTGCTGTCAGTATCGGAACTACTTGAACTGGTAGTGATTGTTCCATAACCCTCATCCGTAGGTTCTCTTGGCCGTGAAGGCATCGTGGCTAGTATCCGTGGTGACGTTGCATTGGAAGGACTGTTTTTCCCTAATTGACCCCAATTATAGAAATGCGTGAATGGTTGACCTCCCCAAAGAAATCCTCCGACCGTGGTCTCGAATTGAAGATGCGTATGAATCAATAATGAGTGAATTGAAAAGAGATTCAGGTGAGATGGAAAGAACAATAAAGCTGACTTTCGGCGCTAAGCCTTTAGTGGCGACGCACTAAACCTTGTTTATGCAGCCAAAATCTCCCCTGAGACATGCAGCCACACCAACACAGGCTGAGATTTGAGCAGAACACGCGACATCACTCTATATATCCTCACTTAAACGACCAGAAGAAGTCACCAGTACCATTTGTGGCGACGTATTCCACCTTTTCGCATCTATTCAGCCTGTTCAAAATTTCTTCGCCCCGCTGGAAGATGCTGACGTATTCTCTATGCGGTCTCTACGCTATGATTCCCCGGAAACACAACGTCGGACACAGCCTCGAAGAATCTCGTGCACTGTCAGCATGACAAGTTGAAGTCTTCTCTCGGGACCGTACACGGCACAGATATCCGAACGCAACGTTTTCCTTCATGAAGACACATTCTTCCCACTGTCTTGATTAAATACAGCACCAAGAAACGCCACTCCTCTTCACGATTAGATCCCGATGCCGTGATCCCGATGCCGATTTATATTGCAGAAGATGAAGAACCGCACAAGACCTACAATTTTTCGGAAGAACACGATGCTCGCAAGAGTGCTCCTGTCGTACTACAGCGACAAATTTTGAATTAGACAAATATTCGTCCGACGACGGTACAGAGGTACTGGCTTTGCGTGCCGTGCTTTTCGCGTGGCGTTCTGGGTCTCAGCCGCACCCCTTTTCTGGCTGAAAAAAAGTTGCGGTTAAATGTTGATTTGGTGCAGTTTCACCCTCTTTTTTGCTTCTTTCGTACATCGGAAATTATGTCTAGCTCGTTAGAGACTTCTAATAGAGCTTCCGCTACATATACATAAGTTCTCCAAGCATCCCCGGACATCGGAATCTTCCTTGATATGGAGCGCCTGGCAAGTTGCCCTGGGAGATCTTGGTCGCCTTATAACTGTACACTCGATGTGATACTCAGCAGTAGCCAGTCTATCTTTCGATCATTTAGCTAGCACTTCATCTCTGATACAGTATTGCTCTGGAATATCATATGAACATATACCATGGCGCATCACCTCTTTTTGCTTCCATGAACACAACCTGTGTTGACTTCAAGCACAGGCAGATTCCTTACGCTGACTCTGTGCAAGTCCACAGACAGTCTCAGGAAGGAATTTGTAACCCTGCAACATCGAACGATAGCCAAGGCGTTTCTGGACGTCGACGTATCTCGATCTCATATCATCGTCACCTTAAGTGGTGGTTTAGCCGTCCCATGCTTTTCAGGACTGTGCAGATTGGAGTTCATACATCTTGGAACCAGGTACCGTCATCCATCTGCCAGCGCATCATTCATAGATTAGTCTCTTAACGATGTATTGATGCACGGCGCAATCTGACACGATGTTGGACTGGAGGTATCTGCCAATTGGTTCATGTCTCCATTGTCAAGAAGATTAGAATGAACTTCTCGGCCCTTGGAATCGCACAGATCGAAGCCTGCTTGTTTTCAACGTGCCGGTACTCATTCCGTGCAACTTGTATGACTGTGTATGTCTGGTCTCGGATTCTGAAAATGAAGATGGACTTTGTTCGAACATCTAATTTCTTACTGTCACGATATTCTCCGATCAATTGTCCTCATGACAAAGCTCGTTGGGCACTGCTACAGAAACGCCACTTGAAGTTCAAGCCTGAGTTGATCCTGAAGTAGAGTCCCCAACATCCCCACTCTAACTTTCAGATGTATGAATCCTGTTGCTGCAGAAGACCTTGCTAGTACCATGCAGAGCCAAACACTATGTTGGATTGAGATTCATAGCTTCAAGTAGCTCCTGGACAGGATACTGCTAGTGAGGTGATTGTTGTAGGGAAACGTCCGCGTCTCTGCCTCGTGCACAACACTTCATTGGCTGTCAAGGCTTTGGTCTTCTGCTTCGTTCTTGAATTCCTATTTAGAAAAACTTCTCAAGCTTTGTATTGCTCCAAGTAGGGATTCAGCATCGTGTCAGATGATGTCTGAAGGCAATAACTTGTTTCTAAGGACACACATAGTCTCCAAATCCATGAAATCAGGACCATTCTGCTCTAGGAGTTATCAGCTAGTGTTATTATTACTTTCCTGCTCTCTGAGGATCAGCAAATTTCCTCGAATGCTCCATACAGGCACCGCCTCGTCTCTCGACAACTAAGTAAGGAGGCATCTAAAGGAGTGCTACCAATGGTCTAGTGAGCTGGATAGACCGAAATATTCACGAGACTACCGGAGGAGGCGATCATTCCTCGAGTCAAGTCAATACTTAGAATTTGAGGTGTTTAGTGTCGAATACTGACTGTCTGTACCCGATGATGCCGAAGATTTACTCAACAGGTTCGGACAGCCACATAGTAGCGGGAATGGCGCCTTAATCACGTACAGAAACTACTTCGAAACATCAAACGAACAGATCACCGGAGTACCATAGCACGGTCAAAGGGGCAAAGTGGGGTAATTTGTTCCTGTCTTCGGATGTCTATCACGCAAGGAATCCTCGGGAAGCTCGAAAGGATGGAGGAATTCGACTCCGCACTGCCAACACAACTTTCACAACAAATGCATGCAGAAAGCTGGACTATTGATAGTTTTCCTCGGCGGTACCAGCGTGAACGGTGGGAGGCTGGGAAGCTAGTCCTGAAACTCCCCATATCCTGAGGCAAACACGTGACCAATCACGCTACGGCTCACACACCGCTTCTTCCTCTCTTTATCAAACATGTAGAATTCGCCCCGCAAGCAACTAAAATGAACGGATCAGAGACATGCACGCGTCTGACCTGCGGGTCGCGCCGTTGGCTAGAGCCTTCGTTGTCACACGAGTAGATAACGATCTCCACACCGCTATGTTTACTTTGAAGGCGTGCAGGAACGGACCCCGCTGCAGCAACGAACAGAGCAGGCAAGTGCCTATGACTGAGTGCATAGTATGCAGGCAATAGGATGGGTAAATCGATGGCATGAAGTCCGTTGGCTGGGCTCTGCAACAAGTTGGCACGCCTCCTTTTTTTCGTGGACAAGTCGGTGCAGATGCCCGGATAAGGGAGCTAGATTTTTTGTCACACCGTCTGCTTGATAGAAACATAAATTTTTGGAGCTCCCCCTCTTCTTCCTTCTCTTCCATTCATACTATTCTCTGTTACTTTTCATACTCTTCTCTGATACCAAAGCTTTACATCTCTCTTCTCATCTCAATCGACCCTTTTCTCCAAAATGGCAGCTGCAGTTCTCCAACCTCTCCAGGGGCTTTCCCTCGACGGTGGAATCATGGATCCTTCTCCAATCTCTCCCAATGCTTCCCGTCACGGACGAGGAAAGCACGGTGGCAGCGTAGCCAAGAAGACCCGCGGACGTGGCTACAGCGTCGTAGACGAGCGTGACGTCCTGATCTCCAAAGCCCTCTCATTCGTGCTGAAACGCACCGTGGACGAGAACGAAGAGCAAGAAGAAGGAGCCGAGAAGCTCGTAGCCGATTCAGAAGGCTGGGTTGACTGTGATGATATTGTATGCTTCTCTCAATATGCCACTTTACCCCACTTTTTTGAAAATCACATACTAACAACCACCTCCAGCTCGCCGCCCCCCAAATCTCCTCCCTCAAAATCACCTTCCTAGAACTCCAAGCCCTGATCTCCTCCCCCACTTCCAACAAATCCCGCTTTGCAATCCGCCTCGACCCCTCCACCGAAAACTCCTCCGACGAAGACCTCGACGCCTCCGACTACCAAATCCGTCTGTCCCCCTCCCTCCAAACGCCCGCTACCCCCACCACCACCTCTGCCATCCTAACCCCTCTCACCATCGACTCCGAGGACCTGCCCGACCTGATCGTCTACGAGACCTCCTACGCCAACTACCCCCTGATCCTCGCATCCGGTGGAATCAAGCGCGCGGGCGGCCAAGCGAACCTTTCGTTCTCGGCTCTATCCTCAGAGGGCGAAATGACGCCGTCGTCCAGTGCGGACGTGAGTATCTACATCCCGCTCCGCTCCGCGATGGCGGCTGACCCGGCGATCACATGGTCGCGGACTGAGGCGGGGAATGTGGTTACGGAGGGAGATAAGACGGGGGTTGTGAGCAAGCAGTTTTGGAAGAAGGTTGTTGCTCGACGAGCGGACATTGGAGTTTTGTTTGAGGATGGGGTTGTGAGGAAGGAGGTACCCGTTGGATTGAGGGGTAAGGGCGTTAAGGGAAAGAAGGGGATGGGAAAGGGTGGAAAGGGAATTGGTCGTGTGATTAAGGAGGTTAAGGCTGGTAGTGATGAGGAGAGCAGTGAGTAGATAGTTTGATTCGTGTACTTGGATATATAGTGGGGCTGGTTAGGTATGGGATGGACTTTTGGATTGGATTTGGGCAGGCGGACTTCGGACTTCCAATTTGGATGGAGAGGAGGGATTGTGCGTGTCTATGCATTGCTTTGTACTTGGGAGGAGGAAATACCCGTTTGTGATGATATGAGCAAAGCGGCATTGGGATTGGAATGGCATATAGGTAGCATCATCAAAATAGATTTCTACTCTTGAGCAACGATAAGTTGCTAGCCTGAAAACCTGCCTCCTATCCATTACAATGTCCCAGGGTATCATAGATCATAATTCATCGTCCTCATCGCTTTCTGTTTCTACATCGTCTTGAACAACCAATTTAGTCTCAGGTCTGGGTTCCGACTCATCGTCTGACATCGCATCAAGCAGATTTTCAAGATCATCCATCGTAGTGTCGGCTTTGGTGTTCGTGTCTGCAGCCCTAGCTACAATATCATACACTCCGTTACCAGCTGTCACCCCATCTACAACCTCGTTTGGAGCGGCCAGTTTGTCTCTCCTCTTCATATAGAATCGTTCGAGACAATCCGTCCTCTGCTTCTGAGTCCATCCTTCAACGACAAAAGCAAATTCTGTCGCACTGCTGAAACCGAAGGTCTTCGCCATGGTGCAGAATTGTCGCATCATGACCTCTTCAGGTGGATGGAAGAGATACTTTGCCTTGCCATCTTCTGACAATACGGTCTGACTTTCGGCAAAGAGTCTTTCCTCACCATAGTCAACGTCGTTGCCCGCTTCTTCAGCACGACGAGATAACTCTGCTTCGACTTTCGAAGAACCCACTACCTCGGAATTCTCATGGGTATATTCAACTCCTGCTGAGGCTAGAATAGCGGCGATAGCATCCGTCTTGGGCTTCTGTTTCTGCTTCTTCGAATTCTTCTCTCCTTCCGTGAGCATAGCGGCGAGTTGGGAGATTGCTGCATCTCCTTTATCGTCATTATCCACTCTCAGGGGATTGTCTTCGTCATTGAGTATATCATCCATGTTGACTTCTAGGACGTCGATACCACGCTTAGCTTCAGCGACGTTGGTCTTATTTACAATGTCTCTCAACACGATATCGTCGCCGTGGAACGTGAGCAGATTGTCCAGACCGAAAATCTCGCCTTTCTGATCTTTGGCATTCTGCACACCTTTGAAGTAACGACGTTCGGTGGAAGCATTGTAGCCAATGTTCGCTTGCTGTTGCTTGTATACTTGTCTTGCGTAGACGATTTCTTCTAATGTGCCAGCTGACACAAGACGATAAACTTCGACATCTCGCTGCTGGCCGATACGGTAAGCACGGTCTTGGGCTTGAAGATCATAACTGGGGTTCCAATTCGGGTCGAAGATGACGACTTTGTTGGCAGATGTGATATTGAGACCAACACCACCAGCTTTGGTGGAAATCAGAAAAACGAATCGGGCTGGGTCTGAATTAAAGTCATCTACGGTCGTTTGGCGGTCTTCATTGGGCATAGATCCGCTGAGGAATGACGCATTATAGGTTGTATTCTTGAATAAGTGCTCGAGCAGTTTCAGCAGCTTGACGCTATGCGAGAAGATGAGTACTTTATCTCCGTTCTCGTGCCAGAACTTGAGCAGCATTTTGAGGATTTTCCACTACCAAATCGGTCAGTCTGGTCAGATGGGTCTGGATGCAGATTTTACCTTGCCACAAAACTCTGGATTTGATAAATTAAACAGAGAGTCTCGATGATTGTACAGGTCTTCCCAGCGATCTGGAACCATCTGTTGTAAGAAGTCGAGATCGCGTTGTTGTTTCTCACTGGGATCCGAGGCACTGGGTATCAACAAAGCGAGGTGATTTGAGAGCTTCAGAAGTGTAGCAATAAGAGGGAATACCAAGGCCTAAGCAAATTCAGTATAAATCTCAAAACAATGAAGGATATTCGTACCTGCCACTTCGTGTTAGAATCAGGCAGTGTCGCATAACAACACCAACCCGCTTTTTTGCCCGAATTACAATCGCACATGTCCGTCGAGTTCTTGACAATTTGCACGACTTCGCTATCAAGGAAGTTCTCATAGGCTTCTCTTTGGATATCTGTAAGTGGACAGAAAACGACTTTGTCCGTCTTTCTTGGAAGTTGATGAGCGATGAGGCTTTTCATTCTGCGGAGGAAGAATTGAGGTAATAGATTCTGGACGAGCTTCTTCGCAGTTTGTCTTGCGCGCTTAAGTTGATGGTAGGTGGCATCATGACTAGATTTGCGTTAGTGGAATATAGAGTCTCAAGGCAAGGCACATACGATTGTCCAGTTCTCAGTGGCTCACTGATACTTGATACCCAAGTAGATAAAGGTCCAAATCGGCCTGGGTTCGTCCAATTCAATAGAGTCCATAATTCCTCGTACTTGTTCTGTATTGCAGTTCCAGTAAGACCGATCCTACACAAAGCATTAACTTCATTCATAGCTTGTGTTGTAGCCGAAGAGCGCTCCTTCAACTGATGACATTCATCGGCAACAACACAATCCCATTCCACCATATTCAACTGCTCTTTGTGATTTCTGTAAGTGTTGTAGGTGGTAATAACAACTTCTAATCGACCCGAAGCTGCAGTCTGTAAGACCTCATCTCTTTCCTTGACACTTCCGTGATATTTGTCCACATGCCACCAGCCCCATCTCTCCAACTCATTTTTCCAGTTCTGGATTAGAGATCCAGGACAGACGATGAGTATTCGGGGATACCATGGTTTTCGTGGAGACCTTCTCATCTTTCTCATTCGTTTCCCATCTCGTTCATCACCGGTCTTTCCAAATGCTGCAGTCAAAAATGCCGCGACTTGGACAGTTTTCCCCAAACCCATGTCGTCTCCAAGGATACCTCCTTTCTGGTAGACAAAAAGCTCGTGTAAGAACTTAACGCCCTCCACCTGATAGTCTCGCAGATATTGTGCTATAGAAGCTGGTATGACGCCTGCAGAATGCGGTAATTCGATGTCTTTATATTCGCGGGACAATTCCACAGATGCTGGAAAGTCTGGCCTCTCATCCAGTTCCGCCAATCTCTCGTCATCTGAGAACTCGATATCGTCATACCTCGGTGGCAACCGTAGCCCATTCTCATGCATGGTCTGATATTCCCTATCAAATTGCTGTCTTCTCTCCTGCAGATATTCGGGGACCTCGTCGTCCATCAAGTCAGCGTAGTCCTCCACATCTCCCCACATCCTCTCCTTCTTTTCTTTCGAAGACTCTCCATTGATTTTAGCAGCTTTGTGTCTGGCAGCGACTTGCTTCTCTCTTTCCTTTATCTTCTTCCTCGTAGCTGCGACCTTTTTCTTCTTCACGGCCTTTCTATTCTTGAATTTCTCGTAATCATCCTCTTCTTCAGAAGACCATATTCCTGGAACAGCTTTTCGTTTCCCTTTATCATTCTTCGTTCGTACATCGGTGATCTGAACGTCGGAATCAGATTCGTCGCCTGAAGTGCGCCCGGTAACACCTATGGCTGTTAGTCTTTGCGACTGGACATTGAAGCATGCGACACACGATTGATATACTCATCCGTGTCTAAAGGAGCTGTAGTTTTGCGGTGCAAAGTCGTATTATCATCCTCTTCTTCCGTAATCTCGTCTTCATCTGCATGGTGTTCTGCGCGCGCCATATGCGTCATGCTGGGCATGAAATGTGAAGAGTCGAGACGCGGGGTTGCGACGCGAAGTTTGGTGATGGGGTTTGTCGCGAAAGCATGTGCCGGGAGGAGAAGATCTTCGGGGGTCTAGATTCAGTGGGACAATGTGGAGGAAAGTTTAAATCTCCATATTTCATCATTTTTGTCTGGGAATGAAACGCCTGGACAATCTAAAGATTGATAAAGAAGACGGGCATACCCCGAGAAGTCGTGGTTGTATTCATTTCTTCTTCTTCCTTTGTGTAGTGCTATTCTGTCTATATTTTGCAATCTCAACTCCCTCATGTTCACGCAACGAATCCGAGCAAAACGTCTCAACCAAAGCCTTATCCTGACTTATCAGAAGTCACTGACTGTACTTGGGCTAGAAATGATGCTTCTGCCAACGTCGTACCTTGAATCCCTTGCTATTTCACACGACACATATAAGGAGCTCATCGTGTACAGGAAGTTTTTGGTCTATTGTTGAAAACAACTCAATTCATACCCATTTCTATTTTACCCGACGCCGCTTTTCCTTGTGATATTTTGCATTCTCACATGCTTCCAAAGTATTCCTCCTGTTCATACTCCTGTCACCAAAAATCCAAGTATCAAGTTTCTCAGTACTTATTCAGAGTTATTGTCGATGATAGACATTCTGCATAGGTTGCGGAGAATGATCCGGCCCTGCAATCTCTGAGAACCTGCACGCGTGCCTAAGCTCAGGATACCGTCTTTGAAACGGCTCATCCAGACTCCAACTCGCCTGGTTATTGACGTGTCTTTTGAAGACTTCCGTCATTTTTATTTCGTCGCCTTCGAATACCAGTATGTTCTCATCGCCATATGGCCAGTTAATGTTCAAGCTGATTGTGTATATACGCTGGAATTCCTCCGTTGCATATGTCTCTTGCTCATTGATGACTATATCGCGAAGTTTTCCCCATACTATCTACCTTGGAATCAGCGACGTACCGGATGGAGAGAATAACCATCTTACCAAAGTCGACCACATGGGATGCGCAGTCGTGAGTTGCGGAGCTCGTGGAATGTACCATGTTGGAAGGTTGTTGTAAGCTTCAGCAGAAGGCGAAACTTGCCATTGCATCAGTCGATATATGACATGCATAGCAGCTACTTTCTCGGCCAGACCCTTCAACTCGGTTCGACGAATGAGATTGGCAAGAACAGATGCTACTGGATGTGACGAGCCAGAATCTTCCAGGTTCAGAAGGCCTCTAAGGTTAGGGTGATAAGGCCCGGTGAGGGCTGTGCCTGTGGTCCCTGATAGAGCTATGTTTCTCTGACGTTGCAACAGTCCGATCAATATGCTGTCCACTGGGCCCGTTGGAGGTACGAAACGAAGTGGAAGCTCCCAAGTGTGGAGAGAGGGTTGGTCTACAAGAGATGGGGGAACCTCATACCCGAAATCCTGTCCTTGTCTCGGCACAAGCGAATCCATTTTCGACATATTTCCGTTCATTGTTAGAGTAGGTTGTATCTGTCTTGGAATCGGGGACACAATCTCAGGTATGGTATCATTGATCAAGGCAGATTGTACTTTTCTGGGTATGGGCATAGCCATATCCGAGATGTTTGCGTCCATCCCCAGAGGATTGCTGGTTGGTGCGATAGGGTGGCTTGTTGGTGCTGGACCTATTCCCACCACATTACTGTTTAGCCCAGAGGGGCTACTGGTTGGAGCCATGGATTGACTCTGCAGAGTAGGTTGAGGCATTCCTGACATGTTGCTGGTCATCATGGAAGCCATGTTTGAAGAGACTGGTTGCCATGATTGCCCTGCGACTTGTGAGCATGATTACATCGTACGGTGGGGATTCCCTACCCAGTCTTCCATTGGGGTAAGACCTGCTACGTCCAAAATGAGGTCTTGTGTTGAATGGCATGCATCTACGGTTTGTGGCAGGAGCAATGTGAGGAGGTGTTCTAGCCGTGTCTCCTATTGCCAGGCTTGGACTGAAAGTATCGCTCCTCGCACTTCCGGGGTCTGAGAAGCCATGTTCTAATGTTGAATAATCTGGTGCCGGAGATGACATAAATTCGCCAGCACTGGAACTAGAGTACGGTGACGAAGATAGCGAGGATTGACCAGGTGAAGAGGAGAGCCATTGCGGTGAATATGAGTACGGAGAATCTATCATGTCCATCCCATATCTAGCTTCAGAGCAAATACTGGTCAGTTCCATTCCATCGGGCAAAGAGCACAGCATCGAGAGTCTGGAGGCGGATACTGCGGGTGTAGTATCAATTTGGGGTAAATTGACAGAGAATATGTCTCGACAGTGTATTAAAAGACTTACTAGACACAGGTGCCAACTCAGGCGAAGATGTCAAACTGCCCTCGGACCGGCCCAAGGCTTCTCTGAGATGCCTAAGTTCTTCTTCCAGCTCTGCATTTCGTCGCCGTACATCTTCAAGACTTTGTGGTTCATCATCTCCCGACAACTCTCGGATTCTCCGCTCTAGATCCTCAATGTGGGTTTTCTAACGAATGTCCCATTAGCTGTGAGCAAACATTACCTAGTGCGATATCCAGCTCTCGTGCGTGTCGTGCTTACCGTCCGTTGCCGTATAGAACGCTGTGCTTCACGATCGTTGGCTCTTTTTCGAGCGAGTTGCTCAGGGATTAAGGATGCGACACTTCGAGTCCTGGCGCGAGAAGCTAATTCTGTTAGATGTGTGTATCCTCAGTTTTTCATGTGGACAACGGCACTACATTCGAATTCGGATTACCACACTGTACTCATACCTCTGCGTTTTGCTCCAGGTTTGCTATTGCTACTTTGGTGCTCAGGAGGATCTTGCGACTGATCATTGTCGTAAAAGGTGGGATTTTCGTCGGACATGCTGTCAGGGCGGCTGCCTTTATGGCGGCTAATCGGCTTGTCTAGGCGTCGTCAGGTATTTTCCACGAGAGAAAGTCGGGTCAAGGCCGTCAAAAGGGATTGATGGTAACAACTGTCGCCTGTAAAAATAAAACTGCGTATGATAGGACCTGCCAGTTTCTGCCAGAAAGTAATATTTCAAAACAGATGATATTGATCCTCTTCGTGGCGAAAATCTTCTTTTTGGGAGGCTGCAAGAGGGATATATGATGAGATGGCAAAGGCCGTCGCGGACATGGACAGCGATGCGATCCCTAAGCTTGGATTGTTTAAAAAGTCTACTAATGAATGGAATGCAAATGTTCGGGACGTACGCTGTGGGGGTTCGAAGCCATCTTGACTCTTGCGTATAAGGATCGAAAGGGTGGTAGGAATTCGCCAAATAGACTTTTACGCTAGCACATGTCACAAACTCAAAATCACACAAAACAACAAAATATGTGAAAGATTCGGATCCAGGGTCTGCTAGTGTGGGCCTGCTTACAGGAATTTGGTCTTTCATAGCGTAACGACATTAGTGGCTTGGAAGCTATGGGCTTTCAAATGGAGAAGACTCTTTGGCTTCGACGCCGTGGACATGGACCGCTTGGACATAAGCCGCAACGACCTTATTCAATGTGCCTGAAGCAAGTCTGTTACTGGATACTCGCTTCTCGAGCTCTGATTGCTTGTTATGCATCCATGGACTTCGATCTGGAGACCCCTCCAAGGATTTCACCTATCTTCCCCCACCAGCTCTCACAGAGTCAGTCCCTGGCGTCTGACTCCAGCTTTGCATAAGGGTAATAACCCACGCAACGAAAATTTGCCACTGCCACTTACTCTTTCCACCTGATTAGAGTTCTAGATCAAACGACTGTGGCAGTGCATATAAGAATGCCTCTTGTTTCAGACGCATCTTGCGCACGTCGGAGTTGGTTTTCTCGACCTGTGATCTTTTGGTGATGGCTATCCGACTTCTCCATGTTGGGTCTGAATCGCCTTTGCATCGTATTCGATTACGGAAGGGTTGACCCGTATGAGTGTCTGTTCGCTGATGCCAAGACCACAAAAGATCTATGCGATCTCAGGGTTTTGTTCTTTCACCGCTTCCACGAGAGCTTCCATCCCTCCAACCTCTGTCGGCCCTTGCATGCCCTGAGGTGGCAAAGCCCAATTGGGTAGAGGGCTAACATAGCTCCAAGAACCCCCAGCATCCTCATAGCGGAGACTATGTAGCCACAAGGAGAGTTCCTGCTCCCCAGGATCTGTATAAAGTGGTGTTTGGCAGATATCGCAGACTTCTCCAGACATCTTCTCGGCCTTTTTCTTGTTGTACTCGTCAACCATCTCATCGTGATATGCCACAGCATCAGCAACTTCTGATTTGCCCATGCGGGAAAGACGGGTAATGATATCCTCGTCCGTATCGTGTGATGCGTCTGCATCATTCGCTCCCAGATTCGCACCCCACACACGCCGATTGCTGTATATAGGGTCGTTAGCTATTGGATGGCCCAAAAACTGTAGATGGACTCGCAGCTGATGGGTTCTCCCTGTTACAGGTAGACATCTGACAATCGAGTATCCTTCGGAAGCTGCACATTGCTTCGCTTCGTCAGTTTCAGTTTGGTCCCCTAATTTTGAGTTTTCGGATTCCTTGATGGGCGTGTAGTACGCAAGCTTCTTGAATACGGTCCGTGCAGCCTTGCCATTTGCTCGGACTCGGTTGAGACCGAGTTTGGGAGATATTTGCAAGATTGGCATGTCACATACAACTTCACCATCTGGAAATTCGCCTTTCACCCGTGCAATATACTCTTTCCTGACTGTTCTTTCTGAAATTTGCATACTCAACTTCTCCGCAGCTTTCGCATGCTTGCCAATGAACATTACGCCACTGGTCAGCCTATCGAGTCTGTTGCAAGGCAGTGGGTTCCAAGTGTGCCCTCGTTCAGCTCGCATGATCTCTACGACCGAGTTGTAGTTGTATCTGCCTGCTGGGTGAACTGGCACTCCCGCTGGTTTATTGATAACAATCATGTCCTCGTCTTCGTGTAGGACTGAGATGGGAAGGGACGTCACAGGAGGTTCGTGGCGGTGTAGAGTATGTGAGATAACGTCGCCATTCTTGACAATGTGTGAAGTCGTTGGAACAGGCTTTCCGTTTACTGTCACCATTCCCCGTTCTATGGCGTCTTTCTATGTCTGTCAGCACTGAGATGGACGCAATAGCGTCCCGGGCGACTTACATAATACTCGAGAGGTCGGTCTCTGAACTCGCTTGAAAATATATCTAGCAGCTCTCGTCCCCTCCACCTCTCCTTGCAATACGTGTTGTACGTAAAATGATATGGTGCAACGCGTCGCAACCCATTTTCAAGGTAGTAGGGACGAGGCCAAGGATCGCATGGTGTCACAATAACTGTGGGCGTTGCTCCCAGAGGTTTCTTTTCCTCCAGTGGTGGATAGGATGTCGTTTGGGGAACGTCAATCAGCGCCATTGTTGGATGAACGATTCCACGCCGCCGAGCCAGCAGCGCTATGACCCTCGGGGATGGCGCCAGCGGGATTGTCGAAGTCTGAGACTTCCAGTTGTGGTCGTGTTCTGTTCAAGATCGTGATGAGGGATCGAGAAGTCAAAAAAATAATTTCGATACCATGTGCGAGCAAAGCCCAAACCGGATGCGGTAAGAGGTGGCAGAAATAAGGTTTAACTCTCACCTCGGTTCAAACAGCTGGATTCAAATGAGGAAGATTGACGGTTCCTGACTCAAAACTCTTTTTCTCAGGTTTCGTATTCTGCACGGTCCCTGTTCTACACTCTCTTCTGCATAGGTGCTCCTGCTGCTCCTGCTATTCTCTCGATCGATTGAACAGCTGGGACGCTGTCGAACGAAGCATAGAACATTCGCTATGTCTCAACGGGAGCTTAAGGCGCGCAAGAGGACGGATTATGGTTACATCCTAGAATACAGAACAAGATGGTAGGATCGATACTATTTCTGGCGAATTGCACTTATAGACTTCAGGTCAGACAACGATATGTACGATCACATGAATAACTCAATTTACAACTTCTTGTCAGTGAACCTTCACCGAAGCTCCTGTCGTTAGACTTCAACATTCACTCTTCCACAACTCTAACTCTGTCCCAGATACGATTCGGTGGTAAACTCCTATCTGATTAACGAATGTGGTCTTCATCCTCCAAGTTCAGATCAGTACGGATTGGTCGTCCATTCTCATGGAGACTTCTTTGGGTCTATTGCCTTTCCTGCTGTAGCCGAGCTTTGTCTTCGGGTCAATAAGCTCGGTAAAAGCAGTGTCACGTATGAGATCGCCTTGTTCGAACGAGGGGTTGAAGAAGTCAAAAGTATCGGTCAACTCATCCACGTTTTCGTTGACAGGAAGACTGGGCGACCCTCGCCCAATGGCCTCAATAGCAACCTCAAGGAAGGTCTACAGAAGATTCTAGCGAAACAATCGAAACTTTAACTGCATCATGCTCCCACGATACTTTTCATTGAAGTTTGCATACCTTGTCCCGCACATTGACCTGCCATTCTTACTTGTTCGGATCCCGGACAATAGCAGCGGATGTGGGCCCTGCACCACGGCATCGGACTGCCATCGATCGAACAAATTTCGAATTTATGTGGCTCATACCGATTCGCATGTTACATGAATGTTGGAGCATTATCGAAGAATCTTGCGACATCCGAAACCATGCGAGGATCTGGTATGCGAGTGGCGCCGAGAGGCGTGGAAGGACAAGATAACAGTATTGCCGCTAGACACCAGAAAGACTCGGGATCGAAGGAAAATGAGACGATGTTAGATTCATCGGGCAGCCGTATCATGATCAACGCAGATTGATGTTTCTATCGTATATATCGATTTGTTACCCTGCATATCGCCAAGTTTATGGCTCAGCCAAGGAGGTCTTACGTCCTGTATGATCTGATTTCTTTCACATCATTTACTCTCGCAAATCACTTGTTGTAAATGCGAAGGATGAATGGATGCCCACGCCTTGCCGTGCTCCAAAACTTTGCTAACATTTTTCCTGTACACAGTCTCTTTCTTGAGTTCGAGTACGGAGTGGCTGTGTGCTACCGTACATACCAAAGATGGCGGTGTTCAGACCGAACTCGAAGCTCAGCAGACATTGAAGCAGGTGTAATTTTTTCGTTTCCGATGACATGCGCAAGAATGGAATGAAGTCATGCAGTCAGTAACGGCATGCATATGATACAATCAGTCAGAATTTGCCTAGTGATTCACATCAAGCAGAAGAGTCGCAAGTTTGATTGTCTGAATTTCTCCAAAGCCAAGTTGAGTAAAACAGATAAATTAATGCTGCAGTTGCTGTAAAAAAACGTTGGATAAAAAAGACCAACCAAGTTGCAAGCAAGTTCAGCTGCAGAATAATATACAAAAATGAGCTTTCAATTTGAGTGGCATCTTTTCTTGTTAGTAGTGTCATCGTCTGGGCGGAACAATACGCCATTCGTACCGAAATAAAAAGATAATATCGACGTTTACATTTTTTGCGAATTCATGGACATACACCAAGCATGTTTTTGCTACGAGCTTTAGAGCTTCGGCCTCCAGACGATGGGTTACTTAGACCTTCTTAGGAGTTTTCCTATTCACGTGTTGCTTTTTATTGATCATCACGAGGTACTCTCTACTCGAACTTGAATAAATGCAAGTGTCACTATCCGGAGTGGTCGGCAATCTTTCAATTACCGCATCGAGCTATTGTCAGAACAGGCATGGTGAGCGGCTACTAAGTCCTCGGGCCAAGCTCAACATAGTTTACCCCGCGCCCGCCCCCTTCAATAAGAGTGACGTTCCGGTCCCACGAAAACAATATAAGTGGTTGGATAATTTATGGAATGTTGGAGTAACACTGGGGATCACCAGAAAACCCACAAAAATCCAACAAAACCGGCTCGCGTTGGCCGAGATCAAGCTTCGATTGGCAGTGTTTAAAGTAGAACCGACGGCTGCAGCCAGAATTCACTTTTACCAAGTACCGATCCACCTTCCCGGGGATCACCCAGAGTTGCTTGACGCAGACGCAGTACTATTTCAACCTCGTCTCATCTTTTTATCTTTGTACTCTTCACGTCTTCCTTCCTTTCAAACAATCATTCGAAGCAAACTTCAATTCACCGAACGTCGACTTGCTATCGAGAAGTGAAGATGTCTACTGCGCACGACAACTTCGAAAAGGGCCTTGGCCTTTCGAACGCAGACGCAGAGTCGGGATCTGACGGCAAAGTCACAAATCAACATATTGATCTTGTAGGAAATGAAGCTGTGTCACAAAGGCCGACTCGAGTCTTCCAAGCACCTGAGCTGATTCGGAGCATGACGCCCAAAGAGAGAGAGACGGCGGAAAAGAGGTTGAGAAGAAAGATCGATTTGAGATTGATGCCGATGATAGTCCTCATGTATATCATGAATTACCTGGACAGAGTATGTGCAGCAAACTTACTTCGCTGCGACAATTAAATTGACAAGATTCCAGAACAACATCGCAGCTGCTAAACTCGCTGGTATCCTCACCGATCTGGACCTGAAAGGTGTTGAGTTTCAGGTATGCTACCTAATGTGATGCTGAACCATATTGCTAAGTTAGGATTAGACATCAGTCTCGATTCTCTTTGTTGGCTACCTTCTCATGCAAGTCCCGTCGAACCTCTTCCTCAACAAAATAGGCAAACCTGCAATTTATCTCCCCAGCTGTATGGTCATCTGGGGTATTATATCTGGAGCCACTTCAGCGTGTCAGAACTATGGTGGTCTCATTGCCTGTCGATTCATGCTAGGTTTTGTCGAAGCAGCCTACTTCGTAAGTTTTACACTCCAATAGATTGATACTGTCACTGACTTGAATAGCCTGGCTGTCTTTACTACCTCTCTTGCTGGTACACCCGTAAAGAACTTGGTTTCCGCACTGCAATCTTCTACTCCGGTGCTCTCATCAGTGGAGCTTTCTCGGGACTCATTGCAGCAGGAATCCAAGCGCATATGGACGGCGCAAGAGGTCTCCGAGCATGGCGCTGGCTGTTCATCATCGAAGGAGCAATCACCGTCGTAGTAGCAATGTTTTCCTTCCTCATCCTGCCTAACTTTCCCAGAACGACCAGCTGGTTGACCGAAGAAGAACGACAGCTAGCCATCTGGCGTCTGGAAGAAGATATTGGAGAGGATGATTGGATCGATGCTCAGCACCAGAGCTTCTTCCAGGGTGCCAAACTTGCATTCTCGGATATCAAGACTTATGTTTTGATGTTCATGCTCTTTGGAATCGTCGCCAGCGGAACCGTCACTAACTTCTTCCCGTAAGCACTTGTTTCAAGGCACAATAATCAAAGCTAATTCGTGTCGCAGTACCGTTGTCAAAACACTAAACTACAACAACGTAGACACTCTTCTGCTTACAGCTCCACCCTACGTCCTAGCTGTTATCACCACTTTCCTAAATTCCTGGCACGCAGACCGAACAGGAGAACGCTTCTTCCACATCGTCTGTCCTCTTTGCTTCGCCGTCTTGGCCTTCATCCTCGCAGCCTGCACTACCAAAACCGGACCCCGCTACTTCGCCATGATGCTCATGGTGCCCGGCGTGTATACCGGTTACGTGGTCGCCTTGGCCTGGATTTCAAACTCCCTTCCCAGACCACCTGCCAAACGAGCTGCGGCCTTAGCTTTCATCAACGCTATCTCGAACACGTGTAGTATTTATGCGAGTTATATGTACGATGCGAGTGCTGGACCCCGATACGTGACGGCGATGAGTGTTAATTGTGCGATGGCGATAATGGCTATGATTGCGGCGGTCGTATTGAGACTTATTCTTGTGAGGCTGAACAAGAAGCTTGATCAGGGAATATTTGTTGAGGGGGCTATCAACAGTGGGACCACGGAGGCTGGCAAGAAGGGCTTTAGGTTTAGGATCTGAACTGCATCATTTCGTTGGGCTTATCTTTGGCCGGATGATTTCTTGGGGTTCATAGAAATTGAATCTGTGACCATTTTGACCTGGAATCTTTGATCTTATAAATGTGAGACCACCTTTCGCGTTCGGAATTCGGACTACATGATGAATCTAGAAAATATTAATGAGAATCTACCTCTCAGAGAGTAGCAATGAAACAGAAATTGATGAGAGTTGTCAAATATTATTCTATATTTTGTACTTGGAAAGCATATCTAGACCACTCAAGTTTTTAATAATCTTAAATACAAGAAAAAACGGCCCCCTCGCTCTATAGTATCGTACCATCGTAAATCGTCAATCATAACACTTCCATGTCTTTCAAACATCTGGCCTCTCCCCACCAGCTGCACCACCGTAAGGTAATGCCTCCGGCAACATATCTCCATCCCCACCTTCCATAACATCACCATGATCCATCCTCTCGAAAGCCTTCTTGACTTGCCACTCCCAATCACTCCACGCAACAACAACCCACTCAATTGCTCCCACAAGATACAACGCAATACACTGCCCCACCCAAAGTCCCGCCAATCCCCACCCATGAAAAGCCAACCAAATCCCCAAAGGTAAAGCTCCCATATAATAACTCACCAAATTGACAGCAGCACCAATATGCTGTCGTCCCATGCCCCTCAAACTACCACCACAAGAACCATTCAGTCCATCGGCGATCTGAAACAAAGCAACATACGGCATAACATCAGCCGTAAGCTTGATAACATCCACATCATCGTTAAATATCTTGGCATAGAAGTCTTTAACAGCCATCAAAACAATCAACACCAGAAGCCCCATAATCATACTCAACCAAGCGGCCACATTCGCCGCCCTCGCCGCCCCCTTCGCATTCCTCGCTCCCAGCAAATTACCCACCCTCGCCGAAGCCGCGACGCCGATCCCGAACGGAATCGTATTCATAACCTGATCCGTAGTCATAATGACGCTTTGCGCCGCCAGAGGAATTGTGCCCAGTCGTCCCGCTGCCAGAGCGACGATTTCAAAGGCCCACCATTCGGTGCCAACGTGGATGACGCCTAGGACAGCTAAGCGAGCAAATGTAGAGATGTTGGAGAGACAGGCGCGAGTCCAGCCTCCCCAGCAGCGGGAGCCGGCTATGAAGCGCGCGTAGAGGACGAGCAGGAGGAAAGAGATCCAGTATGAGAGGCCGGTTGCGAGGGGGGCGCCGATGAGGTGTAGTTTGAAGGTGTAGACGAAGAGGTAGTTGAGGGCGATGTTTAGGGGGGAGGTGAGGAGGAGGACGTAGGTCCCTGGGCGCATGATTTCTGGGGGGGTTCTGTTAGCGAGGTGAGAAGTGATGAAAGGGGAGTGCTTACCTTGTGCTTGTAGGTATTTCTTCATAGCTTCGAAGTAAATGTAGCCCAACCCGCCGGGGATCAAGGCCGTGAGGAACTTGGCGCTGTCGACGCAGATGTATTCTTCTTGACCTAGGAGTCTGAAGACAGGTGCTGAGCAGGCCCAGAGAATAGCGACTGGGATGTAGAATAGGGTAAGGACAATAAAGGCTCGCTGCAGAAGCACTCCAAGATCATGGGGATTCTTGCTCCCGGTAAAAGTAGAGGATGCTAATGTATCGAGAGCAGTCGATCCTCCCAAGGCAATCAACCACGCCGTCGACATAGCAAACATGTAGCTGAATGCAGCTGTTGCCAATGCCTCAGGGCTTAGTCGTCCAACTATCAAGACCGAGAAAGTCTGTAGAGAGTTCTGGAGTGTATATGCTAATATCACTGGCACTGAGCCTCGTAATAAGATAAGGAATTCCGAGAGCCATTGTCGTGTTATAGATTGTTCGTCGTCAACTACAAAAGTCTCTCCTTCCGAGCTCGTTGAGCCCTCTGCTGCTGTGGTACCTGTAGAGCGACGAGACTTGGGAACGAGGGGTGAACGCTCGTTTGGCGGGGTAGACGTCGGCGACGATGTTTTAGACCGAAAGAAGCTCGGGAGCCATGACCTTGAATCCTTGGAATCGTCCATTTCTCAAACTCCTGCTGTAAGTGTTTGGAACGTGAATGCTACCGAGATATTGAGATGTATATGAGAAACGCAGCGAGATAGAGATAGGGAAAAATGGATATCAATTGGCCATCTGCCTGCAGATTTTATCGATATCTCTATGTATGACAGCACAACGGCAGGGACATGGTGACAAAGAGAGACGTAAGGGAATCAACAACGTATTTACTTGCATTGCGGTGGCCAATGGGATCTGCATCGAAGTGGCAATGCATATCCGCTCAATGCCCAGTTCTGCGAATAGTGGACTGTAGATTGTCAATGGACTGGGAAATGGAAGCACGCCAGTTTGGCCAATTCGGCCAGTCAAGCTAAGCAATCCTGAGGCATTGGATCGGGCGAGTCAGAGCAGCGGGTATCGACGCAAGCGTTGTGTAGAAACAACACTTGTTGGTTGGTATATTTTTCGGTTGTCCCTCTTATCTCGAGCTTCAGCCGATGACTGTCAATTTCTCCTAAGCGTTGGGTAACAGCCTAACCTTATTTGGATAGTCTGCACGTGACTATGTATATCCTCACTGATTTTTACGTAAAAAAGATGCTTCTGTTCTTGCGGTACGCAATGCTGTAACATAATAATTGCTTTATGATCCCGCATATCGCTAGGGCGTTCAGAACGTTTCACAAATTCTTCGTCATTGCAGGACATTGAATGTCTGAATGATTGCCGAACAATTCGTCCCCTGCAGAGACAAACCGACCAATCACGAGCGTTCGCTGCTCACCCTCTTCATTCGTCAATTCGCGTTGTCAGACCTCCTCTCACAAAGCAGGCTGTTGCCTCGTCTCAAATCTCATAAAAAGTCCCGTGGAGGTCATGGCGGATGTACGTAGGTATTGATAGAATCAAGTGGATAACGAATATGGGAATTGATTCGACACTATGGATGAGATAAATGATTCTAGCTTCATCTCGGGCAGAGAACCATTCACAAGTCCTGCTTCCAAGCTGACAGCTCAGCTAGATATGCTGATATCACGCTTGGACAACTTAGAGCCTTAGACAGGTACAAAGGTGTATGGAATCTGGATGCTGGCGAGCTAGCGGTAGTGCTGACAGGATCACTTTCACGCTACTTATACAAGTCAAACCCAGAGACTTAGAACACATCAGTAAGAGCTCTTTCCTTCAAATACTTGCGCACGAAGAATCTTTTTAAGAGTCAATCATTGAAATACGATTTCAATTAGATTTTAGTGTATAAGAGTATACACGCTAAGGAAGGAAACAGAGCCTCGACTTCCAGTACTAGTGACGAGGTAATCTCCTCTTCTTCTCAATGACTTCCTCCGCAAACACAAAGGCGCCGTCATTTATGCCGACCTATACGAAGGTATGGCACACGAAAGTACACCCAACGATATCTCCAACCAGACCGGAAAACTCAGCCAAAAACAAGGTAGTGGTTATTACAGGAGGAGGGATAGGCACCGGGGCTGCTATCGCCAAAGCATTTGCCGAAGCAGGAGCAAAAGCAGTTGGACTCATTGGTCGACGTGAGAATCATCTCAAGACCAGCGCAGAAACACTGTCCTCGATTTCCACTTCGATTAAGATCGAGTATGCTGTGGCAGACATCACAGACAAATCAGCGCTAGAAAGCGCATTCGAGAAGTTCGAAGGCTCTTTGGGCAAGATCGATGTGCTTGTATCCAATGCGGGGTATTTATCAGACATCGTCCCTCTTCAAAAGGCGGACGACGAAGATTGGTGGAGAGGGTTCGAAATCAACGTCAAAGGGACGTTTAATGTGATCAAATCCTTTCTGTTCCATGCTGGATCGAACGCTGTCTTCCTGGGAGTGAACGCCGGTCTCGCTACAAGTTCAGAGCCTCCAGGATTGTCGAGCTATATTTCTTCCAAGATAGCTTGTGCAAGAATGCTTGAATGCATGCAAGCTGAACATCCCGAGATCAGAGTAATAAGCGTACATCCAGGAGTGGTCGATACTGCGATGACTGAGAAGACCAAAGTACCTCCAATGGACGATGGTGAGTGCTCTTGACGAGCATCAATTTGCAACTCCACTGACGTCTACAGCCAGCCTTGTTGCAGGTCTGATGGTGTGGCTTGCTGGTCCGGAAGCTAATTTCATGAAGGGAAGATTCATGTGGGCCAATTTCGATATTGATGAGTTGAAGGAGCGTGCTGCCGAAATCGAAAAAGGGAATGAGCTGCGGCTGGGTTTGCTAGGTTTGACACCGCCAGAAATGTTCTTCAAAAAGTGAAGCTGTGAGTCGACGACTGGGTATCGTGTTGAGAATTGCGTCGTCACATCATACCAACTCAAAGTTTTGCGGGTTACCATATGCGTCGTCAAAGCTTGTGCCCTCGACGTAAGAATCCCAGACGTCCTTTAACTATCAGATAAAATGATACATAAAATTGGGAGATGAAAGAAAACTTACCCAGTCAATGTCCATGTCCAGCGGAGGTGCAAAAGATATTCCAGGGTTGTAAATATCTTCTGGCTGTGCTAGTTCAGGAACGATGACAACTTGCTTCGTCCCTGGCATTGCCGCATACTCACCAAAGCCCAGAGTATTCAGCATGTTAGACAGGACTTGATATACTTTGACAGCCTCAGCAGAGTCCTTTTCGTCGGCTTTTTGCTTCCAGATGACACAGGCATTCTGGAGTGCCATACAGGCGTTGGCTTCCAAAGTGCATTTGATGAAAATATCCTTCGCACGAGCTTCTGCTCTGCGATGTCTAATATCCAAGACCAAAATCATAGTGGCAAGGATGAAACTGTGACTTGTATAGGACACTCGATACCAGTGTCGGGCAATCAATGAGCCCTTCACCTGTGCCTGCGTAAACAAGAAATGTTGTTGAGCCAGTAATGCTATTGCTGAGTCTCTGCATCTTGTGTAAGATCTCTCGAAGCGGGCATCGAGCCTTCCTTGAGCGAAGAATTTTCGATGTAAGACGCACATTCCTTGGTTGTAGAGGAAATCTAACTGAATTCGCCGATTAACGAGTGACGGAGATTCATTGTCAACATCGTTGAAATCCTGAAGTTTCCAATATGCAGGGGTATCCTGGAAAGTTCTCTCGAGCTCGGTGTCCAACTCTAGAATTCTGTCGTAGGGGTAATGTCCCAAGTCGTTTAGCAAGTTGACGACTTTGCCGAGTACAAGAAGGATGTTGCCCTTCACAATCAAATATGAGACAGGAGTCGGCTCTATTATAGGTCTCGAAGGAGGCAGCTCCGTCATGTCCTCGGATAGTTCCCAATCGTACAAGTTCGCAGGCTGTCGAGTATCATGAGAAAGCTCACGAATTGAGCATGTCTGTCCACAAAGAAATGCGGTCAGAGAATCTGTTCGGTGTACAAAACACCAGACTCGTCGACGCATTTCGCCTTGAAAGACTGTTATTTCAGGATACTGCGAAGGATCTCTGTCGGGTCGTCAGACACAATGTATGATAGAGTGCTGGTGAAGTTACCTGTGATAGCCCATCTGAAGCGCAACACGAACGAGGATACCCACCATCAACCAAACACGTGCATCCCCTTGTCCATTGCGACCCCATTCACACATGATGCTGTAGATCAGAGTCTCAACCGTGTACGGTTTGCATGTAGAGATATCACCCATCGCTAGACTTTGGGCTGCTTTTACTCGGTAGAGCTGGGATAACGATGCCGAAATGCCTTCATACTCGGGAGGTTCATCTCCACTAAGATTATAAGATAGCATGATTTGGCTTAGAACTGCGAAGAAGAGCCCAAGCCACATGATAGGCGTCTTGTCTGGAGCAGCCAAGTGCTCACGGTACTGTCTCATAAAAGTAGGCTTATGCAGAATATCTAAGAAGCAATTAAAAGTGAAATTATAAAGGCTGTGATAAGATGACTCACGGAAGGTTGGTGCGGGACCTTCTTCATTATCGAAAAATCTTGTGAGCAGTTTTTCGACGGCAGGTCGAGATGGCAAAGAGGACAACAACTCTGGCAGAGTTGTCGGTTGACCAACGCCAAAGAAAAGACTGGGACCATCAATTGCATCCGAATAAGAAGGTTCTAGGCCTAAAGTTGGATTTTCTTGGACCTGGCTCCAAAAGCTCTTGATCTCGTTAAGCTTTATAAAGTCAACAGCGTACGACATAGAAGTGTGAGAGCGAAGATATACTTACCTCTTGCAGAACGTCGTACCAATGTGTTGCTCCCTTATACATGGAGGCGTTGCCGTCAACTTTCATTACACCCCCTCCGTGCTCTATTTCCTCGTAAGGCGGCGTGTGACGCTCTGGAGCCGAGGGGGCTCTAAACGCCGAAGAATCATACTCAGGAATGGATGCTTCAGAGTTTCCACTATTGTCAGAAGAGCCGATACTGCCATTTGGATCATGGCCTTGAGCTACTAGAGTCGTGACAAGCTGTTCTAGCCTGTCTATACGTGATTGCATTCCCTCGACCTGCATCGGCTTGAGGGACGTAGCGGGCCCTCCTTCGGGACCTAGAAAAAGGCATCCTTTCGGGTTATCACGCACAGAACAGTTCTGACATGGTTGCTTCCGATCGCATTTAAGCCTATTGAACGTCAGACATGGCCATATTACATGTGTAGGAGATTTCGGACTTTCTGCTTCTGCACGGTTCACATGACAAGGGAATCCTTTGTTTCCTGCCCGGTTTGCGCTGAGGCTTGGTCGAATTCGCCGCGGACTTGTCCATGCTGGAGTCCTTGAGTTGAATCGATTAAGCAATTTCTTTGTGGAAGAGTGAGGGTCGCGGCGAATGATGAGTTGTGACGGAATCTGGGATATCACGTACAACGTTTTGTCCGCGGACATTTGCCTTTTTGGGAACAGTGGATTCGCTTGGTAGGAAGTGTCTGTTCTAACTTTACTTTCATACTCCTTCGTGAAATCCAGCTTCCCTTGAATCGAGAACACAGCTTCCTTAACCCTACTCGCCTTTACAGTTTTGGATTATGATTTATACACTGCCGCTGCGATCCCAACAATCACGAGCAATCCGCAGCAGTACCACAGGTTTGTCCACTCCGCATTCGTCAGGCTGTAATGCACCGTGCCAGTAGTTATCAAAACTCCTGCGACCCAGAAAAGAGAATCTACTATCATAATTCTTCGTGTGGGTGTTGTCGTGTTGCGATCAACGACAGCAAGCGTCGATAGAATTTTGGTGAGGGCATTTCTTTCAAACTATGCCTCACTGTTAGAATTCTCCACTCAAGGTATTTTTGAGGAAACTTCTATAGGGCCTGGGAATTTTGAGGGAACATACATGTGGCCTGGGAAGAATCTTACTGTCGAGTCATATACTCTCGCATAGGCCTCCATCCCCAGGACATTGCCGAGAATGTCTCTCAGATCCCGTTCCGATTTCGTGATCAGGACAACACTAGTCCAATCCCACAGCTGCGCTTTCGCCAGAGCCTCTCGAGGATCCAAGTGGCATGCCTCAACCCCCACTTTGTTCAGCCAGTCTCGGCATTCGTCGCGGGTCCATGCCTTATCGGGCGGCGTCTGAATCGTGATGGCGGGGTAGGTACTCGTGGTGTGTTCTGGTTCTGATGCCGATGGTGAGGTTGATAACGAGTGGTATTGGTTCCGCATCAAGTCGTATTGATTTCACTTGAACTTGAGATCGTACAATGTATCTTGCTTTGGAGGCTCCTAAGGAACAATCTAACCTTGAGGAGTAGTCCTTATATATGCCATAATAGTGCGCTAGTAAACGGTCACCCGCTCAGACTGCAAGTTCCATTCACCTCGTAACTTTTTCTGCAAACATTGAATAGGAACAACTGAAGCGATATTTTACAAGGCTATGGTAGTGAATGATTCCTCTGTAGAGTATGCCTGTGCTCCATGATCATAACCCATGGCTGGTGGTATCTCAGCACTCCCAATAAGAGCTCGCTTGCACTCAACCATCCTTCCAAAAAAAAGTCTGGTGAAAGTGTGGAAATATGTTGCACAATATCTGGGAGATCTGCTCTCATATAGAGAGCATACTGGATTTCAGGCGCAAGTTGCAAGAGAAACAGCAGGGCACTGACAGCGAGCGAAGAAAAGTGACTGTCTCATGCATACAGACTACAGCATATGATAAGAGTATTCGACAAGAGCAAAATCACTATGCGATACCGATGGTACTATCTAAAAGGATGTCATTTTTGAGAGCAATTCAAGTGAAGAGCTCATAGTCTATTCCTCCTGCACCTATTGCATGCCTGCATATGGCATTGCCGACACTCGAAGATGTACGATGGTAGCGTGTGTAGACATTGCTCACATTGGTGTTGCCCACCAACATATCTCCAGCTTTCATGGTCACAGTTGTGTCTATGCCTGAGATCTTGCACGACGGCTGCAAGGCGCGCTGCTTGTTGCGGAACAGGTGCAGCAGGTTGGCGTGCAACCACTTGATTAGCCCGAGCGAGCAGACGATTCTCATCCCACTGTGAGCATCCACAGGTTTTCCACTTTTCTCCACACAAATAACAAAATTGTGCTCCGCAGGTACAACTGTCCGGTCAGTGTTGGCTTTCCGAAGGTAAGAAGGGGAACGAACGTCATATGATTACAACCGATTTCTAGTTCTACTAGACGACGACAGTTAAAGCATCTCTGCCATCCGTTTTCTTGTGCTGTTTCTAGGACTTGCTGGAGTGCAGTGTCTTCTGGGCAGTCCCCAAGATGGGATCCGGACTTGCAGATAACACAGGTCAAGGTACTACATTCAGGACAATAGGCTTTCTCTTTGGCGATATGTTCTATACGAATGAAGATTGAACATGTAGTGTTCGAACAGTATGTCCGGTCCGCAGTCTCGAACTCAACCTTCTTCGCCTCGTATTGTCGAACGAGGTCTGTCGTTAGGAACAGGCGCATGCCACCCCCGCAAGTAATTGGCTGGCGGCAGCATCGAGGAGGAAAGAGCGAGTCATCTGTTATAGAAGCTGAAAATAGCTCATGGAGACAACCACGGCAGTACTCGTGACCACAAGAAGCACGCCCCAGTTCGCAGAAGATGAATGTGTCTTGACAGGCGGTACATTGTCGTCTAGATCGCTTTGTTTGCCTCCTCGAGGTAGCCCACCCAGAAGACTCTGCTCCTATATTGAATTAGAGAAAGTGTTTACTAGCTTCAGTGTTTTTGATTTGCTTCCGAGAAAATGTCAGAAATACTTACCATCGACGTCAATCTCAACCACGTCTCCACCAACAATTAGCTCCAGGGTATCATCTTCGGAGACAGGGTCTTCAAGAGGACTGGTGACATATAAGGCAGAGAGCTTTCCTAAGATCTCATCGTCCAGGAATTCCGAAGATACGGTCCACGGCTCGACTGGTACTGGCAGCTGAGTACCACCAAGCCTACAAGCAGTTTCTCTGTCAGAACTGGCTGTCTGTTCCTGGGCAAGGGAAGCGGTGAGAATGTTGCCATCAGTCTGGCATGCACGAGCGATGCTCTTCGTAATGACGCGGTCCTTTAACATAACTGCATTGCGTTCCAGATCCTCTCTGTAGACCTTGAAGGCCAATTGAGAGTCCGATAAGTCTCCTTCACGTCCCTTGCCCTTGGCTTCTGCCAAAGGGCAAAGCTCGACACTGTCGTCGATCTGGAGCCGTAAGATCAGCGCCAAAGTTTCTTCATCCAAAGTAGTCAACAAGTCCATGGCTGATGATTCGAAAATCGGCACTGGGACTGGAACAGAGAAAGAAACGTGAAGAGACGAATTTTGAAAGGAAGGTGGGAGAACTAATGCTACCGACTACCTTTGCCGTGCAAACAGAGATCCTTGTACTCGATTCGATGTTCTGTCACCTGCAGATTTCGGTATATGATTTGAGGTATATGATCGGATTCGGTCATGTTTTATGCGGCTTGCCGGTCTGTAATTAAGTCTTCCGACTTTAGCTCCACGGAAAAGCACTATTCCTCACGCTGGGGATTGAATGGGTGGTATCTTGGTCATGAAACCACCGACCACGCCAATCACATGTGCTTCTTCCTGTCTCAACAAGCCACCCTCATTCAGGGAGCCGAAAGTTCCCTCCTTGTCCTTGCCATTGCCAAACCTCCGGTGCTTTTGTCACAGCGAAAGCGCTCCTCGATTGTGGCTCGCACCATTCCTACTGACCGATTCTCGATATTCTTGTCTGCTATCATTCGTAGTCAAGCAGCAAGCTCAACCGAACTTCTTGGTTCCACCCTTCTTCACTTCGATGTCCTTTCCCTTGGCGTCCTTGTCTTTGTTTTTCTTTCCACCTTTCAGAAGCTCGAGATGGCCAGCCTTAGCACCCAAAGTTCGTTCGGTCATGGCTGTCAAACCAGCTGAATGCTTCTGCAGACCCAGTCAGCAATGTTCTCGTACATGAATATGCAAATACACAGTAGGACAACTGCGCAAACTAACCTTCGTGATTTTGGCATTCTTGACAAGTGCAGCGTTTCTCGGCTTGATTGTCCTTGCGCCTTTCTTTGGACCCAATACTGGCTGTCTTCTGGAGGTCTTCGACGTCGGTCCAGTGGGCTTTTTGGATTTTATTGCTCCTTGAGCCATGATTGCTGGTCTGTATGGTGGGGATGTTGATCGTTAACATAAATTTTTGTGAAGACATTCATGGCGGACGCTAGCGTAGACCCGCTTTTGAGACCGCTATCTGAGCTAAGCTTAGGTAGCGAGGGTAGGTATCTTTGCTATGATTGGGGCTTCATTGCTTTCATCTTTTCTCGCAAAATGACTATTCAGAATCTTAGTAGACTCACAGAAGCTGAGGATTGTCTTGGTGTGATGAATGCACATCAGAGTCCGGAGAGAAAGAACAATTGCTGAAATAATGTCTATGGTACCGAAAAGTCAAGCCACAGTCCTTCCTGCACGTTCCGACCATCGCCATTCCGAACGAGGCTGAGATTTCTGCTTCGTTCGCATTCAATTGATATTACCCACATCATGCTACTGTTCACCAATGATACCTCCTCCAAAACGTGTTTGTTGCTTTTGAAAAGATTCAGTACATGATCATGTGGCTCTTGAACACAACCTCACTTCAACTGGAGTACGTCAACAGCTCAGAAGACCAGACTTATGCGATTCTATCACATACATGGGAAGATGGCGAGGTCAGTCTCCAAGAATTGGCGAACCTTGAACAAGCGAATAAGAAGAAAGGCTTCTCCAAGATTGAATGGACCTGTCGCCTTGCGCGTGAACGAGGGATCAGCTATGCTTGGGTAGATACATGCTGCATCGACAAAGCTAGCAGTGCTGAGTTGACTGAAGCGATAAATTCCATGTTCAAGTGGTATAAGGATTCTGCAGTCTGTTTCGTGTTCTTGTCAGACCTTGTTCCCTCAGCCTCACCCATGAACGAATGGGGTCTCGATTTTCAACGGTGCAGGTGGTTCACGCGAGGCTGGACTTTGCAAGAGCTCATTGCGCCAGAGTTGGTTGAGTTCTATGATCAAAACTGGAATCTTAGAGGAGACAAGAGTTCCTCACGGTCAACCCTCTTTGATATCACGGGTATCGATATTGAAGTGCTTGCAGACAGCGAGAAGATGGCAACAATTCCAGTGGCAAAGCGGATGTCATGGGCCTCGATGCGTCAAACTACCAGAGTTGAAGATACTGCTTATTGTCTATTTGGGATATTCGATGTAAACCTACCTTTGATCTATGGAGAGGGTCCGAAAGCTTTCATTCGACTCCAGGAAGGCATTGTGCAAGAGACTTTTGATCTCTCCATGTTTGCTTGGACATCGGGCCACGATGATCAGCAATTCCGAGGCATTTTTGCTCGTTCACCAAATGAATTCCGGAAATGTGGAAATCTTGTCGTAGTGGCAGATCCTGGTCTACAGACCACTAACTTCGAGATGACGCACAGAGGAATCAACTTCACAACCACATTGATCAATCTCGATGGAAACGAAAGAGATTTCTGCCTTCTCAACCTCAACTGCAAGCAAAGTGGCGCCCAGCAACAGGGTGAGATACACGGAGCAATTGTTGTTCCCCTGGTTCGCATACGAAGTGGTTATGTGCGATATTCGTCTCGGATACTGGCCCTCACGTCTCTTCTGCCATCCATGACGCATGATCAAGAATCTGCTAGATGGCTCCACAAGAACATTTCTCAAGTTTATGTTCCTAAGATAATTACCCGAGTAGCATCCAGCCTGATAGCAGTTCGACGAGCACATCGCTTTTCCTTCCGAATCAAAAACAGTACGAACTGGCAGATACAAGCTCAGGATTTCAATCCTGAACAGCTCTGGCACTCGACCAGCAAAAGCTTTGCCACAGAAGGACAAGACGGCTTCACAGCTGCCATCGATATCTTTTTGAAAGGAAGGAAGTGGACCACTGAGTGGAATTCAGCAACGAAAAAGGATGATATCGAACAGTTAGATGTCTGGTGGCCAGGATTCCACATCAGTCTCGGCCTAGTCCAGTTAGCAGTGCAAGACAAGGACTCCACAGTAGAACCTGAGTCCGAATTAGAGCCCCTTCAGCCATGGGCGGCGATATACCGCAACAACACCTACGACATAACAAGTTTTGGTCTCTCGCCACAAGACCGAGCCCGAGCTTCACAATTTCGGAAAAGGGCTAAACAACTTCCTTCTTCTTTGACTTTGACTCATGCCTATATACAGCAGTCAAGGTCATACACGTCGGAAGTGAGGAGGCACTCGAAGGAACATTCGTTGCTGCTTTCTGTAGCTACCAATGTCTTGGTAGACAGGGAGACTGGCATGTACGAATTAGTGCTTTCTATCCAAGAGGTAAGTCGATGAAGTCTGACGGTCCAACAATAGAGCAGATCTAACCAGCCAGCAGGGAAACAATACCAGTGGCCCAATTCGCTTTGGCATCGAGCCTTCTGACTCGTGTCCACAGCTACCTAGTACTAATGAGGTGAATAAAGTCAACCAAGTGCTTTATAGATACCAACTAAATTTGACAGGTATCTAGCTCCGCCGAACCTATTCTTTCTCCAGTATCGACCCCAGAACAACAAATTTCACCCCGACGCAGCTGGTGGGATCTCTTCGGATTCTGAACGATTTTTTACTTTGTTTGCACCTCGAAATAATATTGAAATGAGCCAACCTCGTGGGAGAAAGAGATCAAAAATTTCTCCCCCAGAAAAGTAAACCGATCTCGTCCATATCCAGCGCCATCATCGCCGAGGAGGGTTACAAGCAAGAATCGACACGGGCGCCGGCTATCATGCAACTTCACCCGGCGCCCATAGCCAAGGGCGGCTGCTTGCTTCAGCTGGGGAACTCGTGCAGATATTGATGCATATGAGTTGAGGCTTAGCCTGCATTGCTTGTGTGTCTTCTCGGGTAAGGCTGTGTGCAGACAAGGCTGCGTCGCAGTTGGATTTGAGCAGAGCCTTGCAATTGCTGTACACAATCTTAGATGCTCGTTGTCAAAACATTTTAAAGTGAGGGGCAAAATTCGGTACTATTGCTGTGCCATGTCGATGTGGCTAGTAGAATGAATAATTAGGTATATATTATTCTCATCCATATAGGAGATGAAGAAAATTAAAACAAATATCCTCAACGCCAATTTTCCTTACCCATCAACGCCGAGCCTCGAAATCATTGCTAGAGAAGAGGGCATTCGATGCCCAATTTCTTCCGAATTCAAACTCCAATCCTCTCATGAAGTAAATATCCCATCCTCAGATATCCGAATAATCATCCACGAACAAACGAAGTACCTCCACACTTCGCCCATCGTATAATCCACATCCACGTATCGCTTCTTCACCGTGGCCAGCATAGCTGACTGCATCTGCAGCCTCCGACTATTTTAAGCCGCACTTACTCAGCCCACGAAGCGAATTCCCAATTTTCTGGTTCGTTCGGACCCCTCATGCCGTGTCGTGCTGATTCCATCCGTCTCCCTCATCCGAATTCGGACTTCCCCAACATCTTTTTCCACCCAATAAAATCTTCACCGCTCAAACAAACCCGTCATTGGTTCACGAATTCGTATGCCCCGTCGTATCACCTCCAAGCCCTAAATGCGAATGCCCAAAATTCCTCGATGAGGACGACTCTGACGGACTGTGATCCAACACCACGTCCTCGAACGGGATCTCGCTCAACGGCGTCTTGCCGTCGGAGATAATGCCCTCTTCCTCCTCCCTCACATGTGTGATGCCGCCCGCGATCGTCGTATGTTGCGGCGGTGTGACTTCCGCGTACAGAGGCGGAGGAGCCTCTCCTCCTCGAGTTGCGGTGGAGGCCATGCGGTTCATCATCATCATGTTGGTGGTAGTAGGCTGTTGTTGGCGGTCTTGGAGGGGCACGGTATCGGTGTCTGGTCTTGGGTGACGGATCTCGTTGCGGCGAGCGTTTCGTTGCCGGAGACCGCAGCAGCCGCAACAGAACCAGACGGATGCGAAGACGATGATTAGGATGACGAGGACGATGGCTACGATTGCGCCTGCTTTGGCACCGACGGCCATTTTGTCCCAGAAGTTTTTGCCATTGTTGAAGGTGTTGGGGAAGTCTGTTGTCGATGGGTTGGTGTGTGTGGTTGTTGGGTAGGAGGTAGATGTTCTTGAGTATGTCGATGAAGGTGTGGTTGTTGGGTGAGGGAAGTCGTTGGAGAATTGTGAGCTGAGGGCTGCTAATGCTGAGGATCCAAAATTCCCTGTATATGGATTGTTCATTTTGGTAGATCTACTCTCAAGACGAGATGTAGGATGGGAGAAGGCGGTATATTATAAGGTGACCAAAACGTAGTGGTAATATCAAAGTTTGTAGCAATACGAGGAGCTACCCCACACATTAGCTTCGAACCAGCGGGATCGTGATGGAAATGCAACTTTGCGACAGGAATAATTGATGAATTAGATGGAAAAGAGAGAGGGAAGAGAAGGAGAGCAAGGCAAGTTGGCAAGATTACTGTGAGCTGCAGCAGCGGCACGAAAACTCACCGCAGCATCCCTCCCTTTCGCATGTCATCCTATTTGGATCACGAACGGATTGCTTGATTTGAGGTTCTTGCATGGAGGCGCAGCAATGCTTGGTGCTGTTCGGTGTTCCTTAGACTTTAAGGTCCGATGCGATGGCCTATCAGGATTGTAGGATTTTGGATACCAATAAACAGACAGCAGAGATAAATGGCAGAGATTGACAATGAAAAAGGGGTTGGGGACGAAAGCGATGTTGTTGACATTCAGGCTTGGAATTTAGGAGAGGTTGTTTCGTTCATGCCCCAATTTTCAGACGAGAGTACACGGAGCACGTGACGGTTGAGTCGTGACTTCAGGTTCACCGTATTTAGATTGACTAGGTACTGCTTCAAGCAGAAGAGCGACATGAAGCAATACAACAACGGATGCATATCTGCAAGCAATAGCAGAAAGATGCAAAAAACAGGTAAAAAACATCTGCCACGTGACTGTCTTATATTTCAGACCTTGGGATACAGGTATCTCTCGTGCAAAGCCAGCAATTTCAGCTCCTCATAAGACATTCGTGAAGAGAGAAGATGATCACATGCATGATTGGTTGTCAGTTGACATATCTTTTCACGATGCTGCGAGCGAGATACACAGATCTCTCACTTGTCATGATCTCCATTGCAGACCCAGGATTTGCTTCTGGGGGATGAAACACAACTGGTCAAACGTCGTAGGACCAAGTTACACCGGGTCGGATCCATCCAGTAAATCTCCTTGATTCGCGCTTCCGTTCAGGTCGGGCGGGCGGTCGGCCCAGCCTCCTGATTTCTGCGACTTTTCTTTTTGCTCCAGGTGACGCTTGGCCAGCAGGAATGGTGCAGATGTGCAGCTGTGCAGAAGGGCCAGAATAGATCATTTCGTGGACTTGCAGAGGGTGATTCGCTGGGCGGATGGAACCATTGCAGGAGTTGTATGCAGTCGCTCCTGCTTGCAATCGAGACTAGAAGGTCTCTTTGCCCTGTTACATGTTCTGATTCGAGGAGTGCGGTGGGAAATGCCACGGTGCAAGGTAACCAACCAACGAGACCTGCCCGCTCCTTCAGACCATGAGTGTACTGTACTGTACCGTACGTAGGCGACGTCGACTTGTGGCCTTCAACTGCGTCAGTGCCTCTCGAGCCCACCCAATGACACGCAGACGAAGGCTATTGTAGACCCCCATCTCATACTTGGAGTCTTTGCGCCAGCTTGTCCTCCCCTCTCAACGACCTCCGAGAGATCAAAGTGTTACATCCAAGATCCAAGATCTGTAGGCGACGATAATCTGCTCCGGCTTCTGTGCTGTGGTCCATCCGCCGTGCTTCATGGAATCCGACTCGTTCTAAGCCGCATTCGACCAACTCGAGAGGCTTCGTGCAGCAGCCGAAGTGCACATTCGATCGCCAAATCTCTCCGTCTGCTTGGTCGCAGTCCCAGCAGCACGTCTGGAGTCCTCAAACGCCATTCTTTTCTTTTCTCACGGTCATTTCGACCTGCATCACGATCATTTCGCCTTCCTCACGACCCCTATATCTTGTTTCTTTGGTCGAGATTCCACAACTCACTCCTTGGAAGACCCCCCAGCCACACGACCACCAAACTACCCGCCGATAACGATCGTCTGCAGCCTGCCGAATTGTCACTATGACAGCCGTTGACCTGCGAAATCAGACCTCGACGACCCGGCGATGACCTGGCAATAGCTCTAACTTACCCTCAGATACCACGTTGACCTGCGTGAATGCTCCTCACACAGACGAACTGGCTCAGGATGCCGGTCAAAGAGCCAGGGAGCTCTCTTGACGCTCCAAATGGAGCCTACGCCATGGGATCGACTCTGCTGAAAAGGCACAAGACTTTGCCGCATCCTCGAGAAGAGCGTATGCATCAGATATACCCTTCGACGCCTGCGACGAAGCCACGCGACTTGACTATCGACACTGGAACGGCGTCTCTACCGAGCTCAGATACATCGAGTCCACGTACGTTAAAGCATGCATCAAAGAACAGGATTGGGTCCAATGGCCTCCCACCAACGCCTCCGACTCATTCACGACAATCCTCTGGCAGCCAGCAGAGTATCATTCCTGCACCGAAGTTTGATATCCCACGTATCGAAACCCCGACAGACATTCCTTCAGCACCCAGTACACCACCCAATCAGAAAAGTCCACCTACACCCGACTTCACGCCTCCGCGAGCGATGCCGTTGGCATTTCGACCTGGTCGTCCCCCAGTCAGCGAACGATACCCCTCCTCACGCACAGACTCTTTCAAGACAGCACGAGAACATCCAGATTCAGAAGACGATGACGAACACTCAACAGTAAGACCTATTCTCCCATCTGCTCGGACATCTGCAGCGGAAGTGCCTCAGCTTCCTACACCACCTCCGAAGCGCAAGGAAGTGGGTTTGGGTCTTGGTCTTGAGTCGGATGAAGGAACTACAACTCCTAGGCCAAAGGTAGATTCTTCTCAAGAAGAGTTTGTTGTGTTTGATGGGGAATGGGCATCTGCTGGTGAAGAAGCAGAAGTGACACGGGAATGGGACGACAATCTAATGAGGAATGTAACTGTCCGCAAAAGACCTGTGCGAAAGCTACAAAAGCGACGCATAACCACGAATTTTCTTACCAACGAAGTGATAGAGGACGATATTGTTTCGCCAACAGATGCTACGAAATTTGCAACGAATTTTCTTAACGATGAGGTGATTGAGGATGATATCGTGTCTCCGACAGTTGCTACAAAAGTTCTTCGGAGTATGCCCTTGCAGGAGAGGATAGCCAGATACCGAATTGCCAGGGATACCGCGAATCGAATGACATCTGAGAAATTCCCTGAGAAATCCGTGTGGCCTTCAGCTGCAGCAAGTCCTGAATCCCCTACTACACAGGACGTGCGAAGATTTTCAGCAATGTCTGGACGTTCGTCTCAGTCGACCGTGGTTGAAGCTATGGTTGTCGATGCAAAGCCCACACGACGAAGGACTCTTCGCCACACTAAAAAGCAACTTGGCCTTCGTGATTTCGGCTCTGACCAGTCTCTCTTGAGCTCTGGGCCAAGTTCGATTGTGTCAAGTGAGCCTCAACATCGCTTGCATCATCACATGGAGAAGATACCAGAGAGACGGCACCAAAGTCTAGCTTCGAATAGCACAGTTGTGAGCACTGCCTCGTCAAACGGCAAGTCTAGAAGAGAAGTCCTCAAGAGTGGAGCTATTCCGGTAGTTATCATTCCTGAACGACGTTCTTCGACGAAATCTTCCAGGGCTCCATCACTTAGATCTACTAGCAGCAGAAGGACTAAGCGGAGCATGTCACTCAACTCAGCTCCCTTGTCTGCCTCATCCAAATTCAACGACCCTGGCTACTTTGACTCCCTGCCTCCTCGAAAACGGACGATGTCGGAGTCAGGTGGTTCTGCACATTCGGTACACACCATTGACTTTCCACCAGTCATTCCAGCTCGAAGATCGTCCCTATCAGCTCCAACAAGTCGCAATACATCTAGAGCAGGGTCATTGACTGCTGAAAGTCTACACGCGCATAACATGATTCAGGCAACGAAACAACCAGTTCTACCAGAGTCTAGCACGACTCAACCATCTGCTGATGTTGAAAGAGATCTTGGAAGCCACAGTGCTCGACTCAATGTCGATCATAATGGTGACCCTTTCTTTGGCAAACGCCTTTCTACACAGGTGACCCCCTTTTCGCAAGCATCATACGAAACGGCCGGGACCATGGCGGAGGTTTCTGAAGCTATGGCTGTCACGATATTTCCACATCAGAATAAGTCGGTCCTTGTCGTCCAGCAAAAGGCACCAACGGACTCACCCCCACTTGCTCTGAAGACAATTGATAGTGCGGAAACTGAGCGACCAACGATGACCGTCAATGGGCATGCAACGAGTGGTCCAGTGACTCCACCTCAACCCTCACATCCAATGGACCAGGTTGATTCGCCGCTCAGAAATCCTCGTTCGCCTCCAGAGCCACCAGCGATCAAGTTCATTCCCCCCACTCCAGCTGCTGTTACTCCCGGGCATGAAGAGGATCGCCAGCTGGGCTACGACAACTATCGTCCTTCTTCGTCAGATGATCAATCTAAGAGGACTATGTCTTTGATGCGCCGAGCTTTCAGCAATCGCCGCAATTCAGAAACCGCTGCTCAGCGCCCAGGTTTTCTCTCGCGCACTTTTTCCTTGAGTGGCCATCGAAAAGAACTAGTCGATGAGTCAACACAAACGTCCAAGGGCTCTGCAAACGCGCTTTATCCTTCTGTAGCAGATAAGCCAGCCGATGGTAGCAAGCTGCATCCGTTCTGGAGACCTACTCATTTCTGGGACGACTTGGAAGGTCATCAAGCTTACGATGACTATGATGACGACGATGAATACGGCTATCCTTCAGCGGACAGCAGACCCATTCCCAAGCGAACTTTCAGCCAGAAGTTGAAGCGTACGTTTGCAATCTTGCCCATCCAGGATGATTACTATGACTACCAACCATATCCCATTGATCGTCGGACCATGCGTAGAACTCCGAGTGGCAATATGAGGGTCGTAAAGCAACGTAGCACCAGTTCTAGCTTGAGAAGATCAGGAAGTGATCGAAGGGTATACGTCGAGCAGCGTCCACATACTGGTCCTTCCGCTGAGCGCCAGTTTGGCTACGGTTTCAAAGAAGGAAATGGCGGCAAAGTCCACACGATCCCTGGACTTGGTTTGAGAGTCGAATATGTGGGGTGGAGTGGAATGAGAAGGAGAATGAGTGAGAGGAGGAGAGAGCAGAGTAGGCAGAAACTAAGAGCCACGATCTCAGGACCGAAGAGTATCCAGAGCGGCGTGGACGATGTCTTGAGGAGACGACAGACCTCGGTATAACCGACAAGGGAAAGAGAGGAGGGAAGGACTGTACCAACAACATCACGATTCACATTGACGAACACAGCAAAGGAAAGAGAGCAAGAAAGAAAGGACGAAGGAAGATATCCCCAAGGGCGGCTATTATTTGATTTTTCCTCGCCATGCTTTTCAAACATCCATTCCCCTGTACGCATTCTAAGACCTGGCCTTTTTCGATCTTCGGTTCTGCGTAGCATTTCGCGTTGGTTAACGAGCAGTAAGTGGGATGGGATGGGAGTTTTAAACGATGGAAATGACTTTATGACATGACAAACATTTTGGGATGAGTATCAATGAATGAGGCTTTTCATGAGATATGAGGATGAAGCTATATCTACAACGGGTGGTCGTTTTTCTCGTGTGGAGAGAGAGCGGGGGAGTTGGCGCGAAAATGGAGAGGGGTGGTTGAGATGATTGATTGTTTGATGATGAATGAATGATTTTATTCTACGTTTGAAGTGTTGGAGATGAATGTGCTTGTGAGATATGTCTCGTGCTGCGATGCTCGAATGATGGTCCTGATTCGTGGAGCAAGCAAGCTACTCCGAACTCTGAAGCGTGTGCTCGGGTTCATATATGAGATTTTCCCCGGTGACGAAGGTACAGAGCTGAGATACTTGTTATATGTGGGAGTATGATTAATATCCGAGAGCATATCTTTATTTCCACACAATGTCTGATCCGGGCTTTAATTTAAGCTTCGACATATATTCATTGTGTTCCATAAAGTATCAGAATGCATCGAGCGACCGTTTCTCAGCTCCGCTTGGATGTTAATCGGCAAGGACGATGCATCAAGACTTGACATTCTCGTTGAGGCGTCAGGCTTCTCAGGAAATACATGTGTGGGTGGTGGTAATCTAGAGGAAAGTCTCGCATTTCTCCAGTACTTGACTATTAGGGATTGCAGAGACTGCAAATGTGTCTTCAAGGAATCTTTAGGCCTGGAAATATAGGAATTTTTCAAGATGCTATTTGTAGGGCCATGTCAATTCGGACTTTGCAATTTTTGAAGCTGGTTTGACTTTCCTAGAGAGATCGGAGTTTTGATAGAAGAGTCTGGTCTCATGCATGTATGTCTCGCTTGGGCATGACGAAACCAGATAGAGGAGGACTTGGGAAATTGATTTTAAGTGATTTTGAGTTTAATATGTGTCATTGTCAGGTACCAGGTTTGGACACTGACGATGTCGAAATGATTCGTGTTCCAGACATCGGGATCCATTTTGTGGAGTCAGTTGTCATTTTTGAGTTCGGTACACTCATTGGGAAGCAGATACGACTTTCCGCCTATTCTCAGACATTAAGAATGATAGCTTGTAGAAAGAGTTTAGTTTCCGAGAAATATCTCTTCCACAAAGCGCGGGGAGCCGGAATAACAAAATTTGAATGGAGATAGAGACATACTCGTGTATCATAGAGAACGCAGTCGCCTTGCCCATTGGCGTATATCCTCCATTTAGGGTTGAGAGAGTGATATTGTCCTTGTAGGTATCAATCCCCACTTTAGCAAGCCCAAAAGGTACTGCACCTCCAACGAATATATCACCACCTCCGAAAGCATACCCAGAAATTGGACCTTCTGAGCCGATGAGAGGGTTGACGAATTGCGAGTAGTCGACTTGAGCTACAGCATACCGAACGAGTGCGGCGAGAATTGTAAGAGACAATAACATGACGAAGATTTGATCCTCCCTGCTTTGATATTCTCGATATGCAAAGGAGAATTCCCAAGAAAGGTGGCTCTTTGAATTGTAAAAAAATTCAACATTCGAAAATCGCTCAGTACCACTGGACCAAATATATAGCTTCAACACTGGTTGGAACTTCGGGTTAAAGTAATCATGACAATGATATCACTATGTCAGGTTCATGGTACCTGAATTATGATGAACCCCTGCATCTTGACTAAAACCATAATCCGCATTGTAACGTTCCTCAACCCCGCCTCGCCGATCTATTAGTTGCTGGTCGAAAGGCTTGATGTAAACTCGCAAAGGGTGTTCTGGTTCTAATCGTTCTATGCCTGGCACCAATGTGTCAAAAAGAAAAGGACGAATACTGTTGTAAGTGTGGCTGTTGAGGTTGTTCCAAAAATGTGAAGTTGACTGGCCTGGTGGGGTATAAAGTACAGACTAGTCCTCTTTAGGAAAGATCTTGGCTCAGGGGCTTTGACTTGGATTTCGTCTTCACCTTCTTGAAATCTTCTTTCACATCTTCTTTCGTATCTTCAAATGTCTTATCTCATCAACGCCCAGTCTTCTCAATCGACTCTGTAGTCATATCCTACAACCATTACTACGCACTTATCCGATACCCGCAAATGTTATTGGGAAAGGATCTGCCCAGCATAGCGTTGCGCAAGAGATCATTCCTGTTCTTGATGCTTTATATTACCTATCGCATAAGTCATCATCGTAAATTAATTGGATCAAGTAAAGTGTTGCGCATTTTCCAAGCTGTCTCTGAGAAGTTTTGTTATTGCGACTTTGCTCACGAATTCCTAATATCTATTTGTTCTATTCTCTTGCTCCCTTCTCTCCCGTTGTTCGTTGCGGTAAGACACAATCGATATCGTCTGAGCAAGCAAGACATTCAGACGGGTATGATCTCATACAACCTCAGTCCAGTCCTCCATTCGCCATCTCCTCCTCCAGATTAGTCAATCCCTCCTTATGCTCGAAGATCTTTTCCTTCAACACCTCCATCTCTTCCCGAGCCTCCTTCCACGGCTTTTCACGACTTTTAACCTGTCAGCCGCGTATCTCTGCTGAGTACCCAAACCTGGGACAAGCAAATTGGCCTTGCGTTCCCTCTCAATACATCGGCAGCCCGTAACGACGCATTTCTCTTGCAGAATCTTGACCATCTCTTCGATAAGCTTCTCGCGCTGCTCATTGCTGTCTTGTAGCAGTTGAGCACCTTTTTTGGGATCCCGGTCCTTTTGCATCTGTTTCGTAAAGCGATCAATGGTTTGTTATTCAGAGGTGATTCGAGCGTCAAAGAGCTTGAAATCGGCATCTTTGCCTAGCTTGCAAGCTCTCATCTTTTGCAACGAGTTCTCAAGGCGAGAGTGCATACCACTTGTTCGCTTGCTCTCAATAGTCTGGCGCAGATACTTTTCGAAAGCCTGGTAAATGTTTTCGTAATCGATGAGGAGTTCCTTGACACCATGCGTCATGTCTTCAATCACCAGACTCTTTAGCAATTATTAGGCAAGTGATGGACATAAAATCATACCTTCCACCAACTTCTCATCTGAGATCTCCTCAGGCAGGTTATTGTATCGATCATGTCTGGCAACAGACATAGCGACATTCCTGTCTTCAGGCCAGAATTGGAATACTTCGCCTTTGGAGACGCCCCCTGACATCTCGGAAATATCCTTGCGCTCAGCATGGACATCATTAAACTTCTCCAACAGCTGCTTGATGATCCGCTTTCGAGCATCAATGATGATCTTCCTGCATATGCTGGCACGGTCCTTTTATGCAGGTCCGTTGGCCGGACCGGGAGGGGTAGTGGACATTGATGGTTGCTGCAAACGATTGGAGTTAGTTCAAGCGTAACATCAAATATGAATCTTTGGGCATGATATTGATGAGAGAGTGTAAAGTCAAAGGCGCAAATGAAAGTGATGATGCTGTGCCATTAAGTCAAACAGAGCATCCAGCTCAGCAAAGCGAAACAGCTCAATCCATCAGAAGCAAGACGCAGAAAACATCAACATGCCACTGCTTGACAGCAAGGAGGTTCTAAGGAGATGCAGAAGACGAGATGTGAACTTATTGTGGTGGATGGGCTTGTCTTAACGATGAGAGTCTCATACCACTTTCGGTCCCTGGTACAAAGCAAAGCCTTCCTGAGCTCATGAACCTCAAGTTGCAAGCTCGTTGCTTCTTTCTTGCAAGCCTTGAATTCATCCTGGTCCAACTTATTGCTTTGTTTCAATTGTTCCAACTCCTCATTGTACATCAATCCAATGCTAGGATCCTGTCCACTGATGTATTCAGCCTTGATGTCGTCATACTCCTTTCCTGAGATGGTGCGGAGGAAATCTGTGATCTTCATGATATGTTTCTTCGCCGCTCTGAGGGTTTCAGGGCCTGCGTCCAGGATGTCCGAGTGGATAATTTCCAAGCACGCCTTGCTGATTAGCTCTGCGTGAAGATTCAAACGAGTAAGGATATCCCATCCAGGGGCATCCTCTACGCCTCGAACGACGGCCATGTACCGATCATAGTTGTTCTTCAACAGATCAAAAGCTGCTTTCATGATCTTCCTCTCGCACATCTCGATATCTTTGAGATACTCTCCCTCGGTCTTGCCATCTGGACTAGTCTCCTCGGTCTTCGTCGTTTGCTTGGATCCTGTGTTATTTGTCAGGTATTTGCTCCAGATATTTGCGTTTGCACATAAGAACTTACCTGACATGGTGAAGTTGGTCTAGCGAGCTGCTGATGACCCTTCGATTGCGGCTTGAATAAGATGATTCTCTACTCAAGATATCAACAAATGGGAAGCTGAGACGCTGGGAAGGTTGATAAGGGCGCAGCAAGTACTGAGCTTGCAAACGGTGATGGTCTAGGCATCTGTCGGCTTGCTGCATCCACCTCGTTTGTAGCTGCACCTCTATACATGCCAGCCGACACCTTTGAAAGAAGTCGTTTTCAATAATCAAATTACAAAAAGCATCAAATGCATAGCACGACGCAAACATGATAGGACGGTTGCAGCTGCCAGCCGGAAGACCCCGCAACGAATTGATGTCGTTTATTTATCCTGTATATTCAAAGCAGGTACCTCCTGTATCTGAGCAGCTCTCTTGCCTACCGTTCCAATGGCCCAGTCTTCATAATGTTCTACTTATTGTTTGATCGGCCAAAGGTGACCCATCCCCCATGTCTTCCAAAATGCGCTAAGAAATTTCGGCCTTTGAGGAATTTTGCAAGCAGTGGAACGAGCATCTTGTATCATTAGGTATAAGAGAAACATGCAAACATGAGTTGGGGAAGACTAATTGTAATTCTCTAAACATATTTCTAGGCAGATCTTTTGAGCAACACTACTGGAATTTCAAGCTGGCATACTTTCCACTGACCAAAACAGAAAGAAGTCAACGCTTACATTCAGTTCCAATACTTAGGTTGAAATACGCTCGACTCAGCTTCTTCGAGGTCCGACCCAAACTTGCTTGATTACCTCATTTGGTATGATGCCATCTCGTTTAAATCCCGGTTTGCGATCGCCTACACCAGTCGAAACTGTCTTCTGTCATTGCATCACCTGTGATGGTGCCTGGCTTTCCAGCAGGGTAAAAAGTTGCCGATTTTGACGAGGAGCTTGAATGGTAATAAGATTACAAATATCACCCTCTAAAACTAAAAAAGAGAGAGAAAAGGGTTTTATTAGAGAAATAAAAATCAAATATTAAAATGCATTGAAAGTCCGCTTATATTTGGGACATTGTATTGTTTACAAGTCCTGGAGAAGTTTGGGACATTCGTTCAAAACCTATATTCATCCTTCACGTCGGGCGTAACCCCGCACCCGCCAGTTTTGCTTCTGCTGTGTTGTAACTTGTGTTGTAACTCATACCTTCCTTCCTTCCAACCAGACTCTTTCAACAAGTAATTGAGTACAACCACATCTGGACAGACTCTTGATCTCGCTTCTGGCTTTACGGACTTGGCAGCTCAAGACAATGGGATCCTGGTTCTCTGGTCCACAGGCGCCTGACGTGGTTGTAACTTTCGTCTCTCTCGGCATGGTGGTCCTGGATGAATTACGCTTTCCCGGGAAGAAGCTAATTTCAGATGTGATGGGAGGCTCTGCGTCGTACGGTATAGGCCTCCTCAAGCCCAGCCCAGATCATCAATTGACATTAGGAGGCTGACACCCTCAGGAACCTTGGGAGCGCGGCTCTTCGCGATGAACAGGAGGTCGACTTCGATTGGCTGCCTTGTTTTGGCGGGTAAAGATTTCCCGGAAGCTGTGGAAAAACGCCTCCGGGAATGGAACATGGCTTTGGTCTTGAAGAAGGATCTGAAAAGGCTGTCCACGCGTGGCTTACTAGAAGACGAGGACACAACATTTGGACGTGGGTGCCCCCTATCTCTGCTGTGTCCCGATGGCTAAAGAAGGGCAGCCAAAAAGTTCAGGTACACAACAGAGCCTCTGAAACCCTTGCCGCATGACTTGTTTGCTTCGCCTCTGCTTGCATCCCATACTTACCACTTCCTGGCCGCGCCAGAAGATCTCACTCGCCAAGTATCCGAGCTGCTTGAGCTGCGCATGCAAAAGGGCATAGATTCCAGACCTCTTCTTGTATGGGAGCCTTTCCCGCCTGCATGTCAGGCCGAAAGTTTGAAGTCGATTCTGGCTGCTTGTAGCTTGGTTGATGTGTTCTCTCCGAACCACCTAGAAATAACTCGTCTCTTCACAGATGCCGATCCAGAAGAGTTTCAGCCAAAAGTTCTCGAGTCATATGCCCAGAAGTTTCTTGACCACTCCATCGGCCCCCACGGGAAGGGTTGCATTGTTATCAGAGCTGCTGAACATGGGTCATTGAGTGCGTCTCGTGCAGCAGGTTGCATATGGTCACCGGCTTTCTATCCCACAGCCTCCGATCTCTCACGGATTGTTGATCCCACTGGAGCTGGCAACGCGTTTATTGGGGGTTTCGCGACGGGCTTGCAAGAAAAGCGAACGCTCGACCAGGCTGCCGCTTATGGCAATGTTGCAGCAAGCTTTGCTCTGGAGCAGATCGGCCTCCCTACATTGGAGGTGAACGATTCATGTTCATAACTAGAAGATAGAAGAGATATGACTTCCAGACTCACTTTCCGACTCTCTCCAAATATGCCTTCCAACCCTCATCCCGATAGGACCTAGCAGCTGCGACAGGGGTCCGGAGCAGCGTAAACGCCTCTCCCTGCGATGATAAAATCAGCCCCTCCTTGCACGGCTTGAGTTGGTGTCTTGTACTGCTGGCCAAGCTTATCTCCCTTGGTGGCCTGGTTGATGCCCGTTGTGAAGATGATGAAGTCTTCATTGGGAAACTCGGGCACTGCGGATTCCACGTCGGCAAGAGACTTCATGGCGATGAAGCCGATAAAGGAGTCGTTGTGAGATCGAGCGAGCTCAACGGACTTTTGTGTATAGTATCCAGTGGCCAGACTACCTTTAGAGGTCACGTCCGCGAGTATGATGAAGGCCCGTTCCTTTGAATAGGGGAAGTCAGGTGCCGCCACGACCTGGGACAATGCCTCGACAATGCCTTCTCCTCCGAGGATGCTAACATTGACAATGTCGGCGAACTCGGAGATCCGCAGAGCACCTCCATGATATTGCTTCTGTACCGTATTGCCTATGTCGACAAACTTTCGGTCCTCGAAGATCATAAAATTATGCTTCTTCGACAGCGTCTTCAAGCCTTCCACAGTAGCCGGTCCGAAATCATGAATCAGATCGACATGAGTCTTCAATACTGCCATATACGGGCCCAATGCTGAAACACCGAATCAAGTTTGGGGCCGTGACTTGGGGATCGATGGTTACTTACTGTCAGCGCAATGAAGCAGAGCCTCGGTCGACGTGAAATCGGCAGAGACCATCAGATTGGACTGTTTAGCCTCAGCGGTTTCGAAGAATCGACGAGCCACCAAATTTGGATGGATGGAGGCACGCTCAGCGTAAGTCTTGTGAGACAAGGAAGTCATTTTGGAATCAGACGTTGGTTGCAAAGCTTAAGGATGAGGCTGTATGATACTAAATATAAAGGAAGGAAGACCGTGCCCGAAATGTGAGTTGAGGTAACCGGTTCCGCGAATCCGGACACGGCATGCTGTAGTAGCCCGTAGTCGTGTGATTGTGTGCATGGCCGTATCCAGAGCCTGCAGCCCGAAAGTGTGTCGCCGATACCGATATTGGGCAGCCGTGGAAATATCCCAGGTTTCCAGCTAATACGCCACAGAAAGACCCGACATGGGGTCAGAGTAGTCCTGGTCTAGAATAATTTCGATGCATGGGAAAGATCAGGAGATGTACTTGCAAGTATTCTTGCAAACATCTTCTGCCCGCTGTCTTTGACGCTGCGAAGCATACCATTGGACGATTCTTCGGCGACTAGACACTTGCCTTGAGCGTTGATGCCCAGCACGCCTAGCCCAAGAGGTAAAAGAGTGAGCTGTCGGGATTTGAAATCTATCGGTCGCTGTCTGCAGTGAGAATATGCTGGATGATCAAAAGAGAGCTCATTGAGTAACGTAAGAGCTCAGTAAACAAAAATGCAAGTGAGTGTTTGAGCAGGACTGCCTGTTCCTATCCTCTAGAGTCGACATTCTAAGGTGAGTCTGGAGCATCAAAGATGGATTCCAAAGAATTTCCCAGCACCAAGAGAAAGTTTGAAAAATGCTAAGAGACGAGACTTCATCTTCCTGTGCTGTGAAGTCCAGGTTCGGGTCCGAGATCGCTTGACTGAAGCCGAAGTGGATACAACAAGAAAACGCACTGAGCTGAATGTCTAGATCTGAAGTAGAATTGTTCAACCAGCAGCTGACATTCACGAAAATGTCAATATTGCAGTGGATACAGAGAGCTTCAGGGTCTACCGAGATGCGGGAGTGACAATTTGATGTCCAAGTCCGTCTTTCGCCAAATCTTCCTTCGGTTTTGAGAACCAAGTACTCGGTATCACCGGTGACCATGGTGTTCTCGAAGCAAAACACTGGCACGGGCATGGCTCCGAAGATCTTTCACGATGAAAGTGGGGTTCAACAACGTGGAGTACATGGATAGTGGAGCACGGAGTGGCCGTCGACTATCATCTTTTGATATGGACTGGACGAGGGACGCTGAGATCTGGTGATGGCTGAGCTGGTGGTTGTGGCTTCAAGGCTGGGCTTCATTTCATCTCGGAGGACGTTGCGAAGTGGGACCATGCGGTGAGCAGAGCTTTGAGGCTCGACTCGTGAGTCAACGAGGGGTAATTGCTTGGCTCCGAGTCCAGATCGTGACAGGGCCATAGCTGCTGTCAAAGTTGTTAGCAAGGCATCGTCGTTACTAGAGCTCCCAAGCATCTGAGCATCTTCGAAGAGTCTGGCCGTGCATCTAAGAAGACAATGCTGAATGTGGTGAAGATCAGCATTGAAATGGTCCTGTGGGCTCGTATCGGCAGCGTCCGGTCCTTCTTCTCTGCTGTCCCCGCGATGCTGTTGTCGTTCGCCGAGTCGCACTATTTGCATAATACTATGGTTATTTGTTGTTGGTTAAGCGTGGTAGACGGTTTGGCGTTATTGGAAGGCTAAAGATAGCTACTTAAGCTCATCTGCAAGGGCATGGACAAGCGATCCAGGGTAGTGGTTCAGGGGCGGGAGATCATCAGGAGACTGGGCTGCCCCACAAAAACAATATTTGCAGAGCTGAGCGCATCGGGGAAAGGGCGTCATTTGAGGGCGGTACCTGCGTTCAAGGGATGATCAATGCGACTCTGTACGGGTGAGAGACGATAGGCTTCATGATTGTGAACGCCTATCCTGCTGGTTGATGGGAAGGCGTGCGGATGGCTGAGACTTCCGTTGAGAACTCTTGGCAATGCGCATCCGATTTCGTTCTAATGATTGCTGCTCCAGTGCTCCAGTAGGAAGTAGCTTGTTATGTCAACAAAAAGTACATTGTGGACGGGTCATCGAGTCGTGATCATTTGAAGGTATCCAGCAGCCCGGCCAACCCACGTGTATGCAAGTTTGATGAGGGCCGCGTAGTCGCACAAGAAAAGGATTCTCGCTGGAATGGGTCGATCTCCTCTGTGGCTTTCGTCGTATTCCGAGCTGGAGCAGATGAATATTTGTGGCGTCCACTTACGGATAGTCTTGCCGGGGCTCGTGGTGCGTGACAAGACCTTTCAAGGCAATCAATAAGACAGTATAGCAAGGAGGACCAAGCTGGGTGATCATGTTTAGGATTCCAGAACGTGTCGTCGAGTGAGTGCGTTTCGTTGTCCCTTGCAAGCCGGCCCAAGAAAATGTCAAGAAGGGAAGCAATTCGGAAATCGAGATTCGAGCGCACAGAGTCGGGCCTCGCTTCTGGTAGTCCGCGTCTTGGCACGATCTCCCCAACATGGTTTAAGGTGAATGCCCCTCCGCCTTAACCATACTTGGATCAAGCTTATTTTCTATTCCCCGTTTGGGCGCATCCCCTAGTTAATTCTTCTCTCGCGCCGCATCTCGCCAGCTTCATCCTTAATATCCTTCTGTCAAGGCTCCAAGCAACAAGACGATGCCAATGCTAATCCTGCTTCCAAGTGGATCATGGGGAAACACAGCTCTGGTCGACACTGCGCGCTTCTCGTCTTGACAGCCACAAGTCTCCTCTTTAACCCGACTGGGAAATCACCCTGGGATGCAGCTGTTCTCGATCGTCTGATCGCGAATTCCAGATGCCTAAGCCTTGTTCACTTTGCGTGTAGACTTGCTCTATTTTCGTGCAATGCGGCGTCGGGTAGTGCCATTGTGGCCCATTGAGCCCGATCATGGCTGAAGAATCAAACTTGACAAGTCCATATTGGCACATGGAACAATTGGGGTGCTATTTGCTATAAAAACTCTCTTCCTTCCATGTGTTTCTACTCCTCACCGCACCACACAGTCTTTCATTGTCACTCTCTGAAGCTTCACATCTCAGAACAATCAAAATGCGTTCCACATACATCATCTCTGCTTTTGCAGGCCTCGCTCTTGCAGCTCCTCATCCTCAAGACATCGAATTCGACCAAGTCGATGCAGCACCTGACCCAACCATCGTCACGCCACCAGTCTTGGGTGCCAGTGCCACTGTATCAATCCAACCAACTGCTGCTGTTGCAACCGTTGCGGATGCTTCCGTCACCGAAGTTGCTTCTACCAATTCAACTGAAACCAATGACAAGCGGGATTTTTTAGACTTCTTGGGCAAGCGTGATGGCAACTGTGCTGTTCAACCCAAGGGAACTGGACCAACAGTCAATACGTGAGTACACTGCTCTCCCAATAATGACATGTCTAACATAAAGAAGCCCTGACGACACTCCCGCATCTTTCTTGGCATACCAACCATTTCAAACCACCGCAACCAATGCCGCAACTCCTCAAGGCTACACTCAATCTTTTGTCAACCTTCAGGGATCCAGCCAGACTGTCTCGTGGCTCGGCTACACCACCTTGAGCTCTTATGACACTGTCGCTTGTGCCTCATACTGCGATCAACTTGATGGATGCCAAGCTTTCAACATCTACTACGAGCGTGATCCAACTGAGGATCCAAATGCAACAAGTTGCCCCAACCCCCCATCTCTCACCAACATCAAGTGTTCTCGATGGGGTGTCCAGATCACTGCTGACACCGCCGTCAACACTGGTCAAAACCGTGATAGCTTCCAAGTTGTCATCGCTGGTAAGTCGCGTTCACTTCTCTTCAGTCAGCAATCATTAACAGACAAAAGGTTCCAACGGCTACAACAAGAACGCCCCTCCTCCCGCTCAAACCGGCTTCACTGGTCCAGTTGAGCTTGGCGGTGCTATCAACGCTCCCAATGACCCAGTGACCAACACCAACACCTACATGGGTTACAAGTTCTTCTCCTTCGGTCAAGTTCAAACATACCCCGCAGGAGTTCAAGCCTGCACACTTGCCTGCACTGCTCAAACCGCCTACAACAGCCGCCACCCACCTTCCACCGGCAAGCCCAATGTCTGCAACCAGGTCGTCGTCTACGTCTTGAGCGATGAGAACGATCCTAAAGGAATCTACTGCGCTATGTACAGTGAGGAGTGGGCACAGAACTATGCGACCAACTACGGACAATACAGAGGCAGTGATTACTGGTCTGTCAGTCAGGCATACGCCTACACAAACGCAACCTACTCAGCTGCTTATGGACCTATCTGTGCTGTTGGCGGATGCCCAAGTGGTTCTTACCGAGGAGGCAACTGTGGTGGATGGGGTACTGGAAATTGCTAAATGACCATGAAAACCTGGGAGCTGCTGAGGGAGTTGTAAATAGAGTTCAATCGTAATTGGGAGGACATCTGCGGGTTTTAATGGTGGAGTATTGGAATTAGACTTAATTGACTTCATTTGTTACCACATATCCCATTTTCCAAACTTAGCTTCATTGCTCTCGAATCTTCTTGTCGATCTTTGACGGACACTCCGGCTATTCCAGACATCGTGGCACTGTGATTGTCTGACTTTTGGTTGGGAAATAATCTGACTCTTAACGAGTGTTTCCAGTGTACTTCAGCTAATTCAATAATAAAGTAGAAGAAGGAAAGTGGGTAGCTGATTGGAAGAATATACGAATTATATAATGAAAGTCACGCTTCTACTTCCACGACTTACATCAGCATGCAGAGTACCCTAACAGGAAATCTGCATGCTATCATGCATGCAGCGGTGTTCGGAGTTAGTCCCTTAAACTGCTGCCTTACTCGGAGTACCAGCGATCACCATCTTATCGCAAGGCCACGTCAGGCACTGAGCATCAAGAACCTCCCTTCCACCAACCACAACACATTCAATGCCAATCTGCTTGCAAATAAGAAGGTAGGCAACTCTTATGGGAATCCAGAATCCTGGTTCCAGTACGCGGCTGTGCGGTACAAGGGTCCGCACGGCCAAAATACAGCCCGGGAGCGTCAGATTGCTTTGCCGCTTTCTTTGGGGCTGCGATGCTATCGACTACTTTTCTTACATTTCGCTCTGGGCCTTCTTTCCTTCATTCGTTCGTTCGTTCATTACCATTTCAAGGCATTGGTTCGTATATATATACTCTCCAGTTTCCAATTGAGAAGGGAATACTTCTTCTGCGCAGGTCGCAGTCCTCCCACTCTAGACTCGAAACTCCAAGTAAGCACCGCAACAACACGATTGCTTCACCATGACAGCGCCCCTCGATTCCGCCTACGAGTCCTCGGACGAAGAAGCGCCTCTTCTTTCCTCTCCGCCGGAAAGTCCTACGCTGACATCGTTCCCGCGCCCTTCTCGACCGTCTCATGTCCGAAAGACCTCCTACATTCCGCAGATCCACCGAGCACACTCCCCGCGCGCCATCACCGGTATCCTGTTCTTGATTCTCTTTATATTGGCGTTTGGGGGCTATCTTATGGCCGTGCCGGGGATTAGGATTATGGAGGATATTGTTTGCCATAAGGTGTTGGGGATTGAGGGGGAGATTGATGAGAGTTTGTGTAAGGGGGAGGAGGTGCAGAATGAGTTGAGTATTGTGGCTGCGGGGTTGCATGTTATTGGGGCTATTCCTAGTGAGTTTTGTTTGGAAGCAATGGAGGGGAAGTGCTGATGAAATTAGGTTTGGTGACGACGATTCCGTATGGGTTGTTGGCTGATAGGTATGTGGTGCTTTTGATGTCCTATTATCTGTTGTGCATTTGTCTAGATCCGTATTTTTCCTGGCTTAGCTATAAAAGTAGCGAATGTTGGATATGGATTTTAAGAAGAGTCATGCTGATACTTTATAGAATTGGACGAAAGCCGGTATTTATACTAGGTTTGACAGGTATTATCCTGAGTGCTATATGGCAAATGTGCGTCATGTGGTTCTGGAAAACCCTTCCACTTCGTCTAGTCTGGCTCGGACCAATCTTCATTCTGATCGGGGGTGGAGAAACGGTCGCTGCTATGGTATTCTATGCCATTGCATGTGATATAACTCCCGAAGCGAACAGGTACTTTCCCGAGCGTATTCAATATCGATATTAAAGACTGACAATGAAACAGAGCGAATGTCTTCCTGCTAGGAGCCAGTGCTGGCATGGTAGCTGAGGTTATTGCTCCTTCCGTATCAGCATGGCTTATGAAGTCCTCAAACTGGATATCGATGATCATAGGAGTGTCCATCCTAACCTTCGGAACCCTCCTCATCTTCCTAATTCCGGAGACACTTCACATGCGACCCAGAGCCTCCAATCCATCACACCTAACCCCTTCACCATCAAATCCCGACCTCCAATCCGACTCCCCTGATAGCAAGAAAACATCAATAATGACCGCTATCAAAACCGAATTCGCCACAAGTCTAAGATCACTAAGTTCCTCCCTCCAAATCCTATCCTCAACTCCAATCATCATCCTCCTATGTACATTCACCGTCCAACCCTTCACCCGCCAATCAGTCGACCTCTCCCTCCGCTACGTAAGCACACGCTTCCACATTCCCCTCCGCCTCTCTTCCCTCCTCCTCTCCCTCCGCGCAGGCGTCAATATCCTCCTCCTGCTCGCCATCCTGCCTTTGCTATCCTACGTCCTTACGAAACGATTCTCCTTCACTTCCCCGCGGAAAGATCTCTTCCTCGCCCGCCTCTCAATCCTGTTCCTTACCTTCGGCATCCTTATTATTGCCGCTAGTCCAACTCTCCCGTTGACCATCATCGGAATGAGTATCTTTACCCTTGGCACGGGCTATATCGCCCTAATAAGGAGCTTAATCACGACATTGGTTCATCAGCAGCATATCGCGCAATTGTACGCACAAGTTGCTGTTGTAGAAACCGTCGGCGCGTTAGTTTCCGGCCCAAGTTTAGCAAAGCTATATATGGTAGGCTTAAAGATGAAAGGCCCCTGGGTCGGATTACCGTTTTTCGGAGTCGGTGTTATTTGTTTGCTGGGCGCAGTGGGAGTTTGGGCTGCGGGATGCGTTATGGGACGCAGGGGCTGGGAGAAGGATAGAGGGGAGGGAGAGAGTGGTGAGGAGAGTGAGGATGCGGTGTTGTTGGGGGTGGAGGGCGAGGTTGATGTTCCTGATGCTGGGGCGATTAATATTGTTTGATTATTATGAGATGGGTAGATTTTGGGAGCTTGGTTTTATTTGTTGGCTGGGGGTTAGAGGGGCATATATATACCCGGCGTTCAAGGGGTGGAAGGCTGTGTAAGTGGGATATTTAGAATATAGGTATATACGGTAACGTATGAAGAAGACGAGAAGAAAGAAAGCCTTCTAATTGAAATGATGTTTTAAGATTCAAGAGACCAACAGATGCGAGAATGAATGATAAGGATCGAACCGGACAACATAGTCAAAAGAGAACTTGATACGCATCAGAGAATCCAGCAAAGCCAACACATGCGCTTCAAACACTCAAAGCGCGAAACCCGCTAATCGCGCGATATGCGCAAATTGCGCGATTCGCGCGAAAATCGACCATTGTGCAACTTTCCTCTTCCTGCTGTCCTCCTCAACCTCGCTTACCCCCTCGCTTAACCTCACGACCAAAAAAAATCCCCAAACCCATCTACCAAAAAATAAAAATAAAACAAAACGCCCGGGCACACAGTACCGTAGTAACTGTGTGCCCGGGCGCCCAAGCGCATAGCTTGTTCGCGGTGGCGGAGGGAATGGCGTATCTAACTGTCGAGGTTATTCTTCTTCATTAGGAGGCACGCTGGCGAGTCAGCGACAAACCCGGTCAGTCGTTTGGCCACAAGAGGGCCTAACCGGGCTTGCTGGGGAGGAAATGCTTATTTAGATCTATAAGGGAGGGTTGAAAGGTTAGGGGTAATTGGCTGTGATTCACTTTTTGGGTGGGAGGGTTAGGTTTCGGCTAGAGAGGTGGTTTGTTTACTTGGGAAGGGGCGGCCGTGTTTTTGTTAGAGCCAATTTTGAATCGATTTTGGCTGTGAGGCTCTTGTGCTTACTTGTATATGCAAATTCTTTCTCGTTCTCTCGTCACTTTTAATCCAAGTGATTCTTTACAAATCAACACATTCACCAACCCTTCTCCTCATGTATCAACCCCATACGGCACGTCCCTCCAAATCACCCTCCTCAAATAAACATACAAGATTTCCTGCCACGTCGCCCACTGATGCGCGCTATACATCGGATAATGACTCAAATACGCCAGATCCACCGCACTCGCCCTCGTCTGGAAATTCCGCGAGTTCTCAAACGCAGCGTCGTAGAAGCCCGCTCCGGCAAAGATCCCGACGGAGCGCAGCGATGTCTGGTTCCAGATGGGATCGTCGGGCTCAGGTGAGGGCGTGTTAGACATGATGCAGTAGGAGGAGAAGGTGCTGGTGGCGTTGAAGAGCATGCTTAGCGTGAGGCCGCCGCCCAGGGAGAGGCCTGCGAAAGCGCGGGAGGAGGGGGTACTGTTGACGGCGTAGGTGGATTCTACCCATGGGATGAGGTTCGTGAGGTAGTTCTCGCGGATTGCGTTGAAGAAGCCGTTGAGTCCCACTGGTGCCTCTTTGTCAGTCTCTGTCTTGCGGGGCTGAGGAAGAGAGGAGACTTGCCGACATCGAAGCCTTCGATGGTCCCATTGGTGGCGTCTTGCTGCATGGTGAAACCAAGATTGTAGAAGTTGGGCGTTACTACGATCATGGGGTCTACTTCTCCGCAGTCGATGAGTCGATCAAGAATGTTTTGTGCTCGGCCTTGGTTGAACCAATCCGCATCTGTTCCTCCACCTCCATGAGAGAGGTAGAGCACTGGATATTTCTTGCCAGGAATGGTGCCGTATTCATTTGGGAGATAGATTCCCACGTCGTGGATATCTGATTTTATGAGTACGTGCTGGAGATTGGGGAATTGAGAATATACCTTTGGAAGGATATGTCGAGCCAGGAGATGGGTATTGCTGGAACGAGAAATTGCCTCTACGGCTCTCGTTGGGAAGTGGAAGTTGCCAGTCATAATCTCTGACCTGATACTTCCCATCGAACGGTACTTGAATGGTACTAACGAGTTGATCGCCTGGGTATGGCTCGAGTGGTGGATTCGAAGAATCGGTCAATGCCGCACAGTTCAAGTAATCGGTACTGTTGCAATCGGGATAGAAATTATAGTTAAACGTCCCAGAAGGAAATGGAACACTAAGCTCCCAATCGCCAGATGATGGATTATAGGTCATGTCAAGGCCAGCAAGTGTAGCCGGACTGCCTGTGTTTGTGAAGAGGGCCAGTGAGAAGTATTCCGGCTTCCAGTCCCACGGAGAATAGCCGTCAGTGATGGATGGCGAAGCATGCAGAGAATCTGAGTACAAGGGGAAGCCAAGCAGGACGGACTTTGGATGAGTGGTGGCATTTGGAGTGAAGACAAAGTCGACAACATATCCCGTCGGACTTGTATCGACTTTTCTTACAGTCGTGCTTGCAGCCAAGCCAACTTCAAGGAACGCGGCATTCACGAAGAGACTTGAAAAACGCATCTTCGAAACAGAACTTGAAGAGAATAAATGTTTGAAAGATCGAAGAATGAAGAATCCAAATAATGGCTTTCATGTACATACATACCATTCATTGTCCACTGTCAAAGTTCTCCGGATGTCGGGCGAAAACCGGAAGGAAATCTCGTTCCTTCTCTCATGTGGTCATTTTGCAGCACTAGCTACATTTCCGGCGCTTCTCAAATTCTGGATCAACTCCCAACGATCTTGGATACAATTCAGGCAAAATGTTTGGCCCTGTGGACATGCAGTAGAGTAATGTTGTGGAGTGGACGCTGGGACGTTAAGTTTATATTCCCCGCATTTTGCCCCGCGATTTCGGTTGCCGATGGCAGGAACCGAACGAGAAAGCAAATTTGTCCGACTGAGTCGGCTAATTGTTGAATGAGGTTTTTTGAGGGAAATGTTAATGACTAGGTCGAATTTTCCGTATAGTTTGTTGATGTTCCTGGAGTTGAAAATTTGACAATGTTAGTTGAATGACCGTCATTCTCATGGTTGTATAGCATGTTCCACATCTTATGGGACAACATAAGTGGGTAAAGCAAATTACTCGAGATAGGAATGTATCTATGCTCTTCTTACACAATTTTGTCTCTCAAATCTCAGCTCACTCTTAGCACCCAACCCACTTATTTTGTCCTACAAATTCTAGAACAATATTATCTCATGTTCCGAATTCTTACGGCAATTCATAAAATTCTCTTTGATCTCGAAGCTCAACATCGTTTACGATCTACTAGTTATGCTCCATTGCAGCCTTCCTATTCTCGATCTTCTGCAAGACACCGCCACCTCTCTGAATGGAAACCTCGTATGCCAACCTATACGCATGAATCCCCTCTGAAAACAGTTGCCTTTTGTCGTACCATCCAGTATCCTTCCTCAACTTCTCACTCCCAATCCACTGAGTCCACCCAAGCAGCATCCTATTCCAATCCTGCTCAACAGGTAGTCTTCCTTCCTGTCCTTCAACGAATCTTACACCATCTTCTACCCCATACTCCTTTGCAACAGCAGATGCGACATCTCTAAGCGTTTCCCACTCGCTAGCAGACATGTTATAACACTGCCCTTTCACAACACTCCTCTCAGCCTCCGCGAGCGCAACATAAGCCTCTCCACAATCATCAACATGCATCGCATGCAAAATCGTATCAGGATGTTCATCAATCTGCCAAACACCCTTTTTCTTCGCCTGTTCTGCAAACTTGAAGATTAACCCATAGAAACTGGATGACAAACCATACACATTCGTTGGTCTGGTGACAATAGCATCAAAGAGATCTTCGTGCTCGAAGATCGTGATTGCTCCATTTGCACGATCCATCAGCAATGTTGGAGGATTAAGTGGTGATTCTTCTGTGTGGGGAGCTTTGTCCTTGGATGTCGACAGGAAGGTCGACGTGCCGTAGTCCTTGCAGCCGCTTGTGAAAATAACGAGAGGTCGAATTCCTTTGTCTTTACTTTGTTTAGCAAGAATCCGGAGAAGAGAGACGATTTCGTTGTAGTGAGGGAAGTAGTTCATGATCTGTTCGGTAGTTGAGACAATGACATCGAACACGATGCCTTTCTCCTGGAGATTAGAGACGAAGGAAGTATCGGATGGGGAACCGAACAAAGGAATGATTTCATCTGAAGCGAGATCTGGAAGGGAAGACTCTTTTCGAACAAGTCCATATGTAGTCCATCCGGCTCGGGAGAAGGCGCGAGCTACGGCATTGCCAATGTAGCCATTCGCACCAGTGACAAGGACTTTCTTGTGGGCTGTCTTCGTTGGCGCCATCTTGAATTGAATGGAGAAATGATGTGTGAATGCAAGAAATTAATTTTGAAAATTGTCCTGATTTATATACCAGATGCCCCTTTCGGATCCGAACCGAGTCGGATTCTAAGACGCGATCTGATTGGTCAGTTTACTGACGTCTAAAAGAAACGGCATGACTATCAGCCCGACATTGAGAGATCAACGTTTCAACAAAGGTAAATTTCATTGATTTCAAAGCAAGTGGATCAAGCTCACGGGAGCCTAAGGGTCTGTTGTAACGTAAAGAAGTATCGAGCCACTTTTTGACTTTCAAAAGTTCCAGCCCAGAACTTTAGGACATTGAGCCGAGAGGAAACAGCGGGAGCAAATGAACAACTCGCCCCTACTTCAGGAAACCGTACCCTAAAATGAGAGCTAGAGATCGAAGTATAGAGTGAGAACTTTTAGTATATCGTGTACGAAATGTATGAAATGTACACCCATCCCATCTACAATGCTCAACTCCGCCCCATGAAAGAATGCACCAACGCTTTCCAAGTCCCCAATGCTCCTCAAACCCTCATATCTAATCTCCCAACCAAAAGAATGACTCCATACCATTGCAAAACAAAAAAAACAATAGAAGAAAACGCAGTGGTATAGTGCAAAGAGCAACAGCAATTTCTCAATCATCTGCAATCCCTCACATTCATCCAAAAAGCAGACACCTAAACTCCAGAATCGTCTTCAACGATATCGTCAGCAGCAACATAAGTATCCCAGGCGGCACAAGTCGAGTTCATGGTATCGTAGTCGATGAGAGCAGCAATTTCGCTGTATCGCTCAACAATCTGAAGAGCGAAACCTTCAGATGTGTGCCATCCGATGTGGCAATGCAACAACCAAGCGCCTGGATTGTCAGTCAGGAATGCGATGACGAGGTATCCTGAGCTAGGCAGCATGGCAACGTCTCTTCTGGGTGGGTTGGTGGTAGTGAGTGTGGTAGTGTCAGCATCGTAAGTTCCAGTTCCTTGGCCCCTGCAATCAGAATCTCGGAGTCAGCAAAGCTCTCTTTTGAATTAGAGAGTAGAAAGGTGTTCATACAAAACATAGAAATCATGCCCGTGTAGATGGATGGGATGAGGCACAGTCTGGGTAGTCTCGATGACAAAGTAGACCCATTCATCAGCGGTATCGACCTCGATGACATGAGAGGAGGTGGTGAAGTTGGTATCGTTGTTGTAGATTTGGAGAAGAGTTGGGTCATCCCATTCGGCGACGAAAGTAGTGGCTGCCATGTACCATTTGAACAAGTTGTTGACTTTTCCGACTGTGACAGCAAAATCATCCTCCTCGGTATCGGCACTGGCATCGAGGGCAAGGTACGGGACGAGGTCGGACATATCTTCATCATCGCAGCTGTCGATATAGGAGTATGCGGACGAGGTGGGCTCTGTGGTATCCGTGGAGTCATACTTCAATCTTCGTCAGTGTACTTCTTTTGAACATTATTCGAGAGTTGTTGCAATGTCTGGCCACATTGGGGTCATGCAGCGAGTGAAACTTGTGAGACAACCTAGACAGACAATCAAGCTCGAAGAAGTCACATACCTTAAGTATACCTTTGATGTTGTCGGCATTGTCGTTGTCACTGCAGGACGTTTGTGGGATGGCACGAATCCAGAAGTTGCCAGATGTCTGAGAAGCGTTCACGACAATGTCGTATCGTTGACCCATTCCAATGCTGAGGACATTGGTCTCGTAAGGCTCAATAGGGACAAGGTCCATAGCCATGACCGTCAAATTGTGCGAATCAATCATGAACTTCCAGTGAGTGTCAACGGCCCCATTAATAAGACGGATTCTATATGATTCACCAGCTGTGAAAGTCATGTTGAAGCGAGAACCGAGATCTCCGTAAACATTAGTACCATTGATAAGGCCGTTATCTAAGGTTGGTGGTCCCGAAGTTTCAGCAGTAATATAAACTTGATCAACGGTTTGATGAGCTATTGTCCGGATTAGTTTGAGTACTTGAAAGCTGCCCAAAGTGTGTACTCACTCCAGTCATTGAGAAACATCACGCCCATATCGTTATCGTAGTTGGCTGTTGATGGCCCATTGATAATGATTCCACCTAGAATACCATTCCAGGCTTGAAGAGCAAAGTGAGAATGGTACCAGGTTGTCCCGTATTGGGTGGCTCTCCATGTGTAGGTTGTTGACTAAGAATGATAAGTACTAGCTTGGCTGACTTGTTGTTTGACAGTGGCTTACTTCTCCAGGTGCAGTCGGACATTGAGTGATAGAGGAAACTCCGTCGTTCGGATTAGTGTAGTTCTGGCGAATACCTGAGAGTCTACGAGTCAGTCATTGTCCCGGTACTGGAAGATGGGCCTGGCTGATGACTTACCGTGGAAATGGATGCTGCTTCCATTGTTTTCCATCGAATTTGTTACGTGGACAACTAAAGATAGTCAGTAATAGATCCTATTGTCAGGAAAAGGAGCGAGTCACTGACCAACAGTGTCTCCCCAATCAGCGAAGAGAGTTGGACCTGGGAAAGTGCCATTGACAACTAAGACCATTCTTTCAACACCATCAAGGGAAGCCGTTGTGTTGACTATATCGAGCCAGTACTAAGTATTTGTAAGTCCCAAGTTCACAGTGACATTCCGATTTACAAACCTCTCTCGTTACCCCGGTGTCAGGAGCTTCATTGTAATAGTCTGTAGAAAGATCGTAGTCACCCCAGCATGATCGATCAGAAGCCGAATAGGTGCATCTCTTGTCAAGCTGCTGTACATGAGGTGCGGCAGAAGCGCCAGAAAGGATCAAGCCAAGGCTGGAGGCCAAGAAGGCAGGCAGAAGACGCATGCTGAAAAGCAGTGGATAGTGAAAGAATAGATGTAAGAGACTTGCAAAGCAATGAAGAATCTGCAACAGAATAAATGAGAGGGATCGATGGATGTTGAGGATGATGATGATGATGATGATGAAAAACAAGACTTTCTTGGGGTGGACAAGTTCGTCATGTTATATACAGCTCGGGGTTTACAGACAGCATCAAGGCTTCTGTACCCGGTGTTTTGCCATCAGAAGGAGGCATTGGACTTGCACTTGCTTCCAAATTTGGATGTACTCGCGAGTCAACGCGTGTTCTTGGGTTAGCCTCACTGTCGCAATGCCGCGGGCACAATAAACATTTGAATAGAGTTATTCTCCTTTGGCACGCACCATGGAGGCTGAGCCTCGTCCCCTTTGGTCAGTAAACGGGCCAGGACCGCCCTTGGTTGAGGTCCGTGATAGCGGAGAAGCTCAAATTGGTTGATGAGATTCGTAAAGCGACGAATTATTCAGCTGTGATAACGAAACATCGAACCAGTGATCGTGTTCGAAACAACAACACCTAATGATTTGCGTGGCCGGTATTATGCCTGGGAACTGTTCATCTGATCTGGGATACACGCCTCGGGTATGCGTGGTTTGGAGTTTTTCCGGTGGACACTGACCCCAGTCGTGGCTGCTTTCGGGTAGATTGCCGATTGCATGAACATCTTGGTACTATTTTGGTCGATTTCCTCCCAAAAGGGGTCGATGAAACCAGACCACGTGCAAAAAGACCCATAGATTGACACGCGCCGTGCAAACTGTAAGTTGGCCCCCAAGCTCATTCGTATGGCGCTGCGAATGTCCTAGGAGTTAAAGGCCAATCAGGTCTTTCAGAAAGTACCGAGCCAGGGGATATACTGCAGATATAGAACTCTGACGATATGATTGCTCACCAAGGAACACCCCATGGTCGATGTTTCGAATTCTCAAAAGTCATCCATAGGGCTCCGCAGCCACCGGTATTGTATTAGCTCACCTAAGTGACAATGCGCCATTGCGGGTGCTAGCTAGTAGTATTGCACACAAAGCGTTGAGCTGCTGGGAGAGTAGACCTCGAGTGGGTCTTTCACACTGAGGGAGACTCTCTCATCCAATACTAAGACTTAGCTCCTGCGACAGCGTAGTCTCACTCAGGTGACTTACCACGGTGTGAATTGCAGGGTTGTCGTCACTTTGTATGCCCGTTGAGCTAAGCCTCAGTACTGGAGACGTCAGCATATTGAGTTCGCGCCGGAAGAGCATGCGTAATGCCAGTAAAAGTGGACCGAACAAACCTTAAAGCTCCCTTTTTGAAAATTCTTCTGAAGGCCCATCGCAAGCTAAGGTCTCCAAATACATAATGAGCGATCGCCCCTACCAGCGCAAGTCATCCTAATCAAGCAGGAGTTTCTCTCTCATCGTCTTGCCTTCAACATTTCTTCCTAGTTCACTAACATCAACACTCTTTCCAACATGTTTTTCAAGACTTTCGCGATTTTGGCTTTCGGCGCCTTGTCCACTGCGGCTTCGCTTCCTCACAGGCGCAGTAGTGAGAGTGATGTCGTCCTTTATTGTTATGGAAGTACCTCAAATGGAGGTCCTATTTTCTATGCTGATGGGTAAGATTCGCTCTGTAAACTCGGTTAGAAGATGTGTTAACATTCTCAGACTTGCTTACTTTGGCATGTCCGCAAACACTCTTGACGCAGGTGTTTCCACCAACATCTCATTCACACTCGACCCTGATGACACCACCACTGCGTGGACCATTCAGCCAAACACGACAACAAATCCCAATGTGTCTTTCAATGAGACCCTCGACATGTACATTGTCCCTACCGATGGTTCCTTCACTCAAGTCGGATTTGCCTCCAGCAACAGCTCCTCTTTGCCCACCGGAGCTGTAACCACTGGATTCTCTTTCTTTGGCACCAACGTTGCATACGTAGAGTCGTCCTCGAACTATGACATGATGTTCTGGGGAAATGCAACCACAACGGACGGTATCTTTGCTCTGTATTGGAACGATGGCAGCGATGATGCTCCTAATGGCTCTTTCGCCGTGACTGTTAAAACCACGCCACCGGTATCTATATAAGACTTTCACCTTCTGTCGAAGTCGGACCTTGGGAAAATTTTATTTGTTGCATTTGGTAGCTGGTACAGGTGTGTTTAGAGGTGTTGTGGTTTGGAAGGAAAGCTTGTGTATAGGTTAGCGAGCTGAAAACTTTTCTATCCGTCATTGAGCAATTCTTCAGAGTGTTGATGTGATTTATCCTAACTTAACTTGTAAGACTGAGTGTACCGTGACGTCTCGTAGCTTCCATTCTCTTCCCCCAGAAGCTTGAAACTTGCGACCGCCAGAAAACGTATATTGTTTGAATCTCCCACGATTTCTGGGACAATCTTCTCTCTGACTGTGATATCATTACATTTGACAAAATGATATTCAAAAATAGGATCTGAATCACCAACACGTCTTCAATATCCCGAAAGAAAGACAATCGATCTGGAGCGATGCAAATGACTTGAAGGCATGCTGATTGAAACTGGGAGTTATGGGATGATTAGGTAGCGAACTTTCCTCCTGAGAGCGTAGCCGAAATCATAACCTGCTCAAATCGACTCTTCTTCCAACTTCGCCAACACGATGCTCCAAAGTCCTCCAAATGGAAAATGAGTGCATTTCACTAACATAACAGCTCGATTTGGCCCCGTTGAAAAAACAGCATGCCATCTGTCTATATACTCACTCTGAGATTTGACATTCAACAGCGAACGGAATACTAGCTTTTTCACGCACTCTCCACCACAATTTGATGTCCCCAAAGAATTAGAGCATTTAAAAGTCAAAACTGTTCTGGAATGTCTTGGTGGTTGGGACACTCGTCCAATGAAATTCAAGTACTTTTGTATTCAGGTATACATAGCGTTACCATAAAACCTCCCAACAGTTGATGTATTTTGGGAGACACTTTCATCCAAATAAAACCACACTTTAATTTCCCTTCGCCAATGGACTCGATAACCAACTCAATTCCTCTGCTTTCTTGCTACCCACAAGCTCTGTCAACTTTTCTGCAGCCAAGAAGTCGTGATCGCAATACTCGAATCCAGGAACGACAACTTCGCTGATTAGAAGTCCTTGACTCTCTGTGCCATTTTCCTGATCGGGAAGTAGATACGAGGCCTTGTATTTGCCACCGTCTACAATCCATTGAAGCTTTTCGCCCTTCTCAACATTTTGTCCTACAACAAAAGTCTCGATCCTCTTTTCTGGTCCGTCGTCATCAGCATGAATAATGACATAGCGGCCGCGTCCACGATGAAGCGTGTGGACTGTACGGCCCTTGTTGCGATGAAAGCCACCCTGGGGACCATTCTCGGTAAGGAGATAATATATCGTGGTCGATGAGTTTCGTAAGCCTGGGGCGAAGCCTGGTCGTTGTGGAGCCAGCTCCGAAGTCGACGATGTTGAGGATTCCCAGGGTGAGGGAACCGTATCTGGAGCTCGATCCGTTTCCTTGAAAAAGCCTCCCTCAATATGTGGTTCAAGTTCCAAAGCTTTGATGAGTAATTGAATGGATGCCTTTTCGGAATTGTCGGAAGCGTGGAAACTAGGTGTGATGACCGAGGCCATGGTGAATGATAATTCTGCCGTATAGCAGTGTATCAAAGCGAACACCAAGGAAGCTGAGGCGCAGATCTTTTATCGCAGAGCGGTGATGAGATTCAGCTGTGATGAGCTGTATACAAACGGAAGATCACTGAGTAACCCTCTCGGAAGTAGAGGAAAATTTTGTCGTCGTACAAAAGACAGGGACTGAGATAAGCATGACACCGAATGAGATAAGCACTCGGAACAACATTGAGAATGGAAGAGGGTGTTTTGCATTTTGATGGAACTTTCTCTGTGGTTAGGGGTCGTATCGTCATTCTAGAAAATGTTTAAGAGGCGCTTCCCCTGTGACGCGGGGTGGATAATGAATATCTTAAGACTTAAATAAATTAGTGAGGGGAAGCTTGAAAAGCTCGGAAAGCTCTGGGACTTTGAGAGAACGGTGACAAATTATCTTGAGCCTCGTCTCTAACACTCAATGCTAACAAGATAAACATGTAGATGTAGACATCAACTTCAGGATGTGAGATGAGGTGGATTTATTCCTATGAGTCTGTGCAACTCGAGGGGCGAGATCTTTGACCACATCACCAAGCCCAAGACATCCTAGCGCTGCTACAAGCCTGCAAGTGCAAGCGACTCGAGACTGTTTTGGCTGGTTTGCCCGACATGCCCAGAACTATCGATTCTTTCTCTCCTCCTTTTCTCCCTTCTCACACAGTTCCAGCGCATTGCATTGCATTGTTCGGCGTGTGCATTTACGATTTACGACTGCAACGATCATCACGAGCTTGTACATTCTCCTGCATACATGCATTGTATAATCTTGTAACTCTATCTTCGCGGCCGCTGGGAGTTTCACTTTCCATCTCCATTTCGTTTGGGCACCGGAAGCTTCAGCAATCGCAGCATTCTGATTTATCACAATTTCACATTATGTCAGGCGCTTTGAGTAAACGGCAGCAGGCGCGCAATGAGCGCACCCTTCAGGATCTCATCAAGTCGGTGCCAGGAAACAACACATGCGCGGATTGTCAAGCTCGGAATCCAGGTGAGACATGGCACACCGTGAAGCAACATTGCACAATCGCTGACTATGGATCAATAGGATGGGCTAGCTGGAGCGTAAGTCACCAGAAATCTAAGATCTAGAAGTCCTCGACCGTACAAATGTACTGACTGCAGGTAGTTGGGTATCTTCCTCTGCATGCGGTGCGCCGCTCTCCACAGAAAGCTTGGGACACACATTACAAAGGTCAAATCGTTGAGCATGGACTCTTGGTCGAATGAACAAGTCGAGGTATATGTTCCAGGTTTTCCGTCACTCCAAATTGGTCTGATGTCCAGCAGAATATGAAGCGCGTTGGAAACATTGCTTCGAATCGAATATATAATCCTCAAAATGCCAGGCCACCGATTCCCATCGATGCCGACGAAGCAGACTCAGCTATGGAGCGGTTTATAAGGCAGAAATATCAAGAGAGGGCTGTGACGGCACAAGCACGAAATAATACAGGGAGCACGAATTCAGATGACCAGCCTCCGCCGTTGCCGCCGAAACCTGGGAGTAGATTTGGCTTCAGATCAGCATCCTCCATCTTTCCCATGTCTTCGAAGTCTAAAAGAGAAGCAGAGATCTCACGACAGCAATCACCATCTCCACCAAGGAGTAAGCCATCTCGAATCTTTGGTACATCGGTGGCGTCTGATGGGAAAGATGATCTGGAAGCAAAGATGGCTAAGCTACGAGATATGGGTTTCACGGATGAGCGCAGGAATATGGCAGTCTTGAAAGGACTTAGTGGCAACCTTGAAAAGTCTATTGAGACTCTGGTCCGTCTTGGGGAGGGTGGAGGAGCTCCAGTACCTGCTAGAGAGACGCCTACCCCTTCACAATCACGGGCGCCCATGGGTGCTGGGTTAACAATCAATCGGACTCGAGAAGCAAGCTCACCGAAGGTATCAAACAACCCATGGGAAGTGCTTGATAATCCACCACCCGTAGCGCAACCTCAGTCCTCGCAGTCGACTGGCTCTTTGGCTCGGTCGCAGAACCCGATGATGGGCAACAATCCCTATCAGCAGACCCAATCTACCAACCCATTTGGTCTCGCTCCATCTCAGTCACAATACAACTTAAACCAGGCTTTTCAGAGCATGTCTGTGTCATCATCTCAACCACCACTCTTTCCCCACCATACTGGTGGTTTCCCGGGGCCACAACCCGCCCAGCATCAACAGCTCTATCAACAATCCATGACTCCTCCCGTCCCCTCATTACCTCAGCAATACTATCCTCCTGTGATCTACGAGAATTCTGCCCAACAACCACAGCAGCCACAGCAGACCAACAGTTACAACCCGTTCATGCAGCAATCCCAACAACCTCCAACACTGAACACAAATGTGCCGAGTAACCCGTACATCCAGCAGCTGGCAACTCCTCAGAGCCTCTACCAGAGTCCCATCGAGCAATCGCCTCAGCAGCAGTACCCCTCCTCTTCACCATTCTACCAGAATGGTGCTCAGGCGCAGCTACAGCAGCAGCAAATGAATCCATACTTCAACCAGGCTGCTCAGAACAACGCGCAACAACAAACTCAACCACAGATGAACCCATTCTTTCAGAACTCTCAAGCACAGCAAGCACCACCGCAAAACTATGATTTCCAGTCCCAACAACAACCTCAATATCAGCAGTATCGCCAGCAAACGCTTCCTCTGATGGCGCAGCAGACTGGGAAAGCAGATAAGCGGAGCATTTTGGACTTATACAACTATCCTCAATTAGCTCCTGCCCCTCACCAGCAACAGCAGCCTCAACAGCAGCAACAGGACCAGGGACAAGCACAAGTTCAGAATCTATCAGTTCCTGGGTCACAGAGCTTCCAGCCACAGCAAAGAAGTGTGTCCAGCCCTTTGTCAATGCCAACTGGAAGTAAAAATCCATTTGCATCAAGTGGAGGTAGTATGCAGAGTCCAGGAGATACACTGGGCCAGATGCCGAATTTCGCACCGAATCCAAATGGGTCACGACATGTCAGCCAGGAAAGCATGAGCGTTGATGCTGGAGGATGGAGCAACGGTCGTCATTCCCCAGATGCATGGGGATCGATCAGTGCAAGATCTTTGAGATAATCTCAATGAATGCGCTTTGAACAAATTATGTAATGATAAAAGTATGGCCATAACGTCCATCCCTGCGTAGCGGAAAACCCTCCGTGCCGGAAAATTTAACCGGTACATTGACTTCAAGCACTATAAAAATCTAAGCACACCGCAAAATCTCCTATGATTTTTTGAAAGTTATATTCCGTAGCCACTCCCGCACACCTTAAATGCCTTCGATTAAAAAAATCATGTCCGCGTCACCACCTCACGCCTGATTTGTAAAGAGTCTCCTTTTATAGCGTAACAGACTTTCTTTACCACAGCTGCATCACCTAGTTTATACTATTCTTGAATTATATAAAAATGTCTTGACTCAGCTCTAGTCCCTCCCAATACGCAGGAAATCGCTGTGGCGTCCAAATTCATGCAGGATCGATATGCGGATCGGTACCTCGGATCGAAGCGAGCGGCGATTTTAGTAGAGAACGGCCTTGCATGCCCCATTATATTTACGTTGCACATTTCGTCTAAACTCTGTTTCACGTGACACTATGCTTGGAACTTGTTGATGTCGGCAGAGGTGCATTACTTAAGTGCTTAAACACTCTCAGTACGTTACTTAGAAAGTACTAATTAGTCGTTTAGTTACACATATTAAAGCACGCTTTAACATTAATCAAGTTTGCCTATGAACTGACGATACAACAATATCCTCTTGCTTAGCCTTCCATATCTTTAAAGCTTTGTAGGACGAAATGTAATGTGGATGACCAATTCTTAAAACACGTTTCCGAATTCGTACACACTCTTCTATAAGCCTTACAGCTTTAGTTCCTTTACCGCTTCCCTTCCACGTGAACGCCAAGTTATTCATGCTCATCAGCGTGTCTGGGTGGTCCACTCCGAGCTTCGTCTTGCGAGTCTCTATGACCTGCACCTCTAGCTTTTCAGCATCGTCCCACCGGCCTTGGTTCCAAAGCGTCGCTGCCAAGTTATTCATGCTCGTCAGCGTGTCTGGGTGGTCCAC